ATAAACGATATATCTCCTACATATATATATATATATCTTATATCCTGAGGACATAAAAAACATCGCTACTAAAAACATAATGAAAGTCCTATCACTGACAGGAATTAGCACCGAACGACATGCCGACATTTCTGGCCGACAATGCTTATTTCTCAATAATAATAATAACAAAAAATTAAAGACCCAGCCGTATCAAATGATAAGTGTCACGAATGTCATATTCAGTCAGAAACAATTCAACATACAATAGGAGCGTGTAAAAGTTTTACACAAACAGATTACACACACTGGCATAATGAGATAATCAACGTCATTTACCAAACCCTAGCGCAGAAACACAATCTTATTGAAGACACAAACACTCCATATTATAAATATATTCCTCTAATCTACCCTAAAGCAATTGTATTTACATGGCTGTGTTTCGGTTTGAAAGGTAGGATACAAGTAACAGTGAATTTACAGGGTACAATGGAATAACACCTGAGTCCTCAGGAATGGCAACGCTTAGGGGGTATCATGGACGAAACAGTATAACTTTGTTATGGCTATAGACATGAGCAGTAGTACCATGGCTACTGCTCATGTCTATAGGCGACGGTTACCACTTTCTAACAGGTGGGCCGTCAGCTTGTTTGCCATTCTAAGTTGAATAAAAAAAATCGCGCTAAAAAACACATTGTCAATTTCATTACGATCAAGCCATACTTACCTACAGGACCATCCATTATAATAGACCAGATATAACCCTACAAGATAAACAACTTTATTATATTACAATTCCAACACACACATCCTCCAAAAAACTAGCTGTGAAAATAATAAATATACTAATCTTAAGGGTGAAATCACAAAAATATATAAACAAGATAAAGATTACATAGTATCGATAGTTCCCTCACCTACAGGTGTCATTCCTAACCATTTATACCATAGTCTAAAACAAATAGGTTTACGAAAAATTCTCCAGATCTCCCTACAAAAGGCCATATTGAATATTTGCAGAATTGTCAAAAAACTCTTAGATATAAATGAGAATGAATTAGTTACCCTTTATACAAAAGATACACACTGCAAAAAAGTACGTATTTACCAACCTTTTGACAGCAAATAACAAAAATACTGTTACTTTCATCATACCAATTACGATTGCACATTATGCTATAGTTTAATTTATGATAACAATACGGAGATATATACATATATTAGGGCGATATATAATTTATGATAATATACGTAAATTATATATTAGTAAATAACTTAATTTTTTTTTTCATCATTCCTGTAAGTAAATAGCCTTAATTTACTCAGTGGTAGAATTAGTATAAAAGTTTACGAATGAATCAATTTTTAAACCCAGTTCAATAATTCCTAAGATTATCCTTATTAATACTCATTATAAATGTGAAAATAAGTTGTTTATTCGATGATTATCTCTTAGCAGCTCCACAACTTCACCAATCGCTATGAAATTTGATATATATATATATATATATATATACACGTACAATATTGGATAGAAAAGGACATAGGCTACTTTTTATCCTGGTGAATGAGCATATCCCAATGATGCGGATGAAGTTCCGGATAAAACTTAGCACATTTATATATACGTACAAATTTACCTGCATATCATTTAGTACCTATATAGATTTTACGTTAAATCCAGACAAATGTAAAGTCATTGTAATGAATGCAAATATACCAAGTATTAAGCATGCATGTACCTGCCTACATATTTTATTTTCAATACGATTGGTCAGCGTCTGATGAATCAAGAACTTTATGCTTCTCAAATGTTTACACTTCACGTATTATAGTTTCAAGAAAAAATTTTGATTGAAGAGTACCTTGCTAGTTTATGACACGACCTAGTTATTTTATATATGATACTAATACAATTAATATACAGGCTAAGTTTAAAAACATTTGCACAGCTTTAAGAAAGTGTTGCACTCATAAAACAGAACAATTTTCCAAAAATTTACGGAAGGCTCACAATTTTGGAAAATATTTACTTTCGGCGGTCCAATACTTCCATAAATGAATGCTAATGTTTTCAAATCAACTTGTATATTACTATATTTTTGTAACTTAGGAAATGCTATTCAAAGAATTGGCATACAGTACGGCGATGTTGTTTATATATATTGCTATAACTACAAGAATGTGACATGCGACGTTACACCGCGCACCGTTCTTCTATAATAGGACACCAGCCGGTACCGACAGATACTTAACATAACAATAGGTATACAGACGCAGAGACAACACACTGTGCATATAGATATATACAGGCAACACGAGAAAGGTGTTCGACTAACAAACAGTACTGAATAGCTGAATACTCATGGCACAGAAAAGAAAGTACAAATCGTTTTGGAATACAAAAACAAATTCTGTTAATCCATAAACATCTATTTTTTTTTCTCATAGTGCAACATTTTCTTTAATATAGTTATAAAATGGTTTTAACGCTTTCATAATAAATAATTTACTGCAGAAATCAAATATATAGTAGTACCTTTGTTGCACAATTTCGCAACTTAACGAGTGAATGCTATATTCGAAAAGTTCAACTTTCATGTATTGCAAAGAGATGCAACGCAACTGAGTTCAATGACCACGACCACTGACTACTTTCGCTACATAATCACAAACTCTAAAATGGTTTCTATGGTTATACATAAAAGGGTACATAAAATAATCGACACTTGGCTGTCCATACAGTCTGTGGGACGAGACGATGCGCTGCCGACCTATGACTTATCCCTCCTCTACTAAAAAGTGATCGTTGAAGCAAGGTAATTCCATAAACGCTGCACAGTACAGGTACATCTTTGTTCTCAAGACATTTCGTAACTTTAGTTTAACCTTGCGAATCACGATAATATTGTTTAAATTGAATATACAATTAGATAGCTTACAGACAAATAAATCTAAATGATCAACTGACGTGCTTGTTGCATCTATTTAGATTTATACTATCTACATATCTTATCCAAATACCGATATTTATCTGGAATTCTTAAAAAGACAATAACTCCTACTGTACTTTGATTTTGACCTGTGATGTTACTATAACAAGTAACCCATTGTCTACAGGCATAGACGCCAATTAAAATAGCCTTCCGAGTCCTGAACTGTTGCATAAAATCACAATAACATTAGAAACGTGGCTTTGCGTCACTTGTTATGAGATTCAAGGTGAGCAAGTTGAGTTGGCTGCTGCCGAATACTGCCGCAGCGTGGCTGCGTGGCACCGCCGCCATCACGCTTTATACTAAACACAATGTAGGTAAGTCGAGTGTCAACATCCTACCTATCCTGCAAATACACAAAATATCATGCATGCATTATCAGCATTTATCTGCCATTCATTTCATGTCCTGCATCAAGCCGGGGTTTTTCGAAATCGTGAAGCTTGTAAAAACAAGGTTATCAGGTTTCACAACGAAATCTTATATTCAACTGGAGCAGATTACAAAAACATACTTAATTTATATGTTTCCGGGCATATTACATCTTCTAGTTCGTTCCGGTTATGGTAAAATGTTAGAACACATAAGATATCACTTCACTTTAAATTATTAAACCATTTTATACTAATTTAGAACAAACTTTTAGTAGTAACGATAAATTACGCCTCTAATCTACTACCCATTTCATTCTTATGTAAAATATAGTTATCATAATTTTTAATAGAGCAAAATTACATAAAATAATGTAAATAATAAATATCTGAAAGTATTCTATGTTAAATTAGTAAAATGTAATGTATACCTAATATTTTAAAAAGTTATATGCTATGAGAGGCAAAACATAGATGTAACTAAAAATATATACAATTTACACCTATTTAATTTCTCTACCTACGTTTTTGCAAAATAAATAATTTGATTGATTTATATATAAGTATAGTTTAATCAACAAAATCAAACAATATATAAAGTCGTATGTCACAATGTTAATTTATGCGAATCTCCGAAACCGCAAACTAATTTTAATGGAATTTTGTAAATGTGTGTTGATTACTTCAACTTGAGAGAGAGAGGGAGGATAATTTTTATTTTGATAGGGAACTTATAGAGAGCAAAATAATTTTTGCCGCGTTAGCTAGTTAAGTATAAAAATAATATAAATACTTTGGCTTTTTGTTTGTGTACCTTTTTAGGCAAGTGCTTGTCTAATGTACCGTTACCAGTACCTATAGAAAAGTTTCATTATGCAAAGAAAAATATAGCAAATAGCGAGTCTTGGACGTTTGATAAATATTTTACTCATTACTGTTTATAATTCCTCACAATACCTATAGCTCTCCAGTAACTAAAGCCAGTTAAACCAGATCTCAAGAAGTTGTAATGAATAATGCTGGCTCAAATCCTCCATCCATTCATAAGCAGCCTCTTTTGTCTCAATTTGCATTTGGAATATGGTTTGAATACGCCTGTTCTGTATTGCGATGAATATTTCCAATTAGTATAGAGTAATGCACAAGATCTTTTCAAACCATTCATATACCAATTCTAACAGCTTACATTATGAACAGGTCAGCAGAGAAAATAATGCGAAATACGAGTATTTAACTTTTTAACAAAAAAATGACTTCAATCCATTCAACCAAGCTATATCATAAACTTTATTATTTCATCTTATAATATATTTTGATAATCGTACTACTGTCTTAATTATAAACATTTAACATTTAAAGTTGTAAGAAAAAGCTTTTAAAAAAAGGCTGTTTTTTTATAAATACAATATATATTGTATCTGTACTGTATCTATATTCTGCATATATTTATAATCTGTATGCAATTTAAGAGTTTGTTATATTATGACTAAAACCATAAATCTAATTATATACATTTTTCATTTGAATACATACATATCATTTATACATATCAAAATATCAATGTCTGATACAGTGCGCATTTGGTCTCTTTTCCAGAATATACCAAGCTATTGTATCAATAGTCATAAAAAAATAGTGAAATACTTACCGCTAACAATCCATCGTTTCCGTACGCTCTACCTTCAAGAGCGAGTTCTTTGTCGAGCATAGCATCGAGCTGTTCCAGCTGGTGACAGGAGGCGCGGGCGGCCACCCAGCTGGAAGCGAGGATGAATGCTCCTAAGATGAAGGAGGCTGCCACCACCGTTAGCGCTGCGATCCTTGCTATCTGCACAGATGACGACACCCGATGCCGATACGCCTGTAGGAAAAGACATTTCTTGTTATAGTGTTGAATAAGAATACCTACAAAAGTTACAGTTTATTGCAAAATTTTATGTTGTTTTTAAGCATAGAACAATTTGTAAAAGTAGATGAAACATATGCCATGTTAGTTGAATATATGTAGAAGTCACCGGAACTCAGTTCTTTCTACTCTCCTGATCTCTTATAAGTAGTAGCCGCAATTCTTGAATGAATATGTTTATATACGATAATACCTATATTATAGTGCATCGCCTTATTTATTTATTTTATTTATTTTATGCTTTATTGACCACATTACAAAAAAAAATGTCTGGTACAAAAGGCGGACTTAATACTATATAGTATTCTCTCCCAGTCAACCTTTGGCAAAACAGAAACCTTCCTTTTGTCTTTTTCGTAATGTCCTCTACCCATGATTAATATTATTTTCCCCTCATTAATATTTACTGTATTTATTTTTTTTAACTTGGTGCAATATAATGTAAAATAAATAAATAAGTAAACCTTATTTCTCCAACACCCTGAAACCAACGCGGCACTGGAAACGTTTTCACCCTTATATGGTTGGCGTTCCACATATTCGTATGAAGCGTTTCGCTTTATCATTTTTTATACGAACATCCAAAGGGTGGAATGCTTTTCCGACTTCTGTGTTTTCAGATACCTTTAACATGGGGTCTTTCGAGGCTAAAGTGAATACGCATTATTTGAGTTTGCGTATAATGCCTTAGACTTCATCGTCACTTATGTGTAGAGGATATAAGTGAAAATGCTAAACGGAAACAATTTAGGCATCGATATGATTTTTTTATTTATAAACAATGAATATATTTCGCACTTGGTTTATAGACGTTATCATCATTCATCGTAACCTGTAGAAGCTATAACAATTTCCAAACGACCTAACTGATGTAACTCTCTTTGGATGTTTTTATTTTATCGTTCATCCGAAATTAGTTAACTAGAGGGAGATTGTACAAAAGTCGTTTGCTTCGTCACCTCTGTCCCATTTGTGTTTTTATCGTCAAGCAGTTGCGTTTGGATGGCTATGTTTCGGTTTAAAGGGTAAATAACACCTAAGTACTTAGGAATGGCAACACATGGGAGGTATCATAGGCAAAACACTAGACTCTGTTATGTCCATGGTACTGCTCATGTCTATAGGCAACGGTTACCACTTTCCAACAGGTGGGCTATCAGCTTGTTTGCCATTCTAAGTTGCATAAAAAAAATAGTTGTCATTAATGAAGTCATTGTTATCAATTTTTCAGAAGCACATCCACCTATAACAAATAATTTGAAGACAATTTTGAGATAGAAGCCAACGAATAAACATATAGCTGAGCTATGTAACTTTAGAAAATCTCTGTCAAATCTTGTCGACGCTCCTACTGTGAAGTTTAAAGACAAAAGATTATAGTCTGTGCTAGTCTATTAGAACCGTCTGCCTGTTAGTAGAAAATTTACATTAAAGATTACTCTCCAATTTCTATGGGTGTTCGTTAAAATAATCGTACCTTATAAGTAAAAATCACCATCATGGACAGCTTGGACGACCACTGCTTACTCATAATTGTAGGCCATATTGCAACAGGCTTACCAAAATGCTTGATATTTGCATACACTGTCAATATATTTTAAAGTTTTAAACTAAAACATTTCGACTCCATTATTGCTCATGACAAATTTTATATGTTTTATTCCATTTAGTTGTAATCCTCAAATATAATTTTTGTACAGCGTTGTGATCTTTTTTTACCATTTTTATCTGCATATTTTATATTGATTATATACAAATTATTATGATTTATTTAAAACAGAACAATATAACAGTCCGTTCTATATTATAGTCATTCTTATAATGAAGCAAAATATAATAATTATAGTATTTAATAATAATTTTTCTAATGCTCTTTGAACCCTATGATCGTTTAGTGCTCAGAAGTGAGCTTACATAATTTTTGCACTGTGCGGTGTAGTGATGCCGCGGGAAGGGGCCGGTCGGGCTGTGGTGAAAGTGCCTCCACGATTGCATTCGAGAAATCCATCATCTTTAGCGTGGTGCAAAACGGCGCCGATTTCAATCTAAACAATTTGTTTTGCTAAGGTGCGTACAGCTCTACTAATCCGTATCGCGACGTAGCAATTTTATACAAATCAGAGAAACTACAAGTACCTAGCAGTGATTTCTACTTGATATTAATTGTTAATTTATTAACTAGTTCAGTATTTTCAGGGATTATATTTATATTATTATCTTAGTATATTAGTTACAAAATAAAAAAAAATTAAGTCCGTTAAGATGCTTTTGAAAGTTAACATGACAATAAATAATTACAAAATTACAGTCAGAGAATTTTCTCAAAAAAATACCATAACTTGATATTATTTATCTCGGCTACTATTTAACTAACGAACAAATAGTCAATACTCTTGACTAACATCAGCTTCTTTGTACAGGGAGTCACCACAGACTTATGTGCGTTATGCAATGCAATTATTCTAAGGGACAAAAAAGTTCGCAATGAAATATTCTTCGTCTACTCAAGCCTTATCTTTACTAATATTATAAATGACATGAGTTTGTTTATTACCTTAATCAATCTCTATAAACGTACTACGTAAATTGAACATAGGCTACTTTTTATCCCGGTCGGTAAACATATCCCGCTCACAAGGACGAAGTCGCGGATAAAATTTAGTATATATATAAGCGCTAAGATACTAGACTAATAATCCAGTACTGCTATATTTATGGCCAACCTACATTTACGTCATTTCAAACTGGCTCTTACTAGAATTTAAACGTTTCTCATGTTTTGAATAACATGCTCTTCGAAATCACTATTAGGTGTTTAACTATTTTTATTTTACAGATAATTATTTGTAGTTTCTTATATAACAACCGGCTCTAACATTGTGACGAATATATTTACATAAGAAATCCTTAACATACCTACAGTATTTATATACATTTGTATTTTGTGTCAATATTTTGACTGCATTTTTATGCAATTTTTAAAACAAATATAAATTTTTATTTTCATTCAATAAAGATTTAGGGGGATTAGCTTGATCCACTTTATATATTTAGTAATATGTACAAACTAATTAAAAAATTAAAAAATAAATTCCTACCTTTAACCAGTAAAGAACAATCATTTTTAATAATGAATTTTTATAAAAATAGAACTTGTTTATATCCTTGAGTGAAGAGAAAACTTTTAGTTTGGAAGGTTTGTAATTGGAACGTTACAAATAAAAAATAGACGTGTGTGGAATAACTATAAACATGTAATGTCAATAAAAATTATTGTCGTGTCCCAAAATCTAGATGCATGCAAAAGCATTATTTAGTCAAATATATTCAATTTCTTTTAAATTTAAACCGGTAATGTGGGACGTTGCCAGCTTACGAAATACACCTCTTAATTAATTTTGTTGACTACATTTACCGGTATCTAAGAGTTAATCACCTAACAAATAAATACGCAAAGTTATTTTATCTCTGCTAGATTGAATATCACTACCGCTGAGTTTTTTTAGTTGAGACCGGGTCAGCAAACCACTAATATGTAACTCTCTATACGATAATTTGTACAACTACTGAAATATGCTTAAATTATTAGTTGTGTCCGGGCTTCATCCGTGTAACTAACACATATTGATTAACCTAGATAACAAGTAACCTATTTCCTTTTCTATCCCAAATACTTTTTCAGACTTCTAATAAAATAGTGTAAAGTACTTTTAATATATTAAATAATTTACGTAACATTAATTTTTTTTGTATAATAAAGACATATATAGAAGTGGTACACTTTTTGTGTTTAAAAATTTATCAATCGTTTCCACCGGAGGCTTGTAAGCTTAGTGTGAGTTATAATATTCAAAATTCTCCGTGTTCTATTTTGACAGACTAAAATACCAAAGACTGTTACTTGATTGCACAGGCCCTAAATAGAGAATATTAGTGAGTACGAAACAAGTCAGTCAAGTCCTTACGTAACTAGTGTTATGTTAAGGTACCAATACACATGCTAATTAAGTAACACAAAAACATGCTAATAATGAAGAAATGCTTGAGTATATACAATCTGTCAATATCATATACGTCTATGTCTGTGAAAATTTCAAATATGAGTATTTACTTTACTTTAAATTGTTATTAATAATATTGCAGAGACAGGCATGACAGATATGTAAATAATATTTTTATGTACATAATTTTTTTTTATTTTTATTTTTTTATGATGTAGCAAAGAGAATATTTTTCCTCAATGAGTCGATTTGGCGAATGTACTGACACAATCTATCGTATCCCTTGATTTATCACAAAATAGAAGAACATATACCATCGCTGACTAATCATCCCTGTGAGTCATTTAATACTTAGTTTATATGTTCATCGTATTACAAAGGTAAATAAAAAATAAATTTCGTATGCAGTTGGCATCCATAACGTGTACTGAATGTTTTTGTTCTGTACCTATAAGTACCGGAGCTCCTTGGTATTAAATTTTGCTATCAGATTTATACATCAAAAATAAACATCCGTGTGTAAAAATACTCGTACATTTAAGTATTAACTTATTTTTAAATTACAGTGTCGCATTAATGGTACGTCCATGAACTGATCACATAAAACGTGTTGTAAAACCTAGAGTCCACAATGGTAGAGCGAATTGGTATCTTTGTTATATAAATATGCCATATCATAGACTGTTGCAGTATGCCCCATCTTATCGGGACAATATTCTTAACATGGCCCTTGCTCTAGTCGACAGCAGAGCTTATCACTGCTCATAGAATGTGTTATAGCAAGATCTTTATTGCTGAATTAAAACAAGGACCTCCTGTCAATTTTTTATTTTTTCTTTGGTATCTTTTAAACTAACGTCAATATGTGCATGTATATATATGTTTGTGTAATAATACAAATACCTATTTTAAATATTAAATCGAACATAAATAAACAAATTATTGGCAATTGTCTTCGAAAGTCATTTATATCGTTGTAGTCATACAACGCAAAGAGTTACTTATTTAGAACATATATTTAGCTATTATAGATATGTTTAACTAATTAATATCTATATGTACTTTAAATTTCTTCAAGTATTACACCAATATGCAAATTCGAATGTGCCAGTAATGTCCGCTCACATGGCGCAATCGAAACTTAATCTATCCGGCTGGCAGTCATGATTTGCGATTTAATGTATGTATGTATCTATTATTTCGCTGCGTAATAGAAGGATCTTCGCTGGAGCGCAAAACATGTGACTTGTCAATTTTCCGTGTAAATAATAGTTTTTGTAAAGTCGCTAAAAGTAGGATATTACAGCAAGAGCAATAATAATCTAGTTTGCGGACGCGACGTTTGGTGAGGTCGAACGCGGCTGATGCGAAATGACGCAAGTGCCATTGTGTCCACTTGGTCAACTAACTAGTACCTACCTACCTAGGTATCTATCTGTTGAAAACCTGATTTCACTTGAATCGTTCACTTTATTGTTTACCTGTCTACTTGAAGGAAATCTTGCTCTAAAGTTTTAATTATCTACAAACATATCTATCTACTATAGATATATAGATAGATAGATACTCTTTATTGTTTCCTCCAAAAGATTACAATAGTAAACTTATTATAAATATAAATAATTACAAGAAATAATCACAATGAGAAAACAATGGGCGACCTTAGGTAACTTATTATTCTTTATAATGGGTTGTCTAAGCATGGAGTACTATTCTGTTACCCTAGCCAGATAAATAGATATTTGAAAAATACAATTAGTACTTTAACATTACTGCATGTACTTTAATGTCATAGGAGTCAACAAATTAGTAGCTCACTCATGAAAACAAAATTATAAATTTCTGATGTTCTGACGTTCATATAAGTAGATACCTAATAGCAGTCACTCTAGGTAAGTTAAATTCTTATTGTGAACAACTTGTTTAAACAAATGTTGAGATTCGCCTTTTATGCCATTGTTTAACAGCTGACTCAAAATATGGCGCAGTAAATTCTTTAACTAAATCGTTGTCATACAAAATCGGTATCAAGTTCATTTCATTCATACTTCGTATTGTATAACTATAAATATTTATATACCTTACAGGTTGCAATGAAACATTGGTCTATCTGATTGCAAGACGTTATTAAACCTGTACAATATGAGGAGCTAAATTATGAAAATTTGTTGCTAACATTTATTCTCGTTTGATATATACTGCAGTTTTGCTATTATGAATGTACTCGTAGGTAGTACTATTTCACAGTTTCAATTAATTATAAGCGGAATCACACGCTTCGTAACTAAAACTGTCAATGGTACGTACATAATCGCTAAACCGTCAGTTTCAATTTGTTACAAATGACTTACATAATCGAGCCTCAGAAGCATTACGTTGTCTTGTCACCCATTACATTTATGGTTTGTCGGATCAAAACTTTAATGGTAAATACTTTATTTACAAAGCCTTACCTTATGGTGCCCAAATAACAAACCACATTGCGAATCCTAAAACTAGTTATCTAATTAACCTATGATGCAGAGGTGAGGTTGATCTCTAGTAGTCCTATTGGGAACCATCATGGTTATTTACGGTAAATTAGCTATGATGGAATCGGCTGACTCAACCAGACCCTAATCTTTTATCTTCAATGTTTACCAGCCAGTTATCATGAACGGGTTCACCATTCCTGAGATTCCTCTTTAGATCAAATGCTACAATGCAATGTGATTCGGATGCATTTTTCTGTTGATAGAGTTAGCTGCGTGTTCGTAATTTGTAGTAGGTATAATGTCATAGTGACGAAATACGAATATTATGAGTATGTACTATTTTATATGACCATCTATATCCGTTTATATATTAGAATTTTCTATATTTACTTACCTGTATTTAGGTAAATATGTACTATTAATCATTCTACGTTTATGTACAGCACGCAAACACTATAGATAAACCATTGATGAAATTGCAAGATAATTAACTATGGCCAATTATAATAGGTGGCCAAGTACAAAAGAACAATGCGTTTCCCACATTCATACGTGCGCCCACTGTTCTCGGAAAAGGAACGTATCTTGCATTGCATTCATCTAAGTAGCCGTATTATTTCCTTATTTAGAATCTTTTTTTTATTTCATAACAATTTGTTTCTTCTAGAATCATAAATGATTAATAATGTAATGCTCGATTACATACAGACAATATAAGTACAAACCTAATTAATTAGCGCTAGTACTTTGTTATTGTAATACAAAAATAATAATTAAAAAATTTAGATATTATCGAATTTAAATGGGTATATATATTTATTGTGACAATAGCATAAAATTTATTATGTTGTACGTATGGAAGTAGTTATACAAGTATAACATAAACATTAGAGAAAGCCAACGATTAAATACAACAGTGAATGATGCATTACATTATTGGCTTTTAAACGTATGTACTTATTTAATTCAACGTCTTAAATTTAAGTTCAAACGAATTTGTATAAATTTTAGTTACCATATATTTTTTGCAACTTAAAATGGCAAACAAGTTTATGGAAAGTGCTAACCGTAGCCTATAGACATGAACAGTGCCATGAACATACTGTGTTCCCCATGATACCCTTCATGCATCATTATTGTAGAATTTACAACCACTAGCGTTTTAAATATGAAAATAAATAGTACCTATCTGTATATTATCCCCATAAAACTGTTTGTTGATCCAACTGTAAACCGAAATAGACTTATTATATGTAGGTAAAATAATACATTTAGTTTGTATGTGACATTTAATATTTTTGGAAAATATAAGACTTAAATACCTGTTTGTAAGTTTGAAAAGAATACAACCAAATTGAGAACCTCCTCCTTTTTGAAAACCATTAACATGTTTAAAAATATAAGTGCATAAGTGCCTACTTCAGCTTTTATTTCACACGAGCAACTGAGCATCGCTTACAATTTGATTAACTCGTTAGGTCTAAATTTCGACACACAAGAACACACATATATAAATACCTACCAGCTATTAATAAAAAAGTTTAGGCATTATTGCAAGTGACAACAAAAATATGTGGACTGTTCAATCATTATGTTGCGCACGATCAACACAACACCATAAAATCATTATGGTCGTGTCTATGTACAATATGTATTCACTACAATACATACTTAGATACTTAAATCAGTTATATAGCTATTGGCTATTACATGCCTAACTCAGCTAGATATCTTTCTAAAATTCCATTTTGTTGACGTAAATATATAAAATAGATTAGTACTTTTTATTCAATTTTATCATTGACATATTAGGCATATATATATATATGAAAACTGGAAACGTAATTTTTTTGCAGTTATATAAACATTAGTCAAAAAATTAATATCTTTTTTTACTAAGAGGATGGCAGTCTATCTTATTTAAAGATATACATCTGCCTGATGATAAGTGGACATCACAACCTATAAAAATGAGCAACTCCAGAGGCATTTCACGGTGGTAAACCTTAGAACGCTTTCTAATACAATAAGTAAAGATAAATAAATCTGAATTTTAGCGACTCTAGAAACGTAGGTAGAAATCTTACATCATTAAATAACGTGACAAAACTATTGAATATATTCTTGTAAGATGTTGTGATCTTGCATACTTATATATGAAATGAAATAAACGGTGTGCTGTCGGTAACCGGCGAACACTGATAGACAACCCTATGTTTATAAACAAGCAGCTATGCGTGAGCGGGTTCGCAGCCGCTGCAACATGAGAGAAAGGCGCTTTCCCGCACTTATACTGCACTTAGCCTACTACAAAACAATAATTTTAACCAGTTTTATGAACTCATTAATTATTTAAAACTATTGTCGGAACAATTATGTATGTTAAAATAATTTCATTCGTGAAGGTTGTATTTATAAAGATTATTCCAAATATCAATAGATTACCATTTTTTTGGAAAGTCACCTTTATATAACAAGTAAAGTCAGGTGAATACTGATATAATTTTCAAGGAATCACATAAAAGTTTGAGGTCCGGGTGACGTCTGACGTACTCAACATAAATTACAATGAATAACGGGTAAATCATACCGGTGGCGGTTCCGACGTGCTGTATACTTCAGATGGTGGGTATTCCGGTTTCATGGTAATGGTCGCCATGGAGTCCGGCTGGTGCTCCTTCTCCATCACGAAATTATAATCTTCACAAAAAAAAATAGGTTTTCTCGGTTGCGCGCGCTTTGTTTGACGATCGAAGTAGAAGTGCGGCGAAGTCAGCCGAGTGAATGGTTCCGAGCAATACGAGAAGCGTAGGCGCAACCGTGGTGGGGTCGACCATCGTTGCGCTCACTTGGATGTAGATGGAGGTGATGGGGAGTGGTGACAAATCAGGGGATCTATTCATATTATAGGTAGGTATAGATTTATTGTTCATTTTGAGCCATTGAATGCTACACTCTCTCTTAAAATGGCATAAACTTAATTAAGAATATTTTGAACTTTCAGATATATCACATATCTACCTACTTACACGTTTCGATCTTATCTACATTATATTTACCTCATGTGAAAGTTATAACTCTAAAAACTTTAAATTTCGTAACGAGTAAAAAGAAAATCTATATCATGATTCCAGTGTTAGATAACAAAAACTTTCAACAGTTTTACAAGTACTCAAATATCCCTATATAATTCTTGCTATAAGTACTAAGTAGAAGATTTTTTAATTGGTGATAATGAAATGGTAACCTCACCTGCGTTATCGGTATACTCTGGCAGGGTACGAGTAAAAATGGTGAAACAGATCAATTTATAAGGAACTAACCAAGATGTTTTCAGGGGAACCGCATGGAGGTCGATCTGATAGGGTATATTGCTAGCGATGGGGTTGTTAGATCCTCATTACTAATAATCCCTTTCTCCTAAGTAGAGGAGATAAAAGAGCCCACCTGACACAAATAATAAAATAGGATTCACTTTACGGAACCTTTTTTATGCAACTTAGAATGGCAAACAAGCTGCCGGCCCACCTAATGAAAAGTGGGAACCGTCGCCTATAGACATGAGCAGTACCATAGACATAACAGAGTATACTGTTTCGCTCATGATAACCCCCATGCGTTGCCATTCCTGAGAACCCAATTGTTATTCCTCTGTACCCTGTGAATTCACTGCCAAATCCCTCTCTTCAAATCAAAACATAGCCATAAAAATACAACTCCTTCACGGTAGAGACACGAATGGGACAGAGGTGCCAAAGTAAATGACTTTTGTACAAAGTCTCCCTCTGGTTAATACCTTGGACTAATACCTTCCTACGTTTATATCAGAAGAAGGGGCGATTTATCCCTAAGGCAAACTAGGTACATGCCTAGAAGCATGATGTTACAAAGAGGCGGGCGCACAAAACTTATTAACAAGGAAAAAATATATAAAATTAATTGTAAATGAGTACCTATTTACACAATATAAAATTTTCTCAAACATTAATATAGCTTTAAGAACGACAGTTACCAATTGCATTTGTTAGATATTTATTTTAAATTATATTAATTTTGTTAAACATCTTGTGTTAAAATGTGTACCTACATTTATTAATAAAAATCAGACTAACTACTTTAAATATAATAAAACGTTAAAATTGTTATTATACCAAATTTGGTAATAAATTATTCTAGTAATGTATATAGAACAGTATTTATGATGAATTCATCACGAATTAACCGTGATAGTTTCCAGGGGGAACCACGAGGAGGTCGACCTGGTTGGGTATATTGCTAGCAATGGGATTTTTAGTCTCCATTACTAACAATCCCTTTCCCCCCGTATCTAAAGTTAAGACGAGTATACCGTATCCACCTCAGAAATATCTGGTGCCCAACCCAGGATATAAACCTAGCTTTCAGCTATGGCCAAAGACTTATCTAAGAGATTCATATGCGCCTTTTGAATGGGCCAGTCCAGGAATGGTCAAACTTGAACTGCCTCTATATTATTAGACTATGATCAACTGACTCAGAGAGGCTCCAAATATATGTGATGCAGTAATGTCTAGAGCACGCCTGAGCCAGGCTATCCCTGAATATAATTAAAAAAAAATACACCAACAATTATCTAATATAATAGTATAGTAGGAAAGGGAACGTTAGTAATGAGGTCTAAAAGGCCCTTTGCTCAGGTTGACCTTTACGCGGTTTCCCCCTGGAAACCATTGTAGGTAATTCCTGTCAAATTCCTCATCATGAGCCAACTAACATGGATTCATCCTCACCTCGCCGTCTTTCATTGATACCGCTCTAGTATATAAATATATAAGTTATATAAGTACATATAAGTACTAACAGTGCAAGCGAAGTTATCATTTTATTGTCGCCCATAAAAAACATACCATAGTATAGGTAGGTGAGTGCCCTAGTGAGTGTAAGTGACCATAGTAGTATGGTCCCGGCATAAAATACGCCACACCTTCTTTTCCAGGGTGTCATAAGAGGCGACTAAAGGAACTCAATAGTCGAAAGATTGGCAGCAGCGTCCCTATTAAAATATCACCAATGCCTAGCTGTGTTTGCCAACCCGCCCGCCAAGCATAGCAACTACTAGCAAAATCATCTTTATAGAAGGGGTCTATGTTCAGCAGTAGACAGTTAACGGCTGATATCATGATGTTAAGTAGGTGAAGAATTATTAGTGCCTAATGCGGGCTTTACCTCATTCCTGCTATCTATTAATTTAGTACTATCCATTAAAAAAGTGATTAATTCCTGGTAAATATGTCAACTGAACTGACTTCCTCGTCTTTGCAAATTTCATTTCTAGTTCCTGCCATATTTATACTTAGATTTATACAATAACCCCATTCACCCCATTTTAGAATAATTAACAAACACGTCAATGACAGTGACGGCCGATATCTGTCATTGTCAATTGTCAAAATATTCACAGTGAAAATAGGTACTTACATCGAGATCAAAAATTCGTCAATTGTTATTAATTTACACCGAAAATCAACTTCAGTTATTTTCGTTTATTATTATATTGTTCTAAAACCATAAACAGCCATAATGTCAAGCTCTGGTAAAGGGACTTTTCAACCGGTAAGTTTATACACAACCATTAAATTAGGTTAGTTTCTACCTAAAACCAAATGTTCTCAATTGGATTTATCAATTGGATTTGGTGTATTTCAGGATTCTGATGTTCACATATCATACGAAGATCAGCAGAAAATAAATAAATTCGCTCGTCTTAACGCTAAATTAGATGATTATAAAGATGAACTTAAAGTTAAACAAAATGATATGAAGAATTTGGAAGAAGCTGTAGAAGAGCTAAGTCTTGCTGATGACTCAGAGAAAATTCCGTATTTAATTGGAGAAGTATTTGTTTGTCAGAGTCTCGAAGACACTTTGGTAAGATTTAATGAATAGTTGTTGAAAATATCTTTATAGTAACCTTTCAGATTTCTTTCTTAATTTCTTATATATTACTGGGTTAGAAAGTATCCTTTTCCTTCTCAAATACTATATGTATACAGAATTTCATGACAATTGGTTAAACTATTAAAGCACCTTTATAAGGGTATTCATGTATATGTACATAAATATATAAGAGTATTTAGAAATGGTATAATTTTGTATGCTTCACTTCTATAAATTCAGACAAAGAACTAGGAAACACTAACTCTGAAGAATCTATCTCTGGGAAGGAACAGAGGAGACAATTACCAATACTAAATATAAAATACTATCCAAATACCATAATATTATTATACCAGATTAATTTTAACTTGTAATACTAATATTATAACCTTTCAGATATCCTTAGAAACTGCAAAAAGTAAAAAGGAAAATGAAATAAGTGAATTAGAAACTAAATGTGAAGAACTTAAATCACAGATGAGTGAATTAAAAGCACATTTGTATGGCAAATTTGGTAGTCATATAAATTTGGAAAATGAAGAAGATTGAAATAAAAATACTGTTTGCCTATTAGACACATATATTTTGCTGATAACACAGATTTTTGTATTAATTACTTGGAGTACACAATTAACTTCCCTATGCTTTTAAGAATATTTATTTGTTCAGTGTCATGTATTAACATAAAATATCAATATAGGACACTAAATTACTCTACTATAGCTTTTTATTTATATTGAGCCATCACAAGTATTATAATCATGATCATTAAAATCCTGAAATAGTTGACAGAAGATATCAATAAATGTTACAGTCTTAATAGAAAAAAAGCAATATACCCAGTTGGATACGAAATACACAGTATTATACATAAGCATATTTTAAGAAATATTACAGTGTATTTAGTACATGAATCTTTATCTGTGGTGAGAAATAAAACATTAATGTTAACAATACATAAATGTATCATTAGATAATTATTTTTCCTTTCAGTCATCTCTATTAATTTATTCTTTATTGACCACATTACAAAAAATAATTGGTACAAAAAAGATGGACTTAATGGTATTTAGCATTCTTTCCCAGTCAACCTTTTGCAAAACAGAAATGTAATTATGTAGTGAAAAATTTAAAACTGTTATAGATCAACAATAACAAATACTGACTTACTCTATCTTGAATTTATAACTGTAACAATACCAAATTAACAACATAATTACTGTATTTATATTTGTTATTGTTATAAAATTTGCTGATGATAACTAACATCAAACCAAAAGCACTCGAATATTATTATCTTTATTAAAATTAATTTACAGAATTTTTATAACATTATTAGATTTGTAACAAGGAAACTGACCTCAATTGTAGCAAAACCAGTTACTTTAAAAACTAAATTACTGAACTGATAACTGAAAGTAATCTTTTAAAAAGAATTTTCCAAATTAGTTTATGAATGACAAAGTTTTGAGGTAACAATCAAAAAAAAATACAACCAAATTAAGAGCTTCCTTCTTTTAAGAACGCAGTTTAAAATAGGAACATATCATTTGACTAATAAAATACATTTATATACTTCTTCCATTTGATCTAAAAATAAATATAAATTATATAAACACTGATAATACTTTTTTGTATTTAATGGTTTATAATCTGATAGTATTATATATATAAATAACAGAACCAATAATTCTATATTTTCAAGATAAGACGATTAAAAAAATCCAATGTATTATCAAGACAATTCTTAATAAAGTGATCCGTCAAAATTGGTCTATTATCAAAAATTTTTATATTTTACTGAAAATAGGTGTAATCTTGCGGTAGGAGATATCATCAGTTATTTGATTAGAATGATTTTGTTTATCTCTGCTACCATTAGTGTGTATAACTGCCAAGACCCAAAGATTAATCACCATCATTACTACCAGAAGTTCTACAACTTTCCATATTAACCCTCAATCCCTGACTGCCATTTCGTCCAAGCACGTCTCGTGGCACATGTTTAACCTGTAAACGAGGCATTTTCAGGCAAATTAACGCCAATGCTTAATATTGTTATTGATTGAATTAAAAAAAAAAAGTTGGATTTGGTGTAGTCAATGGACATTCCTGGCCATATAATTTTATCCATCATCAACTAGTATTAATGTGCCGGTTCGTTAAAAATGTATATTCGCGCATACAGGTACAAGTACGGATACGGCCTATTACTTTTTTATAACTCAATACCTACATTTAATTTACTATTTTGGTAACTGACATCAATGTTTAAATATTTAATTTTTGCAACATAAATGTGCTAAATAGGTGATTTTAAGAAATACAAAAGATGCATTTAATATCCGCCAAAAAGTAATGTAAGTATGTATGTAACATTTCTCTTTCTGATACCCGCGGATACGAATACGAATAACTAGCAAATCACCAACACAACACATTAAAATTATATACTACAACCGCATGTGTCCGTGCTTAAACATAAGTGTAAGTAGAGCAACCTTGTTCTCTATGGACAATGTTACTGATCTGTGCACGCATATATAATAAATTGTTTATGTTTACTATAGTTTGCAGTTTGTCATATTAGTATTTTGTATATAAATACGGCCAAATTACACTTATTTGTTACAATATCAGATACAGATGTATTTATGGAGAACCGTTTTGATTGTACTTACCCCATAATACAAGAGAAACGTCTTTTTAACAGCCAGACCTGTAGAAAGTAACCTTAAATACACCAATAATTCCAGTAAAGAATTTTTCATTTGTATTTTTTTTTTTAATGTAGTAATGACGTAATAACGTCATGGTCAAAAATAACCGATTTTATCGTTTATTTCTAACAATGCCAATGATTCTTATAGTAAACACTGGCAACATTAAATACATAACTTTTTATAATACAACTTGAAAAGAAGTATTAATTTTTTAAATTAAAAGTAATATACACATAAAAGCCAAGCTTAAGCTTGTAAATCAATAACAAAAAATTTTATACATGGGCTTATACAATTAGATTCTATCCAAAGCCCAAAAATAATTGTAGGTACTCAATTTATAGTCACACTTGCAATTTGTGACTTTATATACATATAAATAATTAAAGCTACTCAACAACATTTTAAAATCAACTATAATAGAATCTGCTATTTCTTGTCTATTTGTAAAAAATCCTGATATTTTTACTAAAGTAATGAACAATTAAATTAACAAAATAAAAACTATTTTAAATAATTATTTATAAGTTTTTTGTACATTGTTATCTGTATACTTATTTTTAATCATTTGTTTACCAAAAAACAGGAAAAAGCAGATTACACTTATCTTACTTATTTATGCGTACAAATTTACTTATCCTAGCTAAATCACATTTAATATGCATTTTTAGCACAACCAATACCTGGAAATTATAAATTAAGGATTTCGACTCAAAGCGTTAATACAATGGTTTGGTATAAAAAATTATTATCACAATCACTGACTATAATTTGATTACGCCCATATGTTAGCACTGAAAATAATTTATAATTATGAAAGAGTTATAATACGAATCACAGAAACAACAATGACGGACGCAATAATTTCATTAACACCGAGTCCATTAATACTAAATAAACAGAATATCAAATATGAAATAAAATATTTAAAATATTTTTGAATGATCATTTAAGATACCCTGAATAATCTTCTAAAACCTTAATAGTGCAATAGGTTCTTATTAGTATATCACTGATATTTTTTAATTGTAAGGTAAAACATAAGTGTATTTTTGAATACTTAAAATCGAATTACATTTAAAAATATATAATGATATTATTTAAAAGGTTCTTCTAAGTATATTTCAGTGAAAATATCGTCAAATATTTATACATAATTGCATGTCAAAAATTACAAATTAAAAAATTGCACAAAATTTCTAAATTATAATTTATACTATGCACCTATATTACAATCCAGCTCAAACTCCTCTTTGAAGACTGCTATGGGAATTTGAGAGAGAACTTTGTTGTAAGCTTTCTTCCTCATCTGTTTCTCGATCATTTGATATTCTTATAGCTTGATACCATTGGTTTGTAAGATCTGTCATTTGACTTTTACAATCCTTAAGTTCCTAAAATGAAAAAAAATATTTCTGGTCAAAGAAATATATAACATGTCTATTAAGCTATACTACTCATAATTAAAATACAAAATTAATACAAATCAAACTATATTATAAACTTAGTAATGGCAATTTTTCTACAACTCTGCCCACACAAATCCATTATCTCACTTTCTATCTTCTCTTTTTTTCCTATAACGATAAAATATCTTGTCCTACCCACAATGGATGACAACTCTGTGGTGTAATAATAGGCAGTTTATTTTTCGTAAGTTTCGATTCTCGACTGGGTCAATTAAGAAAAGGATCTTGTCTAAATTAACTGTGGTCTGGATATTTTTGAACCACCTAGACTACCAACCAACAGGCTTCTGGAACTTAATACACCCAAATGATCGTTAGTGGTCTCATAAAACAAGTTATATTTTACCTTGTGGACCAAATGGTTAATACGATTGTATGGCTTATGATTAATACAGAATATTGTTTGCTAAAACTGTCACATAATCAGAAAATACCACAGAAGCGATAGTGTGATTAAATTCCATTTCAGACAAGCTGTGCAGACTACTAAACTAGAAACTTAAATCATCCCGTTTTCAAATAAATATTATCTCACCTGATGGGTAAATCTTCTTGTAAAGAATGGTGTCAAATATTTCATGTCTAACCTCACAAAGCCTCGTAGTCTTGTCGCATGTGAATAATTAACCTGTAAACCATATAATTTATCTATAAAGATAATTCATTATTATTTTTATAAAAACTTGTTGAAATATGGGCATGTCCAGTATTGACATTTGCAACAAGGACAGAAAAATTTTCAAAAATAATATATAGTCTGTGTTACTCGCTCAAAATGTAGCTTCCTATGAGTGAAATAATTTTTGAAATCAGTAGAAGAGTTTGAGTTTATCCAAAACAAACAAACATTATATTATACAAACATCCTCTTTATATTATTAGTATAGATAAATAAATGCGCTTACAACTATCATCTTACTACAGATTATAAATGTAAGCATATTTTATTTATTCATAATTATAACTCTGTTTTATTGTTTGAAAAGATTTTCTTCAATCAAATGATAATATTTTACAAAAGTACATATAAATCTATCTCAGTTAAGAAAAAACAGCAATAATGATATTTTCAGAAAGATTTAGTGCAAAAGAGAGTTATAAAAATAAATAACTGTAACATCAAAATATTTAATAATAATATTTACAAATTTAGATGTGAATATCTATCAATGTATGAAATAATATAAATAATTATGATAAATTTTATAATTTTTACATACCTCCAATTCTTCCTCAGTTATCTCTGATAGATGTTCAGAATCGATTGCTTGACCCCATTCTTTGGTCTTTGATAAGCTTACCTCTTTTTGCTTTCGTAAAGATCGTGAACGTTTCGTTTTCTTATTAGCCTAAAATATAAAACAAATGAACAACTGATATGCCAATCAGTGTATTTATTAAATGTTTCCTATTTCCAAAATTAATCACAAAATAATACTATTATAGCTTTACTATATTAAATATTCGAATTGTTTCCTAGAAACTGAAGGATAGGTATTATCGTAAAGTGACAAATAAGCTTTACACTTATTTCAGTTTTAAGAAAAACTAATAACCAACAAATTAGATATATCTACCGTTACATAATATATGAAAATATTTTAAACACATTTGAAAATTCTACTTTGATTTCCATCGGATTGAGTTATTGAAAGAGATATTTTTCAATCTATTAACCATAATACTGCACGTATAACTGTCGAATTAATATTGAAGACTTGAAATTTTGTCGTTTTTTTTTTTTTAATTTTGGATTTACAAAATTTGTTTTAGTTTGTTCTACAGAACAGATAGTCTTAGTGTTACGTACAGATAACGATTTCGATTTATAAATAAATACCGATACTGATACTCACTCGTAAAAACTTAAGTAACGGCATTGTAGATCCACCAAAGAATAGTGTAGTGAATAATACTATGATAAGTGTAGTCGTTATAATCACATGACGGGTTTCATCAGAAAAACCAAGATGCAAGGATAAAGCGTAAGAAATAGCCCCACGTAATCCTGAAAATATATCCTTTATTATTAGAATGACTAAGCCTTCTTCATTGATTGAGCAATAGTTACTCAATTAATTTGATGATATGAAAATTAACAGAATTAAGTATAATTATCTACAGCGTTACAAAAATACATTAGTAATATTAGATTATTGACTCGTTATATTGTACAATATCCATTCATTTTACAATAGACAAAAAAATATAATTTTGTTTTAAGCATGCAAAAAAACTGCTACTGTAATATGACTGTTTAATTAAATCGTTATTTAAGTCTTATAAGTATAGAAGACCTTAATAAAATTATAAGATTCAGAGATTTTTACATATACATACCACTAAACCACATTATAAACATCATTTTTTTAGTGATCTTGTGTTCACGGAATTTATTGCATAATAAGGCCAAAGGAAATATATTTGCAGCCCTACCAAGGAGGCACATCACTATACTCCAAACAACTAGTGCCGGTTCCACACGGTGTCTGAAGCTGAATAGAAAATAGAACATGAATAATATGTATGGTCAAGTTTATGAAAAACCCCATAAAGATCTAAAAATGAAGAAAATCTACTATAATCAAAATAATATACCTTAACTTATACTGTAATAATATTTAACAAATTTTTATATTTATAAGTAAGCTGCTATATCGAAATTAACACTTCAAGTGCTTATTCCGACTGGGGTATAAGAAAAAAATTTGTACCGCACTTTAGATAGTGTGCATTTTTACTCATATTTATAAATTGCATTTTGTCCCATTTTTAATGCTTTTTTACTATAATCTTGTATACTATTGTTTATAAATTTTGTCTTTATGATGTTAAAATCAAAATGACTTTTTTAATCATTTTAATATAGCCTTTTTAATTTCTTATCCTTTTTTTTACAATACATAATGAGTGTTGATTTAGTAAATTACCTTATTATTTAATGTTAATATTTGATTTGTATTAAGTTAAAAACATATATATATTTGTACAATAAATGTTAGATATTCTGAGCAGACACCTTAGGTGCACCCGAGGGGTTAAGATCTCAAAAAATAATTTATGGTATACCTGAATATAGCTAATCCCAGGTAAGCAAAGACACAAGTCTCAGCTATGAAAGCTAATGTTCTCATTGTTTGCTGCATAGTGACTTGAGTGACAGTAGAAAGGTTAAAATGTGTATAATGGGACATTACTATCCCACAAAATAATATTGCCATTATCCCTGGAAAAAAAAACAATTCTTAATATACTTTTGGAGAAATTAAGCCAAGAACAAATTCAATCATGTTTAAACTGTAGAATGAGTTTGATTGAAACTTGATACAAATATTCTTGATTAACACAAAGGATATTTTTATGCAAATCTAAGAATAAATCAATCTATTCAGCCTTAGGATTAACTAATTATCCATTCCACAGATTATTATTAATAATTATTTACCTTATATTAATTTTAATACTATATATATGTATATATATATAATTTACCTGATAAATGGATACCCTCAGCAAGCACATACGGAGCATATGTAAATACCAACATCATACCAAACTCTAAGGATGGATTTTTTCTCAAATCCACATGCTTCAACAATAGTGCACTAACTAATGCAAATAATACTCCAATACCAGCAGATGCAAAGAACATTAGCCAGAAACGATTTATGGCTGATAAAATGGCTTCACCAGTTGACATATAAGGATCATTAGAATCTAAGACAGCAGTAGTCAGGACAATTGCTACTGCATCATTTAATATACTTTCACCAAACACTAACATGTTCAGTACTGGATCCACATCCAGAGCATGAAAGATTGCAACTGTTGCTACAGGATCCACAGCAGATATGAGTGATCCAAAAGCAAATGACTCCACAAAACTCAAACGGTATACCACTTGAGCCAAACCTAGCAAGTAAATGCCTGCTCCAATTACAAATGCAGATATAGCAGTTCCAACAATAGCAAACAATAATATTGAGCCAATATTTTGAAAAAAGTTGCCTTTGTGCAAATTGTATCCTGATTCAAATATAATGGGGGGTAAAAGTACTAAGAAAAAAGCTGTTGGTGAGAAGGCTTCTTCTTTTCTCCAATTTGCTATATTTTTGATAGACATAAGATTGATAACCATACCAATTAACGCACCAAGGAATACAATTACAACACTTTCAGGCAAATATGAGAAACCAGTTTGCAACATAAGATGAATCAATAATATTCCCAATGCCAGTATACAAAGAACAAAAAATATTGCCATTGAACTATTGTGCTCATCTTCTGCAGAACTCTTTTCAGGCAAGGGTGCAGCGTCTGAGGGGCTTGGTACTGAAACATTTGGAGTTATCGATGATGTTACATTTGCTTGCACCAACAGAAGTGAATTGTTGGATGTAATATTTTCATATGAAACATGTGAACTTTCAGTAGAAGAACTAGGTATACGTGCTGATGAGTTTGAAGTATCCACCACAGAGCTTGGTTCACTTGAACTGGTTACTTTTGTTTCGCTGGATCGCTTTAACCTTGACACTCCTCGTACATACTGATTGTGATTATACTCTGAATTTGTATTATCATATATAAAATCTGCTTTTTGTTCATATCCCCATGATACATTAAATAGGAACACTATACCTAACCAAAGGATTTCTTTTCTAATTAATTGCAACATCTTGGAATTCCAGTAATTTTTAAACCTAATAGGAATTGTTCCAAGTAATTTATTTAGCAGCCAACAAAACACTAATAAGTAGAAATAAAGAGGTATCTGAGAATATTAACATTCAACTGTATTATAATAAATTCCACACCAAAACCCCTAATATTATCAATAAAAATATTAAAAATCAATCAAATCGGCTGCTTACGAATTTAAGATATAGTAAAACATAGATTAGAGAAATCTAAATGTCATTTTATGTAGATAATAAATTAGGAACAAGTCTTTTTAAAAGAGTTGACCGTCTACGGAGTATAAACTAGACTATATCTAGCAACATTGATTAATTAGTTGGTAACACAGAAACGAGCTTTCATAGATTAGATAGCCCATTGCATAAATTCGCTTGCTTGTTTGTCTTCATATATTCACTCTACTCTCAGTGAATTTCTTTTTATTTATAGTCGAATTAGTACAATGGATTCAGCTTTACGTGAACAAGTTATGATAAATCAATTCGTATTAGCGGCAGGTTGTGCCCAGGAACAAGCAAGACAGTTATTACAAGCTGCTCATTGGCAATTTGAGGTAAATTTCATAATATATGTAAACAAACAGTATCATGAAATGGCTGCTATATTTTGTTTTGCGATAGCTACAAGTATTTCTTGAGATCCGGAAGTGTTAATTAGTATAAAATGATTTACAATTTCCATAGAAGATAATATTTGTTTTCAAACAACGTAAGATTAGTAATATTAATAATATTTACTTTTCTATAGTTAAATGTGTACATAAGTAGACACTAGATAATGTATACAGGTTGCTATTTAATTTAGCACGCAATAGCTGCCAATATTTATGACAAGTGACAATTTTGTTAAATTAACTTACTTTGCATCTATTTTTCACTTATTTTCTTGATAATAGAATACATCTATGCATAAATAATTAAATATCAAGTTGTTAAATTATTGTTATTGTTATTAAGAAAATAAAAAACATAACCTTCAATACAAACAGTTGATAATAATATTGCCCTAAATTCATGTTATCTGCATGAATTTATGCCAATATTTAGATTTATTATTATTACTATACTTTTCATTCACATTTACTAAAATATAATTTATTTGAAGTTTGCTAATTATAACATGCTGTTATTATAGCTATTACTGGTTTGTGATTTTTTTAGAGTCGATCAAATAGACATTTTTCAATTGTACTGTTGTGATTTGCATTTAGTAAATGAATTAAATTTCATTTGTTCACTATTTACCCCTTATTCATAAAAATATCAAAAATATTAAAAGTATTATGTATAGTCAGAGGTATAATCTTTTTAGATGTATATGTTATCATTTAATTATTATTAATTTAACACCAATTCACAATTTCTATCAGACATTCAATCATTGACTGGAAGATATCTCTTTTATAGGATAAGTTTGCCATTGTACTCAATCTTAAGAACTCTACCCTATAATTTAAAATTTTACTGTACAAAAAACTGCCAACTCTGACAAGCTGTTAAGAGAAATGGACTGTTATTGAATTTTTCAATAATAATAATTAAAATTCAATAACATACTTATATATATAATACTACTACCATAATTGTGATTAACATTGGATTGAAAACACATTGAAAAAGGTGGGAATTGTTAACTTGGCAATTTGCTGAAGAATAAAACTGAAATTAAAATACTTTACGCTGGCAGAAATGGTCATTAAAATAAAGACCGATTGCTATTACTATGCCAAAGAAAAGAAAAAAAAAGGATCTCAAACAAATGAACCTCTCTCTATTAACTTAATAGTTAAAATACATTTAGGGGTTGTAAGTTTATGAACATATAAGGTAGTTAAAGAATATATCTACAAAAAAAATATTTGTACCACTATACATTTTACACAATGCCATGTAGTCCTAAACAGAACTTGTACTTTGAATACTAAACAACTGATAAAAATACTTAATACTTTTTTATAAATACATACATATTGTACTTAGAAAACACCAAGACTAATACCAACTCCAAGACAACTCACGAATACAAATGTTTGTATTATGAGGAGTTCAAACTTGTACATGACACTTTATATCAAACAGCTACACCACTAAGATTAGAGTTTTGAAATATTAACAGTCTATGTTAATCTGTCTTATGTTGTATTATTATTATAGAGATAAAAGCTTTGTTGGGCAGAAAAACCTGTAACACTATGACCTCTGTGATCTATTGTGTTCATCCTTTTTTAAAGTTTGATCCTAATTCCTATCATTTATAGGAATATTATGGTGTTCTTAGCAGCAATGTTTTTTTATGTCCTCAGAATATGAGGTGTATTTTCCAATATAAAAGATATTTATGCATAAAGGGACTGCAGCCACAGTAGTTTTTGGGCATTAACTTACCTGGGCCATATGGTTATATAGTGTCCAGTGAAAGCCCTTTTCAATATGCAAATATTGTTTTTACTCAAAAAAAATAATTTCTTTAAATAGTTTTTTAAAAAACCTCTAAATCAGGGCTTTCGAATCATGATACTAAGCCAGCAATTGTTTGCTACTTCTGAGCTTTCTAATATGAGATGTCTGAGCTTTAGATCATCATCATCATATCAACCTTTAACTGTCCACTGCTAAACATAAGCCTCACACTTGAAGGGTTTTGCCAATAGTTGCCATGCTTGGCAGGCATATTAGCAACCGCAGCTAGGCTTTAGAGGTGTTTTAAGAAGGATGCTACTGCCCATCCCTCGACATCCCTTTGTCGGCTCTTATGATACTCAAGAGATAGGAAGGGGTGGCCTATTCGATGCCGGGACCAAACAGCCAGCTTTAGGTACTAAACAAATAATAGGTTCAATATCAGTTACAATTTCTAAAAATCATTTAATACCTTTGAATTCATTACACTTGAAAAATCTTGTATGATTTACTTTTATAAAATATTAAAGGGTTAGGAAAATTGTCGTATTCTATAATTTTTTTTTATATACTGTAAATATTACAAAAGACTATTGATATCAAATCCTCTTTGTCTCAAAAACTTTAAAAATACTATGCTGTAGTGCTTTTTTTTAGTGGGTGGAAATGGAATGGTAACTCCGCCTGTGTTATCCACCAGTTATCCATAATAGGTGAAGATGAAGGCCGGTCAGTTAGCCCATTGTGAAGAATTGAAAAAGGATTAACCATGATAGTTTCCAGGAGGAATTGCGTGGAAGTCGACCTGATAGGGTGTATTGTTAGCAATGGACTATTAGAACCCATTACTAACAATCCCTTTCCCACCTGTAGTACACATTGTATGGTCTAATTATATGTAGAGCTTGCAAAATGTTCTAGAATCTAATGTTATATAGTAAAAGAAAACATTACCCTGATTACTTACACATTAACTTTTTATTTTTTTTATTTAACTAATCTATTAGTCTAGGCCTTCTCTAGTTATGAGAAACATAACACCTTCAGCTTCAATATCTTAAGGCGGGGGGAAAGGGATTTTTAGTAATGGAGACTGAGAATCCCATTGCTAGCAATATACCCAACCAGGTCAACCTTTTCGCGGTTCTCCTTGGAAACTGGATTATTTCCTGATGAATTCATCATGTTGGGCTAACTGGCCTGTTTTCATTCTCATCTATCACCCTTCACTGGTGCTCCACCAGCGTATCCTGTTAGCGCAGGTGGGGTTACCATACATACTATATATATTTTCACCCATAAAAAAAATACCTTAAGGCAATAATAACCATATTCCCCGAGTGTCTTACTGGAACTGTCCAGGCCACAGATACTAACTTTAGCTATTTTCAAGTTATTATAGTAAAATTTATTTAAAAATAATAATTAGTGCCACAAAATCATACCACCATCTTATATTAAAAGAAACCAGACAACAAATATATGGGGGCGCTCTCCAAAACACGTAGACCTAAGCCAATTTGCAAAAGCTTGTTTCCTAAGCTGGCACTACTGAAATTATACCTCTAGGACTTCATTATGCACATCAGTGTCTCTACACAGAACACACAGATTTTAATTTGACAACTTCCATGAACTTGTCAAATTAAAATCTATATGTGTATAACACACATATTTATTGGTACTGACACATTTTTATTTTAAACACTTTCCACTTTATTTCTATAATATGTATGCATAATTACAAAATAAGTCTTCATGTAAGGTGACTAACTTACATGAAGACTTATTGCTGCTTACTGCACTATAAAATATATAATAATGTAAATATATTAACAATCCCCAATGTCTAGTACATAGCAGTATACCAATTACCTGTTCTAGTAATGAGGCATACCATTCTCATTGTCTATTGTAATTTACAGACTGCTCTCTCAATATTTTTTCAAGAAGTCGCCATACCTGCTGGAGCTAATGGAATTGCTGCACCACATTATCGTCAGGTATTTTAATCCATATTTACCTATGCACTTAATATCCATTTTCATCTGTAGGCTTTCTTATCAAAAAACTATAATACTCCAAAATAAAATCAACCATATAAATATTAAGATGTACTATATATATATATATATATATATATATATATATATATATATATATATATATATATATATATATATATATATATATATATATATATATGTTACCACCAGTTTAAGTATGTATTATATATTGCATATTTGGCAAGTCATCTTGCATGCATACTTACAGGCTACAGAGTTCACAACGATTTTTGATAAATGTAACAAAGTAGGTAATATATTTAAATTAATACTCTTCTCTCCCTGCTTACATTGGCGTATTTAATATAATTTTCTAAGCAGGACTAAACCGCAGACATGTCTTTGCCCATAATCAAAAACTCTGTTCACATCCTGGATGAAATACGCCTATGTCGTTCACATATCCATATTTCCATATACGCAATTTATCAAAGGAACAATTGCCAGATCAACACATATTGCTGGGGGTCACATTTAAATATATGGACCACACTACTCGCAAATAGGTGAAATTTAAGTCTCAGGTGTAAGTGATAACAAATACACTCACATTTATTAGTAAAGATAATATTCAAATTTGGATGTTTATTACTTATTTACGTATAAACGTGCAAATGAATTCGGTATGTAGATAGATCGTTATCCTATATTAACATATAAAATACTCTTTATCTTGATAATTTGTTCCCATAGGACATTTTATTATTTTTTTAGATATTAGACTTGTTCTTTGTTTTTTTTTTTGCTATCTCGGTCGAAACATACATTTTTGTTTCCTATTCTGTTTACAAGTTTCACAATTTCGTACATACATTATATTTTTATTAAAAATTTTAATAGACAAAAGTTGTCATAAAACAAGACATGATTGTAGTCGAATATTTACTATAAATAAAAAAAAAACTATTTTATATTTATACAAAAAAGCGTCAATAAGTTTTTAATCTTTGTTTAGTCTTTTATATCAATAAAACTTGTGATATATTTTAATGTATTTAACATATACAAGCTGTAATCCGCTTTTTCGACTGTTTAAGTTTTGGAAAATAATTCATAACTCTAAATTTATTTTTTTTTTCTTTTGATTTCTTCAACTACAAATAGATTCTGTAACAGCATAAAGTTGTATAACTAGATTTAAAATATTTTTATAATATCAAGTAAGGATATTAGCGAGTTTGTCCGTTAACTTATAGCACCCTAACGGCTAAACCAAATACTATAAATTTTGGTGTACATGTACTATATGGGATGGAACAGTATATCCCGATCAATAAACATATCCCGGTCACGTGGATGAAGCCGCGAAAAAAAACTAGTAGTAAAATAAAAATGACAAAACGTAGGTATAAACAAAGCGTAGGTACACCTACGCTACTACAAAACTAAGCCCTTTCACTATATTGCCTGTTTTACCACAATTTATAACAACAGTTAAATGTTAACAACAGAAAATTCTACTTTCCTACTCACAAATAGAAAATTCAACAACAAAAGACTACCCAAAAAAGATAATGTTATTAAATAAATAATATTAATTTATCATTTAATTTTCGCAGCAATTGATGACACCCTGCAACACTCCGGCTACGCCACCGAATTTTCCTGATGCTCTGGCCGCGTTCTCACGGCTCTCAACGACGGGTAGCCCGAGCAACACCGCTGGTGGTGGCGTCGGGGCGAGTGCCCCGCCCGTGTCGCCACTTGCTACTCATCCGCCCCCACCACCACCACCTCATATGCAAATGAACAATTTTCCTGGCTCTCCGAACTCACAAACAAATTATACACCGCTGTCCTGCTCAACTGCGGTCAGTAAATGATTATTTATATAGATTTTATTTTTAATATGATATGACACTGAAACCTTCAAGAAAAGAGCATTTTTCTTCCTAAAAGACCAGCAATACAACTGCACTTTCTCTGATGTTGCTTGTGCCTATAGGCAGCGGTAATCACTTGCCATCAGGTGAGCCGCATACTCGTTTGCCCCCTATGTTACATAAAAAATATTATTTGATGCTCTTTTGCTGTCCTGCTACTTAAATTTATTTTTTAGTACTGTGCTTAAAATATTTCCCATTAGATCGTCATAGTCGTAGAATACTGTATATGTAATCTTTGTCAGATCCGTCAGTATTCTACGACTATGACGAGATAAGTAAAAAATAATATTTATATTTTCCCTAATAACTTTTCGATTTACAGATCTGCAGTGAACACATGCCAAGATAAATGGAAAATATTAGTTTAGGAGCATCTATAATTTATTTTTATAATGGTGCGCAAAGTGAGCTGTGGAATTGTGTATGAAAATGTATAAATATTTCACGAAACACCCCAACTCGAAGGCGAATTGCTGGACAATATTTGGGGTGCTGTAGTCAATCATGTTAAATATATTATAGATTATTATATCTATTTCTATGTATACAGCAGTTTCAAAACAAAATGCACAATATACTAAGTACATAAGTTTTTTGTTGTCAAAATTTAATTCTAAAATTTTGATATCATGAAAGCAAAAGCGCCTGTATACAAAAATAATCAAAGGGAATACTGAAACCTATTTTTTTTTTATTGTTGTCATATTTTTATGACTGAATTGAAATCAACCTACTGTATAAAAACAGGTTTGTCATATTCAATGTATATTATAATTAATATTTCTTAAAAGACAATACATAGTATTGATGCAATAATTTGTTTAATTTATATTGATTCGGAATATAAAGCCTATATCTATAATTATTAATACCCAACATCAAAAAAGAAGACTACGTACACATTTAGCGTATATATATACATACAGATTTTTCGCAAATTTCTTACCCAATTACCTTTTTTTTTAATAAATTAATGTGTTACTTTCAAAATGCATCATAGTAATTTTGTTAAAATTGTTATATTAAAAAATAAAAATAACATAGATTTGTGTTTAATTCTTTTTTATGAATGAATGAACCAGAAAGTGGTAATCGTAGTACATATAATTCTTATTCTTTGTCGCAATGCATGTAAGAAACTAAAAAGAGCTCGATGATTTTGTGAATTCTGTTTCATCTTTCGCTATATTTGTAACTATCTTTTGAAATAAAGGATTTGGAACTTCGTTGTCGAATAAAAAACAATTATAATTTTCGTCTAAAATGTTTTCACTTTGGATAGGGCTCAAAGTATTGGAATGTTTACCTTTGTTTAATATCAACTGAAACAAATTCATTTATTATAAATGGGTAATTGCCATAAATAAATATATAACTATTGGAATTAAATACTACTGTTAGATTGTAATGTAGCCCGCAATACTTTTGTTTAAAAAAATTGTACATAACTAGCTTTTTATCCTCTATTTCGTACGGCGTGGTTTTGAGTAATAAGAAAACCCATGAAATAGTCACTTCTAGATACTGTGTTGTAATAAATAAAACAAACACCAGATTTTAAATCAAAACTTCAGGAACATAACTGTGATAACTGTATCCATTTTAGTAGTTATTTTTGCGTGATGCCGGAACAATCATACAGACAGACAGTTTCTAAAAAATATTAATTTGGCCTCTATTGATCTTATTAAGGCCCCGCATATTATTTCTTAATTATCTTCGAAATACAAGCACCGTACACCATACAGCAAGTAGTTAATATCTAATTTAAATTTATTAAATATTTTTTTATATTCAATAATTATTTACCTTGTACAAATTCGGTTTTTCGTATACCAGTATAAGTAATATTGAGGTGACCGTAATCATGAGAGAAAAAATCAAATAATTTGTCGAATATTTGTAGGCATCTATTATTATTCCATACCAACAGTAAAAATTGCTCTGCATAAGTTTTATCTATTTAATATATTTATAAGTATTCTAAATTATGCTGTATTGCTCCCAGTAATATTATTGCACTGTTTAATACTGAAAATAAATTAAAATTTATCAATCTCATAAATTAAAACGTGACGACTATCTCGACTTTTATCAACTTTGACGTACATATATATTTTTCCTTTTTGTACTGATGGATCACTACAAAAAAAAGTTCGCAGATACTTATAAAATCGGTAAATACTTAACCGAGTCCATGTTTACGATTGATCTATACGTACACCCGTTTGGTTTAAGGCTATATCTAGCAGTTACGCTCGACGACCATGTGGTGAAACACGCGCACAAGCTGCAATGTCGAGTAGCCACCTAGAAAATCGAACTGCTCTACCCGCTGGGTAACATATGGATAGAGTCGGCGGAGCATTAGCCGTTCGAACTACTTTGCTACGTGCGGGAGGAGTGTGTTCTGCCAGTGGCTGTCCGGGAGACACTTGTCTTTACCCGGCTTCGAGAGGACTATCACTCTACCAAGCTTCTATTCTCTGAAAATTTTTATTTTTATACTACTTAGAATGGCAAACAAGCTGACGGCCCACCTGATGGGAAGTGGTAACCGTCACCTATAGACATGAGCAGTACCATGGACATAACAGAGTATACTGTTTCGCCAATGATACCCCCCATGCGTTGCCATTCCTGAGGACTCAAGTGTTATTCCTCCGTACCCAGTAAATTCACGCCATATCCCACCCTTCAAACGGAAACACAGCCATGCAAATACAACTGCTTCACAGTTGAAACCCAAATGGGACAGAGGTAGCCAAGCAATCGACTTTTGTACAGTCTCCCTCTGGGAAATAGCCAGTTCGGAGTATACTGTTGTAAAGCTTTATTAGTAGAACTACTCTACAAGGCAGTTGAGCGAGCGCTGCGGTAGGTATTCCGTACGCTCCGAACGTTCTACGTACGCGTGCGGCGGTACCACTTACCTCGCCGGGCAGGACGAATGAAATCTCCGTCAAGTCCAACAGTGGAGCGGAACAAAATTCGTTTACGCAACGTATAAGCTCGTGATGCTCGATGACAATAGGGAGTGTGTCGGCGGTGGCTGGACTAAGCCGGAATTGTCCCTCCAGATGTTTGGATAGGATATTTGCCCGGTCCTTGGCTTCATCTGTCCGTCTCATTAAGCAACAGATAGACTAATATATAGGGCATGTTTATTGAGAGCGCAAACAAGTTGGCAATTCTCTAGGATCCAGTCCTAATTGCTTAACATAAGCCTTCCCCATAGGGACTTTTGCTAGTAGTTGCCATAATTGGCAGGCGGATTGACAACCGCAGTTAGGTTTTAAGAGATCTGCTGCACATCCCTCTAATGTTAACTTCCCTTAGTCGCCTCTTACGACACCCACGGGGAAGGGTTCTCTATTCTATGCCGGAACATCACTTGGTTAGTTACAGATAAATTATTCACGTTGGGCTGACTGATTGCCTTCCTCCTCGCTTATTACCCCTCAATGGTGTCTCGCCATTGTATACCGATAGCGAAGGCGGAGTTACTTTTCTATTATCATCCATTAAAATGAAATACCTATCCATCATCATACTCACCTATCATCAGTGACTAATACCAGACCGATACCAATAGCACAAATAGGTGGGGTTACAATTCCATCATCACCTATTAAAAAGTCCATAGAGGAAAGTGGCACAACGGTAAACATTGTTTAGCATGAGGTTGAGAGTTCGATCTCGATTGGGACAATAAAAATACTATTTTCTAAATTATATATAATAAAATAAATTTCATAGATGACTAAAATCTAAAGCCTGCAGCTTTCAGTCAAATGATGACGTTTACAAAATAGGTATGCTTTTTTCATATTTACATGATCTAGAAGGCGGGATTATCATTCCATTATCATCCATTAAAAAAAAAAAAGTACTACAAAATGACGACACTGAAGTTTAGATTACGCGCATTGAATCACGCAATGAAATTTATACAACCTTTTTTTTTTACACAACTTAAAATGCTAAGTTATAAAATTTGTTTAAAATTGTTTGCCATTGCAAACAAGTTGACCCCCCTATGTTTTCAAAAGTGGTAATCGTCGCCTATAGACTTGAACAGTATCAAGGACATAATGGAGTATACTGTGTAACCCATCATGCCCTTGATGCGTTGCCATTCCTGTAGACTAAGGTGTCTCTGCCTCTGTACCCTATAATTAATTGCCTCATCCCACCTTTCAAATCCAAACACAAGCCTGCAAAGACCTGGTCTGTGACAAGGCTGCAAAGGCCCTCTAGACAAATGGCAAGCGAATTCTGTTGTAAATAGCAGGATGCAATAATAAAACATATATGTATTTGTGATATAAAATAATAAGTTTAGTGAAAAAAATACGAGACGTCTTATAAAAATCTGACATAGAACAAACTTAAAATAATACATTGTTCTAAAAAACCTCAGTGTCAACAGCCAGTATTAAAACTTCAACAAATTCGTCAATGGAATCGACATCGCTAGCGAGTTCGTGAGTTGGTATGAGTCACCCGGCGTTACTATCTCATATTTTCTCGTATTATTTTCTTTCTAGAAACTTATGATTCTTTTTTTTTATTATATTGTGTTAGTATACAAATTTATATGTAAAGTAGCTGTAGATGCTATTGAATTTATAAGTAAATTTTAAAAAAATTCGGCTTAATTTGGTAAAAAGTTACGTTCAATTATTATTAATTTACTTAGGTATTTGATAAGTTTTAATAATGATACTTTAATATAATGCAATTTCACATGACAGTGTATATATTTAAGTCTAAGACATGAAAGTGTCACAGGTTAATATATTTTTTAAAAAGAGTATATGATGAGATTATAACATTACTCCCCAATGATTTATATACAATGTTTGTCTGTCTGTCTCCTACAGTTTCTTAATCATAAAGTAGTCGTCTCGGAGGTCGTCTGGTACGTACACTACGACGCAATGATACGGTCGTTTCCTCGGCCGTAGAATATGCCTCTTTAGTAAGTGGTATTGATGTTAATTGTTGCCGTTCTTGTGATAACTCACAGGATGATGTTTGTATCGGTGTAATTGGAGCATTTGCTCGAGTTTGCTCTGGAGAAGGTTCCTGAATTTGTGATAGTGGGGCCTGTAATGAAGTCATATTCGCTTGTGAGTCTTGAGATGGTTCTTTAACCATTCCTCCTATTTTGGTACTTTCAGCTTCATCAATTGCTAGAGAACGTATATGATCTGCATGTCTTCGTTTTTCCACACCATCAGATGTTTGAACTAGGTACGAATAATGGCGAGTACATAATGTTACAGTAGCAGGATGCCAAGTTGATTCATTTCGCGTGCGTATATAAACTGGGTCACCACTCTTAAATTCTTTTAAAGGCTGATCTCCATGTAAGTTGTTTGAAATTTAGTGTTTTTCTTAAATCCGGGCGTAGATCGTCAAATACACAATTTAGTTGATGGCCAAACATTATTTGTGCTGGAGATTTACCTGTTGTAGAAAGTGGTGTATTACGATAACTGAACAGGAAATTTCTTAGGCGTTGTTTCAAGTTAGCTCCGTCTTTATTACTAGCTGATAACCGGGTCTTGAACGTGCAAACAAGGCATTCTGCCAATCCATTGAAGCGAGGATGGTACGGTAATAGCCGAATATGTAAGATTCCATGCTGCTTGCAATAATTTTCAAACTCATGCGACGTAAATTGTGAACCATTATCAGATACAACAATCTTGGGTAGACCGAAAGTAGTAAATATTTCATCCAGTTTAGCACATAGTTTTATTGTAGTAGTTTTAGTCATTGGTTGTACTTCAATCCATCGATTATTCGATAAAACATCAACAACTACTACCCAATACTTTCCTTCGAAAGGACCTGCAAAATCAATATGCATTCTTTCCCAATTTTTCTTTGGGATAGACCAAGAGTAAATAGGGAGTTCTGGATCATTCGGCCTGTTTTCTTGACATTTATGGCAAAGTTCAATAGTATATCTTCGTCTATGGAGGGCTACCAGACATAAAATCTAGCCAGAGCTCGCACAGCAGATATGCCTGGATGGCCGTGGTGGAGGTAGTGTAATACAGTTACAATTCTTCCGCCCCACATTATAATTTTATTCTCGATGGCAAGTTCTTCACGTTTTCGATAGTAAGGTTTTAGGTGACTATTACATTGATTCTTCCAGCCAAGTTTAATATGTTTGGATACTTCACTTAGGACGGGATCTTTTCCTGTTTCCTCTTTAATCAGTTTCTCTGAAAGTGTTAAATTAATCATTTTTATCGCTTGCAAAATCGATGGTCAGGGTTTGGCATTCTTGACAAAAAGTCTGCAAGGATATTGCGTTCTCCCTTTCGATATTTAATGTGATAATTATAACATCCAATTGCTAACACCCATCTCACCAATTTGTTCTTAAAGAAATCTGCCTAAACTTGGCAGATTTCTTTGTGGGCCTAAAAAGTAGATTAAAGGTTTGTGATCTGTAACTAATATAAAATGGACTCCTCTTAAGAACTGATAAAAATTTTTGACACCAAAATTGATGGCTAATGCTTCTCGGTCTATTACAGAGTATTTACTTTCTGTAGGTTTTAATTTCCTAGAAGCATATGCGACCGGTTGTTCAATATTGTGTTTTTGTAGAAAAGAACAGCCCCAAGTTCTTTTTCGGAAGCATCACATGCTAGATAAAGCATTCGTTTATCGTCGTAAGCTATCAGAGGTCTTGTTTTTGTTATGCACGTTTTATCTTTTCAAATTCTGTTTGTAATTCTTTTGTCCATTTCTATTTTTTTCATGAAGATGTTAACTCGTGCAAGTCTGAACAAAGTGTATGTAAGTGCGGAATGAATCGCTCGTAAAAGTTGACCATTCCTAAAAAAGATCGTAGTTCTTTAGTATTGTTTGACGCTGGAGCTTTTGCGATTGCATCAATTTTTGTTTTAGTTGGGCTGTACGCCCAACTAAAACAAAAATTGACGTGCGTCAATTATGTGTCCAAGATATTCAATTTCGGGTTGGAGAAAACTTCATTTTTTTAAGTTAACTTTGAGGCCAGATTCTAGCAGTCTCTTGAATACTGACGTCAGAGTACTTAGGTGTTCGCTATCATTTTTCCATGTTCTTTTCTTTTTTTTTTTTATAAAACTTAGAATGGCAAACAAGCTGACGGCCCATCTGATGGAAAGTGGTAACCGTCGCCTATAGACATGAGCAGTACCATGGACATAACAGAGTATACTGTTTCGCCCATAATACCTCCCATGCGTTGCCATTCCTGAGGACTCAGGTGTTATTCCTCTGTAGTTCCCAGATAAAATTCACGCCATATCCCACGTTTTATCCTTCAAACCGAAACACAGCCATGCAAACACAACTGCTTCACGGTAGAAACACGAATGGGACAGAGGTGAGGTGGATCATCGAAGTAGACGGCCGTATTCGAGATGTTGTCTAATAGTTTTTCTAAATAATGTTGAAAAATTAATGGTGCTGTTGCAATACCGAAGGGCATTCGATTGTATTGGAAATATCCTGTATGTGTTGTTATTGTAAGATACTTTTTTGATTCAGGGGCAATTTCAAATTGAAGATATGCATCCTTTAAGTCAATTTTGGAAAATTTGTCACCATTTGCAAGCTATTGTCTTAATTGGTCAATAAGTGGTACTGTATGTAGGTGTGTTATTAATGCAGGGTTGACTGTGATGCGATAATCACCGCATATACGATTTTGACCATTAAGTTTTACGACGTTAACTGTTGGAGTTGACTATTCTACTGGTGTTATGTTAGGATCCACTTTTGTGATAATCCCTTCTTGCACTAACCGATCTAGTTCCAGTTTAATGTTCTTTTTGATACTGAATTTTACGGGACGTAGTGGAAAATTTTATTTATTTATTCATTAAAAATAATTATAACATTATACCAGCAAAAGCCAAATCAATGTTATAAATCTAGTGTGCTACCATACAAAGTTATAATAAATGTATTTAACCCGACTCTAGATATTTCTGAGCTGCTTCTAATATCATTGGCAGGCTACTACTAAATATATCAATGATGTTTATAATATTTTTTAACAACCGTACTGCGTGAGTTAAGGGAGCGGTGCTGAAGTAGATTAGTTCTTACTGGCTTCTTTGCCAGTTTAATGTGAATGTCGACCTGATAGTTTTTTACCTTACCAAGTTTGTTGTTGAAAAGTGTTGCGTAATTTGTTAGGATATTTAGTAGTGTCTGTTGTTCGTTAATTGTTTCAATGGAATATACAGCTTCCGGAAATTCCATTCCAAACATTTCACTCCAGTCTAATCCAAACAGCATAGGGTCTGATGTTTTCATGACAATGACAAGAAGATTTTTTTATTTTCCCTGTATTTCCAATTATACCTCTGTTAGCCCTCTTGGTTTAAGTTTAAAATCATTATTTTCATATGCTTTCAGAGGTGGTGAACGTTTTAATTGTGGTGATCCAATTTGTTTCCAAAATTTTGTATTTATAATAGAGAATTTCGAACCTGTATCCCAATCCATTGTACAAGGTATGCCATTGATAATGGGGTCTATTCTCTTGCAGTATTTGTTCTTATTAAGGTGATAAACTCCTTGTTCACTACATTCGTCTTCTGTAGTTGACTATGATGATGATTTATTCGCGTCGTGGTAGCAAGATGAAGTGGTGTTTTGCGTCCTCTTAATGCTTTGTGTGCGGCGTGCTGTCAATAAAGAAGCAGTGGTCTTTTTTGAGTTTTCGGTTTAATACATTATTGTTCGTACGTTTATATTTATTATCTCTTATTCTTCTAACAATGTTATCAGATTCTGCTATCTCTCTGGATTGAGCGAAAGTGAATAGTTGTTGGAATGTAACTTCTATTAATTTTCCAGTCTCATCTTTCTCAAGCAGGTCAGGCCTCTGTCTGCGGTCTATCTCTAACGCTGTATGATTAAGGCCTGTTGCAAATCTATCCCGTAATTGTCTCTCTAGCAAATTGTCATATTTGCAGTCCTTACTCAGTTCCTTTAGCCTGTTTGCATAATTTGCCATTGTCTCGTTTTATTGACATGTTGCATTCCAAAAATCAGTCAGGGCTTTACTTTGTTTTTCTAGTACCATAAAGGCCAATCAATTTAATTTTAATGTCGTTATATGTCAATGTTCCAAAATGCGGTGTGAACACTACCTTAACTTCATGGAATATTTCAGGGCTAAGGCATGTGAAAAGTAACTGTCTCTTCACATTGTCCGTGTCTCCACCCCATATGTTACATTTGACTTTGAAGTAGTCTATGAAACCGTTGTTGCGAGATTGAATTGATCGCATTTACAATTTTTTAAGACTGTATTTGACGATGTTGTCAATATGCTCCAGTCTGTTGCACTCATAGTAGGGATCTGTGACGTTCCACTTACTTATATTACTGTTTGCCAAGTCCAGTATATTAGTTATTTGTGTTTGTTGGTTTTGTTGTACCTGAAGGAATTCTTCCATTAATTCTGGGTTCATTTTAAAATCTTCGTCGCCAATTTAATAAAATGCAATTTCACATGACAGTGTATATATTTAAGTCTAAGACATGAAAGTGTCACAGGTTAATATATTTTTTTTAAAAGAGTATACGATGAGATTGTAACAGATACTGTACCAACTTTATTACTCTATTAATGAATGGAAAACCCAACTTTGACGTAACAGCATTTAAAAAAAAAATAGCTTTGGAAATTAGAAAGAAATAAAAAAGACATCCATCTATACACTTCAGGAATCGAAATGTATATCAAACCCTTAATCCTTTAGAATGAGATTTAGATCCCCAAAAACTCCGCTTTTTCGTTGCTTTTTGCAGACAAACGTAAAAGGCCTCTTTACACTATCGATTAAAATAAACATTTTCAATGATAATATTCATTTTTTATACAACTTAGAATGGCAAACCAAGCTGATGACCCACCAGGTGGTTAACGTCGCCTATAGACGTGAGCAGTACCATGGACATAACAGAATATACTGTTTCGCCCATGATATCCCCCACGCGTTGCCATTTTTGAGGAGTCCGGTGTTATTACCTCTATACCCTGTAAATTCACTGCCATATCCCACCCTTCAAACGAAACACAGTCTGCTTTACGGTAGAAACACGAAAGGGACAGGTGCCCAAGCAAACGACTTTTATACAAAGTCTTCCTCTGGTAGACTCTCCCTCTTATTACATAAAAAAAGCCGGCTTTGGCCTGCTAGGCGTCCTTAGGCAAATTTTTGAAAGCACATTTTACTTAGATGTCCCTGAGCAAAATATTGGCGTTAATAATCGTATAGCGTATCGTTTAGACCTCGGCTCTCCGTTTAAACGTCAGCGCTCCCGATTAAACTCCCCCCATCCTAAGGGAGCTTTCAAATATTACGTACCGTAATTTTCGAAAATGTTTGACCTCCCCCCCCCCCTTTTTTCGAGGTTTCCACAACATTTGCTGGGACAGCTAATTATGCTATTATTTTTATTATAATATTATTATACTCATAAAAATTATTATTCTCTAAAAACACTTTTAATGCTTTGTAAATACAATACACATTTACAAAATTTCAATAAAATACTAGTTTGCTCACATGAGAAAAAGTATAACATTTACCCATATCGAAAAAAATGAACTCAGTAGGACGAAAAAATCAACGTGTATCGTTTCACTTAATATTTGTAAAATGTGACAGAGTAGATTAAAATAACATAAAAGTAAAATCATCTACTAATTTAATTATAAATCTGAGAAAACTGAAATCATCATAGCACATATTTTATCTTTTTATTAAACATATAAATGAACATTCAATTCAACCATTTATAATATTATTATGAAATTCTCCATCATATTTACAAAACTTCAAATAAATTCTTCCACAATTACTGATTACATTAAGTAATATGATTTGTACGAATGTAATCAACAATAATCATGTTTAACAATTGTGACAATATTTTTCTAGATATTAATATGAAATATTAATAGATAATAAAGTTATTTTAAATTTGTTTCTAACCTAAGCAATAAACTGATAAATCTTATGAGATAGGGTTACTGTTTAAAAAAATGTTCCAATAGCAAATAAAATTATTAACATAACAGTTTGAAAACCGAATTGGTGCAACTCGTATTCATAAAGGAACACTCTTGTACATTTTATCCATCATAGTAGAACACATAGAATAGAATTTGACAACACACACATATTCACGCAAGTACTATACAGCTGACAATTATTCCTTTATATATATAAAAAATTATGTCCTCTACAGACCATTGAACATTGGACCACTTCTTGTTCTACAATAATATAGACTTCCTAAATAAATATAATTTAAGCCATTGACATCATCTTTATGTGTATATAGACCAAAGTTACCAAATAACTTGCAAAATCATCAATTATTACATTATAAGGAGGATTGATTGCTTGTTAAGAACAAGAGCGTGTTTACTATACAGCTGACACTGAAAAATTATGTCCTCTACAGATAAAATTACCCCATCTACCAGACAATGTCAATGGACAAAATTTCCCTTAGTTTGACTCATCTGCCCAGATTTTTAAGTCTTGTCCTACATTTATAATAAAACCCCTAAAATTGGCTAATTGACAGTTTTCAGAAAAGTATTTCAACATTTACACATTTTATACCTCTCGCAAGTATCTTTTTCTGTAAAACACATTGTTTAATAGAAAAAAAAAGATATTATCTTTATTAGGTATACCATGTGAAAACAGTGAATAACAGTGACATTTTGAGCTGTAATGTCACATTTATGAGTGTTTATAACTTTTACTGAAGTGTATCAACATCAAAATTATATAGAATTTTTAAAAACAATTGAACACTTTTTAATGTTTCAGAATGACTTTTAAAAAAAATCTCTGCTAGCAAACTAACATATCAAATATGCAGTATAATTATTATAAAACTGTCACTAAAAAATTTGATTTTAATGGCAAAAAAGTTTCTGAAATATTCCAAAGTGTTATATATTGTTCTTGAGGGTACTTAGAAATGACTAGTCTGGTTTTATGTCAGGTGATATAATCAGGTGGTATAAATATATAGATAATCATTTCCACCCTCCACTAAATGAAATTGTAGAATCTTTTAAATTCCACAATTGAAATCAGGAAGAAGGGGAGAAAGTTCGAGATTATATTGCTAATTTGAGAAAATTATCAATTCACTGTAGCTTTAAAGATGTTGGACGCACTTTGCGTGATCGTTAGTGGGATTCAAGACAAAGATCTTCAAAGAAAAATGTTACAGCAGTCTAGTTTAACATTTAAATGGGCTTGCAATATGGCATTGTCCCATGAATCAGCTAATAGTGATGCTAGTTTAATAGTTATACCAGGAACTAGCAAATCTAATATAGATTTAGAAGAACCGATGAATGTTAATAAATTTTCATACAGAAAGAGTGAAAGGTTGTCTTATAAATCTCAAGGTAAGCTTGAATGCTTTCGATGTGGTAAACAGCATGGAGGAGAGTGTGGATTTAGGTGGTCAAAATGTAATTTTTGTGGGAAAACGGGTCATATTGAGATTATTTGAGTAAAACTAAAAATAATGGCAGCACGTTGAAGTCAAATTGCAATAGCCTGTTCGCAGATTCTATAAATAATATTGGATAAATAAAAATATCATCCTTTTTAATAAACATTGTTATTAACAATATGGAAATTGAAATGGAAATAGATTCAAGATGTGCATTTAAATAAGTGATAGATAAGTGAACCGACAGCCAGACTAATATGGAAAGGAAATTTACCTAGTATGAAAAAAAACATGATCTTGCATTGAAAATATGGACAAAGAGCCCCTTACATATTCTAGGTAAAGTGATAGTACCTATAGAATACAAGGGTAGTAATAAGAATTTAAAAGAAACATTTAATTATAGTGAAGGGACACGGACCGAGTTTAATGGGAAGAAATTGGTTTGATGATTTTAATATCCAATTGCTAGGAATAAATAACATAAAGATAGATGTTGCAGATAGTACTAAAATAATTGAAAAATATAGAGACGTATTTAAAGAAGGCTTGGGTAATTATAGAGGACCAGTGGTGAACATAACACCATGGGAATGGGCCACCCCGAAATTTCTTAAATGCAGATCTATTCCATTCGCCATAAGAGAAAGGGTTTATAGTGAGATTGACAGGCTAGTTACTGAGGATGTTTTAGAACCTGTAGCATACGCAGAATGGGCAACTCCGATTGTGCCAGACCTCAAACCAAATGGTGGTGTAAGACTCTGCGGTGACTATAGATCAACAGTCAATACGGTAACTGATACAGATACATACCCTCTACCAACGTTGGATGAAGCTTTTACACAGTTGCAAGGGTAGTAATATTTACAAAAATTGATTAGGAGATAGCATACACACAAGTAAAGGTAGATGAACCTACATCTCAGATACTTACGCTCAATACACCAAAAGGGTTATACAAAGTAAAGAGACTACCCTTTGGAATCAAAGCATGCCCAGGTATTTTTCAGCGACTAATGTCTTCCTTATTAGCGCATATCCCTGGGGTGGCTGTATTCCTTGATGATATAATAGTGAGTGGGTTGAATATAAAGAAACACAACACTCGATTAATCGAGTGTTGTGTTGCTCCTCCTAAAAAAACTAACGTCGTGCTAAAAAAAACTTCAAGAAGCAGGTTTAAAAGTAAACAAAAATAAATGCAAGTTTGCAGTAAATAAACTTCTTAGGATTTGTAATAGATGAGGTTGGTATTCATCCATATGAAGAAAAAATCCAGGCAATCAAGGAATTTTCGGCTCCTGGTGATATAAAAGAGTTACAGGCATTCCTGGGACTTTTCAATTTCTATGACCGATTTTTACCACATAAAGCGACAGTAGCGAATCCTTTATATAATTTATTGCATAAAGATAAAAAATGGCAGAGAAATACAATACATCAAACAGCATTTGAGAAATTACGAAACGTGTTAACAAGCGAAGACACATTGGTACATTATGATTTAAAGAAAAAAATAATACTCTCATGTGATGCTTCTCAATACGGACTAGGAGCTGTGATAGAACATGAAATGGAGGATGGCAGTGTAAGACCTGTCATGTTCGCGTCTAAGACCATGAATGCCCATGAAAGCAATTATGTTCAAGTAGATAAGGAGGCAACAGCAATAGTCTTTGAATTAAAAAAATTCCATCAATTTGTGAGTGGCAGAAAAATTATTATAAAAACAGACCAAAAAAAGATTTGAGATTGATTGATTTGATTTGATTTCAGATTTTGCCTTTGTTGGGATTGTTTGATCCAAAACGCCCAATTCCAAATATAATTTCACCTAGAATGTTTCCTATTTCATAATCCTATTGAATTCCTATGACTATACAATAGAATATGTGAAAGGAAATAAATTAGGAAATGCGGATGCTTTGAGCAGATGGTCATCTCAAAATACTGAAAAAGTAGAAGAGGAATTTTCAGGGGTATTACTTTTAGAAGAAACACCACTAGAATTAGAGTTTACAGCTGATGAAGTTGCTAAGCTAACATTATAAGATCCAAAACTGAGTAAAATTTTATACTGGATAAAGAATGGCTGGCAAAATAAAGTCAAAAGCAAATTTAAAATATATTGGCAAAAAAAAAGGAAATGTCAACGTTTAGAAATTGCATTCTGTGGGGAAGTAGAGTGGTGCTACCTCAAAAAATGTGGGCCAAGGTATAAGAGTAATTAGATAAAACTCATGACAGAATTGTAATTACTAAATCAATGGCTAGAAGTTACTTCTGGTGGCCAGCTATTGACAGATTGAAGAAGTAATAAAAAAATGTGATATTTGTGCGAAAAATAGAAGTATGCCAACAAAAGTTACACATCACTGGATAAGACCGAATAAAGCTTGGTCTAGATTACATATAGATTATGCTGGACCCTTTCAGGGAAAAACTTTTCTTATTTTAATTGATTCCTTTTCAAAGTGGCCAGAAGTAAAAATAGTTTCGGATATGAGTAGTACAACACTAATCAAAATAGTGAGAGAAATATTTGCTGAGCAAGGATTGCCAGATACAATTGTAAGTGATAATGGAAGACATTTTGTAGCAGAAGAGTTCCAAAATTACTGCAAGAGCAATGGTATTAGACATGTATTAGTAGCTCCATACCATCCAGCATCAAATGGTCAAGGTGAACAGACAGTACAGACAATAAAAAAATAAATTGAGGAAACTATCAAATGAACCATGGTCATTGAGACTGCCAAAGATTTTATATGGTTTGCGAACAACACCAAACAGCATAAATAATAAAACACCAGCAGAACTACTAAACAACAGACATTTCCGTACTAAATTCGACTACCTGAATCCACTTTTATCTAAAGATAAACCACAGTTACAAGAATTAGAAAATAATGAAAATACTAAAGTAAGAAATTTTGAAGTGGGACAAACAGTTTATATAAAAAATTATAGAGGAGAACCCCATTGGCTAAAAGGAGTAGTTGAGAAAAAAATTGGAGTTTGTAGATATGTAATAAAATGGAATGGAAAACTTTTAAAAAGGCATATCAATCAGATGCATAGCTTTGGGGGGGGGGGGGAACGAAACAGTTATAATGTAATATTATTCAACCTAAAAATAGTCAACAAAGAAAAGATGATGAAGATGAGGATAATGATGTGTTAGTACCATCACCATCTAAATGGACTGATATAATTGATGTGTCAGGACCACAACATATAGAGATATATCAGAGTCCACAAGAGAAGAATGCTAGACCAAAAGTTAATAAAAGAGATATGTCTGAATTACCGGCAAAATCGATCAACAAAAGGATTGCCAGTAATACCGATGAAGATGAAAATTTTAGTGGTAAGGAACTAGAAATTTCCCAGCAGTCATCTGTAGAGAGAGACACTGATAGTGAAAATGTTTAGAACAGTTATAAGAAATATAGACTAGTAGTGTAATACTAATAATGTAATAGGTAGTGATAAGTTTTAGTGTTATGTGTAAGAAAAAGAAAATAGAAACCATCTTGGGGGAGAGGCATGTCATATATTGTTCTTGAGGGTACTTAGAAATAACTAGTCTGGTTTTATGTCAGGTAAGTGAATATGTGTGCTCTGACAAATTCAACATTCCCGCCAGGGAATGTTAAATTTGTTGTAACAGCCATGTTACACATTACAAAGCAAAATATGAAGTAGGTGCAGTTTTAATGGCAGATTCTTATGCAACATATTCCATCATTAACATTACAGTTTGCTAGCAAAGCATTTTTTTAATGATCTATCCAAAACACTTTATTATGAACCTTTTTTTTATGACACTGCAATTTTATCAGTGATGCGATAAGATTTCCTTGTCAGGAAGAATGGTGAATGATAGTTTAACATTAAAGGAACATATTATAATTTTATATTATTTTGGGATAGAAATTTTTCTAGGACATACACTAAAGGAGAAAAGACCAAAGATTCATATTCATAGAGAAAAGATATTTAATGTTAACAGGGTGACAAATATTTTTGGGGAGAGTATCATACAGAGAAAATGATATATTGGGGCATTCAAGATTCTTAATGATGTCAAAATTACAAATTACAACACTAAGCATTTTTGAAAGAAAAGTTTAAAAATATAAAATGTGACATCACATTCAATTCAATCATGACTACCGACTTTTGTTTCTATAATCTATACAAAATAAAAAATTAAATGTATTAAAACATTTATATTTATCTTAATAAAAAATATTATTGTATATGTTTACATTTAAGCTAGGATATCAAATATATTTAATACTAGGCATACATGGCATTGCCCATATGAATCATTAAGTATATAAAGTATCCTTCCTATGTGCAAGTTAGGATATAACTTGTGTACCAAAATTTCATACAAATCCATTTAGTTCTTTTTGTGAAAAATCATCCATCCATCCTTACAAACTTTCACATTTCTAATATTAAAATAGGATTTTATTGTTGCAACTGTCAAATACCCAATTGCATGCCACAGTACATTTATTTTATGCAAATACCTACATGACTTATAAAAAGGGAAATTTTGTAGAGTTAAAATGTGTATTGTCTATGTAAACTTCAAATGTAGTAAGAACTTTATTAAAATAATATATTTAGATACTGTAAGTCCATATTATTCACTACTTACTTGATAAGTTTGCTGTTCGTAAATTGTGGAAGAAATCATGAACATTGGACCACTTCTTGTTCTAGAATAACATAGGCTTTTTAAATATACATCATTTCTGCCATTGATGACATCTTTTTAGGTATATGGACCAAAGTTTCAAAATAACTTGCTAGTTCATCAATTGTTACATCACAAGGAGGATTGAGTGCTTGTTGAGAGCAAGTACCCGTTTGGTTATTTTCTACTACTGATTTTCTAATCTGTCTAGCATGTATCAAATCATTCTTCCACCATTTTGCTTGATTATTATGTTCTGTAACTGCCATCTCTCTATCCTTTTTGGTATTTGATGATATTCGCAGCTGATTACAATTATCAACAAGTGCACATAAATTTAAAATATCTACATTTAAATATTCAGCAGAAGCTGAAGTGTTTTTATTAATTTTTGGATGCTCCTCTTGCTGATTACCTGCAGTATTTGACTTGAGTAACTTTAACACAGGATCCTTAAGTATCTTATTATTCTTTTTTTTGTGTATTGCTGGATTTAAATATTTCTTTTGCCAAGTACATGAACAGTTATTTTGTGTTGTTTGTCTAGAAATTCTTTTCTGCTGTAACTGATTTATAAAAGGATTCTCATCAGTAGTTGTGATATTAAGCTTTATAGGCTCTATTTCTAATTTTCCCATTTCAACTCGTAGCAATATGTCTTCTTTAGCCATTCTTAATGTACTCTAAAAGTTAAATAAAACATTGTTGAGATTTTAATAGTCTGACAAATTTGATTGGAAAATGATATGATTTTAGCCACATAGTAATTTAGACTTTTATAACTAGAACTTTTATAACTTAAAGATGCATAGGTTACTACAAGTAAAATTAGAATTTAGGAATAATTCAATAATTACAGACATTAACTTATACACATTTCTATTGATTACAACAGACAATTTTTGCCACTATAGAATATTATATATATTTAATATAACAGAAGTAATCTAAAATTTTAAAAACAAAATATGATAATAAATATCTACAGACTATTCTAGTATACACAAACTAATTATACCATAACCATACATATACATATAAATACAAAACACTACTGATTTAATTGAAAAAATAGTGAAATAATAAGTGTAACACAAACACTACATCCAGAAACTTCTGTCATCCTTACTAGGTTATTTATATGCAAGTTTTGCAATTTCGAAAAACTTTGGTTAAATATACTAACAACTGAGTAGTTAAATCTACAACAATTAATGTATATATTAACTACTTAGTAAGTTGCTAAAAATATTATTTTTAAGAAAAAGTAGTCATACACTGTCTTTGTATTGAATCTATGTATAATAAGGATTTTTGTATTGAAATCATTTTCTACAGAACTTGTATACAATTTTAAATAAAAGCAACACGGCAAATAAATAGAATGTAAATGTTATTTGTTACAAATTATCACGTAAATAAATAATAGTAATGATGCTAAGATAGTATCGTGATTATCAAAATTTACCATATGTTGACACAGTTCTTCTTGCACAAATTCCAGGTACGTTTTAGATTCTTAATAACTAAAATGTAAACAATTTCACTACATATATGAAAAATGATGAAAAAACCACGCAAAATAAAAATGTAAATATAATGCGTCATGCGTCATTTCAAAAATGATTTTTTTTTTTTTAATCAAACAATATATGGGTTAAGATTAAGAAAAGAATTTACATAGCCATCAGAGTACTTTGTCTATGTCCAATCACCTAGATTACCAAAATCATAAGTTTTTGATATTTAGCAAACTCGCAAACATTTTACAAACGATTGCTAATTATCTAAAAATATTAATATTTAGTAGCTAAATTGTGTCCTAATCACTAAAAGAATTTTTATTTGACAAAACAGCGCCTTTAACGATCAAGTGGCAAAGTGACAGGTACATGTGTAGTAACAACTCGTACTACATATACGATACGATAATTCGTAATAACAGATATAGATACTTAAAGGTATCTAGTACCTATATCTAATCTAAATACAGAATCACACACTGAACAAAACATAATAAAAACTACGTATCTGCCAAAATTTTATGTCATCTGCTACGTGACATTTACAGTTGGCAACGATAATCGATTGTACTAAACTTCAACTGAACAGGTGTTCACTTGAAGTTTAAAACCTAAACTGTAAAAAAATTACTTCTTAAAAGAGTAAAGTAAAATTAAAGTTACCATTTCAAATTTACAGAAAAGCTTAAACAAACACTGTTCTGATATAAAAGACTAAACATTATTACATCATAAGTCCTTTAACATCGCTGTACATAAATCGTTGAATAGGATATTACAAAAACTCTTAAAAAAAAGATTTAACATTGATCACAAAAATCACCTAATAATAAATAAATTCACCTACCTGTTTTAAATATTTCCTAATAAAATCTAAGTCTGAGTGAAGGTTTCAAAATTGATAATAAAGTAAAATATAGGTAGTCAACTAATTAAAACCATTATGATACTGAATTTATCAATAATTATTGCATATTAGTATTTACCTACGACTTTGTTTATGTAACAGGAATATGTTGATTATCCAAAACAAAAAGTATTTCTCACTATTCCAAATAAACATTGTATATCAAATTTTAAAATATAAATTTAAGAAAAAATGTTTCACAAATTAATGTGAAACATTCACATTTGCCAACTTTTTCTTATATTTATAAGAAACCTGGGCCCAGTCAATGTACATTGTACATAAAACAGCATCCTATATCTTTGCTTTATCTTCTGGTACAAAGTAAATTTTGAATTTAACACTTGCAACTCAAAATCAAATACGATGACACACCATCAAATTAAGAAATTGTTATTAATGAGATTTGACCTCCACGCGGCTCCTCCTGGAAACCATCGTGGTTAATTTTTGATGAATTTATCACAATGGGTCAACTGATCTGCTTCATCCTCATCTATCATCTCTCACTGGTACCCCGCCTGCGTATACCGATAACGTAGGTATCATTCAATTTTCATTCGTTAAAAAGAAAAAATCACCAAATCATTCTCATTGTCAGTAGTTACAAAGCAAACGTATAAAGTATTTAATATGTACGTAACATTTTCAGAATGTACTGTTTTTATTTAGAAAGTAATAAAAAGATAGAAAATTTTTTATACAAGTAAACTTAGATTTAAGCATTTATGAATTGTAATTTTTTCATTACCGTTCATTCAAAACGCAATTTTAGCCAAGATGAACGGCCAAGAAACTTAACTATTGCTTTTTTTTTAAGGAGTTTAATTATAAAAATAATTATTTTGTGTTAATATAAAATACTAAGCAGTATTAAATCATAAAATTTTACATATATAGTATATAATTAAAACAAATTGACAAAATATATCAGTTGCAGTAATTAGAGCAGGCAGCACGCATTCACAAGTATGAGAGATAAATGAGCCATCATTCTGCTCAAACATATTTTAGGGTACCAATAACCTGGCCTACCACACCATTACCTGTTGGACATTTTAATGAGCATGACTTACTCAAAGCCCCCAACCACGTCATAGCCAAATTTACCAGAGGGAGACTTTGTACAAAAGTCGATTGCTTGTATACCACTATCTCATTCGTATTTCTACCGTGAAGCAGTTGTTTGCATCGCTGTGTTTCGGTTTGAAGGGTGGGATATGACGCGAATTTACAGGGCACGGAGGAATAACACCTGAGTCCTCAGGAATGGCAACGCATGGGGCACCTTATCTTTCCTTACAAAAATGAAACATCTTCATGATAAAACATTACCCTATTGCCCCACCTAATGGTTTAAACCACGCTCTCCTCAAAAAATTAAAAATATATCGTTCTGTATCGTGGGCGAAACAGTATACTCTATGACCATGGTACTACTCATGTCTATAGGCGACGGTATCACTTTCCATCAGGTGGGCCCTCAGCTTGTTTGCCATTCTAAGTCGTATAAAAAAAAATCATACTACATACTGTACATGTAATAGTTACAGTATCCACACATTACACAGTAAAAGACATAAGTGATTTAATAAAAAAATTCACTACATATCTTTTTAATAATGATAGAAAGATAATAACAAAAATAATATTTTCAGCAAACGAAAAAAAATTAACATATACAAAATTGCTGTTTTCAGTAAGAGTTTCTATTTAAAAGACAAATTACTATTATGTTGCTGTATAACTTTGAATGCAACTGAAATTTTACAGAATATAAATCTAGTAATGCAAAATTTGTCATTAACAAATAATTGACATATCAAACATTTTCTATACACTAGCCCGCTATGAATGTTTGTGAAATGCTAGAAAAATAGCAACTGAGGGTGTATCTTTCGTCCTCTTTTTACTAATTATGTTTGCATAAGAAGAAAAAAGGCAATCGTATGATTTACAGTTTTTATTTTAGCATTCCTTCTATGTAATTCCTTGTTCTTAGATATGAATATAAAGAATATATAACCAAAGAAAAAGAGACTCCACTTTATACAGGTTATCTAAAACGACTAGGTCAGGAATATCGTACCAATCTATACAAAAAATTCGCCTTATCTCGTTATGTTGGCCAACCTGATATTCTAAATGAAAAGTGCGTAACTTCCATACTACATACTACGTAATCTCCAAGTCAAAATAAAAACAAATATGAATTACAAAACTAAAACTGTTCCACGAATAGTTTAGATGGCAGCCATTTGCATTGCATTTAACAATATTTTTATTAGTTAAGTTGGCACTATTATGATTTCATCATTTGACTAAACAATGGCATGATTTTTATCTGACAAAATCTATACATTTAAAGCTTGTGTGGAAGTTACTCAAGATTGTATAAATATCAGTCACAGAATACTCCATTTAACATCCATAGAGTACATACTATGTGCATCCTGAAGTATTTCGTGATGTTCATAATGTACCTACTTTCTATCAGCGTTTCATGCATTGGTAATCATAGAAAGTAAAATTACCAGACATTATTATTTTTTATTTATCTTCACATACTCAATCGACAAGTTATACATATGGCGGACATAACGCCATAGGGGCTGAAAGGGGGGAATTATTAGTAATGCGTATTACAAGTCCGACTGCTAGCAATATAGCGTATTAGGTCGACTTTTACGTGGTCCTCCTGGAAACCATCATGCTGAATTCCAGGTGTATTCATCAAGATAAGCTGAATGACCTGCCTGGTGAAAATGAAAAAATTTTTACTTAATATCTATCACTGGAAACCCACCAGCATATATCGTTAGCACAGGCGGAGTTACCATCATTATCATCCATTAAAAAAAGAAGACATAACGCCATTAGGCATTTTCTGCCTACTGACCATGAGTAGTGCAGATATTGATGGCGGTAAAGAAACAAACTTACAAAATAATTTGTAATAACAGTAATACTTAAAAATTAATTACGAGCAACGACTTCTGTTGCTACCTGTACAAGTGTAGATATTCACAAATAGACTATTTCTGAAGATAGATACATATTACATATTGGACGTTACTTATGACGTCGTAAATTTTTATTATTATTAAAATTTTCTTTGACTTGATATTATATAATGTTTATCAAAATGTGATTTATAGGTTTTGTTTGGTGACTAGAACGACATCTATTTTATTTCAGTTCAGTACCTACCTATCTATCTACTCTGACTGATTTCATTCAGTCAGTTTTATTGTAGCTGTATAAGTTGGTTTGTCTTGATCTGTACTTACTTGTTTTACGTTTACATACCCTTAATGTACGCTTGAGTACGGTCTGTATAAGCAACCAAAGAATAGGTAGGTGCTTTGTATGGCTATAACGCTATCATTACATAGGGCGTCAGGCAAAGTCTCCTGACGTAGTAAATCGTCTTTTTCATTTATCAACTTACATCTAGATCGACTACCGCAATAGATCATATATATTCTCAATGTTTGTACATTAGTGATTAAAGGTGTTAAGTAATATTATCTGTATTTTGCAGTCATATTGATTTTTAGTAATCAACTGTATAATGGAACCTAATCCTGTAATAATCGCTGCTACCGCGAAACAAACTGCAGTTGTAAGTAGACTTAATACGCATCAACATCTTATCGTGAAGTACCTCTTAATACATATTTTTATTTTTTTGTTTCAGCTTATATTTTTACATGGTTTGGGTGATACAGGGTTAGTAACGTAATACCAGATTACATATTTTTATGAGATTAAGCTGAATAATTAATAAATGACAATACAGTGTACTTATAGAAGTATTATTCTTGTAAATATGTTCTAGACATGGCTGGGCAAGTACAATTGCTGCAATCAGAGGTCCTCATGTTAAGGTGATTTGTCCTACAGCAGCAACTATACCAGTGACACTCAATGCTGGATTTCGCATGCCATCATGGTTTGATTTAAGAACATTAGATGCAACAGCTCCAGAAGATGAAGAAGGAATTTTAAGGGCTACTACTCTTGTCCATGGACTAATCTCTGATGAAGTAAAAGTAAGTTGTAACCATAGTTGAGCATGTTGTTATATATCTCAGCACTGTATTATCAATTAACATATTATATACTGTTTCCCTATCAACCTATTAAATACTGCAATAAATAAGCAGTTTGATATTTATATAAACAGTGTAATGAAATATTTATAACATAATTAGGAGTCTTCTTGGAATAGGGACCAAAAAAATTAAATGGATAAAATTAGAGGTTCAAAGTCATATTATTTAGTGTCTATGGAAGCATCTGTTTAACAACATTGTTATTAATTGTTGTCTAATCAATTACCTATCAACATTTATAGTAACCATATCAATATTAAACATCTTTATTTCTGTAATAAATAATATGACTTGGCAATTGCATGGCAACATATACTACTAATGAAATACCTTATTCTTCAGTGCACTGTTTAAATTTAATTAGTTACAGTTTATAATTATGATGCTGTGCAATTGTCAAGTCATTATAATAATTATAAAAATAAATATAGTTTCTATAAATGTTGATAGGTAATTGATCAATTAATAATTTATAAAAAAAAAAATTAAGTGTGCGCTTCTATTGACACTAACTAAAATAACTGACTTTATATTATCTTCTATTTCCATTGGAGTCAGCTAAGCCATTGCACCCATTGGGATCTTTTGTGTATAAGACAGGAGCCTTATACCATCATTTTATAGATCTTATGTATTACCTTTATGATATCTCACATTTTAAGATATCTATAATCTCCTGGCTCTGGATAAGCCATTCCTGAGAGACTTATATACACATTGGCCAACAAATCTCAGTTGCATATCAGGTGTTCCATGGAATTCGACTCCTCATTGCTTAATCTGCACAGTGTGTCCAAGGATAGATCCATCTTGTATAGTATATGCTCAATTAAGGCACCCATTCTGAGTCTTGTCTGAGTTTATTCAGTCCCTCAATCCAATACCTTCTTGTTTAAGAACTTTTTAGAATGCCTGAGACCCTTCAATGTCCTCCATTCCTTTTGCTGTTTGTATTTTCGCATACTCCTCAAGGGCTTAGTAAGCGACACTTAAGGCAAGTGCAATATAACTGACTTGGTTTTCCATGAGATCTTATTTTTTTTACATTTCATGTTTTTGATGAATGATGATTAATGTCTTGTCAATCAGTTACAAGTGTAATGCATTATATTAATAAAAAAATAGATTTTTTAACTTTTCCTTCCTTTATAGGCTAAATGCTAACTAAAATTCGAAATTTGATGTTTGTGAGATTGCTAGAAGTACCTTAGCATTTTAATGATTGGTGAGTACATCAGTGACAAAATTAAAGAATTTTGACTAGCAATATTTTTTAAACTATAAGGTGTAATTATTAGGTATATTAACAATATAGCTAGGTATAGTATATACTCTTGATCTCTAAATTGCTTTATCCACAATAGAATTCCAGAGAATTAAATGTGCCGTGAATCATCTCTAAAACTATATAGTATTTTGTTTTTAGAAATGAACTGCATGATGCATATGTTATCGTTTAATTCATTACTGATTAAGTGATTACTCATCCTGATGATATTTTATATTTATAAACAAAATCATGATGATGATCATCATCATTTCAGCCATTATCCATCCACTCCTGGACATAGTCCTCCCCCATAAACTGCCATAATGCAATAACCTTTCTTCCCCATTGGTTATCAGTTCTTCGAGCTATGTGACCAGCCCATTGCCACTTCAGCTTGCTTATCCTTCGGACTATGTAGGTAAGTTTGGTTCTTTTGCGGATATCCTCGTTTCGGATTCTATCACGCAAAGAACCCCCAAACATAGTCCTTTCCATAGCCCGCTGAGTTATTTTAAGCCGTATGCAAAATACGGGTAACCACGTAGAACCATGTTTCGGTTCCATATGTCATCACTGGCAACACGCACTGAATAAAATCCTCCGTCTTCAAACTAAGGTATTTTGGATTAGAAGATGTGGCGTAGTTTTCCGAACGCTACCCAGCCGAATTGGAATCGTCAGTTGACCTGTCAGTCGAAATTGGACTTACCTAATTGTACAAGGTGTCCTAAGTATAGTATAGTACTCGTTGACAACTTCGAGCATCCACTTTTTCCATTTCCACTACATTATCGTTGATACCGTCCGCTGTTTCACAATTCAGCAGGCACTGAAAGCGATTTGACAATCCGACTTGAAAACTCTCGGGGTTTTCGATAAAGGCGTACAAAAATCGGAGTGAAGACTATCAAAAGAAACTTTTCTAACCTAATATTCAAGTTCTATGTACCTTTTATCATTCAGTGATCACTTCCATTTTTCAACCTGTTGATTACTGAGACATAATTAACAAATAGCAATTAGGCGTCATGGTGAGGTCTATCTTATTTTTTTATGTATCCATTAGGCCTAGCCCAGGTCCACTTACTGTGTGGCCGCTTTTCGAAGAAAGAGTTCATTATAAAGAATCCCTCCTTCTCCATAAAGTCAGTCAATTGCTGTTCCCTAGGACTTCGCTGTCCGATACCAAAGTTCCCTATTTAATTTAGCGTTGCAGTCCCCCATCAATACTGTGTACAAAACGAGACATCTTTAAGAAAATTATTAGATCGCCCCGGAGCCTAATGTTGAGCTTTCGGCGCCCAGACTGCAAATGATTCAACGGTCATCTCTCTCACCCCCCTTAGAGGGGCGGGGGAATCTCGTCCGGGACTTTCTGCCTCCCTCGAGAAGAGTCACCGCCGCGCATAACCATGTGCGGGTCATTGAGTGGAAGCAGTCTTCCGGCAAGTCACTTGACTCGTTCTATCGCCTGCCGGGTGAGATCCCGTGGGGGGAGGCCCGACAAACTGCTAGCGTATGAGCGAGTCATATGGCACTATTGCCCTCCTTCTGTAATTCCGGTTTCAATGTTGAGCGCGCGAATTAATTCGCGCGCATACGGTCTTAAGTCTGGAGGTCGCGCATATCGAATGATTCATTGTTACGATACTGTATTTATACTTCATTAATAGGGGAGGAGCATGAGGGGTGGTAATAAAATAACACCTACTTTAATATAATATTTATACCCCAGGTAGTGAGCGAAGCTTCCGGTTGTACACAGACATATCTGAAAGTACATAAATATATCTTTTTAAAAGGCGAGTTTCCCCCTGAATAATAATTTTAATTACGCGAATATTGGCCAGTTGATATTCTTCGTCCTATTAAGAGCCAAATCAGTTAAACTTGATAGCAATAGGAACCGCAATAAAAACATGAATACCACTCGCACGTGTGTTGCCTGAATTGTGTCATACGAGTATCATGTTTCTTTTTTATAATTATTGAATCAAGCAAATAAATTATGATAATCTCCATTATCTAACCTGTATGCGGTGTCTAAAGGAAGGGAAACATTTTGGCGGCATTGCTGCATTCACAATGAGAAGTATGTAAGTGTCGTTTCAATCCAGTCTATTTTTTATTAAGATATTGATGGAAGATTCTTCCTTCTTCCTTCAACTCTCCAGACTGGGCGGCATAATAAATTACAACTACAAAAATTGTTAATTGTTATATTTTTTACCTAATCTTGCTAAGTTTTGGAATATAATCAATAGTGGATTTGATCAAACTGAAAATAATTAAGAGTAAAAAAAAATATTTTAACATGTTTATAATGTCCTTTTACAGGCTGGTACACCTGCTAACAGAGTGCTGCTTGGTGGTTTCTCACAGGGAGGAGCGTTAGCTCTTCATGCCGCTTTGACTTACCCTCAACCCTTAGCAGGGGTTATGTCGCTATCATGTTGGTTGCCTAGACACGCTCATTTCCCTGATGCGGTTAAAGCGCCGCTGGATTTACCGGTAAGACAAGTTTTTAGTAGTCCACCACCATCACCACCACCACTAACGAAAATTCTGAAAAATATTATTTTGGCTTCTATTGCTCTTATATCTCCTCATATTAATTTTTCTTAAATATCTTCAATATCCAAATATTGTCTGCATGTATTAGAAAAACTGACGCATCCTGTTGGTAATCCTTTAAATAATATTATTGTATCATATACAGGCACATTAATATTTATTGCATTATTTTACCCGCAAACATTGTTTACATTAAAAGCAGCTATTGTTTTATATGTCAAGTATTGTAAGCTAAATCGATGCAAGAAGGTATACAATTTAAATTTTAATGCAAAAACATTTCTAAATTGTTATGCATACTCACATAGGGCAAGAAGGGCAGGTTAAATCCAAATTTATTTATAACACTCACAATATAATAATGACAATCGACTATTTATTAGTTTTATCTAACAAATTAAATGATGTGTTTCAAATAACAAATAACTTGAATTTGTCCCACAATAAAAAAAATGTACTAACATGAAAGCGAGGGTTATCGATTGCAAAAGTATTTGTCAATATTTATTGAATTGGTGAATACATTAGGTTTACGCAATATACACTCTTGGAAGGTATTTTAAATAACTTCAAACAATAGGTACAAAATTACTTATTACCAACTTCATTCTAGTATTCAAGAATGACACGATATTTTATTGTCTATGATAAATATTTAAAATCGTTTTATTAATGACTGCTTTTTTAATTAATATATATTCATTAGTCAATCGTTTAAATATTTAAACCCTGTAAAATAGATACGAACAGTTTATTTGACAATCATACAAAGTGAAATAATGTATACCACTATAACAGAACAATTCTTGTTTTACGACTTTTAATTTTCACAAAAACAAATCCCCTTTACACAAATCTTTTATAAATTAAAACCATTAGACATTAGATAGGTAATGCTTTAATAATTCAATGACAATGCACGTCACAGAAATAGACATTTAGAAAAAAAGTAGCAAGGAGTTCTAAATCAAAATCAATTCAAAATCGGCTAAGTCTTTTTTTATAGGTACTTATTTTTAAAGTGGTTATGAAAGTTATTCATTTTCATGCATATTCCTAATCAAAAGACAGCCTAATTAAAATACCAGGCTGCTTTAGAAATGGCGAAGATTGATAGCTACCTATCAGTTTGAATATAATGTTACACGATAGTTCCTCATATATCTGTCTATATTCATCTCTGGACATAGGCCTCTATTAATTTTTTCCGTCACTACCGCCTATCTTGTGCTCTTTGCATCCATTCATAGATTCTTGTTTTGCGACTCTGATGGTAATTTAAGATTTTGTTCCACAAAAAAAACCTTTGTTGAGATAAAACGTCGTTAATAAATTAAATTAATCCAAGTAATGGCAGCAGACTCGCGTACTACAACGTTCGGTTCAACAAGCACGGCGAAATGTAGATATGTCGAGTGTTACATTCACCTCAACAGTAACAGTGGACCAATACCTTTAATTCCCTCACCAGGAATTAGCTAGAATCAAAACGAGCATATTTCTATCTTGGTATACCAACCATGCAAAACATATGCCTGTACGACTAACACGGAAGTAAATCTTCTGGGTCTAAATCAAATCATGCTGCTGTTCAAGCATATACGCGACTCAACGTGGTTGACTCTAAATACTTAGACGCCTAAAGTTTCAATGGCTGTTTGAGTATGAGTATTATTATAAATTTAATAAAATGTATAAGAATGTTTTCTTTTTATTTTCCAGATTTTTCAAGCTCATGGAGATTGCGATCCAGTAGTACCTTTCAAGTGGGGCCAGATGACCGCTTCGTTTCTGAAAACATTTATGAAGAATATTGACTTCACTACGTATCAAGGTTTAACACACAGCTCATCAGAGGCAGAACTAAAAGATATGAGGGCTTTTATAGAAAGAACTTTGCCTTCTGTAAAATAAAGTCATTTTAAAAGATACCCGTTAATATATTTATGATGATATAGACTATACTTTCTTTAATGATAGACTATTTTAAGCACTCACCTCAGTACACAAAAAAAAATGTCAAAACATATTAAGCCGACTACATAATGTTGTTATTATTCAAACTAGTGAGTACCTACTCATTTTACTAGGTATCTGTTACGTGCAATTGTTAATACTAAAAGTAGATTAATAAAATGCATCATTAAAATAATTGAAACCAGTTTCATTTATTCGTATATCACTAACATTGAGGCCGTATTCATTTCTCAATAGCGTATTTAAAATTATTTTCTACAGTGACGGAGCGAAAAGATAGGGCTGGCCCTTCGGACTTATAATTGCGCATAGCCGAAAACTACATAATATAATAATATGTAGTAAAAGTCTTAAGTCGATTAACGTTAGAATAATCTTTTTCATAGTTGATTGATCAAAAGATTCTAAGATTATTTTTTATTATTATATCAGCAGTATAATAATAAATTTAAAACATGATATAAGAAAGAAGTAGTTACAAATGTATCTTTTACTCGAAGGCTTGCTTAGATGAAAATGTCGATATCAGATATTACTCTATCGTCTTCGTGCATGTATCCTATAACGAATTGAGTCGTAGCGATGCGAATGTGTATAGCCAATGTCGCACTCAATGTAATAAACTAATATAGCCGTATTGGTTACTGAATCAATTCACACGTTACGTGCGATATTGGATATTGGCCGGTTTAATTCGCGCCGCTATACCGCAGTCAGTCGCAGGGCGTGTTGCTTTTATGCTTTGCCTGTAGTAGATAATATCTAATATATAGTCAGGCAAGAATGCCTAGTTTCTATATAAATTAATAATTTATAACTAATATACATATATTGCATATAATACATATATACAGTTTATAATACACAAGTCTATTTCTTACTCTGTGAACTCCGCAATAAGGTCAAAGTATGGATTTAAATTTATAAATTTTTTAAGAACATCATTGACTATACTGCAATAAAAGAGGGTGGGATTGTTAATTATAGGGTCTAACTGAATGATTGCCAGCATTACATCCTATCAAGTCGACCTCCATGCGGTTCGCCCTGAAAACCATCGTGATTAATTCTAGTAGATTCGTCACGATGGGCTAACTGACCTGTTTTCATAGTCACCTATCAACCCTCACTAGTGCCCCGCCAGCATATACCAATATCACAGGCAGTATTACCATTCCATTATCACCCTTTAAAAATAAATACTACAATAAGAGTAATATATATTAAAGATGGGTTGGAAGACATCCAAAGCCGTAAAGCTATCTTTCAAAAAAATCTGTGGACTGACATTAAATTGTAATTTTGACAACATTAGAAAAATTAAATACCAGATAAATTATCATATTGAAAACTAGGCAGCATGGTCTCCTACCTTAGCCTGTTCCACAACGGTATAAACGTACTAAAAAAAAAAAGTAATTTTGACTTGTGACATTCAATTTCATATACAAAATAATTTATGTTTTTGTTCTACACTTACAGTTTTTATTATGAAATAGGTTTTTATTGCTAAAGGTATTCTCTCAACAAATTATTTAGAAAATTTACTAAAAGCAATTCTGAATTTTATTTATGATGGATGGACCAATAAGTAAAAAACGAAAACCCAACACTGACAATGGTAAGTCGTTTTATACGTATTTAGGCCTCATAGACATTCTATTAAGAACTTTACCAGAGCGAAATATACTAATTAAAAATACTCTTTATTAAAAAATGCATAACGCCCCTAGCCCATTCTACCTAATAACCTCTATATTATAATCAGTGTAAGTAGGTAGATACATATCACACCACGTGTGTGGCTCATAGAATGAAGAGTTGCAATAAATTTATATTTACTACCTAAGTAGCCACACAAACAATTAATTTTGTTTCAATTATATATATATTTAGACTTTTACATGTACATTGTTAAATGATATTTTGCAAATGTATTCTTCACAGGCAAATCTATACATATGCAGACATTGAAAAATGAGATATTGGATTCCAAAACTGAATATAAAACTAAACCAAAGAAACACATACCTAAGTTTCGTTTGAAAACTGCTGGAGAAATTGCATCATTGTCCACACCACAAAATGAACGTGTACCAGTTATGCTTACAGATATACAGCATTTGCTTTTACATTCACTTCTAGGGAATTTAAATTTATCTATTCCACCTCGCTGGTACGTATTGGAAAAATGTAATCATATATGCCAAACAACCTGTCTCATATTGGAAGGAATATCAATTCAACATTGGGAAAAGCATGCAAATAAATTTGTACAAACTCGAAAAATATTTCATGATTTTGTAGAAATTCTAACACCATCTGTTTATAATGGATCGTTAGTGCAAGAACTAGCCTTAGTGCCTTTATCTGAAGTAGATAAAGAAGAAATTATCCAGAAATATGGAAGCATGAATTTAGCTCTTGAAGCAAGAAAAGATTTGATGATTATGATGAAAGCTGTTTTCCCAATTAAAGATCAACAAATAGAGTGCATTGATTATGAAGATAAATTTCCAAGGACACAATTAATGTTATCAGCTTGGCAACTTATTGAAGAAAATTACCCAGTGCCATTGAAGGGTAAATTAAAAAATACATATTCAGATTATGTTATGACAAAAGATGAATACAAACCTGTTACAGCTAAGTCTCCAATGTTTGGATTAGATTGTGAAATGTGTATAACAAATGCAGGTTCAGAATTAACAAGGGTTTCAATAGTTAATGAAGAACATAAAACCATATATGAATCTCTTGTAAAACCTTACAATAATATAACAGACTATTTGACACGATATTCAGGCATTACAAAGTCATTATTAACTGATGTAACTAAAAGACTTAAAGATGTCCAGAACGATATAAGAGAACTGCTTCCATCTGATGCTATTCTAGTTGGACAGTCATTAAATATAGATTTACATGCATTAAAAATGATGCATCCATATGTAATAGATACTAGTTTAATTTATAATTTCACAGGAGAAAGAACAAGGAAGCCTAAGCTAAAAGTATTAGCAAAAGAATTTCTCAATGAAGATATTCAGTCTAGTAAAAAAGGACATTGTTCTGTAGAAGATTCTTTAGCTTCTTTAAAATTAGTGCAATTAAAATTAAGTAAAAGTATGGAGTATGGAGACGCAGTTCACACCAATAGACAAAAATATAAAGAAAATGCTATCAAGATTTCTAAAACACCAGAGGTTGCTTTGTCTATATTTAACCATATGATAGAACAGAAGAAAACATCTATAATTATTGGTTGTGATGATATTACAGGGGATTACCATACATATTTAACACAAGCTCGTGAAAGTCTGACTTCCCAGTTCAAGAATGGAAAAATAAAAAAGGTGAAATTGAGCACTGTTGATGGAGCAGAAGAAGTAATCAGCAGTCTTAGTAGGGCTGTAATAGAATACAATTTTGTAATGGTTCATTTAAAACCAGTAATAGATAGCAAATCTGAATGTGAACAATTTGAAACTATTGATAGGTGGATTGATACTGTTTGGAGAAGTGTGATGCAATGTGCTTTGTGTGTTGTTGTTTTAAGTGGTACAACCACAGACAATGGTGTTGCTATGATGAGAGTAAAAAGTACTTTGTAATAATTCTATTATATACAAATTTATGTTATATGGTAAGAGTAAAAACCAAAAACTGCTACTATGTTTTATCTATTACCTATAGTATATATAAGTACATGCTATCATCATATAATGTATCATCTAGATTAATTATACATATACAGACTATTGTTTTGATAGTTCCAGCCTTCACCTACTTACCTGAACATACGATTCACTGGAACTATTCCCAAAATATTGAAATTCTGTATCAATGCTGCTTTAAGCTGTTATGTTGGGTTTTGTCATGTCAAAAAATGTAATATATACAAAACTACATCTTGGTATAAATAGACTACTTTGGAGACATAACATACACAAAAAAATTAAATTAATTTATGAAGTCTTGCTTTCAAAATTTTTAAGCAATTAGACAATGCAAAATATAAAAATATTTGTTTACTAGCTATTTCTTTACTGCTTTGCTCGTGCATCAGTATATATAGTTTCCTGTTTAAGACAAGAAACAACCTACCAAGAATATAACCTACTTGTGTACCAAATTTAATTCAAATCCATTTAGCCGTATATCTATGATTGAGTGACAAATATCGAAGCATCCTTACAAACCTTCATATTTATAATATCAGTAGGATTTGTTAAATATACATATTTTATTTTACTAATGTAATAAAATACGTAACTAAACGACGTCTGTATATGAGAGATATTTAAGCAAATTTAATATGAGAGATCTTAATAAATCCAGAACCCAAAACAACTGTCTGTCTGCATTTTTGCATATTTAATCCAACATCAGGTATAAAAACTATTACACCAATTTACATGAATTTTTCACAGTTGTGTTCCTAAACTCTAACTTAAGATGTGGTGTATATGAGTATTTCTTAATATACCAACTATATGGCCAATTTCAATGCTTCTCCTACTTCTAAAATCCACGCTTACGAACCAGGGGATAAAAAGCTAGTATAAATATGTATATGATAAATAAAAACACATTTTAAAATTCAATTTTCTATAATGTTAACAAAAATATATTTACTTATTTAAAAAATCTTAATTACATTTAGTTAAAATGATAATAAGTAAGCTATCTTTCCCTTAATTGAGCTAATTCCTCCGAAAGTGTTAATATTTTTAAATGTATTTTATGGTAATATGTAATTGTGATGTACATAGTAGTATTATTCTACATATTCTGTGTTAGAATTTATAACGATATTAGAGCATTTAAAAAATCTACAGAATTTGGCCCTCTATTATAATTGCTTTAATAGAGTGACACAGTATTAACAGAATTATTGTATGCATCAAATTAATGTGTATCTAATCATGTTAATAACAGGTTGAAATTGAAATAATTAGTACCCAATTTAAATGTTATAAACCAAAATCAAACTGACAATTCTTTTTTCAAAGTTACAATGTTAAATACAAACGACATAAAATTCTGAGCCTCGCATACCTACTAAGTACTAGGGTTACGAATAGTGGTGGTAAAATTTATATTTTTTATTATTTTTCTACTCATATTTCTATGGAGATAATCATTGGTATCATTAGTATACCACAAAAGTACAGTTACTTTCGTATCACCCAGTGGATTACTTATTTCATGTGTATAAGTATTCTATCCACTTCAACTGGAGGACGTTTAATTAGGTAGTACGTATATTTTAATTATGTACTTATCTATTTTGTTTCATTGCATTACAGAGTTTATTATAAAGAAAATATTTTTTGCTTACTTTGTAAGGTATTTTATATATGTTAGGTTTATACCTACTACTGCTATATTTTTATCGGTCATGTCGTGCGATTCCTTCTGGAGGACAATTTTTCAATTCCATTTTTTTTTAATAAATGATAACCACGATAGTTTCTAAAGAAAATTAATAACTTACCTACACTTTTATACAAACTATTGTAATTTCATTGCCCATGAATATTATTAATTCACCAAAACTAATAAATTTAATTCCCATTTCTAGGTAGGAATGAGAATTAAATTTAATGAATATTAAGTATATGTAAAAGGTTTCCGCCAAATTGCTTAACGTACATTATTATTATGCTAAGTACAATACATCGGTATTGAACTCGATTAAAAATTAAATATAGTATATAAAAAAGAAAAAGAAATAATTTTAAGTTTACTCACAAATGAGTGCTGAAACAAGTTTTTGTACCTAATTAGATACGTTAGGGGGGAAAGGGATTGTTAGTAATGGAGACTGAGAATCCCATTGCTAGCAATATACCCAACTAAGTCGACCTCCTCGCGGTTCCCCCTGGAAACTATCATGGTTAATTCCTGTTGAATTCATCATGATGGGCTAACTGGCCTGTTTTCATTCTCATCTATCACCCTTCGCTGGTGCTCCGCCAGCGTATTCTATTAGCGCAGGCGGGGTTACCATACCATTCTCACCCATCAAAAAAAAATTAGATACGTTATACTTCATTGCTAATAAGTGTCCTTATTCACTGTCTTTAAGAAAAAGAATTGCAGCTAATATAAGTTTGCAGTAATCTCCTTAAAAACCTGTAGAAGCCTCACCCTTATAATATCAAATTATCAATCGACAGAACCCCTTTGATCAATTCACTCTCTTATCGTTTGAATAAAAAGGAACAAATCACCGGATGTTACTATCTCGTTCTACCACAACAGGTTTACCAAAAACATATTTAAAACGATACATTCATTTACCATTTCTGTACGGAAGCAGGACTTCTAACTTTTGATTATATGATATAGTTGATAGCGAAATTTAGAATACCTTATTAAATTATTACCTAATAGTAATATTTTGCTTCAAAGAATTTAATAGGTCTATGAGCACGATAAATGTTATCAACAACAACTTAAAGAACAAAACAAACCTCCTTGTCAGACTTGCATAGTTTACATTAAATTTAATAATAAACTACCTAAATATAAATGTTAACAATGTTTAATGAAAACGTTATTTAGAGAGAGCATAAATCTGACCAGTAATTGGATCAACTGTGAGAGAGGGTGGCAATTCTGCCGCAATATCTGCTAATGCTTCCCACCGTGTCGCACGACTACTAGTTGATTGACTAGGACTGATGGCTTCTTCGGTTGTATCGTGGCTGTAAGAATAAAGAAAATATTTTAAGAACTATTATAAAATATATGAGAGATAATTTCCATCTACTTACATTACATTATCAGAATCTGTTTTAGGAACATCTAGTGGTTCTTCATCAGGTCTTCTATGGCTTTCTTCTTTTTTAATAGAATTTATTTTTGTTTCTTCCTCTACAATTTTTTTCTCTTCTGGAAAATTTTGCATTTCAAAAGCATTGTCTGTAACATATAATTCTACAACTTTTTCAACGACTTCTTGCAAAGTGGACAATTTATCTTCATCATCTCCTCCCTTATCAACTATATCTTCATTCTTTATTATAAATCCATTTGCATGTGTATCTAAAATGTAAAAGTTTAATACGTCAATATTCTAAGTTAAAAACTGGCCGTCTGCACATTCTCACTTGAGAAATTGACGTAGTTAATAATATCAGATACCAGAGGGAGACTTTGTACAAAAGTCGATTGGTTGGGTACCTCTGTCTCATTCGTGTTTCAACCGTGAAGCAGTTGTATTTGCATGGCTGTGTTTCGGTTTGAAGGGTGGGATATGGCGTGAATTTACTGGGTACAGAGGAATAACACCTGAATCTTCAGGATTGGCAACACATGGGGGGTATCATGGGCGAAACAGTATATCTATCTCTGTTATGTCCATGGTACTGCTCATGTCTATAGGCGATGGTTACTACTTTCCATCAAGTGGGCCATCAGCTTGTTTGCCATTCTAAGTTGTATAAAAAAAATATGTAATAACATATAAATCTTTTTGAAGTGATTATTCTGTGTAGAATAAAAAAATTCAGACATATGTTGTAAGTCGAGTATTGTCAGGACTCTCATTACATAGTAATTATAAAAAAGGTTTTAGTAGTTATTTGTGTGATTTGTCTATTTTCTTGTTGTCTCTATCTATATTTTTTACAAAAGAACAGCCTCCTAAAAATTTTTTCCTATAATGTTGTACGTTGAATCATGGCACACATTAATCATCCGATAGAATATCCAAAAAGAAAGACCGAAACATCAGTTTGAAGAACGTACCTAGTTTAAATATGTATAAAAGGAACGCATCTCAATTAACAGATGACATTAATTGACATGTACTAGCTAATTTTCCCGTTGGTTTTCCCACCTTTGTTCGCTCTCTTTGAAGTTAATAAATATATCTTTGCAATTGAATAAGTTTAATTTAAATATAACACAGTTAGCTCGCCAATTATTCGTAGAATCGTTAGTTACCCTGTATAGACTAATAGAATAATACTTGTATTATGATAGGCACGACCCCCGACCCCAATCAGAGGAAGTCGATGAAAGTAGCCAACTCAGGGCCGTTTTTTATGGCACTGTAAAGGAAGCCTTGTCCAACAGTGAACTACTATAAATCGATTTAATTATGATAGCGTAGCTATCACAGGAAAATCAAGCTAATTCACTAGAAGTTGCATCAAAATTATTTAGAATTTACGTCCATCACGACCGCAGGTGCTATTTACACAATATTATATTCTTCAATATGTCTAAATTTCATTTTTATATTCAATTCAACTAATCGTAGATTGTCATAATCGTCATAGCAAGATATCAGTTTCTTATAACCTCTGATATAGTAAATAGATTTCACACAAAAAACTCGATTTCAGTCGTGGCTAAACCTTGAGAGACTAATCTTTAAGTATATTCTTTTATATAAAAACTAATTTTCCAAATCAGTTTATAACTGACGCAGTTATGAGGCAACAAACAAAAAAAGACAACCGAATTGTGAAACGCCTACTCCTACTTTCTTTTTGAAGTCAGTTGAAATTATAACTAGTCATTGATTAATCATTAATTTCAAGCTAACCCCTTGTAAGTAGCATCAACTTTATTTCGTGTATCAGCAGTACACACAACAAAGTAAAATACATTCTGATTTTTATCAGTATATACAGGCTTGTTGTTGCCGGATAGGAGACTTTCATGCTAAGCTACTTTATTATGCTGCTCCAACTTTTGTGCTGGTAGCGTGGAAATATCACATTCTCTAAAATCCGATCAAAAACGAACACGCAAAAATAACATTTAAGCACTTAAACTATCGTATTTATTATTATCATCTACAGTTTTAAAAAGCGCAGATTCTGACATAAACAAGTATATATTGGTGTAGAAAAACTGTTTATTTTCATTATTGTAGATTAGATATGAATATATGTTCAGATCTCGATCTACACAAAAATGTAGCAAACGTTCGCCGTACCTACAAAGAAACATCAGTTAATTTATCAAATCTGTATCAATATTATGTGTATTTATTTAAATGTATTATGTCTAAAATAACATAGTTATTGAACGTTTAAAAACCCGTGTGTGATCAATTAACCTAACACCAAGCAAGTAATCATTTAGTGTGTAATATTTTTAAGCTTTGCTCAAAACTATTCCTTAATGAAAGTTTTAAATTTGTAAAAGTTAGATCGAAAATATCTACGAAGTATCTATGTGTGTGTGTGTGTGTGTGTCTCTCTCTCTATATGTGTGTGTCTCTCTGTGTGTATGTGTGTGTGTGTGTGTGTCTCTCTCTCTGTCTGTATGTGTGTGTCTCTCTCTCTGTGTGTGCATGTCTCTCTCTCTCTCTCTCTCACTCTCTTTCTCTCTCTTATGTGTGTGTGTGTGTGTGTGTGTGTGTGTGTGTGTGTGTGTGTGTGTGTGTCTCTGTGTGTGTGTGAGTGTGTGTGTGTGTGTGTGTGTGTACCCCATTTTTCTTGTTTGGATTTTAATTTCCAAAAATCATTAAATACGTGACTATTTATTTTTTTGAGAAGTTTTAAATTTGATTGTATTCCTTTAAAAATATCCCCATATATTTCACTCTCTTAGGGGACAGATTTTAAAAATCCTGAAATATAAATTTATTTATTTCTAACCTGAAGTTTGTATATGAAGTTCTATACTATCTTTGAAAATGTCAGAAATTGCCTTATAACCTTATTTTACTCCTTTAGGAGTTAAAATTTCCAAAAATCCTTACTGGAAGGGTATTTACGAGTACATCTTAAAATGCATAAATTGCCAATCAGTGTGATTTAGGCTGTACATTGACGAATTTATCAAGACAATTTTATAAAGATGTATATTATTAAATTTTTATAGAAATCAAGAAACATAAAACGTTCAGTCGAGAAAACGGTTTCACACTACGATATATTGTAGAATCCAGTAGAACAAAAATTATTTTTAATCAACCTTGCTATAGTGTGCACTCGGTAAATTCAACGAATAAAGACACCATGAGACAATCAGTGTTGTGTGAAACCTCAGTTTTAAATTATATAGGTAAAGCCTCGAGCCTCAAAAAAGGGTCAACTTTTTGTCAGCTAATTGTCAAATTAGCTTATTCGTTTTTTTATTAGTGTTCTATATACATACTTACACCTTACAACGTATTTTGACGTATCAATATTTAATTTAAATAAATTTTAGTGCACTAAAAAGGGACAAAAATTATAAGACTAATAAAGAAATCACTGAAGTAAAGTATCTTAAATTTTAAGCATAAATACGATTAAAATTATTCACATTTTTTTTTGTTGCAAGTATCTGAAAAAATTCCCTACAATTGAATTAAAATTTCCGAAATGAGGTGGTTTTTTTTTCAGTAAGAATTGAATTATAATATTTATGTAGGCTTTGTTATTTGACCAATTGCTTTCAAAATTAAAATCTGAAGATCCCTGTACACTTTAAATATGAATTTAATGTCAGAATTATTAATAAAAACCGGCATTTTTATTTTCTTTTTTATTCTACCGATTGCTTTCAAAATCGATATCTGAGAATCTATATACATTTCAAACATAAATCTGGTGTTAGAATTAATCAAAATGACCGCCATTTTCATTTTCTTTGTTATTTGGCCGATTACATTCAAAATCGATATCGAAGAATCTCTATACACTTTAAATATGGATCTGGTGTTAAAATTAATAAAAATGGCCGTCATTTTATATTTTCTTTATTATTTGACCGATTGCCTTCAAAATCGATGTCTGAGGATCCGTATACACTTTAAATATGGATTCGATGTCAGAATTAATCAAAATGGCTGCCATATTTATTTAAAGTGCTAAAAGTAGTTATTTGGACAAAGATTATAAATTAAACTTAATATAAAATACAAATTAATATTTTTGCATTTAGTCAACTCAATTATAATGAAATAACTTATATTTTCCATTCCTATACTTAGATATTTCTAAAAACTCGCATAAAATTAAAATGGATCCCACTTCGATTAATTCTAACATCGATACATGTTTTAGATCTACAAAGATTCTGAGATATTTGTATTCAAAGAAATCGGTTGAGTAAAAAACCTTTAAAATGGCCGTTACTAAAAGTAACATGACATTATATATTCCGTTCATATTTATACTATACATGGATCCATAAATTTTTTTATGCAACTTAGAATGACAAACAAGCAGACAGCACACTTGATGGAAATAATAGAGTATACTGTTTCGCCCATGATACCCCTCATGCGTTACCATTTTTGAAGACTTAGGTGTTATTCCTCTATACCCTGTAATTTCACTGCCATATCCCACCCTTCAAACCGAAACACAGCCATGTAAACACAACTGCTTCACGGTAGAAACATGAATGGAACAGAGGTGCCCAAGCAAACGACTTCTGTATAAAGTCTTCCTTTGGTAAATGCCGGATTTTAACCTTCTAAAGAGGAGAAAAGGAAATTTTACTATTTTTTAAAGCAATATGAAAGAATTATGGAGATATATATGAATTATTTATCTACTGAATTCTTATTATTTATTCATGATAAATAATAAATAATACAATTAAATGTAATATATATTATAAATAAATAATTAAATATTATAAAGTTTTATTCAATCCTACTAATATTTTAAATTAAGCCCTTCACCTATTTAAATTAATTAATTTCACTTTAAACTAATAATTTCTTATTTGGTAATACTGTCACGTGCACAATTGTATGAAAAAGTTTTAAGACCCGCTATTTTTGAAGTATTTGTATAGAGACACTATTTATATAATTTAACTCCTCAATATAGAAACACTATTTGTATTATGTGCGACAATAATAGTACATTACTGCAGCGGCCAGCAACTGAGGCATTGATGAACGAACGTGCAAATGTGGGCCGAGGCGTAGCCGAGGCACACCATACGTACATACGTACATACCAAAAATACAATTTTACTTTTTAAGTTCAATGACGAATAACGAACAATAATAATTTTCTACGCGCCATAATGTTCGTGTTTTTTTTTTCAATAAACAGCTTTCTATTTGCAAGCCTGTTCGAAATTTAAATAAAACCTTTCATTAGTTACCTCCATGGTAGCCATGTTTCGAAGTAAAAGGTGATTCCATTTTTAAATTACAGGACAGATATGAGTTTACATGTAATTTATCTGGCCACAAAACACGACAGATATGGATTTTCATACAACTTTTGCCGGCCGCTGCCCGCGTGTATCTGACCAGTACGGCAATTTTGATTTATCTCGAAGAAGATTGTCAAAATAATGCTCACATTTCCAAGCATGTTTGAGAAAAAGTAATTACCAGTGAAAACTTATTGAGACGTCGAGATAACTTAGGTAAATTACCGTAGTTTACGTAAATGATCGCATTATCTTTCATCTCTTATAAATTAGTATTTTTTTAGTTCTGACCCACAATACTCCATATTTTTACCAATTATATTTTTGTACGGGGCTAATGAAAAAAAAATATTTACCGGTTTGTTTTTAATTTCAGTATAGAACTGTGGCAAACATCAACATAAATTAAAGATAGTACCTATAGTCCTAAACAAAGATTTCGGAATTCCTTGTTCTTGGATCCTAACACCAATAATTACAAAAAGTAACAACTTGTTTACTATTCTCCTAGATTTGGGATAGTACCTGCGGACTAATCTTATGCTTACGTAGAGAGTTAGAGTTTTATTAGTTATTTATTGATATGTCATCCTTCATGTTGTTGATTAGCAGCAAGAAAAAATGCTTCTTTAGGAGGGCAAAAGAAAGAATATAGGCCTATATTATTATACCTTTTTCTATGTCCATGTTTGAGATGTTTATCACTGATTTATTATGTCTATCTAATTGTATAGATTCATCTAAAGTATCACACGAAGGAAGCACCTTATTTTCGATATCTTCAATTCCATTATTCGTATGTACATCTACATCCACAATTGATTGCTTGTGTGATTCTTCAGGAAATTGAAGCAATTTTTCTGAAACAAAGAAGATATACCTTATATTTTTTTAAATTATAACATAGGTACCTACTTACTAAGGTGACTTACTAAAATCGTTCATAAAGAAGTATGGCATCATCAAATTCAAAAATATTTATTAATTCTCCACATTACTGTATGAATAAACTATCTACTTAAGAATACTCAATCTATGTAATGTGGAGACTGATGGCTGGCCTAGAAAAACGTGTTATAGCCACCAGGCCACCATCCCCAGACAACTTGTAATAATATAAGTAAATAACATTTCAAAAATAAACTATCTAACGTTAAATGAATAATCTTCAATGTTTCTGAATTATTACTTAAAAAGTGCTCTCACTACGAATTATTTCATTTTCAGTGTCAGCGTAATAAGTATATTATTACGGATTCCATGCTATTGTATTGTTTTTGAAACTTGATAGATAATTGCGACGTTGCCATATTTGGTTAAGCTAAAGTTTTAAACGCCCTTAAATAAATTATTGCATGACATTTCACCATTTGCACGTACATATACTCGTAAATTGATATACTACATAAATTAAGGATAATACTTTTTTAGTGGGTTAGGTGTATAGCTTGAAAGGAGTAAGAGATATATTAATGTGAATGTAACTAATATAACAATGTTATTGTAGGAATACGTTATGTATATAGGTGAGAATTTTAATTATGAATTAAAAAATATGTATTATCTACTAAAATTAGTAGAATAACATGTAATTATATGTATGATAATTGTATACAGATGCAAGATCTCGAATACATAACATTTTAATGAAATTTAATCTTACATGATTGCTCAAGTATTTAAGGATCCATTTAGAATTAATTTAATAGAAATCTCTGTTTTTTAATATGAAAAAAATACAAAGATTTTAGTCATTCTTAAAATTGTTAATATAATTTATTTTGCAATTAGAACAAAAATTAAAAAGTCCGTCCGTTTCTGTTCTTTATGATAATTCTGTTTTTATTATAAATACACTTTATGCTGATCAACCTTCAAGCAATGCTATTATTACGATGAAACAAAGAGGTCCTTTAGTCTACATATGTAGGTAATCTAAATTTAAAAATGTCTAAAACCAGTTTAAATATTTGAATTTATATAATTTATTTAACAAAAATGAATACTAAGTAAGGGATTTGTAGTGTAAAAGTTTAACTGGTTGGTACTTGGCAAATAACTTGATCTATTAAATCCTTTTTATAAAAAACTAAATAAAGGTGTTTGAACAGTGAGTGATCTTTACCTGATTTTAATTTATTATAATTGATATGATTTATTGATATTATAAACAAAATTGTCTTTTATCTTGTTACTAAAACTCTGTTGTTAATAATCTTATCTAATATTTATAGTACCTGTAGTATTTGTATGTGATGTGACCATATTTGGAGCGCTGCTGGTACAGCCCATGGTGCATGGACTAACGTTCTACGAGGCAAATGCCATGTGTCTGTAAACGAGAGCAGATGTTGTAGGCGGTACGCGTCGCGGCGCCGCGACGGACGCCTGACCAGCTGGCCGCACTAGCTCCGCTCTACTGCGCGCTGCTAGCGGCGCTGCCACCGCCACCAATTCTCTCGCACACAACCCACAGCACAGATCGTATCGTACCCACCTATTAGTGGAGGGAGTCCACTCAACTGACCTCGCACCCCCATCGCGTTTTTCCAATTAAACCGACGTAGTACATTCCATTATACTGACGCGCATAATTTTTAGTGAAAAGCCTTTCTTTTCAAGGTAGGTATTTCAATCTTCGGATATTTTTAGCATTTATGAAAAAATAGAATTAACAGCATTATAGATTATTATCAGCATAAAACTAAAATTTCTTTTTAATCCAACGATCATATCTAGGTACTTCATCAAAATTAAATCCACAACAATGTAATTTTGTAACAATACGTATACAATTTGTTAACAATATAATATTCGTAATATAAGCAAGTAGTAATACTTAAATATAATATCGTACATTAAGTACTGCTACGTTGTCTTATTACCTACCTATAATACAGATATACAAGTTTAAAACGAAAAACTTATTAAGTACATTATTTGTTTCAAACTTATATTAAATGATGTCATCATAATATACAGGGCCGGCATTAATGCATGCATGCATAAAGGTACATTAAGACAAAGTACAACTGAATCTATTATATATTTTATAATAGTTACTATATTAGTTATCTATTATAACAGTTATCGCCAGTGGGTCGATGAGATAGAATGAGGTGATGACGTGCAATGACTTATTCTTTCTCATGTGACCAAAACAATTCTATCGATAGAATCGTTTGTACACATCTTATCTAGGGGGGCTAGCGCCCCCTGGGCAAGAGCTGGACATCGCTATCCTTGATGATAAATAAATAGGTCACTACATTTTACTGTGGTTCTTCTGAGTAAACTGCACACAAAGATTTCCCTGAGTGACGACGAAAATAATTGGATATCAAGGATCCACTTTGTTTACTCGAAAGTCAATTTTGATGCGAATTTTTATTAATTCTAACGCTTTTTTATATCACATAACTTTACTCGTCGCCCCTCTTGGATTTCGATGTCCCTCGGCGCCGCCTAACCGCATGTACTGACATTTGATGACAAAAATTACTTTAATAGCTATATACTGGACCGTGAGGAAATCGACTTGACAAGCTATAATTCTAAAAGTGGGAATGCCCATTACTAATAGTTTCTTTCCTCCTGCCTCATAATTAATAGGTAATAATGCTAATAGGCACCTGTTCATATTTATACACAGAAAAAAATGCTATTAACAAAGACGTCATTTGTGGTCAGATCTATTGAATCGCCCATTTCTGTTTTAGTATTTGTAGTTAGGAACTCTGGTGAACTAGTTAGAAATATTTGTTGCTTAATGTAATCTCTCCCTTAGTTCACTATATTTAGAGTGATATTTAAAAATATAAATACTGTAATCAATCATATTATCTGTATGCGCACTATGGTGTATATAGATATACCGTATTGCTGTATATTTATTTGGAAAAGGGGAGGATGGCAATGTAAACAATCCATCACCCACCTGTGGAAATGTGTTGGTAAAGCACGCCAGCACGCCATTGCAGACTCTACTCACACAAGAGAGAGCTTCCCGCATTGCACTTAAGTGTCTTTAAAAAATTTTTAAAGCATGAAAATTCTTAAGTAAATTATTCTTTGTTAACCCAAATATACACCAATATTTCTAGTTCAAAGTCCCAAAAGGTACATGTATGCCTTGGCGTTGCCAAATTAATGCTCGCTGGTTTGTTCCGAGTCCAAGAGTTTCCGAGAGGAGTCCGTTAGTCACTTTTCAGGGATCAAAATGATGCGAACAATATCTCTATCATAATCCTTGTAGATCTCAGAAGCATTGAAATTAAGTTTCTGAGCAAGCACAAGAACTATTTCAATATACATGGCTGCGATGCTATATTGAAGGCACCCACAACTACAGGTGCACGGATTGATTGACTAACCATAACTATGACTACTTATAATTGAACAGGATGTACCAATTTTAGTAGTGGATAAAATAGATCCAAAGAAATACAAATTATGTAGAAATTAATTCAACCCTATTTCAAATTTATTTTCATACTAAAATAGAACATAACAAACAAAAATTTAATTTTTAGTTCTATTAAAATCGTACTACAAATAGTAGAACTAAATGGACAAAAGACAAAAGTCCGTTTTGTTCTACTGCCTGTAGCGTGATAGAACTAAATCGCAGAATTATACGGATATAATCTTATTAATATATAAACAGGAACAACAGGTTGCCCACTGGGTGTTACTCGTAGTTATAGTAACCACAACAAGACTTATAATCAATATACGACTTTTAAAGAACAAGCTGCACATACTGAGTATGGGGGTAAGAGGCGAGACATTAATGAGGTATCAGGTTCGTATTGATAACTAATAGGAAAGATCATAAAGCCTCTTTCTTTTTATACTATGAAAATGGCAAAAAAAAAACATACAGCCCAATGATACTATGAGCCCAACAGTCTAATGATAAAAGGTTACTGAGCTTATGGATTAAGGAATAGAGAACCGGCATTATTTCGGAGAACCAGGATATTTTTTTTTTATACAACTTAGAGCGGCAAACAAGCTGACGGTGCGAGCCCATACTGGAACTGGGTAATCCTGGGAAATTCGGTTATTTTGGTATTTTTTTAATTACTTAAAATAAAATTTTATTAGTTCAATTACAAGAGACAGTGGATTGTAATATCTGAACTAGGAAATCCCTGTGTTACAGATGTTATGATCTTCCAAAATAATAAATTTAGTTTATTGTTTTGATAGGTAGTAACAAAAAACTATACTAATCATCATCATTATCAACTTAGAGTGGCAAACAGGCTGACGGCCCACCTGATAGATAGTGGTAACCGTCTTTCATAGACATGAGCAGTACAATTTCATGAACATATTACAGAGTATACAAAAAATGTTTTTCTTATATATATATATATATATATATATATATATATATATATATATATATATATATATATATATATATATATATATATATACCCCTATGCGTTGTCATTCCTGAGAACATGTTATATTTCTGTACCCTGTAAATCACTGTCATATACCATAAAAGTAAAATATAAATAAATTTGTGTTAAAAAAAATATAAAAAAAAAATACTAGAGTAAAATAATTAAATATAGGTACTTCTTTTTGTTGTCTACGTTTTTCGTTAAATTGGAAAATTTTATATTATTAACTAGCTAAATTTTTACTACAGTAATTGTCGATATCGATAAATTGAACGAACGCATAATGATAGTGGTACAACGCTATGTATATTCAATTTTCTTTTTTTTATAGTATTAATTGTATTGTTACTTCGAAAGGGTATCATGCTCATCTTTTTTTTCTCCAGATTCCTTTGATATAAGACCGATGCCAACTCTTATAATGTAATGATAGCTTTAAATTTTATAATTTTGTTGTAAATAATATTATATATTTATTTATTATTTTAGGAACCGTAATGCTTTTTTATTGTGTTATACAGTACGAGAATATCACCATCAGCTAAGCTGCTTCGGTATAAAATATCCTGTACCGTTTTAAATACTATTAAACCATATACACATAGCTTGTAATCTATATTAAGGTTAACAGTAAACGAAAGCTCTTTGTTCTTAAACATAGCAGTAGCATTTGGTAGTTCACGCAATACCTCGGCTGCCTAGTGTATAAATTATACCGTCCCCGCCCGATTGTATGGGCGCCCCGGTAAGTGTTCTCACAATTTTCATGACCACCCACTCTAGGTCACACTTAGAAATTCACTATCATATTCAGAAAACAAAGTAATGCTCCCAGCTGTTGTTTAAGCAGGGCCGATTTAAGCTTTTTAGGTACCTCTAGGAAATTTTTTTAACGACGTTCCGATGGCGATAAGTAAATTTTCACCAGTTATGTTGAATACCGCATGAATCAATAGGAACAATTTGTTATCTCCGCACAGTCTCGCTGTGCAATCAAATTCACCCATGTTGAAATTGATGCGACCCTTTACTGTCTCCTGTCGTTTCTTAAACCACAGCAAGCCTGTGCGCCACCCGACGGTTCCCCTCCCCCTGAGGCCGGTACTGCGTGCAGAGGTCACAATAAAACGAATATCTCACACCACGAGTTTATTGAAGTCGCTCCTTAACCTAATTGACTGTTAACAACCCGCTTGCCTGACAAAATATCAACACACGCAGTTTAACGTTCAGTGCTCTTGTTCGGGGGTATTCGTCCTAAAAAGTATTATACATAATTTCCAACATGACACTTTGATTATAATTATTTAAAAATTAGCTCTTAAAGGAACTCATTTTTTAATGAATTAAAAGAAAAGGGTAACCTAATTTGAGCTATTGGTTTATGCTAGCGAGGGATGATAATGAGGACCAAGTTAGGTCACTTAGTCCATCATTATAAATTCAGCACAATTATTTCCAGTGGGACCGCGTGAAGGTCCGCTACATATTTATTTTATAGTCATTATATTATCGTAATATATTATATATATCGTAATTATAGCAAGTAATAGTACTTCACACCTACAAATATGATGAATTTAACAGTATCCTCTTAAAATTAAAAAAAAAAATTACTTTCTTAAAAAGTTAAGTAAACTACACTGAACATACAGACTTAACGCTGCAGTTGGATGCGTTGAGTACCTTCTCGATTGAAATTAACCTTATGTAATCCAAAATCCTATCTCAAAATTAAAGATCAAAAACCAATTTGTTTACATTGTAACCATATCTATTAACTGTTACTAAAAATAACATAATAATACGATATTTTGTCTAAGTTTCGCTACTGAATAATATGCTAACATTAACTTATTCCGTGGAACATAATTAGAAACTACCTACCTACCATAAGAATAGTTATTCCTATAAAACCAGTATGTAGGTTTATGACCGGAAAAGTTGAATGGGTAGAAACATGACATAGCTGAGTCTACACGTGTTATCAAAATATACATCAAGAATTCTAAAACTACATAGGTAACAAGCATATGTATGTACTGCAACAGTTTTATGTTAATAATTTGTAGTCACACGAAATTAACATTTAAGTATTTGTTTAAAAAGAGTACAGTTCAGTTATTTGTGATAAGTCTTGCCATACATATCGCAAATTGGGTGATTGAATAAAAACAATATTACTCAAAAGGATTAGCTGTAAATTCTATTGTGTTCCTGAAGGTTGAACTTAAAAGCTGGTGTATCTTTTATCTTGATATATTATCTAAAATTGATCTATTTCATTCTTTTTCTTATTTCCAAAATTTAAGCATAGGAAGCAAGCAGTTAGTACGATCACCATCAGCCCTAGAGTAGAGTGAAAGTAGCGATCGTTGTAGACGCCAGATGAGGGAGCATCAGTAAACACATTTCCCAGTTTCGCGTTAAGTTCAAGCGGCTTCCTATTCGTTTTCGCCGAAATACTCACATTCTTTCACTACTTCACAATACCTTTTTTAACTCTTCTGCCCTCGCTACCTAAGGAGCAGTTTGTCATCCTACATTCCGTCAATCCATTAAATCTAAAGTCGTCTGAAGGCCTCCAGCTGAGGACACTAGTACATTTCTCTAAATTTTGCAACAAATCGTTTACTGTACAAGCTGTACGACTGGTCAGAATGGTTTGCCAGTTTTTATAAAAAATATACAATAACTGTCAAGTTTTAAAACAAAAGTTAAGAGCTTTTATTTGAGCAAGCTATATATATATATACAAAATATGTACATATATACATATTTCATGTCTATCTGTATTTGAAATAACAGAAATTTCATGCGTCTGATCAAATTGTTTATAACTACTCCTCTCCATCCAAAGGTTAAAAAGAAAGAGATTACTTTTAGCGATAAGGCTATTGTTTTCTCAGTGTGAACATTGAAACTGTTTGTAGACACTATCTATATAATATTAGTTATTATACATATTTTTAAAAATTTTGGATTGAAAATTGCTAATATAATAAAATATAACTTGTCTTTACATGCATGTAGTGTTCACAAATGTACTTGTATTCATCAAGATTTAAGGAAGTAGAAGGCAAAAAGCTAAAAAATATACAATTCTATTTTTTAACAACATTTAATAAAAAATTAATAAGCCACATTTCCGCGCAGTGTATAAGTGTAAATACTTGTATAAAAATAAAATATTCACATAGATTATACCAGTCTTAAGATTTTACAAGAGCCTTGGTCTTAGCGAACTTTTGACCGTCGACCTAAGTATACTAAAATGTATTATTATTTATCAATGTCAGTATATGTTATCGAGTATTATATATGAATGCATAAAGTTGGCACGACAGGCAAAATTCTAGGTGCGTGGACAAGGACCCGCTTCAGTAATCACCAGGTCACCGCTCAGAGCGATTGCTTCGATCTCAACAGCAGCACCCATCGGAAGCTTGGCTACTTGGTACGTCGCTCGTGCCGGAGCGTTTTTTGGAAAATCTATGAAAGAAAAGATTTATTAAATTATTTGTATTTATTAAACACAACACTTTTTTTTTTTCACGAATAAAAATTATTTTGAAGATATCGTAATATATTTACTTAAGTAATTAAATATTTTGCTTTGCAAAAAAATGATCATGCAAAATTAGATATGCTTGACATTGCTAATTCTTAGAAAAACTACTTACATTCAGCATAAACTTGATTTACTGCTTGAAAATCGTCCATATTGGCAAGTAATATGGTGGTTTTGACGACTGATGCCAGAGACGCACCGCCTGCTTCAAGTATATGCCTCATATTATCCAGCACCTGCCTCGTTTGCGCTGCAGCTCCGCCAGATACCAACTGGGCGTTAGCATCTAAGCCTAGTACCCCTGATATATAAAGTGTCTTATCTGCCAAAATAGCTTGGCTGCAAAAGAAGGAGTCATGGTTATTTATAACCAGCGTACTAAAGAAGGAATACAATATAAGTAACAGATTCTAGAGGCTTACTAGCAATATAAGGTATTTTTTTTAATAAGTGATATTTAAATAGTAACCCCCACCTGTGATATTGATATACGCTGGCGGAGCACCAATTAGCGATGATAGGTGTGCATGAAGCAAGCCAGTTAGCTTATCGTGACAAATTTCACAAGAATTAACCAGGATAGTTTCCAAGAGAAACCGCGTGGAGGAACGACCTGATAGGGTATATTATAATTAATAATAGGTATAATTAGACCACATCATCAACAATCCCATCCCCCCTCCATTAATATAGGGTCTTTTATGATAGACGGATGATAATGAAGTGGTAGTGGCCTGCGCTATCAGTATACGCTGGCGGGGCACCAGTGAGGGATGATAGGTGGATAATTAAAAAGCAGGTCAGTTAGCCCATTGTGATAAATATATCTGGTTTCCAGAGGAAACCGCGTGGGGTCGATCTGATAGTGTATATTGCTAGTAATGAGGCTGTTAGAATACATTATTAAAAATTCCCTCCCCCACAGCAATATAGGGTCAGGATAGGCCAACTAACCTGACTTCATCCTCATTTATCACCTCTCATTGGGTAGTACCCCATCAACGTATACCGATAGGTGTAGGCCGGCTTTTTACTCTATTTTCATCTCTTAGAAAAATAATCAAACAATGACAAGTTCTGGGTTATTACGGCCTCCACACATATTATAAACATCATAAACCTTTGAATTCATAAATTTAAAGTATTGAGACTATTAATGGTATCTAATTATGTTAAAAGTCTACCCATAAACTGTTCTAATACCCTACTAATACTAGGTATAAATGTAAGTGTGAATTTTAAAAAATATTGGATATTTGTTACTTAATCACCGCTTAAACAGCTAAACAGATTTTTACAATAGAACTTAACATAGAATACTTTATATATTTATAGATGCAAGTAAAAAGGGCAAGAAACAGCTAGTCTATACTTATAATAAATCTGTAGAGAGGTCAATTCTGTACATGAAATATATTTCCAAAATAACTATCAGGGGGTGATAAGTGATCGATATTGATGCCAAAAATGCAATCAGTTAAATTTTTGTCTGTCTGTCTGTCTGTATGTTCGTTATAGAAAGAAAAACTATTCGACGGATTTTAACGAAACTTGGTACAATTATTCTTCATACTCCTGGGCAGGTTATAGTATACTTTTCATCACGCTACGATCAATAGGAGCAGAGCAGTGACGGGAAGTGTTGGGAAAACGGGAGAAGTTACTCCATTTTTAAGTTTCCGTCAGTTGTGCAGCCTTAATGGCCACTTATTAAAATGTAAAAATGTCTACCCGTGCGAAGCCGAGACGGGCCGCTAGTTTTTAAATAAAAATATCATCATCAATGTATGTAGAAGGAATAAGCTTATAATTACAAAGAAACCAATTACACAAACGATAATGTCAAAATAGGATCGAATATGACTTTGAGCTGTCATTACCTTCCTTATAATTAAAATTGAAATTTCAATATGATAGTTTAATAAAACTACTACGACACGGACCATTAAAAACTCAATATATTTAATTTTGCCTCAATCATCATCATCACTACACAGTATAAAACAAAGTCGCTGTCGCTGTCTGTCCGTCCCTATGTATGCTTAAATCATTAAAACTACACTACGGATTTTGGAGCGGTTTTTTTAATAGATAGAATGATAAAAGAGGAAGGTTTATATATATAATACACGCATAATATAGTAGCAAAACACTGATAAATTTAGAGGTTTCTAATGTGATATCATAAATAAACACAAACGCTGGCTGAATCCCACGAGATAAATCAAAATAATGTACTACAGTATTATACACCTTAAAAAGATCAACAAAAAAGTCCATGATGGTATATGTCTATGTCTTAAGGATAACCCACAATAACCATTTTTTATCCTTTAAATTTTACGGGAAAAAAATGGCTTATTTACGAAATGATTTTAAGCAATACGGCATTAATTTGTATATTTTTTTTTTATATTATATATTATGTAGGTATATTTAGTATCTGCACCCATGCGAAGCCGGGGCGGGTCGCTAGTTCTCTTATAAATTAATTAATACTAGTATAGTATCAAACTGAATGAAATTGTGATTCTCTCTCAAGCAAATGAATCGGAATCCAAATGCGCTATATAATTAATTTACTTCTTACTAATCTAATGAAATTGTAACTAGACGATATCTATATATAGGATATTAAGAAAAAAAAATATACTATATGAGAGGTCTTAATAAAAGAAATAGATGGATAAAAGAATAATAATATTTTTTTTAGAATTTTTGTTTGTTTGTTTCGATATCACGCAATAACTAATACAACAAATTGAATTGTACATTTGTGTTCCTAAATGTCTAATATAAATTTTAAAAGTGGTTACCTATTTCCAAAATATACGCGAAAGAAGATGCGGGTTAAAGCTAGTTAAATTTATAAATTGTGTGTATATGTATTAAATAATAAAAGCTAGTTAAATAATAGTAAGTACCTGTAGGGTCCAACGGGCTTGTATATTTTCGGTGAGGTGACAATTGTCTTGATCACTTTGTGTGTATTCATTTTCGATGTGTCTTTTGAAACGCTTCTTTTCACTAACACGTCCGTTTTGTTTTTCGATGTCAACGCGATTGCGCTCATTTCCAATACTGAATTAATTTATTAGGGGTCAATAGATTATCAGAAAGTGAACTTATTACTAATGATATAATGTTCTTGCGACAAAAGTTAAATATAGTATTTCTTTATAATAATATATAAGTACGTAAATAGGTACTTGAACGGTAACAATCATTCAAGTCGTTATTGAGCCTTTATGTTATAGCTATTTGTGTGATTAAAACTTTTTCAATATACCTATTCAATTCTTTTTAATATTTATTAAATCAATACGTAGGTATTATTTTTTTGTTTTTAATGTAATAGAATGGTAACCTCGCCGGTGCTATTGGTAATTCGGTATATGCTTGCAGGACACGGGAGAATGATAAGTGAGAATGAAAGCAGTTCGGTTGGCAAAGGGACAATTCATCAAAAATGAATCAATGCCTCCAATGGTAATAGCGTAGAAGTCGACCCTTGTAGCAATGACACTATCAGTCCCTGTCAATAACAATCTCTTTCCATCCTTGATACCATATTATATGTTACTATAACGCTTGTATATCTAACGGTGTTATAGGAATCGTCAATACCTAGCTAAGGGGAAAGGGATTATCAGTAATGGAGACTAATGACCCCATTGCTAGCAATATATTCTATCAAGAAAATAAATCAATAAATTCTAATATATCTATCAATAAATTCTATCAAGTATAAATCGTCTGGAAATCATTGTGGTTAATTCTCGGTGAACTCGTCACGTTGGGCAGCCTAATCTGACAACATTCCCATTCTATTGTTCTTTATTGGTATCCCAACTGTATACCCTAATAACGCATGTAGGATTACCACTCTATTTTTAATCCATTAAAAATATACTTGTCTAATAAATAATACATTATTCCTAATATGTTTAATAGGAATCTAATTACAAATAATATCGACTTTTTAAAACTTACATCCTCTTATCTCTTTTTAGATTACAATATCTCGTATTTACATCCTCTTATCTCGTAACAAATAAATATTCCTTACAATATATTATCGTCATGAACATTATACATACCTAACTACTTAGAAGAAAAAATGGTTGATGCAATAAGGTTAGAAAAATATCTGTAGGTACAATTATTAGTCGGTAATTAGGTATAATACAGATAGGTAACTAACAATACTAACGAATCATCTAGTATATATATATATATATATATGTATATGTATATATATATATATATATATATATATATATATATATATATATATATATATATATATATATATATATATATATATATATATATATATATATATATATATATATATATATATATATTCCAAATGTCGTGAGAAATTAAAAGCTTATTCCATTCCTTTTTTTTATACTGATTCCTTTATTCACTGTTAACAGTTTGAGTAAAAATAAAGGCAACATTACAGCTCTACTCAAAATGTCTCTACTCACTGTACTCACAGACATCTGCATTCTTTAAAATGAATAGTCCGAAAAATTTGAGCTCACAAAAACATTTATTCAAGGCTTTCTTTATTCATAAAATTTTGTGATGAAAATGTGTGTGAGCTGTTTTTAGTCATATTAACCTGAACCCTAAACCCTATCTAATCATCACTACATAGTATAAAACAAGTCGCTGTCGCTGTCTACCCGTCCCTATGTATGCTTAAATCTTTAAAACTACGTTTATATGTATAATACATGCATAATATTGTAGAGCAACGCTGATAAATTTAGAGGTTTCTAATGTGATGTCGTAAATAAGCACATTTTTTTGCGCTTACATTGCAAGCGCTGGCTGAACCCCATGAGATAAATCTAAATAATGTACTACAGTATTGTACACCTTAAAAAGGTCAACAATGAAGTCCGCGATGGTATATGTCTACGTCTTAAGGATAACCCACAATAACCATTTTTTATCCTTTACATTTTACGGAAAAAAATGGCTTATTTACAAAATTATTTTAGGCAATACAGCATTAATTTTTATCCAATCAAGTACGTTAAATACATTGTTCATTTATAATAGATTAATATGGCACTTTATAGCATGTAATTTAAATGAATATTTCTGAAGATATTACAGATTTAAAATGCAGGGACATAGCGCTACGGCGATATCTGCCCAGCCGGCTGCGCGTGCCTATATAATAGCGCGTCGAAGGCCGCGCTTTGCTTTGCAGCATTTTATCATGTTTGTATTGTCTAATAACAAAAGCTGTAAACGTTGTTTATAAGGACACTCTGTAATAGATAGGTGTATTTAGTATCAGCATTGCACCCGTGCGAAGCCGGGCTGGATCGTTAATATTTAATATTATAGACTAGTTAAATACAAACAAATTACTTACAATATATCGGAAATATTAATATATTTGTACGATATATCGCAAAGTATCAATAAAACATTACGATAAATTATTTCGAAAAACATATCGATATTTTTTTATATGAACATTCCTACATATAAAGAACTACTACACAGAACGGAGTTAATAGAATTCACGGGCTGATTAGAAAAAAAATCTGAAAAAATTTTAAGGTCTTTTTTTTATGTCTACCATACTTCCTGTACCACACAGGAAATTATAGGCAGCAAATTATAGGCAGTTACTAATTAGCCAGTTCTAGAGGGTTAAGGTTTCCAATTTATTCTCCAATACGACTTGTAATAAATACAGTGTATTCACTACTTTCATTCAACCCGGATTTATAAATGGTTTGTAGTAATCTTCTGAAGAAGTTTTATGTCTCTTTGCAGCTTTTCGGCCCAGAGGTGGGACGACGCCGTTCCCCTCAGGCATGATGTTTAGATATATAGAAAACTATTTACAATCTAAAATAATATGAAATATGTTATTTACAGTAAAATATACAATTAAGCAAATTTTTTTTTAATTTTCAATTTGCGCCTATTTCCTTAAAAAGCCCGCCAAAACCCCAGTTGCTAGACATTTTTAAAATGTTGCTAGATTGTCCGTTTTTCTTACCCCAAAAAGTTGCTAAACTAGTTAAATGTTACAGTAAAAGGTAGGTTACATTAAAATGTCAATTTCTGGCAATAATATTTATTTTCATTAATTCCAACGAAAGAGTTAGGCATTATATTCGTCATTGAATTATATATAAATATGCCACCTCAGTGGTATAAAAAAAAAAAAAAATACGTCATAAAATTAAAATTTAATCTATTTAATTAATACGAGAGATCTATAAATGCCAGTTGTAGTCATTGTACCCATTAAAATGACTAAGTGGCTTACATTTCGTCAAATGTGTGTGTGTGTTTATTGTTTTAATAGATAAAAATGTCCAAATATACATTTATTATACTAAATCCTAAATCTTGAACAGAAATATCCATATAGTAATACAATACTACTACCGATAGTTCGAGAGATAATTATCGATGGTTTAGACTTAGCTCATATGGTTGTCTCTTTTTGGAATATCAAACACGTACAGATTTCTCTATATAAGAGATTCCTGTGTGTGTTTAGATATAGTCTCTGTAATCTGTGTCTATACGTAATGTAATTCTGATCAACTATTTAGGTTATTTAATTAAATTGGTTTTCATTTTAGACTAAAAAATCTGATTGAATATAAAAAGGTTAGTAATTTTAAATAAGTCGTGGGCACAACTAAACCTTATCGTGTGGTCCCGCTATAAAATGAGCCACCTTTTCTTTCCCGAGGGTGTTGTAAAATGCGACTAAAGGAACTTAATGGTTAAAAAATGGGTAACAGCATCCAACTTAAAACATTTTCAAAATCTAATTGCAGTTGCCAACCTACCTACTAAGCGTGGTAAAACCCTCCCTGGTTTCCCAGTTATCGGGAAGCCTATATTTAGCAATGGATAATTAATACTGAATTTCAAATTCAGCTTATTTACTTACCAAAATATTTATATATTTAAATCAGAAAGTGGCGGCGTATTGTGAAGGAAACATAATAACCACTTTGTAGCCATCTCTGTCCTCGTCTCTAAAATATTTCTATGAATGCAATACTTTTTTTAATATTGTCTTTAATTTTAATACTGTGACAATGTAGTAGGCATTTGAATAAATTGGCAAATAATAACTTATTCAACTACTATAGGAAATTGTTGTTTATATATTTTACTTTTTATTTTTTATTTTCATTCTTTTATCTCTTTTTACTGTGTATGTCTGTATTATGTATATGTTTGTATTGTTATTTGTGTACTGTAAGTAATGTAAATGAATTATCTATCTACTATAATTTTTATTTTTTTTCAGTAAAGAAAATGCAAAGGCTGTTATCATTTGTGAAGACCATATCTTTAGTTGGACCCAACTTACATGCTAATAATACTTTATCATCTGTTTTCAACACTTTGAAAGCTGGACCTGGCATGCTAGTAACCACCAGTCCTTTAACTAGTATAGTTTGTGGTATGAAAGTGAAAGGTCGTGTGAGAAGACGCTGTAAATCATGTTATTTTGTTGTTAGAGATGAAAGAATGTACATAATGTGTCACAAACATCCTCGCCATAAACAAATGGCTATGAAACCGAAACCACATAATACTTGGATACTTACTCACGCAAGCCAAAGCCCTGTAAGACCATGGTGATTCAGTATTTAGGATATATGTAATATTAAAACTTAGGAAGAATTAATTAAAAAACTATGTCTTCAAAGTTATGTATTTTAATTTATAATATCCTCATTACATTCAGTGCCAATTAGTCTAATATTCAAATAAGTTAAAAACAGATTTGTATGCAATGATTGTACTACAGACAGATAGATAATATACAGTTTCTAATTCATACCTATTTCTCCCTATCATTACTATACCTAGCACTTATTTTGTACCATGTATTATTAATGCAGAATTCCTAGAAGTAAAATTAACTTAAAATACATAAGCATTATATTAGACTTCAATAATGTGAGCAAATACTCAGTTGTGAATGAACTTTATAAAATAAAGATCTACTGCTTGAAAACTGTACACTAACAACTTATGTGCAACACCATACTAATTATAGGCAGGCACAACGTCCTTACCTGCTACATACAACTTACATACATATACTTACCAATGTTGTGCACACTACTAAATTAATAGGCTAGAGGTTATCTTTTATATCATCAAATTCAACATAAATAATACTAACAACTTATTAACATTTTTAATATATGAAAATCATATTTAAGAGAGCAAGGTTTAAAACCGGACCTCTTATACGAAACCAGAGTAATCATAGTTATTATGATTTTATTTTAATAATTTCTATAACAATCTGCAATTAATAAATTACTAAATATTTAATCATAAATGTAACTATAATCAATTTAGTGACCACCATAGACAATGTTTATTTTGGCACTAATATAAATTTACAATTAAAAAAAAGGACATTCCTTTAACAATTTTCTAAGTACATCTTAAGTAGGTACATGCAAACGTATAAACTGATATAATAGGTACATAATATATTATGATTCCAAATTTTATCTTTGGAAATATCCTGACTTGACAAATATAATTTACAATCATGTATCTTCAGTTGAGGAAATATTTGTAGGAGATTCTGGTTCACGTAAGTTTACTGTGCTGTAACAAAATAAATATTATTAATTTTCTGGTAATATAATTTCCTGATGAAATAACATCTCTGACTCTATCCTATTTATTTTAAATTAGATTTTACCCGCGAGTTTGACCACGTGACCAAGATATGTTTATTAACTGGGATAAAAAATAACATGTCCGTCTCTGTCTATGTATGTGTATACCAAATTTCAGTGATTGTGAGTAAATTCATTTTCACGTGTGGAGGTGTGTAGATGTGGGCTTGATGATATTTATATATATAGATTCAGAAGAAGTGAGAGAAAGAAAGATTAAGTACGAGATTGTATAATGAATAATATTTACAGTAAATAAATCCAGATATAATAAGTCGCGATACAAAATATAGTTCGGTAAAATTGCTAAGACAACTATGTAGGTTTGAAAGAGGTTGGTAGCCTACACACATATATAATATTAGTACGGGGGGGTTCTCTTTGATAGTAATTATATTATACCTATATAGATTATATTTGTATATAAGGTATATCAGCAATATCTGTTTTTCTTATGCAATAAGTAGGATTGAACGCTAACCGCGTAAGCAGAATTCCGACGTACGCGAATTCTATGTACAGATGTACGCGAATTCTATGTGTGCGATGTACAGTGAAACCTGATTAAGTGAGACATTAAGGGACCTGTAAATTTGTCTCACTTATAGAGGTATTCCGCTTACCCAGTATCTCAGATATTCAGGTATAAATAAATGCCTCATTTACAGAGGGTTGCTTCAAAAATTATGAATACCTTCCTTTGCCTTTGCATGAAATCTTGTGCCTTTTCTTTAATCGTCGACTCACTTACTGGAATGTTATTGCTACAAAGTTGCTTGACCTATGTTAGCAAACACTGTTCACCTAACACCTTGATTAAAACTAGTATAGCAATTATTTACCTAAATCTTTGAATTATATCATCAGTCTCTTCATGTTGAGAAGAGTCAGTGTTATAAATCGGAATGACATCTTCATTATCTGAAATTTCAATAATTTCATCTTCTGCTTCTTGGTTAATTATTTCATTCACATTGTTTTCACTGCTACTTTTAGGTTGCGCGGTTTTATTACTGTCAAAATGTTTTATTCCAGCTACTCCTAAAATGAAATCAATATAACAATTTTGAATTAAATTTATAAAAATTCCATTAATTCAATTATTTCAAAAAAAAAATAGTTTCTTTATTTTCTGAATTATCTAGGTAATGTAACAAGCACTATTAACAAACTTTAAAAGTTACACATAGATTATTTAAAATATTAACAATACAGTTAAAACGTATACATGATAAATAACAATTATTAGTTATCATTATATTTCCTATTTTTATTATGACTTGTTTATATACTTGTATTATAAAACAATATTTTTATCAACCTTTTGCTTGCAACATGGAGTGATCACGGCGTACTAGACGACGTCTTGTGGGATCACTGCGTCGCACTTGCACCATATTCTGGAAATCAATACTATATAATGCCCCAGCTATAAGAAGGGTACACTCAACATCTCCATTATTGAAAGCGGCTTCTAATTCAGTATTACTGCGTTCATCATATTTCCACCAACCTTAAATATTAACACATCTTTATTATCAAATGTTAATTATTAACAATAATTAAAAAAAAAAAAAAACATTAAATACACATAAAGTGTTTAGAGATCAAGTACATTTTAGAGTATCCTCACAATTGAGAATTTTAACTTATCTGGATCATTATTGATACTTTTTAGTGAATTTCACTATTTTTTTTTTTTCTTCTTTTTAGTGAATTTTCTTCAAATTTTTATTTAATATAGAAAACCAATTAATCAATCAATGTCCATCAAGGTCTCTATAAAAATGTGTAATAGCGTTTTTACAAAACCATTACAATTTCTGCATCGGAACTGAAAAAAATTGCATCAATATGGAGCAGTGATAACATTTAATATGAAAAGAGATGAACGGAGCCTTCAGAATTATAATATTATAAAATTATAATGGGCTTGCAAACACAGGAAGTGAGAGGAAGACTGGCATTGTATTTGTTTTTCTGATGATTCTCATTTCAATATGAGACTGGATTTTTTTTAATGAATGATTATGCAATGGTAACCACCTGCCTGCGCCACCGGTACACACCGATGGAACACCAGTGAGGTATGTGTGAGGACACCGAGTGAAACACATGAGTTGATAAATGAAAATGAAAGAACAGGTCAGTTAGCCCATTGTGATAAATACACCTAGAAATTCAGCACGATGGTTTCCAGGGGGGACCATGTGGAGGTCGATCTAACGGGGTATATTGCTAGCAATAACAATCCCTCCCCCCCCTAAGACTAGATTATATGGACATACTCAAATTTGGAAGACATCTGAATGTCAAGAATGATTGAAATCTTGTCAGGAAGTTCACTCATACAGAGAGAGAACAATAACAAATCATCACCTGAGATCATAATCAATTGTGGGACTTTTGAATAGAAAAAAAAAGTTTAAAATTAGTGGCAGAATAAATTTCATTTTAATAAAAGGAGACCCTAATGCTCAGATTAATGCAGAGAGGATTGTTTCAGAAGTGATCATTGCTTTACAACACACACACACACATATATATATATACATATATATATATATATATATATATATATATATATATATATATATATATATATATATATATATATAGATATATATATACACACAGCTAGTCATAATATGCACCCTTGCCATGCCAATGCTTGTATAAACATTTTGCTGTGTCCTGCTCAACTCAATTAACTCAACATTAACTTAATTTTCTATAATTTGCAAAAATTTCAATTTTTCTTGACTTGTACAAAATATAGGGATGAGGTAACTTAAACCTAAATAATAGATAGAAGGTAGATTTTAAGTAAAAAGCCAGTCTGGAAGACTATATAAATATTAATTAGATATTTTTTATAGTTAATAATGTACTTGATACCTAAACACTTGATGTGTGTTTTAAAGATAATAACAATTTTACATATTAATAAATACACATTCAAAAATTAATGCTCACAATAAATTAAAATATATTCAATTTTATTTAATCAGAACTTAAATATAAATACCATTTCTTCCTTCATAATACCACTGATATTGTTCAGTATCAGAGTGTGTATTTTCTAGTAAGGTAGAGAGATTTTCCAGTAACACTGGATGATCAAGGTAATCAGATGGTATATCAGCACGGCACATTGCACACTTTTTACTTTGTATTGCTATACCCTATAAATTAGAGATAATATTATTTTTATTAATTGCAAGTTCTAAAGGTTTATAGTTCATCATTATTTCATAGTAAACATAAAAATAAATTAGTTATGTCATGGCATTTAAATTTCTCAACTAGTTTTTATGAAACTATATTAAATAAAAGTCAATTGCCAACTCTATGATTAATGCATCACCTCAGAATAGTTGCACCTAGTTCTGTTTTTTATTGAGTTTGTAATTGTCAGGATGACTTAATCTTAGACGAAACATATATAAAGAAATCGAGAAAATTTTATAATTAGAAATTACAAAACCATTACACAAAACACTTACTTTAACACAGAGAAAACAAAAAATATGACCACAAGGAAGCTGTGTTGGGTGATGACATTTTTGTAAACACACAGCGCAATCATGATCTAAAACAAAAAATATTGAGAAAATTATAAAACAATTTCATGTTCATATGATTTTAGATGCCTGACACAAATTTCAATGTTTAATTTTTTCAAATTTTAGTTATAAGGATACATAAATGTATACAAGTGTTGATGTTTACCTTGATTATCCGTAAACATTTTATTATATTTATAATTTTTAAACTAAAAATTGAGAAAAATAAGCTAGAATTGATCACAAAACAGAAGTTATAGCATTTGTTTTGTAGTAACAGATTAGAGAGACTAATGTTAATATTTCGAAGTCCGACTGTTTGTCATTCTCTGTGACTGACAGCACTGACTGGAATGAATTGGAATGAACTGACGACATGGTGTAACACACAACGTTTTTTTAATGGGTGATAATGGAATGGTAACCCTACCCCCGCTATTGGTATTCACCGGCGAGACACCAGTGAAAGATGATAGATGAGGATGAAGCAGGTTAGTTAGCCTATCGTGACGAACTCGACAAGAATTGTTCACGATGGTTTCCAGGGGGAATCACGTGGAGGTCGACGTAATAGAGCATATTGCTAGCAATGGGACTGTCAAACTCCATTGCTAACAATCCCTTTCCCCCTTTTTTTATATTGTGGGGAAATGCCTCATGCAGACCCATATGCCCCGGGGGAGGCGTATGGGTGCTGCCGGACTTCTACCGGCTAAAACCACCACGGCATCCCTCGCCGCGCCAAAGTGTTGGGGACCCGGGTTCCCTTTCGAAATCCACCGAGCCCCAACGGCGTTGGCCCGCACCGGCTTGTGGGTCCCGATTCTTCCCCCTAACACAGCGTTTATCTACTCATAGAACGATATTATCCTCAATCTATGATTATAAGAGACGTACTTACCTATCTACCATAGATATAAAAAAAAGCATAACTAACAATTCGAAAGAAGCGTGGTTCTCTATGACCTGCCCGCCTTTTACTTGCTTTACCTTTGCATTTGCCCGTTCGTTTGACTGTCTTTAGATTTTACATCAGCGTGGGTTTTTCTTATTAAATTGTTGTTCATCAAATATCTATACCAATTACTTTAAATATGCGCAAACGAAAGTCGGTAAAGAAAGCTGATGATGATTCCGACGGATCTGAAGGTGGCGGTGAACCAGAAGAATTCCAAGATTCTGGAGAAGATTGGACGCCGGATGCCGATTCGGTAAAGATAAATTTTAAGCAAAAAGATTGTATGCGTTTTATATTGTAGGTACAATATGCCACTTAATGATTTTGCTGTTTTTTAATTTGCAACGAACTATTTAATAAATAAGTTGAAGGTATTATATTTTTTAGATTCTAAAATTCTGTAGGTTATGACTATTGACTATTTTAATCAATCCCAATTCGACCAAACTCAAATGCGTAGATTCATATAAAAACAATGTGAACAAATTGGAATATGAGGCAAATACAATACCTATCAAAATAATACGTACGATATAGTTGTATTACTTGTTATTAACTTGATATATTTATTATGAATATAATATTTGATAGAAATTCATTAACTTCATACACTTTTTTAATATTTTTAGATTGTATCATAATCATTAGATTGTAATTATAATATTTTGTTTGTGATAACATAATTTAAATAAATATTTTGTTTTATAGAATGAACAGCCAGTACGTGGAGGGGCTGGACGTAAACGAACATCAAAAGCTTCATTGAACAACTCCAAAAAAAAACGTAAAAATTCCACATCAGAAGAGAGTGAAGGGGAGGGTGAAGAAGATGAGGAAGGTGAAGAAGAAGAAGGTGAAGAAGATGAAGAAGAGGGGTCTGATGATGAGAAGAATGGCTCCGATGGAAATAAGTCTGATTCCAGTCAGTCTAAAGATGTACCAAAGCATTTCCATGTAAGTTGTTAATATATTCTTATTTTAGTTAGTAGAGCATTGATAATTTATTGATTTCTTAATAATGTATTATTCTGTTAAAAATCTGTAAGTTAGACATGACCTACACAGACTTTATTATATATTTTTATAATATTTATAAAAAACATTAATATAAATACTAATCACAATTCATAATCAAATATTAACATTTACATAAGATTATATTCAACCTCTTTTATAATTATAATTCTTCTTACAGTCTGGAAATTTCGTCTTGCTGAAATCAGATGTCAAATGGGATGGTGACACAGTAATTTCTAAGTTGGATGAATTAAATTTATGGAAAATAGATGGTAAAGCATTGTTACAAAAATTTATACCAATGGAATCAAATGGAAAAATTCTTCACAAATGTACTTGTGTGGTAAGTTTTAGACATTTTCCTATTTGCTTAGAGTTTGCACCCTATGTCTCAATCACATATGTAGATATGCAAGTTCCCTTGCACACTAATAACTTATTAAATTTAGTCTTGAAATATTTATTTAATGCAACTTAGGACCTACCTGATAAAAAATAGTAGGCATTACTGATAGACATGCACAGTATCGTGAACATAATTAAGTATACTGTGTCACAAATGATACCCCTCATGCATTGCTATTCCTGAAAACTAAGGTGTTATACCTCTACATATTTAGAGATATGTAGTAAAGTTCTGGATATAATTCAGGAACTATGATTTCATGATAACTTGGAATACCAAAGGAAAAGTAAAAAAAAGTAAATTTTGTTGTGTAAAAATGAAACACTGCATTCTTGATAATTTTTGCATGGGGAAAAAATAATTGTTAAAAACAATATACAAAAAAATGCAAGTGAATTGAGAACCTCCTTTGGAATGATTGATTCATAAGACTAAATGTATATGCCTAGGCTAAAATGTAGGATATTATTACAAAGTGGATAGATTTGTATTTATATATGTGTGTGTATATGTGTTATTACTTATCAAGTGTATAATGTACACAAGTGATTAATAGAACAGTATTTAATCTGCCCTTAAAGAAAAATGTCAAATATAAGTGTAGTGTGGTAATTACTATGAAAATAATTAAAATGTGTGGGGCTTTATGAATTGTCTTTTAAGTATTGGGAAAAATAATAAAAACATAATCCTATTCTTTTAATAAGTTGAAATAGTAATAACCTAAAATAAATATTCCCAAATAAAATTGTATAATGATTTAGTTGTATGGGGATGAAGTTCCTATTAGAAAACTTCAAATGTATAGATCAATCCTATTTATTTGAACAAATATTTAATGTCAGCTGTCAAAGTTCATTACAACTTTAAATTCTTGTAAACAATTTTAGTTTAATATTACTTGTCTATATAATTAATTTATTAATCGGATTTTTCTATCCATTATGTTATGTCTGATGATATCACTAAAAGAAGTATCATATCATTCATCATTCAGAAGGAAACATAATACTCTAACTTGTGATATAAAATTCTCTGTCATTTTGTCAATGTCTCTAGTATTTCTCTTTTATTTTTCTAATATCAACCTTGACTAAAATTATAAATGTGAATGTGAGTTTATTTGTTTATTTAGTACACTTTCATATCTAATTTGTTAAATTTATTTTAATGAAATTTAATATAGACAGAAATGGGAACCTGGAGATGTTTATAAGCCACTTTTTCTCCCAGCCCCAGAAAAAATGTATAACCAAAATCATGGAAGAATGATGTTCATAACTTGTTATAAGTTATAAAAAGTTGAATATTTTTAACAGTTATTAAATTATTTATATATTTTCAGTATTCTGGATGGAATGTCGACAACCGTGATAATTACTACCCAATCACTGAAATTTTGGACCGGAACCCACGTACAGATTCTAAGGAAATTTGTGTAGCATTAGATCTAAATGATCTTATCAAAGTAAGAGATAAGTAAATTCATTATGTTTTTACTTAATTCAATTAAATAAGTGGAAGTAATTTTTGTCACTTGATATTTTCCTTTGGCTCTTCATTCCAATTTACTTTGTGTAATTCAAACATTTTATAAAAAATGGGTAATAAATGTTCAGTACAGTATATGGTAGATTTTTTTTAAGTGTATCCATTAGTGATGTGCTGGGTATCCATATCCACAGATATCCGAGAAAGAAAAAGATCTGTATCCATTTTTATCATTTTTGGTGGATCTTGAACAGATCTTTTACTTTACTAAATGTCATTATGTATATAACAATAACTAATGACATTTCTAAACTTCTCAAAGTCATCATTTGTGTTTTATTATTTAACTAGCACTTGTGCAGTTGTATTTTGAAAGATAATAAGGGTATATTTCTCCCCTACAGATTTAAAATATATCGTATCTAATTAACTTTATTAATATAACAGGTATATAAAATTATTATTTAACTTAATTACTTAATGCTACTATTAATTTTAGTTTCTAAAAAAATAAAAAATTATCGTAAATAAGAAACGAAAGAAGAAAAGATCAGCATCTGTTCTTTTATAATAAACTATCTGGTTCTTTTAAGTGAACTATGACTTTTTTTAAAAACATACACTAATATTTCAAGCCTTAATTTAATAGAGTTTACAAAATTGCACATACTAATAATAATATTAATTGCTAAAGATAGTTAAAGCCTAATGCCAGCCTTTTAATAAATATATGCAAACAATCTCATTAAAGATTTAGTTTTTTTTTTCTCACAGTAAAAAGTAGTCTATATCTTCCCTCAGCATTTATTTTGTCGCGTAAGAAATGTTTTTCTCAAGTGAAATGAATATACCTGATTTTAAGTTAATATGAATACATTAAAAAAAACCGCAAACCACATTCAATTTCATGTAATAGTTTTTACATGATACTAGAACAATACAGGCAGATAGACAAAACTTCTAGAAAATATTGATTCGGCTTCTATTAAGTTTCCTCATTGTATCTTTAATACCTCCTGTGATATGGTCTAGTTACAGTTTTATTATGTTGGTAAGACTAAGAAAACTAATGACCACTTCTAGGGTGTATCAAGATAAATATAAAATTTTAAATTTGATTTTTAAACATGCTACTATGAAAATCGTATCGAATTTGTAGTAATTTTAACGTGATGCTAAAATAAATGGAATTTTTTTTTTAAATAATCGCTTTAGTTTCTATTGTCCTTTTTAAGATACCCTCACAATTTATTTTTAATTATTATGTACAGATATTGTCTAGTTACAATTTTATTCTATTAGTAAGATACAATACTACTCTAAATATACAAACATAATAAAACTCGCACAGTGTAAGTCGAAATGTGTTACAAACGCGAAGCATTAACTATTGTTTCATGAAGTGTAAGAGATAATATTACATTTATTCAACAAAAATATACAGATACAATTATAAGATACAAATAGATTACATATTGATTCACAGTAAGATTTTTAGTAATAGGGGCTGGCGGACTCATTGCTAACAATATATAGATCTTAATCGATCAATATATAATTCTTGATACCATTTTTAATTCTTGTTATACTCATTACAATGACCTCATTTTCCATCCCTCATTAGTAGCCCGCCTGCGTATGCTGATAGCGCAAAAGTGGTTACTATTCCATTACCATCTATTAAAATATACTGTATGACATCAAGTGAGTCAAAAAGTAGAGATCCGTGTCTGTACTGCGGATCTAGATACTTATTGTCAGCATCCGTATCCGATTGTACATTTTTAACAATCTGGCACATCACTAATCTCTACCCATATTACGTTAATACGAATTATAAACTTAGTAACTATTGTGTGGTTGTGAATACATACTCATTGATACGCTGTCAATATTTAAAAGCACACTAAAATAATCTAATATGATAAAGAAGGACTCATTATTATATACAGAATAAGTTTTATGAACAGGAAACCAGTTTGCATGGAGTAATAAAAAATATTAATTAATAAAGAAAATAATAAAAAAAATGACATTTTAAAAATATTTATTACGAAGTTTAGGTGAATAAAATGAAAGTTCTGTTACATCTGAAGAATTAAAATCCAGAATATACAGAGTTTAAATTTTATAACCTCAATCCTTATGAAAACCATGTATTCAATTTAATTGTAATAGGTATTTTGATTATCATATAAGTAGAGTGTATTGATTTAAACTGTATACTCATAATGTAGTCAAGTAACTTGAAGCAAGTACTGCTCACTATAAGGCCGAGACTGGTGGCAGAAAGATGAGCGGATTTGCTGAGCTTTCTAAAATATGGTTGAACGGATTGATGACTGGCTATGTTATACCCGTGAACAGGTGCTGTTTGTAGGGACTGGCCTGCTCATGGTTACTTATTTATTCCATATTGAATAATATATATTATAGTCACAGTACCCATACAAATGTAAAAATATCTTGTACATAAATAAATTTAAAAGAGTAACTATCGAGTTTTTTGTAAGTACCGAGAGTACATAACATTCCAACATTGAAATTATCAAAAACTGAGAATAAACAATCTTGACACCCGCCATTTTTTTATATTCTAAATATCTCTAAATTTCCTCAAAATCGATGCTGCCAATCATTTTTACAGTAATGAGAACTGCCAGCCCTACTTTTAGCCATATACTCTGTGAGGTCGACCTTCATCTGGAAACCATCGTGCTATTTTTTTTTTAATTCTCATCTATCCCTCACTGGTATCCTGCCAATGTATATCGTAAACGCTGGTGGTTTACCGTGTATTTTTTTAATGGAATGATAATATCACATGGCTATCAGTATTCACTGGTGGGGTACCAATGAGTAATGATAGATGAGACTGAGGTCACATTAATCGGCCCATCGTAATTATTTCACCGCGAATTGTTATAGTTACTAGGGAAGACTGCGTGGAGGCCGACTTGAGCTTTATACTTTATTGCTTGCAATGGGGCCTTTAATCTCCATTTCTAACAAGTGAAATGAATAGGAACAATTTGTAAAAAAAATTAACCAGGTTATCACTTTGGAAAAGTAAATTTAAATAGGTGCTCTTACTTATTAGTCTTATATTAGAAACTAGCTGATCCGGCGAACTGCATACCGCCTAAAAATCTAAATTGTTTTGTATATTTTTTGTTAATATATATATATACTTTTTAAATTTTTCAATATTATAATAGTTATTCTGTTATTTGGAACGGAAACGAATCCAACAAATCATAGATCATTAAAATCTTTCCAGCTGTTCTGGAGTTATAAATAGTGTAACTAACCCGACTTTGTTTTATTTATATAGATTTAATATACATAAACAACCTTGGTATCGTCTTTTTATCGAATAAACACTATAAAGCACTTAAAATAGAAAAAACAAACATTCACAAAATCACTTTCTCACTTGTTTAATTACATAATTATATATATATATATATATATATATATATATATATATATATATATATATATATATATATGTAGTAACATTTTATGAATTTGGTATAAGTATTTCTAATAACTATACCGTAAACTCCTTAATAGAATTTGCAAGTGTATAAAAGAAAATCATGTTTCCTACAAAATATAAATAATATTTTTATAGGTAATTTTTATCTTTTGAGGCAACAATTATTATAACTTAAACATATTTAAATCTATATTAAAACATATTTAAGTATGTAAGTAATCATATAAAAGTTGTAGTGTGAAAGTGTAAAATTTTCAAATTAAAAACAATATTTATTTGAACCGTAGTTTTTAACGTTTTAGTTTTTTTTTTTTTAACCGTGTTTCATTGTGTAAATATTTTGAAGTGTAAGTAATATACAAAAAACAGGTTGTAATTATTGTTTAAAATAAGTAAATTAATAATCAGCACCATATAAAATTTTGTAAAAAAATGGTGTGATTGGAATTGATGAAGAAATCGATAAAAGAAACAAAAGAAGCTATAGAAACTTAAAAGGGGTGAAAAGAAACGCCTACGGGGTGATTAAAAATTCTTATGGGGTGAAAAGGTTTGTCATACAGGGTTATAAAAACTGCTTTCCCAACTTCAAAAATGTTACTATATAATTGTTAATGAAATAAGTGGGAAAATTCTTTTGTATGTAACTGATCGCGATAGTATTTTTTTTTTGTAAATAGCGATAGTAATAAGTGTAACTGTTGTAGCGTTAGTTTTAATAAATACTTTCACTATTTGTGTCTCATTACTCTACAACAGGAACCGGGTAATAAATATATGAGTTAATATATACAGAAATTACGAGGGTCATTTAAAAAGTTCTTGGCCTAATATTGTTAAAGTCATTGGTTTTTTTATAACTACCCTCATTTTGTAGTTACATTATTTAGCAACAAGTATGCACAGTTTAGTTTATTCACAGTAACTCATTGTTCCTTTACACATGATACCGTAAGTCAAGTCAGAGCTATTTTTGAAAATGGATAAAATTGAACATCGTGCAGTGATAAAATAACTGAATTTGAAAGGTTTAACTCCAAAAGCTATACATGAAGACATGTCTGCTACTTTAAGTGAGTCCGCTCCTTCGTATGCGACTGTTAAAAACTGGGTGGCAGAGTTTAAACGTGGTCGTGAGACCATTCAAGATGAGCCCTGTAGTGGCCGGCCTGTGACTGCTTCCACTGATCAAAACAAAGAAAAAATCTGTGATATAATTTTATCTGATCGTAGATTGACTGTCGAGCAGATAGCTAAGACTGTAGGCATCTCATCTGAGCGAACATATCATATAATTACTACTGAACTTGGATTCTCTAAGGTGTCTGCGCGGTGGGTACCGCGACTGTTTAGAGTTATATGAAGCTGACCCAATAAAATTTGTTGAAAGATTTATAACCGTGGATGAAACCTGGGTTCACCACAATACACCCGAGACGATCAAAACAATGGAAAAGAGCAGGATCGCCCACCCCAAAGAGGGCAAAGGTAGTTTTATCGGCGGGCAAAGTTATGGCATCCATTTTTTGGGATGCAAAGAGTATAATTCTCGTGGATTATTTAAAAAAGGGTGAAATAATAAACTCCGATTACTATTGCAACCTGTTGCGTCGTTTGAGAGAAGAAATCAAAGAAAAACGTCCAGGTTTATTGAGAAGAAAAGTCTTGTTTCATCAGGACAATGCGCGCGTTCACACCTCTGTGCAATTCATGGCAGAAATCCATCATTGTGGCTTCGAATTGTTACCTCATCCCCCATATTCACTGGGTTTAGCACCGTCCGACTTTAATCTGTTCCCAAAGCTGAAAAAAATTTTAGGTGGTAAACATTTTTTTACAAATGAAGAGGTCATAGCCGCCATGGACGCATATTTTGAGGAGTTAGACAAAGATTTTTTTTAAAACGGGTATCGAAGCCTTACCGGGTCAATGGAAAAAGTGTTTTGAGCTCGGAGGAGAGTATGTTGAAAAATAAAAATAAACTCAAAATCGCGTGGTTTCAATAAGTATGTTAGGCTAAGAACTTTTCAAGTGACCCTCGTAATAAGTAAGTTCAAAAATAGTACTAGATATTAGGATAAATTTAGAGTATTAGGTATAAATTACAAAAAAGTAATAGAATCAGTATTATTAGATTATAAAATGATAGATTGTAAGCAAAATAGACAAAGATATTCGTCAGAGCGGATTCCTGTCTGGGTTACACGCGCCCTATCTCGCGCGCACTCCCGTTAAAAAAGTATTTTTTAACTATTACGATGACCAGTGCGGGCGAGCGAGTATCTTCAGGACGCATAAGCGGTACTCATTTCAATCCGTAAGCTTCAAATTAACAAGCGAAAATAGAATTTTCAAAATCAATATTTTGAGGATTGATGAACCTGTGCCCTCACCAACCAAGATCACTTAGTTAATCGAATGTGGTCCATACGATAACTTATTTGTGTTTGCTACGTTATATAAATAAGAGCTCCTACTTACGTAATCTTACAAAAGTGATAATCCTGATTAATTTATTTATTGACTACTCTTCCATTTCTAATCCTCCGGCTGCGGTAAGTATAGAAAATGAACAAATTTATTGTACATACTAATAATATGTACATAAAATTATGACAGAAGTAAGCAAATGTGCAAAGGCGAGCTGAAATCTAAAAGAGTTCTCTTCCAGCAAACCTAAAATGGAAAGGAGCGTCAATGTTAACCGGTAGAGTGATGTACAATATTCTGACAATTTTCAAACAAAAACAACTAGTCAAATTAAGTTTATACATGTGTAAATGTAATGTAAATTGGACTCTATTTTCCGCGCTTAGTCTCTCATTCAGGCCATTGTGCGTATGAGTCCTGACTAGTACAGCTAGCCCAGTTCCGTCCAGAAGCACAGAAGCTTCCTGGGATCTTCACAGGCCTCACGGAGCGACCTCACTGTTCCGAGGATTTCTAAACGTTGAGGGGTCCCATGTTCACATGGAATGTGAAGCTGACCCCTCAACGTGTAAATGTGTGAAGGATTATGTGAATAGGCGTTTCTTCGACATCAAAACAGCCTCGACATTTTTTTTCTACTTTGGCACATGTGATTAATTTATTTTCATAATACACAGGACGCAAAGCATTTTTAGATCAAAAGTATTATAATTACGATGGTTCCTATAATGAGAGCCTGAGATTTCCGCGGATTAAGTAAGACTTAGCCCATATACCCATTAACCAAAGGACTTAGCCCATTCTGGTATTTTAAAAAGTTGAAAATTCATATCGTCAAGGGCTTCAGATATATCACGAATATTAAAATATAGATATAATTACAAATCGATTTTGAAAGTATTCAAGAAAACCAGATAGATATATACAAAAAAATAAATAAACGTCTCAAATTGTTTCTAATCACCTTGTTTTATAGTAAAATCAGGGATTCGAAACTCTAAAGGGATCGATAGAAATAAAGAAAAGGGCTAATAGAAATGTCAAGGGGTGAAGCGAAACACCTAAGGCTTGAATAAAAATTCTTATGAAGTGAAAAATTATATCTAATTTTAGACCTTACATTATAAAATGTAAGTACGTCTATGCTTTAGACATAGTTTTTAATCTGTCCATAAAATTTTAGGATAATTCTGAAATGTTCCCTCTGTTGAAATATTTATGAACTAAAATATCTATTATTATTTCTATTGCCACGTAATCGATAACGAAATCTTTATTGTAAAGACAGATATTAATTAATTTTATAATAGATCTAAGTGAAAATTATTATAAATTTTGTTTTAACACAGTTCGTAAAACATTAATTTCGTGAAACTATTAAAATATTAGCTAAAGAGATAAGTTTATAGAAATGACACCTCAAAATCGGCCTCAATGTTGAGCTTTCTTTATCTGTCCTTTAGATTTATCCAGAGATATAATTTCTGTCAAAAAAATATAAAATTATAATATCTCCTTTTAAGTTTTCACCATCATAAACCATTTGTCCTAAAAAATCCCTGGTATGAATATTCACTGAACACGGACGAGTAAATCTTATCGCATCACCACAGACATATAATAATGAAGCAGACAAAGCATAAGTTGAAAGCAAGAGTAAGAGATTTACCTTTTGCTCACTCCTACAGTAAACTAAATGTTACTGTCTTTTTCTATCACGTGTAATAATACTCCATGGAATTGCGACACACGCCAGTTCGCCATATTGATAAGCTGCATGCCACATTTTTTTAACATCAGGCTGGTCAAAATAATAAGAAAAAGGAGGATTTTGTGTAGATTGGTGAGATATTCCTGACCAAGTGGTTTTACGTAGCCTGTATTAACTGCGTACTCTTATCTCTTGGTTATGTACTCTATGGCCGCCTGTACTATCGGTATATACTGGTGCGGCACCAGTGAGACGGGTTATAAGTGAAAATGAAAGCAGTTCAGTTGTCTCATCATTAAAAATTTAAAAAAATCTTTACTTGAAAGTGTTAATGCTAGCAATAAACTTATTATACTCCATTACTAACAATTCCTACCCTCTTCTGAAAGATAAGGTTTTTTGGTGAATATAAAATAGTAACCTTGCCAGCACTATCGGTATACGCTGGCGGGGTACCATAATGATGCTAAGTGAAGAAGTCGGGTCACTTATAACCAAGTCGACGTCGGGGTGACAGGGTTTATTTTACAATTGAGCTACTAATTCCTTTAATATAATAATCCCTTCGATTGATTGTTTAAAACGTGCTCTGCCTATGAACAAAAACGTTAATCATAGAATACGTTACATATAAATCTCTCATTAAAACTATCTACCTACATATTTTGCTTTATTTTTTTTTTTAAATATTCTTTTGCTATCATAATTCAAATTTTTAGTAACAGCTTAATAAGTTATTACATGCAAAGAGACAACAAATCATTAGAAGATTAACATTTCACTTCGTAGGCAGGACACTTTTTATTTTCGACGTTGTCACATTTCGTCAAGGTAAAGTTATGAATGTCCTTAAAATATTTACTTATTAATGTAACCATATATCCTAACTTCATCCCTGCATTTGTATTAGTGTAAGTTTTGGCGTACTTTTTAATCCCTCATGCTTAGTCTTTATTATTATTGTGTATTTATCATTATTATGTATTTAGGTTTGTTTTCAATTTTATCTTTATTTCATATTGAAAACTCAGATACTAAATAATTATTCGTCTTTCGACGAATTTAGATATTAATTTTTTTATAGTTAAATACAATTAAGTTTCGTAGACCTAAATACGCCCATTCTCCCTTTACAAAAGTATGTAAATGAAATGTCAAAATCATATCCTAACCTTATTAAATTAGAAAAACAGTAAATTTGCATCTTGTTGCAAATTTTTTATATAATAGTATGCTATTTCATCGAATTATCTAAAATTATTTGCAAATACATATATATTTTTTATCTATATAGTTCATATTTTTATTAATATTTCTACAATTCTGGTTATAGGCTGACAAAAAATGTTTACATATCGATGAAAAGTTAAATCTGGTATATTTCCATAAATTACACTATTAGACACATTACTATGTACTATGTTTTTATGGACATGCAGCTTATACAGCTTATCAATATGACGAACTGGCGTGCATTATAGTTCGATGGGAGCGAGCAAAGATCTTACTTATACTTTTGACTTATGCTTTGTTTACTTCATTATTATATGTCTTTGAATCTAGAGATTAGATAGCATTGACATTAATCTACAACTCGATATTGATATACCCTTTATGATAAATAGATCCCTTGTTATTTTTTATGAATATGTTTAAGAAAAAAATAAGATTTTGAATTGTCCAAAAAACAAGCAATATTCTTCGTGGTCGATAAACGAAATCGGGAATAGAAATTGGAAATATATATATATATATATATATATATATATATATATATGAATATATAATATGTATAAATTGACAATGTAATAAAATTAATCTTACAAAATGTTAATATCAACATTACGACTAATGTTTCTCTATCTTGTTTAATTGTCTTTTTCATTCATAGATATTTTTTTTTATTAATGTATCGTAGATACAGAATCAACGGTTGTCATTTTAGCTTGCCTGCATTGTCATATCAGCTGATTGCGTCATTGCATAGAAAGACAATAACGCAAAAACAAAAAACAAGTCGTAATATCGAATTTGGGTTTATTGTGATCATTTTGGAAATTACAGTGTGCTTTTAATACCAAAATGAAGTTCCAATACAAGGAAGAACACTCTTTTGAGAAACGGAAGACCGAAGGAGAGAAAATACGCAGGAAGTATCCGGATCGAGTACCAGTAATTGTCGAGAAAGCTCCGAAGGCTAGATTGGGAGACCTCGACAAGAAGAAATATTTGGTTCCGTCAGACTTAACTGTCGGACAATTCTATTTCCTCATTCGAAAACGTATTCATCTGCGACCGGAGGACGCGCTGTTTTTCTTTGTTAACAATGTAATTCCTCCCACATCTGCGACCATGGGATCTCTGTACCAGGAGCATCATGATGAAGACTTTTTCCTCTACATAGCCTTTTCTGACGAAAACGTTTATGGATCTATGTAAAATTTATCTTTTCATAACCATATGTAGATTGATGTAACCATATGGTGAAACTTAGTTTTAAGGCTTAGTTTAATATTGATGTATTATGTTACGATGGTGATAAATAATTTTAATTTGCAATTTCCACACACAACTTTGTGAACGCAATGTTTTAGTTAATAACATTACACTTATGGTAAATTTATTGAATCTTTTCAATCTCTTTGTTTGGTTTAGGAGTGTGATTATTTCTGTATCTATACAATAAACTATAAACAATATGTTTCATTTGTTTATTTCTTTAGGCAATTCCACAAATAGATTTTCCTTTCACATCCATAATAGGCATTAGTATCAACATAATAACTATGTTAATGCCATACAGTCCAACCTACAATTTTTACATTAGTAAATACTTGTGTATATTGTATGAAAGACCAAATAACTCCTGCAATGACAAAATTAATTTAAAAAACGAAGGGCTTTTCCATATAGATATACAATTAGAAAGCAAAGTTATTTTGCAAATTTTATAAGTAGGTACTAGGCTATCTGATACCGAAATAGAAAATTTCATTAAAATTTGGAATGCCTTCTCAGTGATGGTTTCTCTATATCAAATAACTAATAGAAAATTTCATCAAAATCGGTCTCTTAAACAAAAGATGCAAGTTTTTCTCTGTTATACCTATATTTCTATAATAAATAAATAATAATACTTCTTGCACATTCTTTTTAAATATTTAATTGCTTTTTATTTACATCTCATTGATGCATTTCTTTTTATATATGATACTTCTACTGAGAAAGGTATCTAAGATCGTTATTGATTTAATGTTATTTCATAAGTAGCCAGTACTTATGATAGATGGTAATGATGTCATGAGACACTAACATTCTATGTTGGTTCCTTTTTTTTTTTTCATGCAAAATTAATTTTATAACCACATAATTACGCAGCTGTTTAAATAGTATGTTTTGTGGTATAATCCATTTATAATACTCTTTAATACAATCGCTAATTATATTGTATGCTACAGTCACAATGGATACTAAAGTTCTTAACACTAGGATATTATCCACAATCAGAGTAGGTATTCTTAGTAGAATTTACCTAATCACAATTACAAATACTTGCCTTTATTTGAAAATTATATCATTATTCCACAAGAACAATATCAACAATGTTAATTTTATTGGTATTGTTTAAAATATCCTTTGTCTGTTTTCATATGTACTAGGTACTATGCTTAGATCGGGGGATTGTTCGCAACGGGACTAAGAGCCCCATTGCTACCGATACGCCGTCCAGTCGACGTCCACGCGTTTCTCCTGGAACCATTGCGGTTAATTCCTAACAAACTTGTCACTACGAGTCAACTGACCTGTCTTCATCTTCACTTATTATCCTTCAAATGGTAACCCATCACTTGGGGAGGAAAGGGATTGTTAGTAATGAGGTCTAACTGACTCATTCTTAGTAATACACCCTATCTGGTCAACCTCCACGCGGTCCCCCTGGAAACCGTCGTGATTAAATGTAGTAGAATTCGTCACGATGGGCTAACTGACCTGCCTTTTCATGCTCACCTGTCATCACTCACTGGTGCCCCATCAGTGTATCCCGATATCGCAGGCGGGGTTACCATTTCATTATTACCCATTAAAAAACCCACCACTCGAGTTTAAAGAGGTAATTCTCTAAGCATTATTATTGTACTATGTGACTTCAATGGTCATCAAATTTGAACATTGAACAATATATAAAAATATAAGAGCAGTGAAAGGATCTGTACCAACTGTGATTTCTAGTTTCAGGCAGAGATAGAATGTGCGGCACCTCGTAAACATGGCGTAGTGAAATAATCGATAATTTTAAGCATTTTAATACATACATCTATAATCCTCGTATAATAACCGTGGCCTATAGACATGACAATTATCACTGAGAAAATACTTTCTAAATATAACAGTAATACCTAAATAATTTTTAATTATCTTGCATTATTTATAAAATTGAATCATAACATCTATAAGATACGCAAAACTACCCTCAGAGATATATTGACCTAATGACACCAATACTGCATTTACATCAAACGTGATGACATCTCTATTACTAGTTACGACGAAACCAAATAAAACCATCAGTTCTTTAAAATGGCAAATGTAATAAAAGCTATTACATATTATATAAATATTTTATACTATCTAAAAACTACTTAAAAGGTAAATTCTTTAATTAATCTTCATAAGTCCTAATTGTTATCTTCAAGGACTAAAGATCTATCCACGTGAGTTCGTCGTCCCCAATTCCATCACAAATTTCGACTCCAGCCAATAATTAAAATTCCTCGGGTTTAACCCCTGCTTTACACAAGTTATGCTATGGTACCTAGGTGGGAAGGAACGGATTACTTGTAATAGAAACTAATAGCCCCATTTTTTTAAAATACAGGTCGATTTCTACGCGGTCTTAAATGAAAACTAAGAGGGACCATTCTGGTGATGCACCGACTTATTATATTCTCACCTATTTTCATTCATTAATGATCAGCCAATGTATACCAGCAACGTAGGAGCGCGAGGCATTCCATTACGAAGCAAATACCTTGATACTACGCTAACTAGTGGTCAAGTAAAAAGGACAATACAAAGATGGCGTAAGTTAAGGTTTAAACAGTATATTTGTAAACGTAAATGTGGCTAGTGATCGCTCTAATAGTTCTTCCTCGAACTTTGAATGTCTTCGAAGAGATCTCACTTTCATCTATATAACAATCTGTAGAAAATTATGCTCTGGAGGTAATGAAATCTAACAGCAATTAGTATTTGCACTACAAACTAGAATGTAACTTATTCTAATTCATAACAAAGTACAATAAGTTACATTCACAATCCTTTTGGGACAATGGATGATAGAAAAATCTAATCTTATTTTGATAAGATTATTAAGAAATGGCTTTATGCTTTATAGTATTTCTTTTGTGCATATGTAGGACGAATCTGACAGGAATACTATAAAGCATAAAGCCATTTCTTTTTAAAACAATAGCAGTGGGCTGTGTTAAGTTAATAAGTCTCTGATAAACTAGATAGTTACATGACGACAGCAAAATACCATAAAAAAAACATAATAAACTATAAAAAATAATATTAAAAAAATATTTAACTTTGTAAACACAACTGGTCGGTTTATTTGGGACTTTTAGACTTTTAAATAATGATTTATACACACCCATAAAAAAGCCGATTTAAAGTATATTATGATTTTTTGCGTTTACAATGCATCAGTAACATACTGCAATACAGCTTGATACAATACCGGATAACAATAATTAATTCATTACGTTTAATATTTCTAAGTAGGCATCGGAAATCATTGCTTTGTGAAATTACATATTACAAGGCCTAGGCATTATTAATTACGGTTATGTAGTCATTTGCTTATTTGCATTTTATTTTAATCTGTATACTGAATACCTATAAAATTACATCGACTCACCTGTAGAACAACAGTTAAATGTATTTTTGTGGAAATTCATTAATTAAAACACTGTATAATTAGTACATTTGCTTTTCTTTTTTGATAAGAACTGGAATTCAAATAAATTTATAAAACTTACCTTGACGATACACTTATGTTATAATTCAGAAAAGTAAATGCTAGCCATTTTTATAATTCTATAAACCTAGCTAATAAAACAAAACTAAAACGGGAAGAAAAAATTAAACAAGGCACTAGTTGACAATTTTTTTTATTTCTATGTTTTGTAATTCTGACAAAAAAGTATGGAAATGTATTTTTTTGTTAATATAAGTAATGAAATCATAAGAAAACACTTATTCTACAAATGAGCACATAATAATTGTATGAACGTACTAACTGTTGTAATAACAGACGATGTAGTATAATTTGAAATTGGATTATGAGAGTTATTATTTCTAATTCAAGTTTCTTATTGCTAATAACTAGGTACTATTATAATATTGTATCAGTAAATTTGGAAATGTAGGTATTGATATAGTTGAATTATAATTTGGCTTCCCTACACTAAACATTGACAATTGCATTCAATACCATTTATAAAACAAAAATCACTATAATATCAATATGTCAAAGATAGATGATACAAATTTGTTATCTGGTTCTAAATCAATATTTATTCAAGAAGCAATTTATACATATGAACTAAAATGCAACACCACAATTAACAAAAAATCCAGTCTATATTTTATACTATATAATATTATAATCGATTACACGAAAGAACTCTAATTTACGGCAACATTTAATACCTCATGTGATAATTATGAGACCTTCGTGATGGACGCCCTCTCGATCGCATTCCACGACCTCGTGCTCCGCTTTCACTATCTGCAAGTAAATAACGTATTTTGAGAACGAAAAATATTAAATATTATTATTATTTTATCGCTAGCTCGTTCTGTAATATAAAAATAATATCAATAAAAGCTGTTTCATTAACATGCAAATCAAAAACCACTCGGTGAAGTTGAAGTTTACAACATATTGTGGCCTCTTTAAATCATTTTACCACTTTCTATAAAGAAAGCCCCGTCAGGTTTTTACTATTCTAAATATCATAAAATGTACACAACGCAATATTTATATATATATAGGATTCAAAATATCAAAATGTTCACTTCTCAGAATTGCATTTTGCTAGAACAGGAATTAATATCAAATTTTATATATATAAAGATAGAACATCGAATGTAAAAAAGGAGGAGAAATTTATATATTTTTTAAATCATTATTTTTAGTATTTTTTTGGTTTAATATGAATTGGAATTTTTTTTTATATAATATAAATATACATACATATATAATTACCGTTATCATCATATGTACTGCTTACAAATTAATATTTTTTATACCACTGAGATAGCAACATACGGCCTACTTGATGGTAAGCAGTTACCGTAGTCTAAGAATGCCTGCTATACCTGAGGCATTACATACACGTTGCTGACTCTGAAGAAACCTTCACATATTTTTTGAAGAACCCCATGCTGTAGCCTCTTGGAAATACCTTAACATTCAGTAACCTGAGCATTTATGGGAGGAAGTATGTGATACCACGCTGTATGCAACCATCTAGGCTCTAAGATATGGGGGAACTAACTGTCTATGGTAGAGAGTGGCTATGGGCATCATATTAAACCGTAAGAATCATGTATTTATTAAAATATTGGCTATTTCCAATCATTTAAAAACGAAAGATTATTTTGAATATATACTCAGATGTAAAAAAGAAAACAGGGTACTGATTACTTTGATAATCAGTATTCTGTTTCCTCTTTTCTAATATACACATATTAACACTTATAACTAAAAGTACACGTTTTTCTGTATGCCTGTATCTCCTAAAAATTTATACAATTTTTTTTTATTTTAATCTATAGTGTATATAATTTTTTATTATCTTTCACATACTGCGTAATAACTGTATATTATTGTATTTCTATTTATTCATATATGGACAAAAATGTTGATCTGTTCTTGACAAGGCATTTCTATTTTGATATTCGATCTACATATATGGATGTAAAAACAGGGTACTTACACATATTTCTTCTGAATAAGACATATGAGGAAACGGAACAAATATTGTTTGATGCAGCTTAATGTATAAGCTATATTGCCAATATGTAAGATAGTGTATTTTAGTTTGTTTATTTTTTTAATTGTTAAATTATATATACAGTTTTGTTGTAGTTACTCTATATCAATATATATATTTTCCCCATAATACTAAAGGGGGTTGGGGCTGCGGCCCCTTAACACAGTTTATTATATTAACCTATTTAGGAGCCCAGTTCTAAAATCATAATTACTGGTACCCTTATAAAACTATAATATTAATATTAGTTAAGAAACTACAGGTATATTTTTTTACGAATAAATCTCATTTCATTTATAATGTAAGCGTATAATACTAGGGACTAGTGAAATACTACAATACAGTACCTGCGGCGCGCATCCAGCGCTGGGGCGGCGTGGGCGTGGGCGCGGGTGCGGGTGCGGGTGCGGGTGCGGGTGCGGGGGCGGGGGCGGGCGACGCGGGCGGCGCTCGGCGGCCCGCCGCCGCGCTGCCCGCTGGCGCGCTCGCCTCTGCCTCGCGACCCTCCCACGCTATCTGTACAGCGTAACATTACGTTTAAAACCCATTCACAGACGGTGTTGTATGATATATATATATTAATATTTATTATACCTACATCTGCAATGGCCTAAACCCACTTACAACATTCAATGTGCCGTGCACTAACTGACAGGGTCGGAAAGAGATTTTTAAGGAGGTGTAATATATATCTAGTAATATAATCAAGTCGATCTTTACGCTGTTGCTGTTGGAACACATCGTAATTAATTTTATTAATCACATTTAATAAATTATTATTATCATCTGCAGCAGTGTATAAAGTATCATGTGTGATGATGCAACCTATTTATATGTAAAATATAAATCCATTCAGACGTTAAAGCACTGTTGATAGTATGAATAATAAAACGCACAAATATCCAAACATCTTCACAAACTTTCACATTTACAATATTAGTAGGAGTACATACCCCATGCTGTGGAGAAGAAGGTTCGCTTCCCTGCGAGCTGACCGCTGTAGTCTCTTCTTCAGCACGCGATTCTTCCCAGTCGCGACTTTCAACTCCTTCGTTACCTACATGTAATAAAAAAAAATATAAACCAGTTGTCAGGTTGCTAGTACTTGCCACGCTTAGCAGACGGATTGGCAACCGCAGTCAGGCTTTAGAGATGTTTTAAGAGGGACAATACTGTCCATCCCTCGTCTTCCCTTAGTCGGTTCTCATAACATCCACGGGAAAGGAAGGGGTGGCCTATTCTATGTGGGGACCATATGGCCGATTTTGAGGCCTGTTTGAGGTACTGTACAAAAAGTGGGGTCGAAGTGAAAAAGTCTGAAGGGACGTACGCGAGTCAGTGTGCGGGTGAGAAGCGTGAGGCGCGGCGTGCTGGGAGTGCTGGGCGTGCTGGGCGTGCTGGGCGGGCGCGGCGGGCGGCAGCGCGGCGGCCAGGTCGGGGTGCGTGTCGTGGTGCGCGGCGGCGCCCGGCGCCTCCGCGAACGTGAAGCGCGCGCCGCCCGCCGCGCCCGCGCCCGCGCCGCCGCCCGCGCCCACCGGCGACACCACCGCCTCTCCAAACCTGTTCATTTGTTCGTTCAATTCTCTGTTGTACATACACAAACAAACACCTAACACTAAGAGATGGGAGGGGGGGGGGGGGAAGGGATTGTTAGTAATGGAGACTAAGAATCCCAATGCTAGCAATATACCCAACCAGGTCGACCTCCTCGTGGTTCCCCCTGGAAACTATCATGATTAATTCCAGATGAATTCATCATGATGGGCTAACCGGCCTGTTTTCATTCTCATCGATCGCCCTTCACTGGTGTACCCGCCAGCGTATCCTGTTAGCGCAGGCGGGGTTACCATTCCATTTTCATCCAATAAAAAAAAACACTAAGAGATGGGGGAAAGAGATTGTTAGCAATGAAGTTTGACAGCCCCATTGCTAGCAATATGCCTTATATTTATTATAGGTTGACCTCCACGTAGTTCCCCCCCTGGAAACCATTGTGAACAATTCTTGTCGAATTCGTCACAATGGGCTAACTGACCTAATTCACTCTCACCTATCATCCTTCATTGGTGCCCCGTAGGTGTATACCGATAGCACGGGCGGGGTTACCATTCCATTATTATCCATTATTTTTTTACGAATGATAATGGAATGGTAACCCCGCCTGCGCTATCGGTATACATTGGCGGGCCACCAGTGAAAGATGATAGGTGAGAATGAAAAAGCAGGTCAATTAGCCCATTGTGATGAATTCGCTTGAAATTCAGCACAATGGTTTCCAGGGGAGACCACGTGGAGGTTGACCTTTTTGGGCATATTGCTAACAATGAGACTGGTAGTGCACATTATTAACAACCCCCCCCCCCCCCTATTATTATCCATTAAAAAAAACACTAAGAGATGATTCTACTTAGTGACCTAAAAAGGACGAGGTTTTCATTTGTCCCATATAAAAATTGTCATGATTAAGATTACTTTTTTTTTTAATATGTTTAACATTTTGGAGAATGTCAGACGAAAAAAATACTATACCGCAAACATACAAAATGAAATTAAAATTGTTACCATTACGTAAACTAAAAATCTACCGATCTGTCCTGTCCACTGCCGAACATAGGCTTCTCTTGGGGTACTGATAGATTAGTCGCCTTTGATAACAATCGCGTAAACGTGAAAGGACGGGGTGGCGCATTCTATACCGGGACCATAGGGCTAACTCTATATTGTTCACCTTTAATAATGTCAGATTTTGTTACGTAAAAATATCATTATCAATCGTGGGTTGCTGGCAACGAAGTCACTGCAGTATGGACGGGGCACGAGAATTACTTATTTTGACATAAAAAATATCTCCATGATTATGACGGAATTAGGCCAGCACGTCAGAATTCACTAAAGCAGTGATCATAATATGTAAGTTATAAAAGATTACCCGTCATTTCGCCTCGGGACGTACAGTGTAGGAGTAGATGGAACTATGCTGTCGTCGCCATCGTCGCCTCCATTGCCGCCTAAAGACAGGGCTCCACTTGCTACAAAAAATAAATGTAATATTAAAATACAAGTTTATTTGCAAAGAATTATCTTTATTGTTTGCTTCTATGCTATATATTATATATAGCATACATGTCCTTCTTCATTCCAAACGTTTATGTCAAACAATAATTTATGAAGCCGTTGAAATTCTAAGAGCGCAAGAGGTAACTATCAAACAAATTCGCTTTATCAGTTATAATGCGTTTTCCAAAAAAAGTATTTATCAATTTTTTAGTATCCATAATACAAGATAAGCTATGACTAAATGGCGCAATATAATATCATGTCATGTATTCTATATATAAAATTAATTTAATTTTAGAGGTATATTATTTTTTTTTTTAAATATTTTTAGTTATCAGTATAGTATATATCATATATACTCTGTTTCAATATAACTTGATGAAAAGGTAACCAACCAAATTCTGTTATTGATCGATAGCATCATACAATCATTTTCTCTAAATGAAATTAGTAACAAAACAAAACATTGAATCGAATAATAATTTTTTTATCTTTATAATTTTGGATTGTCAGCAGACTGTCTTTTTACAATTTTATTTATTTGTTTAGTTCATTTGTCTGTTTAAGAGTATAGCAGTTCTCACGTTCTGTTCCACTGCTGATGGCCTCGATCTGCTGGTGCGCGGGCGCGGGCTCGCTGTCGGCCTCGCGCGCCTCGCCCGCCTCCCGCGCCCCGCTCGCGCCCCCTTCGCTCTCTTCACCTTCATCGCCTTCTTCGCCCTCCTCGCCGGCCTCCGGTGACTGCGCCGGTGACTCCTATGCATTCAATCATCTATTACAACTGACTTTGTACCAAATTTGATTTTAAAACTTGCCATGTAATGCTCTTAACAATTTTATACATAGTTTAACTTTAATAATTTTTCATATAAAAATATCTACTGCACTAGCATTATATTTTAGCATTTATATGATTTATGCATATTTTTAAATGCTAAGCATACAATATTACACTCAACAAATATCATATAAAACTCTATGAATAATGAGCAATGAAGAAACATGAAGAGACATAATTCAGTGTCATACTTGTCGTGCAGCATTATCTCCGTCTTCTCCTTCCGCTTCCTCTTCTTCCTCCCCTCCTTCAACTTCCTGTTCTTCATCCATGTCTTCTTCATCTTCCTCACCTTCCTGTAGAAAAACATATTAATATTGTTTTTATTTTTATAGGTCATAATAGTGATGAATGATCTATGAGTGATGAATATTATGATCTTACCCTATACATAGTGCCAGAACATCTTTCGTCGTCTTCTTCAGAATCGACAACAATGACGCCTTCATCATCTTGATCGCAACGGGACGATGTTGGCACCTGATATTCCACTTCTACAGATCTTTCAAATCCCTAAAAATTGAAAACTTTTTAGTAAATGGTTAAAGATAGGCTATTTATATCACATAAATAAGCATTCTGTCAATTTTCAAATAAAATAAAGGCAAAAATAACTATAATACAATGTGAATGTATTTTAAAATATTTTCTCAATGTTGTAAATTTATAATTGTTTCACACTTTGTCTGTGAGACGGGATTGTTTTGCTGCTCTTAATTTACGTGTACATTTATTTAAATATACACATATAAAGTTTCTTTATAAATAAATTATAATATTAACATTTCTAATTTTAATATATATTGAAGGGATATTTCCATGCTTACAAGGCTGAATATGTTGCGTATGCGTAACACAGATATGCATATATTAATATACTGTTTTTATTATTTACCACAGTACACACGATATTGTATGATTTTACCGTCACCACATATGAAATAGGACAAAAACAGGTTAATTTATTTACAGATGTACGCGTGAATAAAGACACGAGAATATACCATTAGTACTTTAGGAGAATTGTATATTAATCTGTAAACAAATGTAAATAACCTAATATACCACAAATAAAATCGACCTGATCTGGGAAATTTTTAATCTATTTGAAACAACATAATCATATTCTACAATACCATAATCTAAATAATATAATCTTTTTTTTAGTGCATTAGTTAAAAAAAAATCATTAAATAAGCCAAACTTCAATTTGGTTGACTAACTTTTGACCTATTTTTGACAGTCGATGTTTTTGTGTAGATAAATTTAAGCGTGACGATAAAATCGTATAGCATCGTGTTTCAGCTTCGGTTAATAAATTTCTAATAGCAGTAAATGTGCTGCGTATGGGCAACCTGCACGCGAGTCCTCTTGGCGGCGAGCGGGCGCGGCTGCAGGCGGCGCTTGGCGGGCCGCGCGTCCGACGGCGGCTGCGACGTGCTGACACCGCCCGACACCAGCGCCGCGCCGCTTGCGGCCGAGCTCTGCGCTCTCTCGCCGCTTGATGCGCCTGTGAGTGCCGTAATGGGGATGTTGAAACTTATTTAAACATTTTTGTATCGTTAAAAAAATTCATTGAAAAAAAAACTCTAACAACAAAAACACAGTTTTTCACTTTTTCTCCTAGATTTGAACAATATGACAAATTTACAAGTTTTTTAGAACACTTTGGTTCATTAAACCAGATATTGCCAGACCCTTTAAATTTTTTATTTAAATTAAATTTGTGATTAACTCCTTAGCGATGGGCTATATGAATAAGACTTCGTCCTAATAGTTTCATCCTCCACTGGTACCCACAATTATATACCGTTAGCATAAGTGGGTACACCGTTCCATTTTCATCCATTGAAAAACAAAATTATAATATATTTTGAGCTGAGGGCTGTGGGCCGTAATAGTAGGTACTTAATAAAATCTTAGTACCAGCTAGCGAAGGTGCAGAGGTGACTGGAGACGCCGCACTCGTGATGCTGGGTGCTACAACGGAACTGGCAGCAGACACTCCAACACCACCCGAACTGGCCCCGCTCGGCTGTTCAATGCGTGGCATCACTAAAGCTACAGCCTACACACAGATAGTTAAAATTAATTAGAGGAAGAATGGTATTAGTAGTAAAGAGGACTAGTGGTCAACATATTCAGTGTATCAGTGGTAATGTCAGCTATAAACTCTATCAGATCAACCTCCACACAATTTTCTCTGAAAGCCACGAAGCTGCTTTCATTCTAATAATCATCTCTCACTGGCATATACTAATAGCGCAAGAGGAATTCATCATATCAGCCATTAACTATCCATTGCTGAATATAGAACTCTCCTAATGGGGGGTTTTGCCCGTACTACATCTATAATAATATAACTATCTTAATATTGGAAAAGTATGTTTTAATTCAAGAACCTGTTGTGGTGCCTGAGAATGTGATGAAGATTGGGCACTATTGTCACTAGCACCGGAACTACCCATGCCTGCTTCACTCGTATCCATATCCTAGTAAAGAAAGAAAGTAATATTTATTATACAATTAATAAAAAATCACTGTGAAGTACTGTCATGATACAAATCAAGGAAATGCCATGCAAGAAAAGAATACATCTCCGCGAGAGAGAGCCAATATGTCAGGGTCTTATTATAAGAGAACTAAAATAGTATATTGTCAAAAATAATGTCGAACTTATAATTTGAAAATACAGAACACAAATGTAGTACTTTTCTCAAGTCAATGGTGTGATTTTTTCTAATACGAAAATAATGGTTTTTCTTTATATCACAATAGCAAACAAGCATACAGCCTGTCTAATGGTAAACAGTAATATAGCCTATGGACGCTTGCAACCCTAGGAGTGTCACGAGCGCGTTGCTGACCCGGAAGAAACTTTAATATACTCTTTTTGAAAAATTTACTGTAATCTCTAGGAAAAACCTAGGCAAGGAGATCATTTCACAGCTTGAGTGTTCGTGGAAGAGAATTCCTTTGAAACCGCACTGTACGTGACCATTTAGATTCAAACGTGTGAGAATGAATTTCTAAATACCTAATTATGCAGATCTGATCATTATCCAAATCAGCCCATTGACTTCTCTAAGTATTTAATTTATATATATGAAAAAGAACTGCTGTTTTCAACTAACTTAAAAAAAAAATAAAGGTACTCAATTCAGTTCTGTCTCACCTGAGTGGATTCTGGAGGCGGTGCGGTGGTTGCAGATGATGCAGAAGGAACAGCGGAGCCGGCAGACGCCGCGAGTGCGGTGCGAGGTAGCGGTCGCGAAGATGAGGCTGGCATATATTCGGTGCTGTGTGCGTCGTGTGGCGCCGTAGGGCCCACCTGCGCCATCGGTCGTATTGACGCTAGCGGTGTCTCGCCTCCACGCCGGCTCGCTGAGACGCTCTGTTGAGCTACTCCTACCACGATAATATTTATATGTTACGATTAAACCATGCAGCATGGCCAATATCTCTATAGGAATATTGTGAATTTTATTATATACATGGGGTTCATTACAATTTTTACACTTCAATTGTATCACAATTGTCGATGTCAAGTACAAAATTTTGGAGTCCATTTAAATAATTCACGCATCCCATCCACACTAAATAATAATAGTAAATTAAAAACTAAAGCGTAAACTGCACTTGTGCTTGTTCTTTACATGGAAATAATTTAAGATTTATTCCAAAAACAATAACATATATATAATATTAATTGGAGATTGCAATATATCAAACAAAGTAAATATAACATAAAATTACACTTACCAGCCATAGGTTTTATGTTAGCCGTAGGAGGATCCGTAGTAGTTTTCTCAGTAGTCACTTGCTGTTTCGATGCTGAAACTTGACTAGCCAGTTGTCTTTGAAGCATAGTAACTTTTTGCATTAATGCTTCAACTTCTCTAGATTTCTCTGCTTGGGCTTCTCCGCGTTCTTTTTCCAGTCTAGACAGACGACCCTCATATTGTGACTTTATAAGTGCTAATCTAACGTCTTGTTCATCGCGTGTACTTTGTGCTACTTGTTCAATCGCTCCAATTTTTGAACGTGATTCGTCAAGCTCTCGGCTTAATGAATTTTTTAGTTCAGTTAATTGGACAATTTTACTTTTTGCTTGTTTTAATACTTGCTTCGCTTTTTCTTCCTTATCCAAATTAGCTGTTCTAAGAGTTTCAAGTTCTTGTTGCAACTTTTCGTTATTAGATTTTTCTGTTTCCAGTTGGCTTTGAAGTTCATTTAGCTGCTCCTCTAATTTTTTCGTGCTCTCAGCTAATGCAGTATCGGCAGCAGCAGCTTGTCCTTCAATCTTCTTTTTTTCTTCTTCGGTAGTTTTTACTAGTTCTTCATACTGGGCTTTATATTTTTTAGCTATTTTTCTAATTTGCATTTCTTTATTTCTAATATCAGTTAAAGTAGATTCTTTATTAGTCAGGTCATCAGTTAGCTTAGTAATACTTTCATTTGCAGAAGCAAGTTCAGATTTAAGTTTTGACACTTCTTCAGTTAAACGTGCCATATCATCTTTGAGAACTTGCAATTCCTCAGTCTGTTTAGTATTTTCCTCCATAAGTGTGTTTTGCTGACGTGACAACAATGTATATTGCTCTTCCAACTTTGTCTTTTCCACTTTAATTGAACCTAAGTCTTCATTGAGTTTTCTAATAGTTTCTTTTTCATTAGTTAACATTTTAGCTAAAGTTTCTCTTTCATTCTGAAGCCGTTTCCAATCTTCTGGACTAGTTTTATTAGCACGTTCTACTAGGGCATTGACTCTAGTTCTCCACCGAGCACAATCTGCTTTCAATGCAATATTTTCAGACTGTAAAGTTTCATTTTTAGATGTTACATCTGAAATTCTTTCTTGTAATGGGGTTAATTGTTCCTCCATTAATTTAATTGAGGCACTAAGTTCTTCAACGCGTACTGATAAAATATCACGTTCTTCTCTTAAGATTCTATTGCTGTCCGTTAAGGCATTTAGTGTCTCTACTTTTCTTAAGATATCAGACTGTTTATTGACAGTTACCATGGTCACTTCTGAGCGTTCTCTTTCAGCTGCTAAAGCAAGTTTAGAATCATCAAGTTGTTTTTCAGCGATTTCTAACTGCGATTTGAGTCTCATAGTTTCAGCTTGTAAAATATCAAACTTCGCCATAGCAATATCCTTCTCTTTTCTTAAGAATTTCACAATTTGGAATAACTGTTCAGATGATTTACCGTCATCTTCACTAACAGATATATTTATTGAATCATTAGCATTTGACTCATTCAAACTTTCTGAGTGCGATTTAGATGCATGGCTCACTGATAACTGAGTACCAAGGGCTTGAATTTGATCATGCAACAATGAATTCTGATCATTCAAATCTTTTAAACGCTGTGTTAACTGTTCATTTTCTTTAATTAATATTGCTTGTCTTTCAGCCCAAGCATTTTTCTCAGATTCCATCTTTTCTACAGCACTATTCTTTAATGCAACTAATTCGTTTAATTGATTTTGTGCTTTTGATAGTTCTTCTTTAACTTGCGACAAAGTTTGTATGTCATTTGAATGTAAGATCATCTCATGATTATATTTTTCTTCAGCCTTTTGTACCGATTCAGATAACTTTGTAATTTCAATACGAGCTGTTTCAAGTTCTAAGCGACAATTATCGAAATTTACTAAAGCAAGCTTCAACTCTTCTTTAACATTTAATAATTCATTCCTTAACGTACTATTACTATTAGAATGATCTCCATTTGCATGTAGAGAAAGCTCGGTTTCTAACTCTGAACACTTATCTTCAAGATGTTGTAATTTCTGTATGTAATCAGTTAACTTTTGTTCTGATTCACGTTTATATATTTCATATTCAGTGTTTAGATTTTTTAATTCTTTTTCAGCACCCTCTGATATATCACAATATTGTTTTACGTGTTCTTTAGTCACTTTCAATTGTTCTTGCAAAGATTGAATTTCACTATTCCGATCAGATAATTTGTTTTCTAATTCCTTAATTTTTTTTATAGTATCAAATGATCCATCTGTATTGGGGGCAAGAGCTACTTTTAATTTTTTAGCAAGTTCTTCGTTGGCTTTATTTTTTTCTAACAAATCTTGGCGCAATTCAGCTACTTCCTTTCTCATTAAATCAGCTGCATCTTTTTCTTCTTGCATGCGCAGCTTTGCTGTATCAGTCTGTCGTTCTAAATGAGCTGCTAGTTCTCTAAATCTATCTTGTTCTTCTTGTAATCTCCTTCTTAATGCTGAACATTCTCTGGTCGCTTCATCAAGTCTGGATTCTATTTTAGCGCGATTTTCTGCTTCTACGCGTTCTAAACTAGCTTTTATTAATTCTAAATTTTTTAATAATAAAGACTGCCCTTGTCTTTCCCTATTCAAAATTTCTTTCTCAGTTTGAAGCCGTAATTCAGCATCTTTAAGCAATTTACATTCCAATTTTAAGTTTTCCACTTGAATTTCTGCAGCAGCAAGTTTACTTTGCGCATTAAGAGCTTCATCTCTTAAATGTTGCAAAGAAACTTCATGTTTAGCAATAGTAGCATTATAAGCTTTATTCTTGTCTTCTAGTGAATTTATTTGTTTTTTATAAGTTGCTATATTTGTTTGCAATATTTTTAGGCGTTCATTATTGTATTCTGAAGTAGAGGCGCATTTGCTATTTGCTGCAGTAAGCTTTGCAATTTCTTGTCTCATGTTATCGATTTGTTCAAATAGCATTCTTTCATTAGTCATTTTTTCTTCTTTGTAAGTTTTGTATTCCTCTTTCAATAACTCTAAGTGTTTCAAAGTTTCTTTTAATTTGATTTCACAATTAGATGATTCAATATTGGCAGGTTTCATCATGGACTTTTCAGGTGATGTTTCCATTGTAAATGAATCACCTTTATCTATATCAGCTGTTTCCAATATAGATGTAATTTCATGACGTTTACCTTTCATAAGATCATGATATAACTTTTTAAACATATCGCGTTGTCTAATAAGACCATTGACCATTTTTGTTTGCCTTTCTTGGGCTTCTGTCAGTTCTGTCACTCTATTTTTTAAAGATTCTATTTTATTTTGCATCTCCCCACTTTCAAACTGCTCTTTATGGCGCTCAAGTTCCTCTTGTTTTTCGGTCAATTCTCGAACCATCCTTAAGAGTTTTTGATTATTAGCTTGTAATTCTTGAATATCAGTAAAAGTAACTAATGTTTTTGAAATTATCCGAGCTGTACTCACTTCGGATGAATTTGTAGTATTGGAAGCAGTATGTGATGAATCATGATCTCCATTTGGTAAAGATCCACCGCGACTATGTTCAATTTCCTTCAATAAGAAACAAACTTGTCGTCCTAAATCAGCTAACTCGCCCTTTAATTTTCCATTTTCTCTACTGTAGTGATTAGCAATCTTTGCAGATTCACTATAATCATCTCGTAGTCTGTTACATTCAATCACTAATGAATCTATTTGTTGGGACAATGCCGTATTGCTTTCTAAAGCTTCTTCATATTCTGATTTTTGTTTTTGTAGAAGTGGTGCCTTTTCCTCTAATTCCTGAACAATTGTATTGATTGTAATGTTAAGACGCCTGTTTTCTTCCTTCTCCTGTGCTAATTCGTCTGTTACTTTTACTAATTGTGAATAAATTTGAGTTAATGACATCCCCGATTTAAGTAGCTTGCTAGCTGTGGCAGCAGATGGAGCTAAGTCGCTTAATGCCATGTCAAGATTTTGAGCATTAGCAGCTTTTAATAAGTCATTTGCATGATCTAATTCATTTTTTAATGATGCTATAATTTCATTTTTCTTCTCCATTAATTCTTCATGATCTACTTCCGCTTGTTTGTATTTTGTTTCTAGATCACCATATTTTTCAGTTGCTTCATTCAACAGTTTCTGCAGTTCCGCTATACCTTCAGTCATTTCTACAGTTTTAGCTTCAGCGTCATCATGCATCGTTTTAAACAAATCTGCCAGTTTGGTTTTAGCGTCAAGCTCCTTTTTATAATTTTCTGTCATCCTGTTTTCTATTTCTCTTTGTTCCATTAAGCGTTGCGTTAAAGTTTCGGCTCTATTATTTAAATTCTTTTTAACTTCATTTAATTGAGAAATAGTGTCATTGGCAGCATTTAATTCTTCATTTTTTTCTGATAATTGGGTTTCTAAACTTACCAATCTGCTTGTATTGTTTAATCTAAGTGTTTGTAATTCTGAAGTAAGTCTATTAACTTCTTCTGTGAGACTTGCAATTTGAGAATTTAATAAAACTCTCTCCTGTTCTATTCTTTTCTCGCGATATTGAAGTGAAAGTTCTTTACTTTGAATTTCGTCATTTAATGCTAATGCTTCACATTTTGCATCGATAGCTGCACGCAGCTGCTGCGACAGCGAGGTTTCATTAGCCGTCAATCTTTCAATTTCAGTATCACGTCTTTGTAATATTCGCGTTAAATCATTTCTTTCATCAACAGCAGCATCTCGTGAGCTTTTAACTGATATAATTTCATTTTCTAAACGTCCAATTTTGTCACGGGCTTTCTCAAGTTCATTATTTAAAGTTTCGATTTGTTTACTCAACTCTGTAGTTGTTTCATCTGCTGCTTGCAATTTTCTTGCTGCATCTTCATACTTTGCAGTTATTTCAAGAATTGTAGCTTCTGAACTAGCAATTTTATCACCTACAACAATAAAATAGAACACGTTATTTACACAAATATTTCTCGTTAGTTTTTCACGAAAGGTTTAGAAATAAAACTATTATAATATTATTTATTATTTCCTACTATTATTATTTATTATTTTTTGTATAATAAATGCATGCATTAATTGCACAATAAAAACAATAGATTTCAGAATTGGGTAATATTTTCTATAAAAATTTGTATTTGCGGCCTCTCAAGCCCTACATTGATACTCATGTCATAAAAAAAAAACACGTTACGTGAGTAGCTAAAGGTCATGTATGGCCAAATTTGATAAAGAAAATTGTCTCCAGAACTTTATTAGGATCAAGGACTACATAAAGGATATAGTCTAAATAAAATAATAGTGTGGCATTATAATATAGTTGAAGATGTGTAATGTATTAGCTTTGAAATGAAACAAAATGTTCCTTCATTTTGAGAGTTAACGGAAAATTTATAGACCCAAAAAAAAAAGCATAGACATAAGGAAATTTAAAATGAAGTTAACAAGACTATTAGCAGGCCAAAAAAGCAAATGAAAGTCACAATTCACTTTCTGAAAAATATAGTTATTGTATACTAGCGACCCGACACGACTTCGCACGGGTGCAACCCGTTAAATAATTTTACCGACTTATTGTTTTTATTTCCATTATTTTCTGACCAAATGCATCAATTAGCATGCTGTAAAAAGTAAACTTTATCTCCATAAAATTTCCATTTTCATTTAGCTATTTGTTTTTATAAGAATTTGTAAAATATATATGAAACCTATATCCAAAATTCAAAAATTTATTTTGCTTTAAACATAAAAGCGAAATGGCTTTTTTTGCTGATAGCTGATATGAAATTTTGCAGAATAAAGCTCTGTATGTGTGTCGTCGTCATAGAGAAATGTTTCATCCTGTGTCGTTCCATCAGTTAAATATTCCACCAAAATGATGATTTGGTCAGTCATCAGCGGCAAAGGTACTGTCTGTAGTGGACGTCTGTACGTCGTAAAAAGAAAAGTGAGGCAATATTAGTACAAAAAAGTATTAAAAAATCAGTTGATTCCACAGCTTACAGAATTGTATTTCAAATGGAAAACCATTCACTTTTATGCAAGATGGAACTCCCTGCCACACTGGTCGGTCTGTTAACGCTTTTTTGGCAAAAGAAAATATCCCTGTTGGATTGGCCGGGTAATAGCCCTGATATGAATCCAATTGAAAATGTGTAGGAGCTGATGAAAAGAAAAGTAGCTAAAGATGTGATCACCAACAAAACTCAGCTCCTAATAAAGATTATTCATGTGTGGAATCATTATCCTCAAATGCAGGAGACAATATAGTCTTGCATTGATAGTATGCCGCGCAGAATTAAAGCTTTGATAGCGGCTAAAGGTGGATTAACTATTTTCAAAATAATGCTGTTTTATTTATGTTAATATAATCGGTGATAGACTGCATAATATAAAAAAAAATTAAAACAGATACAAACGGTACAATATCACTCGGCAATTAATATTTTACATGAAATCTTGCAGTGCGTCTAATAATTTGGCCAGAGACTCTATAATAGACTCTCTGCCGACTTCGATTACATTTATAGTGATAAATTATTAAAAATATGTATTTACCAAAATAAAAAGTAGTCTATAGAACTCGGCGATGATATAACTTTCTAACAGCGAAAGAAATTTCAAAATCGAATCAGTAGTACCAAAGACTACCCTAACCATCCGACTACACTCCTCGCAAAAATTAAGGGAACATAAAAATTTTTGAAATTTTTGGGTGATTTTCAACAGGCTGTATTTCAGTGAAAAATAATCGTACAGGAAATTTAAAAAAAGGGTTTTGAAGCTTGAAAACTCTAGTTTTCAGATTTTTTGGTGAAAAATTTTATGCAAATAAAGAAACTCGGCGCCCGCTTGCTGTGCGACCAGTAGTTCCAGAGATATTAGCAGTTGAATGGAAAAGGATGCTTTTGCATTCAAAGTTCGATATCTCGGAGACAAGTGGTCGTAATTGAGCCATCCAAAGCGATTTTTGAAGCTGAATAAACACGCTAAGAGACCTATACAATGGAGTAGCTCGAAAAAATTTTTCCATGCCCATAGAGTGAAAAACGAAACCTAGAAAATTTAGAAAAAAAATATTTTCAGCTTTGTTTAAGAATTGCATGGAAACCGGAGTTCAAAAAATTTTTTCACCAAAAAATCTGAAAACTAGAGTTTTCAAGCTTCAAAACCCTTTTTTTAAATTTCCTGTACGATTATTTTTCACTGAAATACAGCCTGTTGAAAATCACCCAAAAATTTCAAAAATTTTTATGTTCCCTTAATTTTTGCGAGGAGTGTATTTATAATATCAGTATAGAAGTATAGACTAACTATCCGCCCCAACTTCGCACAGGTGTACTATGAGAGGTGGAGTATGAGAAAAATAAGACTAAAACTCGGTTCAGGTATAATATTATGAATAAACAACAAAATGTGTCTCGTGTAAGAAAAGACTTGTGAGAGCACTGATGTCAATAAAAAGTTACATCCCCTCACTCAAAAAGGGTTATCAGTTAATACAAATTTATACTCATTTAACGCTATATAAAGTCTCTTAACCTTAACAAAAGTGTCTTCAAAGATACATTAAAACTAGTGATGTTGATAAACGACCTGTGTTGAAAAGGCATATTCGCGGATATGGATCTTTTTTACTCAAATGGAGTTAAAGTTTTTTTTAATGTATAATACTGGAATGGTAAACCCCTCTGTGCTATGAATATATGCTGGAGAGGCACTAGCAAAGAATCAGGCCTGCGACAGTTGGAACATCTTTCCTTGTAGGAAAGACATTTTTTTATGAAACTGTTACCAAATAGATTAAAAAAAACATCTGTCATAGTGAATCATTGCTATCCTGAATATGAGAGTCAAAATTATGACGCCATTTCAAAAGTAGCGCTTTAGTTATATTTTTTTATTAATAATAAAATAAGTAATATATGTGTGATATAATACAACAAATAAGTGACAATTTTAGCTTAATTTTCAATAGATTTGAACCAGTAAGTAAACAATAATTAAAATTAATATAGTTAAGTATATTTAAAATTTGCATGTATTATCTAATTAATATGTCCGTTCATATTGAAACTTGTGTTTTTAAGTGTTGGAAAGGATCTCTTTCTCTGACTTGCGACCTATCTCAATCCTACCATCCTCTCTAAAGTGTGAACGCCTTATTCATACTCAACTGACAAAATTCCTTACCCAAAACAACCTAAATTTGCTGAATTTGTAAAATTAACTAAAATCCATTTTAGTGTTGTTCCTTCCATGGTTCCTACTATTTATCATTATGAACTGAAATTAAATTATAATTAATGGTATATCACGAAGATAAATAGTACTTAAAATTATGTATGAACCACTAATTATTTGTATTAGTAGTATGCTGTTTCCGTTTTTTTTTTCTTTTTGGTTTCTCATTTAAATGTCATCTTTTAAATTGTTTTAATCATAATTACATATACGTAATTGAAATAATAATAACTACAAATAGAGCTATTTCTCCTATTTACATAATATAGTACATATATATATACTTTGTATATTTACTACTTTTTTTTTATAGATTTGACTTGGCACAATGTTTCCAACTATTGTTTAATGCGCCAAAAAGAATTTTCATTACTCACCTGTCAAAAAAAATAAGATTAAAAATTGTAGTAAAGTAAAAACTGTCGTAATATTTAGTTACTTGTTATTGTGTTAGGTACTTGTTTTACTGTCCAAGTTTTTCGTAAAATTTGTAAATTTTATCTTATGAACTAGCTAGGTTTTTTATGACAACTGTCGATATCAGTATATTGGATGAAGGCATATACAGATAGTAATACAACACTATGGATATTAATTCATTTTTCTTTTTTTTTACAATATTCATTGTGTTGTTGCTTCGAAAAGGTAACATTATTTTTTTATGCAACTTAGAATGGCAAACAAGCTGACGGCCCACCTGACGGAAAGTGGTAACTGTCACCTATAGACATGAGCAGTACCATAGGCATAACAGAGTATATTGTTTCACCCAAGATACCCCCCATGCATTGCTATTCCTGAGGACTCAGGTGATATTCCTCTGTACTCTGTAAATTCACTGCCATATCCCACCCTTTAAATCGAAACACAGCCATGCAAATACAACTGCTTCACAGTAGAAACACGAATGGGACAGAGGTGTCCAAGCAAACGACTTTTGTACAAGGGTGAAAGGATTGTTAGTAATGAGGAGGTTAGTATCCATTTATATCAATGTACTCTATCAGGTCGACCTCTATGTAGCTCCCCCTAGAAACTATCGTGACTAATTTATCATTAAATTCGTCATGATAGACTAACTGACCTGCCCTTTCATCCTCTCCTATCATCTCTCACTGGTACTCCGCCAATGATGATGGTATTTTAAAAATCACATTTCTGATGAAAACATAAATAATTATAATTTATAGATTTTTATATAAAAATTGTTAGATAGATAGATAGATAAACACTTTATTTGAGTCATTTATGACACATGTAAATTAATAAATAAATTTATACAATCTGATTATTTACATTTTTTCAAATATAAAACAAAAGATGAATATTGGAGATATGTTTTCACCAAGTGTGTCACAGTGACCCAAATATGCTAAATGCTGCTTTATTAACTTTTTAAAAATTGATTTGGATGCAGCTAGTCTCATTGGAAGGGGTATGTTATGTGGCAAAAACATCCGGTAAAAGCCATTGTCCTATGGTTATGAACCACCAACGGGAGCCGCGTTGATCGAGATTAATTTTGATAAGTGATAATAAAAGTGATTAATCATAAAAAGAGTAATCGTAAAAAAATCTATAGCCAATCAAAGTTCTGTTACAGTCTAAGATCTATAATACAGGAACTTTGTGACTTTCATCTTATAAACATATATTAAAAAAGCAAAATAACATCACCTGTGTGTAAAATACTTATTTATTTAGATGAAATCAATGAAAATAGAAGTGTCTGAAAATGCTGAATTCAATATTGAAAGTTAGATGTTATAACTGTAGTCTCTATTACATATTGATTCAGAATAAAATAATAGTTATAGCAATTAGTTTCTATATAAAAAATTACAGTTGTCTTTTAAAAAATACCACATGACTCCCTGTCAGCAGATTAGAAAAAGAAATAAAATCGTAAAACGAATATATAACAAGTCGGAAATAATACAGCATTTGGTAATGTGAAGTAGTCCAAATTTAAACAGTTGTTAAGTTTAAAATATTCAATATATTTTTTTCAGTTCTATTCTAAAAAACGAACGACGTAAATGTACAAAGTGCTGTATGGAATAAAAGAAGGAAATTCACAATATTTTTATCCATTTATATTAAGAAATGGGAACTAAAATACTCTTCTCTGTAATATCGTAGGTTATCTATATTATTTACGAATTTCGTAGTAACTGAAATTTCAATATGTCAAGTTGAGTAACATAGTACAGTTAGTGCAGGAAAGCCAGTATTCAAGTAATATAAGCAGAATTTATTATAATAAAAACGTCTACATTTTGTACAAAACGCTTGAGAATGTTACAGAAATCACCGGTCACTCTTTGCATGCAATGCTTACCTATTTGCGATTTGCGTGTTTCGTGGAGTGCTTTTGACGTCAAATATTCTTCAAATTTTTGGTCAATATATGCGTTGATCTTTTCCGCGACCGAAACGGGTAAACTAGCAATCTCCGTATCAGATAACACATTTTCCAAATGTCTTTTATCACCGGTCTCTGAACTAGATGTAGCCGTGGCATCCATCTTTGTTTTATAACAAAACTCACTCTACTCAAATCAAACAAAACTTTGGTTCTTTAGACATATTCTCTCTAATCTGTGCTTTGGTTTGTGAACAATAGAAAGGCAAAAGAATACAGCGATACAGCTTGATAAAACTATAAATACCTAAATCTTAAGCCGCATTCACATTATCTAGTCATCCAAGCACTAAATTTCACGCATATAGATCGTTTCAAAAAAGTATTGAAAAGATACATAGAGGCTACCGCAAAGAGTAAAGTAAATAAAAATTTTGTATAAGTTAAAAAAATACTAGATATTTGCTAAAGTAAGTGGGACGCTTTGGTGCGCTTCTATAGATATAATCTCTCTAATCTGTGGTGCGGTTAGACCCTAAGAAAAAGGAACTACATAGAAGGAATGATAAAATAAAAACTGTAAATCATATGGTTGCCTCTTTTTTTCTTTATGCAAATATTATTAATTAAAAGAGGACGAAAGAGAAGCTATTTTTGACATTAATAATTATACAGAGATGGACATTAATAATTTACAGAGAAAAAATCTGGTTTAGATTCAGCTAATATAGATTGAATAAGACCAACATTAAATTTATTTAAGTGGGGCATGAATTTTTCTCTTTCCTTCAACTCTCTAATAGAATATGATGCACATCATCGATGGTATCATAAGTTTGATAATGGGGTGACAAGGACTTGAAAATGTTATACGGCTGTATAATCCTTGGTAGGATAAGTATGCAAGCAGGTTCAGATACAACCTGCTTGCATACTTTCTACATAAACTGTGTCGAATATACAGGTTGTCGGGTTTCATGTGGTCCAAACGAAAACCATCGAAAGAGGGGTTCAAGGGCTTCTCTAAATACCCCCATGTATGTTCTGCAAAAATTTATAGTTTTCGAGAAATTTGTATTTTTAAAAATTTTTCGTTAGTACCCAAAATGTTGCATTCTTTATTTATTTTCTCCTAAACTATTATTAACCAAAACCTTAATTATTTTTATGGATATAAACAATTAATAAGCCTTTCACTACGACTCTACAATTCTAATCTAGGCTGATAAGTTTTTGAGAAAAAAATAAACAATACATTACTTTTATTTCCATGATTTCTTACTACTTCTTTAGGGGAGTTTACAAAATCACATAACAAAATACTTAGAGACCCATTTCAAAAACTTGTCTACTATATGAACTTATTATTTGTAAAATTTCGCCCGGCTACGGTAAGAGCTTCATGTCAAAAAAATAATTATATTAAAATGGGAGGACTTAAATATTACATTAAATTTCATCAAAAACAAAATATAATTATTTCATATGGCATTAAAAAGTTTACTCTCAGATAGTAACTACAAGTGCAACCGTAATCATAAAAGCGCCCCTCAGGTAGCTGAGTAAAAGGGAAGTGAGGATGCTGTCTCACTTGCACTTTGCTAAAATGACGTCATTAGAAGTATCGTATACGATTCTTTTGTTCATGCTAGTCTACTATGTGGACTTACTATTTGTAAAATTTTAATCAGCTACGGCAAGACCTTCATTTAAAAAAAAAAAAGTTAAAATTAACTGTAAACGAGATAAAATACGAAGGAGCCCAAATTACCTATAACGACAGATAAATTAAATAAAAAAATTACAAATGTTTTAATCAGCAGATTTGTTATACAAAATAAAGCATAAAATACTTTAGTAAAACATAATTTATCATTTTTTACAATAATAAATATTCAAAATGACGCCCACCTTCAGCTATGCACATACGACAACGCTTAATAAAATTTCTTCTTAGACGTCGAAAAGTCATCTTTTTGTTTTATCTTCTCCTGTGCTTCTCTTAATTTATTATTTAACTCATTGAGTGTACACCCTATATAATCTAGTAATGTAAATGAACAAAAATTTTACATACACATTTTCTATGTTATATTTATATACAAGCTAGTGTATAAAAAATTTTTGATATGTCAATTATTTGTCAATAACACATTTTACATTATTAGATTATTGTAGCGGTAAGAGTCATCTACATTTCCTTATAGGGATGCAGGTACGAGCCTTGAGGAAAGGCTCATTACCCGGGCGGCTTTTGCGTACGCTGTTTCCTACCCTATGCTATTTCAACCCTATGCTTTATTCTCTATTCACACCGCTTCTATTTTTCGTCAGCTCGTAACCAGTGTAAATATACGTAACACAGCATAAATAATAAACTTTAGACCTAGTCCCTTTAATCTGTTATAACTACTACCTATTTTTTAAATTATTTTATATATAATTATATAGTTTAAACAATCTGAGATACATAGAATGCGTAAAAATTTACAATTTTTCTAACAAATAAATTAAAGTGTGAACAAGTGTACATTAAGATTTGTGCCAATCCACCCCATTTTACGGTTTACCATGTGGCTAACACTGATAGAACTCATATCAAACATAGAAACAACATTAAGACAATCTGTCTAATCTGTATTATTACTAATAATGACAATAGTGTCGCCTAGTGATGGGACTCGAGTGATTTTTTTTCACTCGAGTCACTCGGTACTGATAAGTTACTCACTCGAATGCCACTCGAGTGAAGATAAAACTCGAGTGATTTTTATTGACTCGAGTCACTCGGAATATAAAACTCGAGTGACCAAAATTTTAAAACGAATAAAACAGTATTAATTTTACATAGAAAATGTGTATTCATTTTCTCAAAAAAAATCTAAACAAAATGTAAAAAATAGAATTTTCCTTCAAACTAAACCTGTCATACATAATCAAGAAACCTCTTATATCAACTATCAGTCAAATTAAAATATTATAATCTACTACTAATAAGTTCTAATCCAATTTAATTTATTCTAACAAGGAACTTTCATGAGATCCAAATATAAACAGTTTTATTATGTTCTTACACAATTTATGTAATAATATACGTGTTTTAAAATTAACTTAAATGAAACTTAAATAAACTCAACAAAAAAACAAAAATAATGTATCTTTAATGAGATAACAAATTTAACTGAAATTGGTGTAATAACTACTTTAAAAAAATAAATTGATAAATTTTTTCCCTAACGGCTTCGATAATATTGACTTCAGCACTTGCTAAAATAATAGAAGAATGTTTCTCCGTAACCTCTTTAGTAGTAACAGTTTGCGAAAAAAGTTTTGAATTATAAGTATTGTAATAGTTAGGTATGCTTTATTATTGTCAGAAGTCCATAAATCTGTTGTAGCAGCCGTATATTCAACTAAATGTAGAATATCTACAATTATAGTGCGTGCGGCATGATAAGCATCAGGAAGAATTTTCTCTCTTAAAAGTTTCCTGCTACCGCGGGTAAACTTGTCACAATTTGAATTTCTCACTCGGTTCGGTATAAACCACTCGAGTGGTACGAGTCAACTCGAGTCACTCGTAATTCGAGTCGACGCGAATCGAGTCTTCAAAAATTTAACTCGAGTGCATGTAATATAAAAACTACTCGAATCACTCGAGTGAAAAGCAACTCGAATCCCATCACTAGTGTCGCCCTCGTCTATTTTTAAGACATTCATTTGTCCTTTTCTCCTTTGCTCTAAGTTTTTTAATTAGTTAAAAATGGAGTAAATATAAATATTTATTAAAATTTAGTATATCAATAAAAAAATGTTTAAAATATGAACTCGTAAATAGAGAACATAGAGTTAAAAAATATCTACATCTGGATAACAAATGTGAAACAGAAATGGAAGAAGAACAGTGTTTACTTGACTATGCTAGTTATTTTCAGAACCATAATATTCAGTTATTACTTAAGGATTGCATTGTCCAGTTATGTGTAAATAAACCAGAAAATCCAGTTACATTTTTGCGTCAATATTTTCAAAAATTAGAAAGGGTACGAAAAGTTATTTGTCACTTTATATTGTCATTATGTCAGCACACTGGTAAATAAACTACCTATGTAGACAGATTCACAAATTCGTTTCTTTTTTGTATAATAGGATCAGGTTAAAGCAGCCGCAGCTGCCGCCGCGGCTTCTGAGGGTGAAGCCGATGGAGAATTATCACCCTTACCAGTGCCTGGAGGCCAGCCACCTCGTCGCCGTGGTGGTATTAGTGCTGAACCCGTTACTGAGGAAGATGCTACTAGTTATGTCAAAAAGGTACTTAAGGGGCCTTTCACATTTTTTGCATATAACAATGCATAATCAGAGATTTTAAAGTTATGGTTCTAAACAATCAAGGGGTGGCATACATGTGGCATACTTTTTTATTCCTGAATTATATAGATGTCTAATATTAAGAACAGAGTTTTTAAATTGTTACTTTTGTATTTATTATTTACTCATTTCTTTCTAATTTTCACAGCCCTTTATTAAAAAATGCTGAGGTAGAAGTTTGTGGTCACCATTCATTAATTTTATTTATGTTAAGTTAGCCTATAATTTAATAGAACTAAATAGGCTAACTAAAAATATTATAAATATAGATATTAATAATTCGCGGCTTATTCCAACTTTGCACGGGTGGACATTTTTACATTTTAAAAAGTGGCCATTAATACACACGCAACGGAAGCTTAAAAATGGAGTAACTTCTCCCATTTTCCCAACATTTCCCTTCACTGCTTTGCTCCTACTGATCATAGTATGATGGAAAGTATACTATAACCTGCCCAGCAGTATGAAGAATAATTGTACCAAGTTTCATTAAAATCCATCTAGAAGTTTTTGTTTCTATAACAAACATACAGACAGACATAACATTTTTGGCATCAGTATCAATCACTAATCACCTCCTGATAGTTATTTTGGAAATATATTTCATGTACAGAATTAACCTCTCTACAGATTTATTATAAGTAAATCAGCTAAATATGTATGTCAGCTACAAACATGATGCATTATTTGAAGGAATATAATTTTTAATAATTATTTTTTTATTTAATGAAAATAAATAAGGAGATTTTTCATTTTTACCTTCCTTTTTATGTTGTATTTATTAAATCATTGTATTAATTATATCAGTTTTATAATTTATTTGTCTCTATATCAGTATAATTTTTATATATTTCTTTTGACAACCTCAGAAGAAGGTTATTACTATTAAATATATAGGCTATAGGCTAACTAAATTAAAAGTTTAAAATTTGTGAGATTGCTAGAAATACTTTAGAATTTTGATAATTGGTGAGTATGTCAGTAATTAAATTAAAGAACTTTGACTAGTGATAACTCATAAACTATAAGGTATATTGGCAATATAACCAATTATAGCATATTCTCTTGATTACTAAAAATCAAACTTTTTGTTTTATCCCCATTGAAGTTACAGAAGGGTCAGACGTGTCATGAATCACTTTGAGAAAAGAATGGTACTGCTAAAATGGTACTAATACAGTATACTTTGATTTTTATTTTATTTATTTATAAAACAAAATTATTCATATTTTATTTATAAAACATTAGTTATTTTGTGTTTTGTCCTAGATGTACTAGTTAATATTCTTAACTATACTATATCCTATATATATCTAGGCTAATTTTGCTATTAATTTGAAATTTAAGATTTATTGAAATATATATATTAATAAATAGCCATAGATAGATATAAACAAATATAAATTTATGATTAATAATTCTGTATTTTCATATTGAACAGGTAGTACCAAAAGACTATAAAACAATGGGTGCTCTTTCTCGTGCAATTGCATCGAATGTATTGTTCACACATTTGGATGAATCTGAGCGTGCAGATATGTTTGATGCCATGTTCCCAGTACAATGCCTCCCGGGAGAGACTGTCATCCGACAAGGTGATGAAGGAGATAATTTCTACATTATTGACTCTGGTGAAGTGGAAGTGAGTATTAATAGTAAAATTTTGTAACATTTATTAACATGTAGCCGTTTTAACAATTTCAGCCGGTATTTAAATTTGTTTAATGCTATTTCGGATATATAACATCTATACCTAGCAGTTGTCTGTTTAGGAGAGGAGGCTTATGAAAAGAATATGGAATGATAGGGTCAATTCTGAGATGTAATTTTCTAAACCTAATTTGATAACTTTTATTTACTTTTATCCATGACTTCCTTCACATGGCTAGGAAAAAAGTTATCTATGACATTCTCCATTCCATAGTACATGTATGCTAAATTTCGAAGTGTTTTATAAAATTAACAAACACATTTTCATATTTATAATATTATATTATATTAGGAAATTTTTCTTAGACTGATAGACTGATTAATATTTCTAACTTGATGGTGTTAGAAAAAGGGATACTGTTTTATGTAATTGTATTTAAATTAATTTATCGATTTTAATATGTAAATAATAACTATTTTATTATATACTATTCCCTCAGGTACTAGTAAACGGTGAACCAGTAACTACAATAGGTGAGGGTGGTAGTTTTGGTGAATTAGCGTTGATCTACGGAACACCTCGTGCTGCCACAGTGCGTGCGCGTACTCCTCTCAAACTCTGGGGGCTAGATCGTGATTCTTATCGCCGCATATTAATGGGCTCAACAATAAGAAAGCGCCGCATGTATGATGAATTCTTATCACGCGTTTCTATTCTAGGTATGTATTCACTCAATATATTCACATTAATGGGGAGGAAGGGATTGTTAGTAATGCGGACTACCAGTTTCATATCCATTGGTAACGTACCTTGTCAGGTCTACCTCCATGTAGTCCTCTCTGGAAACCATCGTACTGAAATCCAGGTGTACTCATCACGATGGGCTAATTGACCTTCCTTTTCATTCTCATCTATCCTCCCTCACTGCTGCCCCCCCAGCGTATTCCGGTAGCGCAGGCCGGGTTACCATTCCATTATCATTCGTGGAAAAAAAAACCAACACATAAATCCCATCAAATGTTCGAAGAAATAGACCCTTATTAATTATTAATTATTTATATGATGTGGCGAGGTCACACTTCTAATATTGTTTTGCAGAGAGTTTAGAAAAATGGGAAAGGCTGACCGTCGCTGATGCTTTGGAGCCAGTATCTTTTAATGATGGTGAAACCATTGTACGTCAAGGTGAACCCGGCAATGATTTTTACATTATAGTAGAAGGTAAATAATTTGCATAAATCACTCATACAAATCAATATCAATCAATAATAATAAAATCGTAACTTGCCGCTGTCTGTACATGGAATATATATAAGAAAAATTCTTATAGGGGTCTTCATGAATGCAATAGAACCCAAAACAATGATTTTTAGGATTTTTGTCTGTATGTCTGTTTATCTGTACGTTTGTGTACTCTAATCTCAGAAATGGTCTAACCCATTTGAATGTGGTTTTCACTAATGTGTTGTGGTTTGCTCCATTTAACATTTAGTTTTTGTTTTATTTCAATCGGTTCATAAATATATCAATCCAAAGAATCACATATAAAAGGCTTTAAAATAACCCATTAGTTGAATTGGCTGAAACTTTTTTATTATATGTATTGATTTTCGAAAATTCTGTTTATTCGTGCGAAGCTGGATCGGATCGCTAGTATATAAAAAAAAAATGTCGAATGAATGAGAAATATATATTCAAGCTTATGGAAAGAATGTTAGAAAAAAACTTGAGGCAAAGCAAATAAAAACAAAGTAAGTGATTTTATTTGCTTTCATTTACTTGCGTGGAATAAAATATGTTTGACGAAATATTGGAAACTTTAACCCTCTGGCTTCTCCATCTAGGATTACAATTGTAAACATATAATAAAATTTATTAAAAAATCTATTCAGGTTGCGCGGTGGTACTACAGCAACGCAGCGGGCAGGGCGAGGACTCGGCAGTGGAGGTGGGCCGACTGGGCCCGTCTGATTACTTTGGCGAAATCGCTCTATTACTTGACAGGCCACGCGCCGCCACTGTCCGGGCGGCAGGGCCCCTTAAGTGCGTCAAACTCGACCGTGCAAGGTTATGACTATTAGTTATTATATGCTTTTTTGTTGGTTTTGTATTCACGACTATTACTACTTGGTACTCGAAATTAATTTATAAAAGCGTAATGTGATTATTTGATACTTACTTAAATAATCACTTAAAAGTTATATTATTTACAAACAATTTTACATTCATTTCTTCATATGAAAAGGGTTCAAACATGGGTATTTCATGATTCGCATTATCGACTTTTTACAAATTTACATCAGTTTCTGCATCAATATCATCAACTATAATATAAAATTTTAAATCCATTTTCATAATGAGGTAACAAACAGACGAATTCTAAAAATAACTAATTTGAGTTCCGTTCCTTATTTCTAGTATTCGTAACTACAAGTACTTTTTGCGAAAATAGTATATGTATATAATATATGTAGCTACAAATTTTCGATTGGACTCTGACGGTTATACCGTAAAAATAATTTAAAATACAGTCTATTTAAATAGACTTTATCTAAGTGATTAAAGTCGATGTAATAATGTTTTAATTTTATTTCCCAAATTTTATTTACTTTAAATATTGTTTATTTTTAATGAAGCTGGCTTTCTTTTCTTTAGACACTTTTGTAGTAAAACGTCTAAACATGTATGAAATACCTGTCTGTTACAACATTATCATTTTTGTGGTACGATGGTTATCTAAAAATAATATAAGCATTTAAAAAATATGAACATAATAATCGATCTTGGCACTTAATGAATGAGTGCTGTATAAAAATTGATGGTTCTTAAAATTATGTTATATATTCAAATATTTCGTTATCTATAAAAAAATTAAAATTTTAGACTAGACTAGTTTATGTACGGAGAGCGACGTTTTATTGCGCGTTCATTGGAAAAAGTAGCGGGGAAAGGGTTTGAGAAATACGTAAAAGTCATAAAGTACAGGCCCGGCACTAGACTATCAGTAATGTACAATATTAATGATAGTTCAGAGCCGGGCACAGCGCTATAGCAATAGATTCGAAAAGACCTATTCATTAAAAATTCACTACTGCGTTTCTTCTTAAGAAATCTTTTTTAAATTGTATTAAATTTGTTTACTACTTTTGTAACTTAGTGTGTCGTATTGTCAGTGTATTTAACCAAAAATATTTGTTTAACAGATTCGAGAGAGTGCTGGGTCTTTGTGCAGACATTTTGAAGCGGAATATTGCGCAATATAATAGTTTTGTATCACTATCCGTCTAACATCTACCCACAAAAGACAAGAGAAACGTTTGTCAAATAGTATTAGGCTGGACTTCAGTATATAAAATGTGGGTGCTCTCATTACAATGGTGGAATTGTTATTGTTTTTATAAATTAAACTTAATATAAATGTCTTTTTATATTTTAATAACATTCAGTGGTAATTGGAAGAATATGAAAAGATTTTTGTTATTATTGTGCAAGAGATTTGTTAACACCATTTTTATGTTTAAAATGCTTTTTTATTTCCATTAATTGAAAAAGAATTACAATATAGCCTAACTAAGATTGAAAGTTTTCAAACTATATCTTTTCAAAATTTCCGGAATAATCAGCAAGAGATTATTTTAATACAAATTTCTATGGCAGCAGTTAAGATTTCAATACAAATTTTCTATGGCAATGCTGATATAATAGAAATGTAAATTTGTATGCAATTCACATTCAAGGTACAAACATTATGATTTCAGTAATTTATAATACCTATACTTAATAAATGAACGGTAAGTATGCAGATATTTCGAGTTTAGATTTCAACGAATTGCAACAGATAAACACGTAAATATATTTATTTCAGTGTTATTAAGAACAGTGCTTATGTATTGCTATTTAGATTAGTAAAATTTTATAAAAAAAAAAAAACATTAAATTATGTAATCAAATAATATCCTGTCGATTACATTTTTTTTTTTATTATAGACTCGTTTCGTTTTTTTTAATGTAGTATCATATGAATAAATTATCTGGGTGGAAGTAACACTAACGTACTTTTGAGTGCACCGATTCTGACTACCACTTCCCCTTCCTCGGTGTTGTCACTTATACTTATTTAAAAAATATATATTTTTGTCATACATAAATGATAATAAGCGATGCATTATCATATTGATAAAGCAATTCATAAGAAAAAAATTCTTAAGTGGTGACCTTGTATAGTCAAACGTAGATTAAGGCGACCCCCTACTAGTAGGTGTAACGACGATATATACAATTTATCTACTTACATATGACATGGATAAATTTGAGTAATATGCGGTTAATACCTGACACCATATGGATATCGTAGAATATAACATTCTTACTAATATTATAAATGTGAAAGTGAGTTTGTTTGTTTCATATAGGTTTTATATAGGTCGCTTTTTATCCCTGTCAGAACACATATCTTGATGACGAGGACAAAATCACAAGTAAAGGGTTCTAATGGAGTTCCTACAATCAGAATATAAGTTATTAATAATTAAATTAATAAAGAGAGTTATATAGTAAAACAGGTCAAATAAATAGTAACAAAAGTTATTACTATTAAAAACTTTTAATTTAATTTTATCAAATCACGTAATTTTTTTACGATTGCTAAGTAAACAAATTATCAATATTAATATTTAAATGGGCACAAAAAGAAAATAAAGTGCCGTCTTGTGACATACTATACCAATTAAACATGCTTTCTGAGTACAGCACTGATTAAAGGAACTCAATTCTTTCATACAACTCGAGTTACGAACGCACTATTATTATTGAATTTGCGTAAGTGTTACTTCTACCTAGTTCTTATTTTTACGCTAATAGACTGAATACCTAATTTTGGTCAGGTTTTTAATGGTCTTGGATTTGTCACATAACTCGCAAATGGAAATATTTTAGAAATGAATCAAGCGTCAGTCCAGTTTAAAAAATGAAATGGAATTTTATAACAATTTATAGAATCTTGTGATTTTTGCTTTGTTTTTGGTAGTAAACAAATTGAGGATTTAATATCTGTAATATAATCAGCGATCCAGCGCTTCTTAAAAAAACTGCCAAATATGTAGAATTTCCAGATTGTGTTGTCTTAATTTAGAAATTAATTTGTACATTCTTATGTAATTTATTAATTAATAATATAATTTATAACAATATACAATATTTTAAGATTGTATACCAAAAAAAAAAAATCAATTATGACAAAACCAATTATTGTTTATTTAAAAATTAATTAATGCACCTATTTTGATAAAATTTCCATGGAACTAATTTATAACTATCCAAATAAAAAAAAATCAAATCAGTCTAAGTTAGAAGAACAAACATAAAAAATTGAAAACCTGCTTCTTTTTAAAGTCGGTTGAAATTAAAGATATTTTTTATTATAAGAATAAAGCATTTTTTTCTTAATTTGGCATAAACAATCATTGTCACTATCAATTATACCTCATTTCCGTTTTTAAACGTGTGTGGAATGGCGGTACGGAACTAACATAAACATGAACAAAAGCTGGTGTCAATACAGCACTAGGAAAATTGATTTTATTCTATTTTAAATATCCGCGTCTTTTTCTCCATATTCAATCCACTTCAAAAAAGAGGAGTTTCTTAATTTAGTTTTATTTATTTATGTTAGTTACCTCATAACTTGGTCACTTATAAATCAATTTTGGAAATGCTTTTTTATTTAAAAGTTTAAACTTTCAAAATGGTCCCATAAACATTTCATTAAAAAGTTTAAGTAGTTTGGTTTTGAAATCAAAATAACTTGTTTATCCATGACTGAAATCCGGTTTTTTTTTTTTTGTTTTATGGAACAAAATCTATCGACATCCTCTTCCGTGTAACGTACTGCACAATGACCAACTAAAATATCATAAATAATATTTTACTAAATCTTTCTCCACTACTCGGAAAGAATAATATGTATTACCATCTAGTTTTCTTAATTTATTTTTGAAAAGTTAATTTTATTGTGCCAATTAGTATCAAAATATTAAAATATTATGTTTGTTGTACATAGGTATATGAATTTTGTTATAATAATAACGTGCATATGTATAATAAACTTTTTATTTTGTAACTGACGATAATGTTAATTATATAGTTGATACTAATTAAAATTACCAGAATATTTAATAGGTGTTGTACTTAATAATAAACTCGAATTTATATCAAAAGTTGTATTCATTACACTGGGTCTGATGGGTTTTATATCTTATGGATTTCATAAAAGGCCCAACACGCACTAATGCTTGTTTGTAGGAAACAACTGCCCGATTACATATATCGTAGTTTACGATAACCTTTTCGGCTCTCATACTTCTCGTAATCTCAACAGACAACCTTCCGAACCCTGCAGTAGATTAAAAAAAACGATTTAAACGTGCTTGTAAATAAGTTTATTTGAATATATATATATATATATATAATGGAATCGGATGGCATTCCAAACCACACAGTAAGTAATCACTACGTTATATTTAAAACTAATTTAGAATCACATCCACTGCCGCAACATCTGCACTACTCGACGAAAGTAATGCAGCGGTTGATGAACCGCCTTCCTGAGTGTCTGGATAAGTGGCGTATCGCCGTCAACGTGGGTAAGATGGTAACGCTACTGACCCGCCGCCAGACGCTCTTATTTCCGCCGCCTCTCCGTCTCCGTGGGCATTCCATTAAATTGTAACGCACAGTGCATTAATTTGGGCTCGAGATTGATCGATCGCTGCAAATGACGCCCCAGGGCCATGTGCGACCAGTCCTATAGTTCAAATTATCGCTGTGAACTATGGTCGGTATTTGAAAGACCTATATTCGTTCGCAGCTAACGTATATCTCTCCCGTACAGCATGCACTGTATACGACAACATAACGATGCAACAAAACTTCGCCCTGCGGCTATACGCAGACACGAGTCGTTATATCCGCAACGACATTATTCACCGAGATCTCGGGGTCCCGACAGTGGTATAGTCACTGTATGGCGATGGTAGTGGTATTTGCCGGCTGGCATATGCCCTATTCAGACAGGTGGATAACGGTTTTCAGCTCCACTAGAGGAACTTGGCCCCACTCCACGTGCGCTTTCCCACGAGAACCTATGCACAGCTAGATACACTCAGGGTGACGGTTAGCCGGCTCTACACAGCTCGACGACATTATTATTTTTTCCATTTTTTATTTTTTCAGCCGGTGCTATTGTAAATAGCATCAGTTGGGCCCACTGGACCAAAATTATTGCCGCAAGGGCGGCAGGCCCTCGCAGTCGACGCCCGTGCAAAAAGCGTATTGCTCGAGACTTGAACCTGCGTTGCCGTACGGGGTCGCGAAGATGACCCGGTGGATTACGGGCCGTAGTAGTAGGCCATTATATTTTTCTACTTATTTTCTATCATCTTTTGTTTTCTATAGCTGTTTTGTACCCATGTAGATAAGATAAAAAAAAACAATTTCATTTAAGTAAACTTCTATCAAGTATTTTAATTATTTACCGTTTCTCTTAATTCTCATATTATAATTGAATGCGTTCCGTTTATTCTATTCCAATGACAAATTAATGTATAGTTTCTATAATATTTTTTTTTATACTTTTCATAATAACATCAATTTATAACTAATACCAAAATCCTTTCCGTTTCTTTTTATTATCGCGTTTCGTTTCCTGTTCGATAGTGGCGCAACATTAACTCTTTGCCAATATTAAAAAAAACGGTGGTATATAGGCCTGCAACAGTTGGAACACCGTTGTTGGAATTACGTTTTTGTATGAAACTATGTTACCGTTCGCTAGTCCGTCAAAGGAAATCATGGTCATCTTGAATTTGCGCCATGACAGTCAGAGTTAAGCCACCATTTCAAAAACAACGCTTCAAAATTCAAAAAATTCAAAATTCAAAAATCATTTATTCATGTAGGACATTTTAGCCGCTTATGAACGTCAAATTTTTACATTATAATTTTATATTTACCCTACCGTCCAGTTCGGTATATAGGTCCAATTGAGAAGAACTGGCAAGAAACTCAATTGAATTACTTTTTTTTTTTTAAAGCCAGTTTATTTACAATGTATATTTATATAGGTGTCTATGTCTAATGTTAAATGAAAATTCAGTGCATGAACAACTATTGCCATGCACACTCGTCATTCAAGTAATCGTTTAGTGAGTAATAGGCTTTGCTCAGTAAATATGATTTAACAGATGTTTTGAATTTATTTAAGGGTAATTCCAACATATCCTTTGGTATCTTATTGTAAATTTTTATACCTATTCCCATAAAAGACCTATTAACTTTTTCTAAACGATACTTGGGGACAGCAAGTTTGTCTTTAAATCTAGTATTAATATTATGAATATTGCTGTTTTTTGGAAATAAGTCAAGATTTTTATGAACATATAGAATATTTGAATATATAAATTGAGAAGCAACGGTGAGAATATTTGCCTCTTTGAATTTCTCTCTTAATGAGTCACGACTCTTCATACAGTAGATCGCTCGAACGGCACGTTTTTGTAATATGAATATATTCTTAATATCTGCCGCTTTTCCCCATAGTAATATTCCATAAGAGAGTAAACTATGAAAATAACTAAAATAGACTAATCTAGCAGTATCAGTATCAGTGTACTGTCTAACTTTACGCACGGCAAAAGCTGCTGAACTTAGTTTCGCTGCAAGGCTTTGAATTTGTGCACCCCATTGTGTTTTATTATCTAGTGTGATTCCTAGAAAGACAGTAGATTCTATAAATTCGAGAGATTCGTCATTTAATTTAATATTGCAATTAGTATTAAAACTTTTAGATAGAGAGAAATTAACACATTTTGTTTTTTTAGCGTTTAACATAAGATTGTTAGTTGTAAACCAGTGCAGGAGACGCCGCAAAGCACTATTTACATCGTCATAATTATAGTCATTCTATTAACTTTAAAAATCAATGAAGTATCGTCTGCAAACAATACTATGCCGCATCTATCCTGCATGGCATATGGGAGATCATTAATGTAAACTAGGAATAAAAATGGACCGAGAATAGATCCTTGAGGTACACCCATTTGCACAAGTGACCCGTCAGACGTAGCGTTGCTAATCTTCACTTTCTGTATTCTATCAGATAGATAAGATTTTATTAAATTTAAAGCATTGTCTTTGACGCCATAAAAAGCAAGTTTTTTTAGCAATGTATTATGATCAACGCAATCAAAAGCCTTAGAAAGGTCACAAAAAACACCTATCACATCCATTTTAGTTTCCCATGCAGCAAATACGTGTCTAAGCAACTCTGCACCTGCGTCTGTAGTTGAACGACCTTTGGAAAAACCGAATTGACTATTGTGGATTAAATTATTTAAATTGAAATAACTGACAAGTTGCATAAGGATTATTTTTTCAAAAATTTTACTGAGTGCTGGGAGTATGGATATAGGTCTATAATTTATTGGGTCACTCCTATCTCCAGATTTAAAAAGCGGTATGATTTTACTAATTTTCATTATGTTAGGAAATTTACCTTCATCTATACATTTATTGAAAATAAAAGCAAGAGAGGGCGCAATAATTTCCATTATACTATCCAGTATTTTAACAGATATACCCCATAGATCCTCTGTTTTTTTATTATTAAGTTGTTTGAATATTTTCATTATTTCTACTGATGATGTATGTCTAAAGTTAAATACAGCTGATGACTTGCTAACATTGTCTGTTAGTAAAGTTTCAGCAGCAGACGGGGAAGATTTTAGAGCCTGTGTCGTAATTAATGGAATATAAGTAAAATAAGATTCGAATGTATGCGCGACCTCTGTGTCGGAATTTACCAATTTGTTATTAATATTTAAAGCTATTTTGCTATTTTGAAAATTAACTTTTCCAGTTTCGCTATTTATTACTTTCCAAGTGGCTTTTATTTTATCTTTAGATTTAGTTATTATTTTACCTAAATAGAGAGACTTAGCTGTATGACAAACCTTTTTAAATATTTTCGAATAAGATCTATCTTCTGCTCCATATGTCATTTATTATCTATGTTATATATATTGGCAACACTGGCATTTAGGATTGGAGATCTGTCACTGTACAACACCAACATGTCGTCTTAATATATATTATAATAAAATAAATGGTTTTCTCTCAATATCAGACTTATTTCATAAACTGTTCCATATCGCATATATCAGCGATCAAAGATGGTGTCAGAAGAAACACGATAAAAACCTTAATGGAAATCAAAAATATCCTCTGTGAAAAAGAAAAAGTAAAAATGCCCTGTGTTTAGTAGTATTCTATGAAAAAAGAAAATGGAGGGAACAAAACCGTCGAACTCATTAATATTGTCAGGAGATGGAGCAAATTGGACTAAGTTTAAACAACAATTTAATTTATATTTAGAAGCTACTAACCTTATCAAAGGCATCTAGAAAAATAGCGGTCTTTCTGAACATTGCGGGGAACAAAACTTTGGAGATATATAATACATCAGAGAAATAATTAACAAAATTAGAAGAATTATTAGAATATATAGATAATTATGTGGAATCAGGACAGATTATTCCTGTTTTTATTACAAATTCTTAAAAACAAAAGATGAGAGAGAACCATTCGAAAAATTTTTAACCAGGCTACGCAATTTAGCGTATTGTAAGTTCAAGTCGTGTTCGACGGTGGGCTACCGTTAATTCTGGCCTGTTGCCGCTTTTTTGGAGTTAGGTCTCGTTCAGCAAGTTTCCTTCTACAGTATCTAAACTTATGACCACTTGGCGTTCATCACGCAGACTTTGTTGGACTTGAACTGCGTTGAGTCGACGATTTCGCAGAACTATCTAATTATCGTCTGTAAACTTGTTGCACTGAAGATCTGCTAATTCAAAGTCTTCGAGCGACGTCACGTTGTCCGTAGCCTGCTTGAAGTAATGCTACAGCTTGAGCGGCTTCCTGAGAAGTTGTATCCATTATTAACTCAAAAAAGTTAAAAAAATACACGTGTCTATGCGAATGATGGAAAACATTTAAAGAAATGATAAGAAATATCGGACTACCCTCACTGTAGAAGAAAGAACGCTGAGCGCGAATTTTAGCCAAAATTGAGCAAATCACAAGCATGTTTGTTGCTTGATTGCAATGTAATATGACGGTACTTTAAATTAAATTTTAGTCATTTTGATCGTCATGAAACACACTTTCTATAGGTATGACTTTGGCAGTTGTAAGTTTTATACTTTTTGAGAAAATCGGATTAGAGTTCAAAAGTAACGGGTGGCCCGGTTTATTTGCTGTCCAGTGTATATAAAAAAATAAAAATAATGTTAATCATATTATAGCTACATGTAATTGTAATAATATTATAACTATAAATAGCGTTATTTCTTTAATATGCATATAATATAGTACGTATAAATTCTTTACAAATGAATACGTACTATATATTTTTGTTTTCAGATGCTGTTTGACTCGACACAATACTTCCGACTATTATTTAATGTGTCAAAGAGCATTTTGCATTATTTATCTGTCAAAAAAAATAGATTTAAAGTTGTAGTAGAGCAAAATAAAAATTAAACAAATGTCTATTCTATTGTCTTATTTTTCGTAAAATTTGAAAATTTTGTATTGTAAACTAGCTAGTTCCTTTAACTGTAATTGTTGATATCCATATTTTGAATGGAGGTATATATAGATAGTATAACACTATGGATATTTTTTTTTTTTTATATATAAATTTCATTGTGTTGTTACATTGAAAAGGTAACATATGTTTCAATTTCCAGATTCCATAGATATAAGACTTTTGCCCACTCTAATAACAAAGTGGTGATTACTTACTCTGTGGTAATTTTTATTTAATTTATTTCCTTCCTAAACTTAATAAAAAAAATTTGTCTTTTGTTTATTAGGTATACTAAAACTAAAAAACTAATCCGACCTTATTTTAGATACATCGCCTTTTTATCTGTACCTCATAATAAGGTACTTAATTTACCGACAAAACAAGAAAATATTGTCTGCATATAGCTAATTGCTAATTTGCATTCTTTCGTCTTCTCTTCAACGAAATTGTAAATATATGAACTATTACTAACATGGATCTTGTAGAATCTATTAAAGAAGATAAACTATATTTAAAATGTAAACGTACTGTGAAATCTTGGGAAAAAGATTTTAAAATAAAATATGCTCGCACGCCGTCCAAATTAGACATTAAAGAAGCTCCAGCCAAAATAAAATATGCATATAAAAAGTATTTTCAATTGAAAAGTGTAGCTCTAGAAAATTCATTGTCTGTATGTGACTTTGAAGATGAGTCTCAGTTAAGTCAATCGCCGGAGCAAGTCACTAATTTAGAAAGTTCTTGTGAGTCTCCACATCTTCAATCTGAACAGTTATTACCAGATTTACCAACAGGTCAAGAATTGGAAAGACTTTTATCTAGTAACAAACAGACTAAATCACAAAGTGTAGAATTTCATAATCAATTTGCTGATAATTTGTCCAAAAAAATATTTCAGTCTAGAAAGTTTTCTTTAAGGAATCCACGGAAAATGACAGTTTCCAAAACTCAATCTGTAACAGAAATGCCGAACAATATTGCTGAAAAAAGTACCTGTGAAGCCAGTACTTTTATTCCCACAATAGAGGAAAATGTGTATTCTAATATTTCATTCACTACAGAAAGTAGTTCCACATACACATTAAGCTCAGTGACAAGTGTGAATAATATGGTGGAATTAGTTCCAAAAGTAAGGCAAGTTGATGGAGCGTGGCTCGAAAGGGCAACTGGACTTAATAACACAGCTGCTAAAGATAAAAGCAATACTAATTTAAAATCAGAATTTGGATTACGCAATGTAAATGTTATAAAACTAGCAGAGAAACCTTTTGATTATATCGAGAATAGTGAATCGGAGGAAGAAGATAACATATCAATTAATAAGTTAAAATCTGCTCTGAAGAAAAGAAGACTAGATAGCGGTGTACATTCTGTGGATAAAGAAAAGTCGAATATGAAAAATCAAGTTACAAATGAATCAAGAAATTGTGATAAAAGTTCAAATATCAAAGCAAAAAGGATGTCACAACATAAAAAACAAAGATTACAAAAAAATATTGACGAATGCAATGAACAACAACCCCCTAATATAGCTCAATATGTACCATTTGGATTAGAAGAAGATATTATTCCACGCCATAGGAACATTACAAATATATTAAGTACATTTAAGACTGATCTAATGAATGAAAGTAAAATTGAAAACTCTTGTAATGCAAAAGAATTTGATAAATTAGCTAATAAAATTAAAAGTGGAACTTTAAATGATAACTTTGTGAAAATTAATATTGAAAAGAAAGTGTTTGTTAGAGGTAAAAAGAACATAAATTTTTCAAAATATAAAAAGCAGCAATGGAAGAATAAAAAATCTCTTCATGGTGGCATGGAATTTCCTGAGACTGGTAAAATTACATGTTACAAATGTAGTTCCACTGGACATATGGCTAGGTACTGTACAGCGCACAGAGGAGATGCACTTTTACCATTAGATAATTATGAAGAAAATACTTTGCCATCTTTAGATGACATGCAAGATATTGTAGATAAAGAAGCAAACAATATGACCATATCAGATCAGTTAAGTTTATCCATTTATAAATCTAGTCAAATTCCTGACGCTGTCATGAAAGTACTAGCTAAGACACAAGATAATAATACTAATATTAAACCTATTTATTCATATGGCGAATTAGAAACTCCAAAAGAATTATATGAAGCTCTCCATAAATTTGGACATGAAACATTTCGATCAGGTCAGGAAGAAGCCATCAAAAGGATTTTATGCGGTATGTCAACACTGTTAATATTATCAACTGGAGGTGGTAAATCACTTTGCTACCAACTTCCTGCTTATATATATAGTCAACATTATAAATGCATAACTTTAGTGATCTCACCATTAGTTTCATTAATGGAAGATCAAGTACTTAGTATGCCAGATTTCCTAAAAGCAGGTTGTTTGCATACAAATCAGCCTCCCACACAACGACAAAAAATAATACAGTGTTTAAAAAATGGTGAAATCAATATCCTTCTTATATCTCCTGAAGCTTTAGTATCAGGAGATTTATCTAATGGTTTTTCAGGCATCTTTAAGTCTTTACCTCAAATAGCCTTTGCTTGTATTGATGAAGTACATTGTGTTTCACAGTGGAGTCATAATTTTAGACCCAGTTATTTAATGATATGTAGAGTATTACAAGAGAAACTTAAAATAAAATGTATTTTGGGTCTAACAGCCACAGCCAGTCAACAAACAATCAAAAGTGTAATCAATCACATAAATATACCTGATAATATAAATGGCGTTATAATAAACCCAACTCTGCCAGATAACCTTTGTTTATCGGTTTCTTATGAAAAAAATAAAGATCAAGCTCTAGTAGCTTATCTTAGATCTGAACATATTAGTTCTTTCAATTCTATTATTGTGTATTGCATACGAAGAGATGAATGTGAAAGGGTTGCTGCTCTACTTAGATCATGTCTTCAAGAACCAAATAAACTTACTATGGAACGACAGCATAACAAAAGAAAAAGAATGTCGTATATTGCTGAAGCATATCATGCTGGAATGTCTGGAGCACAAAGAAAGAAAATACAAAAACATTTTATGGACGGTACATTAAAAATTATAGTGGCAACTGTAGCTTTTGGTATGGGGATAAATAAATCAAATATTAGATGTATTATACACTACAATATGCCTAGTAGTTTTGAGTCATATGTTCAAGAAGTTGGTCGTGCAGGACGTGATGGAAAAAATGCTTATTGTCATGTATTTATGAATGATAGTAATAATGATAAAAATGAGCTTCTCAAACATATTTATGCTAACAGTATTGATAGGCCTACAATAAGAAAATTACTACAAAAAGTATTTGTGCCCTGCAATTGTAATTGTGATAAAAATGAACAACTTTCTTCTGAAAGTGCAAGTACAAGCATGCGATGTAAAGGACATGAGATTGGAATACCAATTGATAGTACAGTAGAAGAATTGGATCTGCCCTCTGAAAATATAGCTACATTATTATGTTATGTTGAACTACATTCTAAAAAATACATTAAAGTTCTCAATAACGCTTATACTTTATGTAAAATTGCTTCCTATGGTGGTCCAGCCAAAATTTTAGAAGCGGCAAAAACATGTAGTCCTCTTGCTATGGCATATTTACTTTTAAGTAAAAAAGACCCTAATATTCTAACAAAAAATATTTTGGTATTTAATGTAATTGAAGTTGCAGCAGCCATTGGTTGGGAAAGTGGATTGACAAAATATCACTTGAAAAATCTAGAATGGAAGACAGAAGAAGGAGTGCCTAAAAGATCCTTATTAAAAGTTGAATTTAACACACTAGGTTTTAGGATTAAGGCTCCAGGAGACTTAAGACCCTTTGAACTTGATTCAATATTAGAGGATTTACATGGAACAGTAATTTTTCAGGAGAAAACAATGTTGTATCAATTAGAAGAAATAAATGTAGCTTTTACCACTATCGCAAATTATTCTTTGGAAAACTTTCAGTTGTCGGGAACATTCTTAGATGAAAAGTCAAATGAATTGAAATCAATAATCAGGACATATTTTCAAAGAAATGAGACTTTACCAATAGATATTATGATTAAACAAAGACCACTGGATGTTGATCGAATAACATCCGATGTTCGTGCCTTAATATCATCATACAAAGATTGTAATTTTACTGGTCGTAGTATAGCAAGAATTTTTCAAGGTATATCATCACCCAATTATCCAGCAATTGTTTGGGGTAGATGCAAATTTTGGCGATCACATATACATGAAGATTTTCATGGTATAATTAAAATTGCGACACAACAAATTCTTACAATGAAAATGGCTTAAAAGTTATAAATTTGATTAAATAAACATAATAACTATTTTTTTTTTTTATTTATTATTGACCTTTATCCACGACAATCTGATGATATAGTTTATATAATATTATATTTTATAATAATATTAATGAAATATTGTTATAAAATATTAATAATAACAGTCTTAATAAAATATTATTAAGACTTATAAAAAAATTCATTCGTTCTACCTAGGTTCGAGGTCGACCTCCACGCGGTTCCTTTTGGAAACCGTCGTTGTTAATTCTAATGAAATTCGTCACGATGGCCTAACTGACCTGCCTTTTCATTCTCATCTGTCAACCCTCACTGGTGCCCAGGCCAGCGTATTCCGATAGCTCAAATGGGGTTACCATTTCATTATCACCCATTAAAAAACTGACTCATCGCTACCAATACACCCTATCGGGTCGACTTTCACGCGGTTCCCCCTGGAAACTTTTTTTGTGATGGGTGAAAATGTTTTTTTTATACAACTTTGGCAAACAAGGTGACGGTCCACCTGATGGAAAGTGGTAATCGTCGCCTATAGACATGAGTAGTACCATGGACATAACAGAGTATACTGTTTCGCCCATGATACCCCCCATGCGTTGCCATTCCTGAGGACTCGGATGTTATTCCTCTGTACCTAGAAATTCACGCCATATCCCACCCTTCAAACTGAAACACAGCTGCTTCACGGTTGAAACACGAATGGGACAGAGGTACCCAAGCAATCGACTTGTACAAAGTCTCCCTCTGGTACGGTAACCCCGCCTGCGCTAACGGAGCACCAGTGAAGGGTGATAGATGAGAATGAAAACAAGCCAATTAGCCCATCATGATGAATTTATAAGGAATTAACCATGACAATTTCCAGGGGGTACCGCGAGGAGGTCGACCTGGTTGGGTATATTGCTAGCAATGGGATTCTCAGTCTCCATTACTAACAATCCCTTCCCCCCCCCGTTAACTATAGTGGTTACTTCTAGTGATATTTATCACGATGGGCTAACTGACCTGCTTTCGTAAGGGGGAAGGGATTGTTAGTAATGGGTTAGTCCCCATCGCTATCAATATACCTTATCAGGCCCTCTAGACAAGTGGCAAGCGAATTCGTCGATGGAATCGACATCGCTAGCGAGTCCGTAATTTGAAATGAGTCACCCGGTGTTGCTATCTCATTTTATCTCACGGACTCGCTAGAAATGTCGATTCCATTGACGAATTCGCATGCCACTTGTCTAGAGACCCAGGTCGAGTTCCACGCGGTTCCCCCTTGAAACCATAGTGACTAAAATTTATAGTTGAATTCGTCACGATGGGCTAACTGACCTATCTTTTTATCTTCACCAATCATTCCTCATTGGTGCCCCGCCAGTGTATACCGATAGCGCAGACGGAGTTACCATTCCATTAACATCCATAAAAAAGACCTGCTTTCATACACACCTATTATCATCCCTCAGTGGTGCCCCGCTAGCGTATACCGATAGCGCATGCGGGTTTACCATTCCTTTAACATCCATTAAAAGAAAAATAAAAGTATCAGATGCTTTGTGATTCGTTTGGTTAATGGAAGGAGAGGCCGACCTCCACGCGGTTCCCCCTGAAAACTATCATGGTTTAATAATTGTTGTATTCATAACGTTGGGCCAACTGACTAGTCTTCCTTAGAAACCAATAATAACCATCGCGGTTGTAATTCTTGGTTTCTGTAGACCGTAGGTAAAAGATAAAAATTAAAAGACTATAATTGAAAATATTTTTTACTCTATTCAACAAAATAATTATATACAAATATTTATTAAATAGTGGGCGAGTGGAATTCCTATTTTATTAGCAGAGTATACAAAAAATAAAATAATTGTCACGTTCTATCCAGTCTTCCTGATTTTGAATTTAAATTGCCTATAGTTCCTTTAGGATCTGGTGACAAAGAACTCCACTCAGTTTGAGTGCAATATTCAAAAATGTGCTTTCCGCATCCTAATTTTTCTTTACTATTTTGACTAGTAGTTGAAACACATGAACCTAAAACACTATAAAAATCAGAATTAAGACTATCTATCCAGTTTTTTAAATCTTGGTTGACTCTTTTAATATTTGAATGAGAAATTTTTTGCAATAATAAACTTTCTTCTTCATCAGGTAAAAAATTTAAAGGTTTCACATAAGAAAAATTTTTATAAGCATTTTGTGATCCACTATGAATTATATTTGCTTCTTGATGAGTTAATTCTTTACCAGAAAAAGACTCTAAAGGTGTAATTAAAAACTTAGTTAGGGCTATCAAATTTAATTGTTCAAATAATCCCACTTTCCAAACTCCTGGAAGAAGGGGGGCTTTTAAATTCGGTTTTATAAAATTAGTTAAATTATTCTCGTCTAAATATATACTATTTACATCTGCTATGATACCCGTTGGATCTAACCATAATATAGTGAAATTTTCTGTTTTCTTTTCGACAATTGGTGCAAACTGATATAATAATATGGGTTCAGATAAGGGTCCTAATATGTTAGCTAAATTTCTAAACGTCATTTCTTTTTGATCGTAATCTGAACTAACTTTGAATATTTTAACATTATCTACGTAATGATTTTCAAAATTTAATTCTAGATGTTTCTTTGGTTTATACCAAGTTTCTATTAATACTTCAAATTCCTTATTTAAAACTGCCTTGTGGAGTATTAAATTTCCTTTGTATACATCGGCATAATTATACGAAGTTATTTCAATAATTTCATATGGAACTAGTGAACATCCCTCTTTAAGTAAAATTTTTGAATTTTCGCGAGTAATACTGCCTGCATGTGTTAGTATCATATCATCTGAACTCGAAGTTAAATCGTCAATATGATATATACTTTGCCAATAGGCTTCTAGATTGCTTAATAGATGATGGTCAGTAAAACCAATGTATTCCTCAACTCTTGTAATAATCTGTTGATTAATTACAGGTTCAAATTTTCTAGCAAAAAATGATTGTCGATCTCGAGTGTTTTGAATTCTTGGCCAGTCTTCAGTCTTAAAATCATTAGGTGAACATCCACACCAATCAACAACATGTTTATATTGACATTTGCAACCCAGTTTTCGTTTCCAATTTGTAACATGTAGATTATTGTCCACATAAGTATTGCAAAATCTAGAATTGCGTAAAACAGTATGGAAAAATGACTCAGCAGGTAACAAAGTATGTTGAAATACTATATCCAAACCAGCCAATAATTCGTCACGGTCTCCAGTAACATATGAAACAAAGTCGGGAGACAATGCAATCCAGTCACTCCCACCGTCTACCACTATACCTCGCGGCAATTTTCTTTCACCAACACGCCACATGCGGGTTTCACATTCGATAAAGGTTTTATCAAGACCTTGTTTCTTAATAAATCTTTGCACTTCACGTCCATGTGATTTCACAAAATTGAAACCTTTATTCATAGACAAAAATGCCTCTAAGCTTTCTATGGATTTTATAGGAAAGTCACTTTCACTTAGGTTAATTACAAAGTCCCATTGCCATTCTAGTCGAAAAAGGTCTTTCATTGCTGCAAGAAGCATTTTAAGCAAAGATGCCCCTCCCCATATTGTAGAATATCGCGTGGCTGCTAATTTAACATTGGGTAGTTGTTTCTCTAATGACATCAATTTTCGATGCAAATAATCTTGCCGCTGCAATAATAATATCATATTAGATTTCGTCTGCTTTGTAATATAGAACTGTAATATAATATATAAAACTATAAACAATGAAACTGATTTGTAACAGCATAAAACATACATAACACTGATACTGTACAAATAAACACAAATCTTAAAATCACGTTTAATTTGCATGAAATTAATAACATTGGTGAGGTGATATTCAGTTTCTATTTAAAATCTTAGCCAGGGTTTGCAAGTAAGTGAAATTATTTGTTTAATGCGAATTTTGTTATATTTACAAAGAAGTTTATTTATTATTTTGCTAATACCATTAATAATATTACATATTTATACTTACTGAGTCAACATGTATATAAAAATAATGGTTGCTTCTATATAGTGCGTTTATCAATCGATGGACTTGGCGCAATGCACGTCCGTTTAAAGTTAAGAGGTAAACTATTCTCACTGAATTGTTTTTATTTTCAGATATTTGTGGTGTTCTGGGTTCAAACTCTGTAACAGAAAATATGATTATTTTTATTGATTGAACTTGAATTTAGAGTCGATTCTGAGGCACCATTTCTTTAAACCTATCTCTATAACTAAAATTTCAATTTGATATTAATCTTGATAGTAAAAACAAATATAAACTAAATTTCTAATATTATAATAAATCTGGTTATTGGTATGATGACAGGCTATAAAACGGTAATTTCGCGAAACTATTAAATTAAATTATTAGGTTAAGAGATAAATTTAGAGTTATAGAGAGATAGGTTTAGAGAAATGGCGCCTCAGAGTCAGCCCCTCTATTTTTTTTTTTTTTTGGTACCAATTTTAAAATGTATTATACTCTTGTATTCGAACGATATAAGGTGACATTTGAACATAGCCGAAAGTGTGTATATGCGCGTGTATGCGTGCATGCATGTTTTAAAATAAGAATTATTATATATATAATATGTTACTCTAGGGTAATAGATTTATATAGTAATTTAATTACGCAATCCTAGAATAGAATATATATAAATGATATGTGAGGTACTACGTAATACTAACTTTACATGTATATGATATATTCTTTAGCAATATAAAGGTTGTAAGCCTCTTGGTAATAAATAGAAATAAAGCACAAGTTCTTACAGTTCATTTAATTTAAATATCATACTATTAAATAATATATTTACTTATTTTACTTTGTATATGACATAACAAATAATTTAACTATAGCTTCTTTAGGACTTCCATCAACAATAATTGATATATTTTATATAATGACCACGTGGTTTACTAGTTCACTCTTAATACGGCAGGGAGCTCCGCTCTGTTCAACGGTTGGACAAGAAGTGTCTCCCCACCCAAATAAGTGTACAAGTCAGTGAGAACACGTTCTCACAATTTCATTACTTTTTTTTTCAAGTACTTTTTTCACTTTTCAAGTATCATGACAATAAGACGTTTAAGAAAATTAATATAATTTCAAATAAATATCTAATACATGCGTGTTGTGTGCATTCGTGCACACCAGTGCAAATAAGTAATTTTATTTTCTTTATAGTTCTATAATAGTTCTGCAGAGACCACCGAGCACCGAAAATAATAACATATAGGTACGTGGATATTAGTTATTTTTCATTTTCAATTATAGAGTTTTTAAATACATATGCATAACATCAACACACTTAGTAAAAATGAATTTTGCCCTTGGCAGTAGCGGGGGGGGGGGGGGAGGGATATATATATATATATATATATATATATATATATATATATATATATATATATATATATATATATATATATATATATATATATATATATATATATATATATATATATATATATATATATATATATATATATATATATATATATATATATATATATATATATATATATATATATATATATATATATATATATATATATATATAGCTTATGACTCGTTCATCTCCATTTTATTTGGTTTATCTTAGTGAAAATATCAGTTACATCTGTGCTCGCTCATATATATATAAATATATGTATGTTGTATTGGCTGTTTAATTTCGTGATTCGTAGCACGCTTCTCGCTATAGCTCTCCGACAAGCATAAGCATATCCCTAGTATACGTAGATTTTGCACTTAATTTTTTTACTAAAATCTGTTGCTTTCATAATCCCTTTCAGTGATGAAAATCTTTTCCATTCATTGGCTATAGATACACCGTGGATGATTTTACTTAACAATATATTCACAATACTTATACAAAATTGCAATTAATATATTTGTATGTTTAGATATTACTAACTTGCTAATCCTGTTTCATATACATTCATTGTGAAGTAACCACCGCAGACTTTACTATTATCTCCAGGGCATTTCATGTCACATAAATCATCAGCTATACTAGCTGAAGGTGGCGGTGGATTTTCCCCACAAAAGCACTCAGATCTGAAATTGAGAATATTTACTGTTAATGATAAAAATACAAATTATTCTATTATTGTAGAGATTGAAATGCTCTAGTTAGCATATTACCGCTTTTGTTGTACTGGTATATAAATAAAACAAATTTCAGTGTAATACAGATAATACAATACTTGAAGACAAACTCAATAGTGTAAATGTTCTGGTTCACGACCAATTAACCTATCTGTGTCACTTTTAATGGAAAAAATATTAATATTATTCATAAATCTGGCTGTAATGTGAAAGAGTCAAGTCCAAATTATTTAATCTTCATAGGTTTTTAAATACTCTACATCAGGGATGGCTAACCGGTCGATCGCGACTATTAGTCCAGTCGATCCCCGTGCAATTTCCAACTACAAACCTGATTATGCTAATCTAACAGAAGATGCTCAGACGCAATGCTCACACTAATATAAATAAGTAGTTACTAAGAATAATTTTCAATTTTATGTTTCCCCTCTTAATAAAATTAAAAATACTACATAATTGTGTATTGAACTATGCTGTTTCATTTGAGATTTTAAGAAGTATGTATTTGGTAGATCGCACAGGATTTCGTCAGTAAACAGTAGATCTTGAGTCCAGTCAAGTCAACCACCGTTGCTCTATATGTTATAAAGGGGAAAATTTTGACTGATTGACTCGTCAACTTACAGTTGAAACTACAATTATCAAATTTTAACAGTAGGGTGGAAGTTTGTAGGGATTTATTTTTTAATCAATAGTTACTTAAAATTTACCATAAATACTCTTAAATAAAAATATTTAAACTTTATTTTAGGATAGTTTAAAATTCAACCCCTATGTTAAAAAAGCAATGAAGTAAAGAGAAATGGCTTGACTAACTCATCAAAGCACAGCTGAATCTACTATAGCTATAAATACCAAATTTAGAAAGTAGATATCAACTAAGGCTTACACGGAAAGGAATAGGCTTAAGAAAAGATTTTTCAAAACTCGTCCCCTAATGGTGTGGAAAGAGGAGTGGAACTTAGTAAGAGAAAGTATATTTTTTAACCAAATTACTAGAAATTAATAAACACAGTGAAACTTAATTTCAAAATTTCTCAAAATTAATCCTCATTGTGTTAAATAAGGGCGATATTTGAATTTCATCGGTAGAACACTCCCTTCATAGAATGCTAATAATTTTAGCCTCTTTAAATTCAGCCTGAATATAAAAAATAAATAAAAACAATGCAATCCAAGGTTACGGGATCTATTATTAATCGTAAACTGCTCCGGTACTTAGAAGAGCACCAGCTGGTCTGTGGTGTACTGACGATAGACATTCGGCCGGTGATCTTTTAACTTATTTAATACACAAATGGGCAGTGGCAATCAAGAATAAGGGAGATACCTTAGCTGTTAATCTGAATATTGCGAAAGCCTTTTATTGGGTGTGGCATAAAGTATGCTTTCAAAACTACCTCTGTTTGGGTTGTTTGCAAGATTGTGCATTTGGGCGTTATAGGTCACAGCGTCTCGCCTCACAATGCGGGCTGCAGCTCGGAGAATTCATGAAGATCGCTGAAGAAGTACCTATTCTACGCATGCTCGCATCATCGTATTCATAGGCTCAGCTAACTGTGACCCGCCATGTGAGGCGAGGCACTGTGATTACTGGTTTTCACCCACATTTTTATCAGTTCTTAACCATAAGAAAATCATTAACAAATAAATACAAAACAAAAAAAATAGATTAACATTCTATATATTACGTCTATAAAGCTCAAAATGGAAAATATAACCAAGTTGCTACATTGGCTTTGGTTATTGAAAGCATTACTCTTGTGAGAAATTTTTCTATATATTTTATTAATACTCTATTCATCGTCATGTGACTATGTTATCATCATGGAACATACTTCGTTATATACATACACAGTTCTGTCTAGGCCTATCATATTCCTAAGTTCGCATTGTGTCAGATGATTAAAAAGAAGGAAAACATTTTTCTGGCCATGACAGAAAGAAAGGCGGAAAGAGGAAAGAATGTACCAAAAATATTAGACAAAAATGTCAGATCTATTTTTATTCAAAGCAAACAGAATATTCTATTTTTGATCGTCATTTCGTCGACTGGTTGTAAGCCGACAAAACCCCTAATTTTTCCTGTTCATTGTCTATCTATTATTTCATAAAAAGCACTGAACTTTTATTTAAATGTTAGATTAAAGTAAAATTTAATTATATCTTAATTCTCTATATATAATCGTTAAATAAGAAACTTATGACAAATATTTTTTATAGATAATAAGAACTCTGTATCCTTTTAGAAACATTGTTATTTTAATTTTAAGTGAAAATGTTTGGGAACTAATAACGAACCTAGTGTTCAACCAGTACAAGGTTTCACAGCTAAAACCAAATTTCAATTTTAGTGATAGTCATAAATAAAAATATCATTTTTTACCAAGTTTTTGTATTAATGAATTTGACCTAGTACTTTAAGAAGGTCAGCTTCATCTTCAAAGTGATTTATTTTACATATAGATATTTACTATACTTCTGAAAATGCTACAATACACATCCTGAACTTCTGGAATTGTGAAGTTGTAACTTGTATGTTTGTTTTTTTATTATCACAAATTCCTTGTCTACCCTATTTTTTTTTAATAGATGATAATGAAAATCTAATCCCACCATTGATATGCTATATATGCTGACAGGAAACCAATGAGAAATGATAAATGAGAATGAAAAGACAGGACAGTTAGCCCACCACGATACCTAGAATTTAGTATGATGGTTTCAAGGAGGGGATCATAATGAAGTCGACCTGATGGGACTGATAGTCCACATTACTAACAATCCTTCCCCCCTCCCCCAACTACTCCAATAAGAATTATATTCATGGGAACTGTAGAAAAGAGGTAAAAATTATGAACAAATAGTACGACTGATTTTGAGTACAAAAGTTGTAATCAAAAATTGGTGTAGTTATAGAAAAATATACTTTTGAAATATGATTGTATTCATAATCTATATTATTACTTTTTGAAAACATGAGTTAACTGGAATGGTTAATAGCTTAGGAAATAGTACTTAGTCTTTAATATTTTTTAAACCCATTTATTTTTTCAATTTGTCTCTTTTACGAAAAATAATATAAAACAACTGAAAAGCAATAATTGTTTTTTACTCACGCATATTGAACTCCTGCATATGGAAAGCCTGCTTGAATACAAATATCCAAACATGAGTAAGGTGAATTTGAGTTTATATAATTGCCATAAAAACTGGATAAAATTCTAAGTCTTTTTTCATCTTGATAACATCCCAAGTGTCTACCATACATCATTCTGTCACTGACACAACTATTTGGTAATATTTTGGGATAGAAATTACCCTCCTGAATGAGACAAGTTTTGTTAACAATTTCTTGTTTGCAATTTTGTGTTTTTGCACGATGGATTGCCGATATGGCTTCACGGCTTTTAATTTCACATAAAGGTTTAAAATTTAATTCTTCTAATCTCAAGTATGAAGCAGCTTTATTAGATTTAATTTTCGCAGATAAGTCCGCCTCGTCATTATACTTATCTATTTTTCTAGGCGATACAGCCGCCTTCTCTAAAGATATATGTGCATTTTTAATCAGTAAATCATCATTTTCTGAAGGAAAGTAATTTAATGCAACTAATATTTGGACGAAAAATGCAATTAAAACAACTATCATTAAACATTTTGCATACTTATAATATAACCTTCGAAAAGTATAAGCCATATCACAATTTCTTGAGCAATCATGAGAAAATATTTAGAAAATTTAAAAGAATACATAAAGCCATCAAGAAAAATAAAGTCGCTACAAAGAGTACTGCATAGATTACAGAGACTTAGATCTAAAGCATGCCGTAGACTAAGAACAAAGAATTACATAGAAGGAATGATAAAAAACTATAAATCACATGGTTATCTCCTTTCTCTTTACGCAAATATAATTAGCAAAAATACGACGAAAAATGCACCATCAGTTGCTATTTTTCTCAAATCGTAGCAGGTTAGTGTATAGAAAATGTTTGATGTGTCAATTATTTGTCAATGACAAATTTCACATTGGAATGTAGCCAAATATATTCAAAATCTTTTACGCGTAATGGCTTTGATCTAAACTAATTTCACTTTTATCCAGATTTCACGTAATTTGCATTCCAAGGCAGTCTTTGGCCTCTCCTAAATTTTTTATCTTAAAAGCTTTTCCAATTTTGTCTTTAACTGATTGAACTCGTTTTAAATCATTTCCAAAAACATAGAAATCATCTACATAAAGTCCTATCGCTATAAAGTATTTTCCTGATCGCTTCAAATATACGCACGGATCATATTTAGACCTTTCAAAACCAATATCTATAATGTAAGAATCAATCTTCTCATTTCAACATCGCGCAGCCTGTTTTAATCCATAAATAGCCTTTTTCAACTTACATACTTTAATAAGGTTTTGAGTGAATGCTTCTGGTTGTTCCATATATATATCTTCATTAAGATCTCTAAAGATAAGCCATTGTTACGTCTATATGATTAATTTTTAAATCCATTTCAGCTGCCAAGGCTATCAAAAGTCTCATAGAAGATAATTTCACAACTGGAGCAAAAGTCTCAAAATATTCTTTACCCCACTTTTGCGAAAAACCTTTAGCCACAAGCCTCGCTTTGTGACGTTGAATCGAGCTATCAGTATTTGTTTTAAGTTTAAAAACCCATTTGCATTCAACAACGTTGGCATCTCTAGGTTGATCAACTAGTTCCCATGTATAATTTGCTATCAAAGAACTGTATTCGTCTTCCATTGTTTTTTGCCACAGCTCTCTATCTGAACGTTGTTAACATCTTGTACAGACACAGGGTCAACACCATCAGACATATAAAAGTTATAGACCATATCCGGATCTCTCAATGGATATCTTCTTTTTTGAGTCACCAGCCTTGTATATTATTTCGATTTCTTATACCTTTTTTAGCTGATTCTGTAGAGTTAACCATAATTTCACCTTGTTCAGTACAAATAGAATCATGGAATATCTCATCCACGTCTGTTGTGCTTGAAACATCTTGGTGTACAGGTTCTGTGTGTAGTTCCTGTGTGACCTTTGTAATATCAATAGATACATATATATTCTCAAGATTTCAAAGACTTTTATTTTCACATGGAACCGCCACTACATCTAATGTTATTGGACTAATTTTAAAAGGATTTTTATTTTCTCGACCTATAGAACTCTATTATCTTTTTATTAAATATTGCATCACGAGCGACTATAAATCGCTTTAGGTTGGCCCAGTTCAAGAATTTATAACCCATATCACTATATCCAATCATTGCCATCTCTATTGTCTTTGAATCCATCTTCTTTCTACTACCATCTTTTATAAGGACTTGTGCAGATGATCCAAAAACAATAAGATGAGAGAAATCAATTTTCATACCAGTCCAAACTTCTTTAGGAACTTTATTTGAAAGAGCCATAGTGGGTGATCTGTTCTATAAATATATAGCACAATTCAAAGCTTCACCCCAAAATTTCTGGTCAAAATTATTATCATGCAACATGCATCTAACTTTTTCAACTATCGTCCTATTAGTTGGTTTCACTACACCATTCTGTTCTGGTGTGTAAGGTACAGTTTTCTCGTGTTTAATACCGAGACGTTTTAAATAATTTTGAAATTCTTTATTTGTATATTCTGTACTATTATCACTACGAAGTCGCTTTATTTTCTTACCAGTCTGATTCTCGACAAAAGCAACAAACGAACAGAATTTAGAAAATACTTCAGTCTTAGATGATAACAAATATCCGAATACCTTTCCACTAAAATCATCTACTAGAACAAGACAATATAACCCCTTCTTTAAACCCGCTTGAATCAAAGGAATTCCTGATATGGAAACACTATTATTATCATAAAACGAACAGTAATTTTTGTCAAACACTACCGTATAAATATTCTCTGTTATTTTACTTACCGACAATATATTAGTAACGAGATTGGGTACGTATAAAACGTTTTCAAAATCTACCTTAGTATTACGATTTTCATGATTCAATTTTACTTTAATCTTTCCTTGACTTTCAGAAATTATTTTATAATCATCAGCAGTTGTTATAACTTTCGAAATATGTGATTTGGTTGGTCAAGAAGAGATTTAATTGAATTCATGTAATATGTAGCACCAGAATCAAATTGTTGGTTGTTAATAATGCTAATGGATTACCAGTCTCATTGTTAGCAATATGCCCAAAAAAATCGACCTCCACGTGGTCCCCCCTGGAAACCATCGTGCTGAATTCCAAGTGAATTCATCTTAATTCTAATTCTATTCTATACTTCTAAAAGGCTATTCTATTCTAAAAGGTTAATTGACCTGCTTTTTTATTCTCACCCATCATCTCTCACTGGAGCCCCGTCAGTGTATACTGATGCGCGGGCGGGGTTACCATTCCATTATCATCCATAAAAAAAAACTTGCTTTTCTCTGCATTGTCCGGTATAAAATCTTCATTATTGACACACTCCCACAAATCTAAGTCAATAAAAAACATTTGCATTGAGAATACCCACGATCCTTAATTGGATTGGCCGATATAATATAAATAGCCATGACACTCCGATTGATGCAGACTTTTCTTCTCAACTTACTCAATCAAGTACCATATCTTTTTCTTCAGCGTCATCTGTAGAACTTAGAAAAACTTCATCTACTAACTCAATCAGATTTAAATGATCTTGTTCGAGATTTAGGACTCTCCAAATCAAAGGCTCAACTTCTTCGATCAAGACTTAAACAATGGAATTTGTTAGAGGAAAATACAAGGGTCTCATATTTTCGAATAAGACATAAATAGTTTGTTACTTACTTAACCAAAGAGAACGATTTGGATTCCTGATGAACCCAAAGAATGGCGACTTTTCATTAATTCGTCTAAAATTAGTTTAAAAGCTGTCCTACTTCACAATGGCAATATATATTTTACAGTTTCTCTCACACATGCAACAAATATGAAAGAAAATTATGTAAATATGAAGTTGTTATTGGAAAAAATTAAATATTCACAGTATATGTGAAACATTTGCGCTGATCTTAAAGTTGTAGAAATGTTAACTGGCCTTCAAGGAGGATATACAAAATATTATTGTTTTTTATGTGAGTGGGATAGTCGAGCGAGAGATACACTACGTAGTAAAAAGCTGGTCACGAAGAACGAATATGATGCCTGGTTTCTAAAACGTTAGTGAAGAACCTTTAGTTCCAAGTGAAACAATTTTTCTCCCTTCACGCCATATAAAGCTGGGTCTTATAAAGAATTTTATTAAAGCCATGAATAAGGATGGTAAAGGCTTTAAGTATCTTAAGACAAAATTCCCGCGAATCAGCGATGCAAAATTAAAAGAAGGAATCTTTGTGAGTCCCCAAATACGCGAGCTCATGAAGGACACAAATTTTACAATAAAACTGAAAAAAAAAACCCGAAAAAGGGCATGGACTGCTTTTGTCGAAGTGTGCCATAATTTTCTAGGTAACAAAAAAAGTGAAAACTAACTTATTTCTTCGTATAAAGACCTAGGGTGTAACATGTCTTTAAAAATTGGACTCTCACTTGGATTTCTTCCCACCTAATCTTGGAGTAGTAGCAGATGAACATGGTGAGAGGTTTCATCAAAAGAGGCGCTACAACGAAAAATGGTCAGAAGGAATGTTTGCTGATTTTTGCTGGTTTAATCGGCGTGAAACTCCACTTCAAAATATGAAAAAAAAGAAAACCGCAAAGTAAAATAATATTAATAAGTAATAAATATTTATAATATGCGTTTTAATGTTTTTTCATGGTTTGTATCCAAAATTATGATAATAAATAAATATATGATAAAAATATAATGTTAAAAACGCTATTTTATTTAAAAATTCCATTGTAAAAAAATATAGGTGATAGAAAACTTTTTTATTAGTGTAATAATAGCAAACTACACTGTGACGTTGAGTCACTACATGTGAAAATCATTTAATGGTTGATCACTAGCGATATCACAGAGACAAGAAAAATAATATTTCTCGTTGCATATTATGATTTAATAGTAGAATACAAATTATTTCAATGTCTACTCTGTAGTACGTACCTTTACCAGTTTTTCAGTATAATGTACTCTGTAACCTTAACTTAGTTACTTGATGATTGTTGTCTTTATTCTCAGTGAACTTTGGATTTACTACCTATAAAATTTGATAACAATAATTATTATCATATGATCATAAATTTTGGGTAATTATAGCTGTACCAAATGTCAATATACAGCGATTAGATATTACTTCGGTACTTGGTATTACTACTACACATATATGTTTTGTGGCATAAATTACCGGTTTATTTGTATGTTTTTTGCGTTCTAAATTTAAGAAATTATAATGATACGTTCAAAGCTTTTATCTAAACCAATAAGCAGCATGTATCCATTTAATGTGAGTGCAAAAGAACTTCATAGTGGCAGATTAAATGGAAAAGTAGCAATAGTAACTGCTTCAACAGATGGGTAAGCAAATATATCTTATGTATGTTCATTTTAAATGTGAATAATTAATCATAACATTTTAATTGTGTGGATTTTATTATTAGCATTGGTTATGCTATTGCTAAGAAACTGGGAAATGAAGGAGCATCTGTAATAGTTAGCAGCAGAAAAGAAGATAATGTGAAAAATGCTGTTAAAAGTCTACGTGATGAAGGTATCACTGCTGAAGGAGTTGTTTGTCATGTGGCCAATAAAGAACAAAGGAGAAAGTTGTTTGAAGTTGTAAGTTTTTAATATATCTTTTACTTACAGCAATAAATTACTACAGCACTATATTTTAAGTGTCTGCACTCTCCTTTTATACATATAACCTAGTAAATGAAATTACAACCATAGTGAATGTATACAATGCAATAAATTAATTCATAAAATGGTATTAGTACCTATAGTCTTAGAGTGCCCACTAACCCTTAATTGTAATTCAAGATAAAAAAAAAAGTTTAAATTATAGATTATTTGTTACTAAATTTTTTCATAATAAGTGGATGAAAGAGAAAAGGAAACCTTTAACTCCCCCATAATAGGAAAAATGGAGGAAAATTATAGTCTTTTAAAAATCATTAAGTTTATTATCAACCATCTAGTATCAAGCAAATAACACTGTAAAATTTGGTTTAATTTTTTTATTTCTTCCCCCCCCAACTCTCTGGCTTATAACAAATACTCCAGTATCGGGCAAACAAATTGTGTTGGCAATTTTTTTCATTGATTGGCAGGAGGCTCCGACCTTATTTGATACATATTCTTAGTAATATTTAAAAGTCATATTCAATTTCAATTACAAAGCTTTTATTTATTAACCATAAATATCAGTGAAAGCAAAATTCAAGACTTAAGATTATAGAGCATGCATTAAACAAGAAGCTTCTAATGTACCTTGAAACCAATGATCCTCTCAAAGACTGCCAAAACAGATTTTACAAAAATCAATTGACTGGAGACCTTCTTGTATATGTTACACATACTTGGGGTGAGATACTCAAGAACCACGGGGAGACCATTGCAGTATCTGTTTATATATCAAGGGTTTAGCATGACAGTCTTGTTAGTAAGTTTCTGGGATATGGTGTAGCTCTCAGATTATGCATGGGTATTTCAGATTTCTTGAGGAAGAGTCTTTTCCTGACTATGAGCTGATATGATGGCATTAGTTATATTCTAATGTAGTTAATCTTCTTCGATAGAATGAAATACCATGTTGTAAAAGATAAGATTTTATCTCTATGAACTTAAGCTTTTTAATAAAATAGATTAGTAATTTTTGATAAGGATTGATGTTGTGTCCAATTATCTACTATTATGTAGGTATTTTATAAATTTGTTTTCAATGTAGGATTGTGATGTGATATAGGAAGTAAGACTGAGTCAAGTATTAATTAGAATACCTAGTTTTTTTTTGATGGGTGAAAATGGAATGGTACCTTACCTGCGCTAACAGTATACGCTGGCAGAGCACCAGTGAAGAGAGATAGATGAAAATGAAAACAGGCCAGTTAGTCCTTCATAATGAATTCATCAGGAATTAACCATGATAGTTTCCAGGGGGAACCGTGAGGAGGTCGACCTGGTTGGGTATATTGCTAGCAATGGGATTCTTAGTCTCCATTATTAACAATCCCTTTCCCCCCTAGAAAACCTAGTAGGTACACAGGTACTCCAGTATTCAATATTTACTTAAATTTCTAACAGGATATTCAAATAGATATTTATAATACTCCAATACTAGTGCTTGAAAAATTAATAAATGACTAAACTTTTATTATTTTCATTAAAATGAAGGTTTAGATATCATTTTTAAAACTACTTGAGTAGGTATTTGTCTGAGACCTCAAACATACCTAAGTCAGAATTGTATATTTTTAATTAAAAGTATTAATTTATTCTGTTCCTGCTGTCACTAATATATTATTAGTGACAGCAGTAATATACTAATATATTATATTATATGATTAAATGAATGCTATATTGTGCATACTGTGGTAATTACAGGTTGATAGGTAGGTAATATGATGTACAGTACAGTCTACCCGCTATGGGCATACAATATTAAAATTATAAAAAAATATATATTACTAATATATAAAAAATTATAATAAATATTTGCCAAGTTGTTAGGATTTTTGTTACTTTTTGATGTAAAAACTACTAAATAAATTTGAATTAAATTTGATGGATAGGTTATATCCTAATTTGTCTAATAAAATGTTACTAGGGCTAAGCTGCGAAACAAAGTCCTTTAAGTGAGAATATATGTATATATATGCGTCAATGAAACATTACATAACATAAACATTATTTACCTACTCATTGTATAACCATGCATTTACGTCAAAATTACAATGGATTATTCTAGTAGGAAAAAATTGGAATTTGAACTACAAGTAATATTTTAATGTTTCTGTCACTGCAGTCGCTATCGTTAGAGTATGCAGTGGTAGATGACGAGTAGATGATGCGATATAATTAAAAAGAAATTGAACAACTGAATGTATATCAAACATACCCAATATAATAAATGAGCGTTTTAACATTATCTAAAACATAAACATATCAAGTCGACCTCGCGATCCCTCTTGAAAACTACTGTGGTTAATTCCTGGTGCAATTTTTTTTACAATAATAGAACATGTGATCCTGATCCCGAGCGAACACAGAAATAATATATATCAATGAATGCGATTATCAAAAAAGAGAATGTTCTACTCTCAATGATAGGCCGTACAGTGCTGACTTACTGGCGGGAAAGGGATTATTAGTAATGGGTTCTAACTGACTCATTGTTGGCAATTCACCCTACCAGGTCGATCTCCACGCGGTTCCCCCTGGAAACCATTGTAGTTAATTCTAGTGGAATTCGTGAGGTATAGATAAATATTTTTTTTATTTCAGGCTAATAATAAATTTGGTGGCCTGGATATCCTTGTATCAAATGCGGCAGTAAATCCAGCTGTTACACCAATTCTAGAGGTAAAGTGGAGAATTTTTAAATATAACTATGTAAAAGAAATAAAAAAGAGCAGATTCAATAACGTTTATTAGGACAAAGTAGAGTGATTAAAGTTTGATGCAAAACTGTAACACAGAATGCATAGAGATCTAAATAGAGAAAATGGACAATGTTGAGCGTTTTGTATGGGGACCGGTATAGACATAAGCAGTACCATGGACATAACAGAGTATACTGTTTCGCCTATGATATCCCCCATGACGTGCCATTCCTGAGGACTCTAGTGTTATTCCTCTGTATTTTGTAAAATGCGAAAAAGATCAATTCTCTCCTACATAACATCGAACATCACGCGTTATTAGCTATTTCTAAATATCTGTGACAGAATGTGTTCATATAAGAGGTAGCAAACGCAACATATATATCCGTATCAATACGAACGTAACGTGTCATGCGCACTTTTACAATATTTTCTGTAATGTATAATAATAAAACTTTTTTAGTACAAATAATATTTATAAATGAATAAGTAATTAAAAAATAATATAGAAAAAATATATTTGACAATATATGTAACATAATAAAGTGTCTAGCCAAAGCATGGCAGATATAATAATTCTAACAAAAAGGTTATACAATCAGTTAGTGTACTCCATTGAATAATACCTTTCCATTATACCTTAATTTAATATTATTTTATTGCATCTAATTTATAACTGCTTGAGCAATGTCTGTACATATGTCCCGGAAAGGCAAAAAATAATATGAAGTGTCTTAATAAAAATAGTTGTATGCACGTTGTTCCAACAATACGCAAAAACTTGGACCAAATTGGAATCGGTCTTAATATTTGTACATAACATTAGTTTTCCTACTTCCAAAATCTACGTTTTTTTTATGCAACTCAAAATGGCATCCAAGCTGACGGACCACCTAATGAATTATGTTAAGTGACGGTAAAGATTCACCATAATAAGTATTATCAAGAGACTTATTCATGTCTGTGAAGGCTCTTTTTTGCGTAAAAAGTAATGTTTCGTCAACACTCGAAAGCCACTTGTTTCCATTTGAACATCTAAAGAACGACTTGTCGCGTTTAAACGACTGACAACGCAACATAAAACAACAGTTATAACTGGTATACTAGTATTACCACTTCTTTAATTTTTACTGGGCTTATCAATCTGCCCTCGTATTTGGGTATTTAATTAATTTATAATAATAAATATTAACATCAAGTGCTCACCCATTTTTTCTCTTTGTTAACTGAAAATAATGTCTTTTTTAATCCTTATGTACAGATACCTGAAGAAGCATGGGATAAGATATTTGATATCAACGTGAAATCCGCGTGGTTATTGGCTAAGGAGGCATACCCAGAACTCATTAAAAGAGGCGGTGGGAGCATTGTATTTATTTCGTCAATTGCTGCCTATCAACCTATGTTTGTAAGTGTATAAACTTAACATTCCATATAGTTAACAAAAATAAAATTATATAAAAAATACAGCCTGTGTTTTATACACATGCAATCTCAAGCCGAAATCGCAAGTTCGAGATCTCGTGCCACTAGAAACGTAGATCTCGCGCAGTCAAAATCATGGGTACCTACCTGCCAATTGGGTATGTACCCAAATAATACTAATACCGATAAGTAAAAGTCGAAAACTGAAACTGAACTGAAAACTACTGCAAAGAAGGTTTAATACCTGAAGAAGCATGGGATAAGATATTTGATATCAACGTGAAATCCGCGTGGTTATTGGCTAAGGAGGCATACCCAGAACTCATTAAAAGAGGCGGTGAGAGCATTGTATTTATTTCGTCAATTTTATCAACCTATGTTTGTAAGTGTATAAACTTAACATTCCATATAGTTAACAAAAATAAAATTATATAAAAAATACAGCCTGTGTTTTATACACATGCAATCTCAAGCCGAAATCGCAAGTTCGAGATCTCGTGCCACTAGAAACGTAGATCTCGCGCAGTCAAAATCATGGGTACCTACCTGCCAATTGGGTATGTACCCAAATAATACTAATACCGATAAGTAAAAGTCGAAAACTGAAACTGAACTGAAAACTACTGCAAAGAAGGTTTAATCTTTATAATCATTTACTTATAATTACAAATAAACATTATATTTATAATTACAAGATATATTCACATGTGACAATTAGTCAAACCTAGGGGTGTTGATGTTTTTACGATAAATCCAAATTTATAAACGAGTGAAATCTGAGTATTGTAATTATTTTAAATTATGTTACAGCCTCTAGGTGCATACAGCGTTAGCAAGACAACGTTGCTGGGCTTAACTAAATCAATCGCCTCTGAAGTAGTACATGACAATATTAGAGTTAATTGTGTTGCTCCCGGAATTGTTGCTACGAAATTTGCTTCTGCGGTAAGTCTTCTTTACTTCCTAAGTACTTGCATAGTTACATGTGAATTTTATACCGTCTTATCTAAGGTACTTTCGTATCCATGGTATGCTTTCATCTATATTATATGTAGAATTGAAACGTTGCCTTTTTCAAATTGTCTTTTATAATTAGGAAATTTATTACTACTAATGTATACACATTGGCCTTGCTACAAAAAAGCTGAGAGATTTCTAAAAATACAAAAGGCATTTAAAATTTGAAATACTATTATATATATATATGTGTGTGTGTTAGTTTCTCTGTGGATTTCATGAGTTTCATTATGGAATATAGCATATTTATTTAGTTTATTGATCATTACCAATTATTATATTTGATGATACTTTTTAAACGATTGTGTTTATTCTCGTATGTATTCCATATAAATAACAATGTCAAGATAAAACTCGGTTTATTTTTAAAATGAAATAATTCTATTTTGGAGAAATGAAGTACACTCTTTTTAACGACAAAATTATGCAAAAATGTTCTTTGTTAAAGTGATACGAGGAAGATTTACTTAGTCATTAATTATTTGTCCCAAAAGAAATGTTAAATGAAAATCTACCACATGTAGCATATATCTACTGTGACATGCCTTTAACAATAGCAAATCCAAAAATTTATCATTGCTAATTACAACTATTTTATTACTAACTATTGAGATAACCATTGTAGATTCAAGGACATCTATTATTGTATTAATTTTTTTATTGTAGATCACAAGCTCGGACGCGGCAGCAGAGAAAAGTTTGTCTATAGTGCCGATGAACAGATTTGGGAAACCTATAGAGATAGCAAACGCAGTAGCTTTTCTGTCGTCTGACGAGGCCAGTTACATTACAGGTGAAACTGTTGTCGTAGCAGGTGGAGCTGTTGCTCATTTATAAATCGATATTTTTTTTTTATCAACTTTAATATAAGTATAAAATTTGTCAAACTACAGGGGGCTTAGACAAGTGATTAAATTTCTGAATACATGTAGATACATTACCGCATGCATGAAGAAGATGGATAACCATCTATAAGTTCACAATTCAGGAGATTCCTATTTATTGTTTTTCAAGCTGTAAAAGTAATGATTATTTTACGATATTTATGTTCTCAAATATCACATACATACAATTATATTTGGATTACTATAATAATTAACAAAAGTATTGATAGTATTTACACCTTTTTCATCAATAAATTTTTTTTAAATATATTTTAAAGCTTACTGTGTTACCTTTTGAGAAAAAAAAATCGTTGTTTTTTCTGCTGATACTAATATAATTTCATAAGTAGTGTGTTGATTGTTGGCACTTGGTGGAAATTTGATTTCATGAGCATTGTACAAGCATTTGTTCATGTATAACATGTTCGACTAAATAACAGAGTACGATTAGACAAATTATTGTTTGTCTTGACATGAAAGTCATTATGATGGTCTCAGTGAATTATTCTTGTTAGTCCTAATGTAGTTTTAAGGTGATAATGTTGTATTGGTTCATATGGTGTCTTAAGTTTATTGTTATAATAAGTGCCTATGTATCAATTAAAAGTTATTTTTTACATTATTAATTATTAAAGTTGTTATTTACTACTGAATAACATTTTGTTGTGTTTATATAAGGGTTAATTAAATTATACTAGGATAAATCCATCCAAAAGAAAAATCATTTTCTAATTCTTTTAGAAAATATAAAGAAAATTATCACGTCTCGTATGATATGCAATTATAACGGAAAAATACTGATAAACATACATGCATGAACATTTATAGCACAGTTTTGCAAATTATGACAATATTGTCTTGTAATTTTTTCTCTTTAAGTATTTATCCTACTTACATATTTATAAAAACTTATTTATACACAGGCATAAAAATACCGCCAGGGGTAGTGTTAGAAATTTAATATAGGTTCCTTTTATGACATGTGCATCCATTAAGTAAGGATTTTTCAAAATTTTCACAAGAACTGAAAACAGAACGACTATACGAGCGAATTCGTCGGTAAACAGTGTACAGGAATAAATTGTTACATATACGAGGTTTGTCCGGAAAGTACGTATAAAAGTTTTTTAAAAATTTTATTTTACAATTATTCAGGTAAATCAATTTTATCCCCTTCAAAGTACTCCCCCTGTGACATAATGCACTTGTGCCAACGCCGTTTCCACTGTGAGAAGGCTCCTTGAAAGTCCTCTGGTTGTAGGTTTCTCAGCTGCCCCGTCGTAGCTTTTTTTATCTCATTTATGTCCCCCAAATGCCGCCCCCGAAGTATCACACGGGGCCAAATCCGGCGAATAGGGGGGGTGTTCGGTCACCGTAATGGAATTTTTACTCAAAAACTCACGGACAACAAGAGAGGTGTGGGCAGGGGCATTGTCGTGGTGAAGAATCCAACGCCCCTCTCGCGCCAATTCTGGACGAACTCGTGCCACACGAGCTTTGAGGCGTCTGAGCACATCGACGTAGAATTTTTCATCAACTGTCTGGCCTGGAGGGACGAATTCTTGATGGACAATCCCCCGAACATCGAAAAAAACAATCAACATTGTCTCGGCCCTCTCTGAATCTTTTTAGCCACTTGTGGACGGTTGGTTCCTTCACAGCATCATCCCCATAAACTGTTCTGAGATCGGCAAAAATTTCTGCCGAGTTTCGAGAGAAACTTGATTACGACGCGCTGCTCTTCAACGGAAGCGGCTCCATGCCGACGGGGTTTCGTTAAGAGGTAACTTCACAGATGGCGTGACAAATTGTTGAAGCATTGTTAGGGACATACTTACCTGGCCTACTCCTCTTTCTCGCATTCCAGAACACTTTTATACGAACTTTAGACAGACCTCGTACATGTCACTTAGTAAAAAGTGAGGTTAACCACTTATGAGTATTTGTCTAAACTCATATAAAATTTGATTAAAATATCTACAGCATTATTGCTGACTTGGCTCTAACATTGATTGGGAAAACTTATACTTTTATAGAAAATAAGAAATTGCGTGGATTAATACGTAGATATCTACGAGTAATATATATAGCTGTATTTACATATTACTCAGTTATAATTGTTCTTTTTAACCTACGTATTAATGTCGAATAGGAACCTATGCATTTGATTAATATATTTTTGAAGAGTCTATTTTACTAATAAAAAAATGTTGATGAAAATCTTTGTTTATTTCCTTTATTGTTCCTTAGCAGGTGTTCGATTATTTATACTATTAGAATCTTGTTAATTTGTAGGGTTCCGTACCAAAATACAAAATGTACAAAGGACCAATTATAGGGGAGAGGGAGTAATAGTAATGTAGACGTTAATCCCCATTGCTAGCAATATATTCTGTCAGGTCGACTCCACGCGGTTCCCTCTGGAAACCATCGAGATTAATTCTTATTGAATACATCAGGATAGATCAACTGATCTGCTTTCATCGTCATCAATTATGTCGCTGGTGCCCGTGTATATGACGGTAGCGTAGGCAGGGTTACCATTCCATTTTCATCCATAACAAAGTAAACTCTTATAGTGCAATTTTATCGGACGGCCAACGTTCGTCTGTCACAGCGATACATCTCAGCAACTACTACAGCTAACATTGATTTGAAATGGTTTTACATTTTTGGTCACATCGAAAAGCCGACAACCGATTGGTAGGAAAATTTCTAGAGTGGCAACCCCGTACAGGCAAACGCAGTGTAAGACGACTCCCCACTAGATGGAGTGACGACTGACAACCTCAAATGCATTGCAGTAAGTCAATAGATGCAGGTGGTTCGGAACCTTTCCTTATGGCAGTCTATATATACTTACATTTGCTGTGTGATTACATTACCATCACTTAACACACTCACTCTTAAAATTCAGTAAATAAATATGATTTAAATTTATTAAAATATATTTATTATTCCTTGTTAAAAAATTAAGTCTATATGTACAATATTATAAATTCGTATCTCAAAATTTTAAAAGTACGATAAAAAATAATTGAAGACTGTAATGTAGATAGGTTACAAACATAAATATACGATTGGCAATTTTGCCGTGTGGTCAGCATAGAATGGACGAACCCTTCCTTTCCTGTGGGTGTAGTAAGAGGCGACTAAGGGAACCTAATAGTCGAAGCACCCCTCGACCAGCAGCTTTATCTTCGAAAAGTACAGTAGGAGTACAAACAAAATAAATTGTGATTAACTTTTTGAAGTGTAATTAATTTTAAGTGAATGTACTTGGTGAAAATGTGCTGTATCTGGATATAAATTAAGAAAAAAGAACATGCTTTATTTTGCTTTATTATAAAACCATTACAAATATTTTGCACCAGAATTACACAGATTAAAATTTACAATATAATCCAAACGTAAACGTTAAAATTATTACAAAAACGTGGATTTTTGCTGCTTCAATTCCATATAAAATTTGAATTATATTTACATATATTACACTGATACTAATATAACTAATATGTTGTTTCATTTTTATGATAGCATTGTAAATGTGAGAACGTGAGTACGTTTACATCTACGTTTATGGTAAGTACAATAATTACAGAGGAATAAAAAACTGGTTTAGGACTTTAAAAACACAAAATATGTGCGTAATGTAGTAGTTCTGAAAATTAAAGATTATGAAATAGTACCTACTTAGATATTGATATATTAATTTTCGTGCAAGAATGCCCCATTGCATTCCATTTTTAGCTTAATGTGATCATTTCCCTTGACTAATTTCTGTACAAGTCTTGTAATGGTTCTAAATTATTGCATATAAATAGAAAACTATTTCAACTGTACTTGTTAAACGTATCATTTAAAAGTTTTCTTATTTTTAGGAATCTTATCTGTACTCAAACTATCCCTCTAGCTATCTAACTCTAATATACTTTTGCTTTTTTACATTACCAATAATTACACAGGTTAATCGTAATGCATATACCAAGCTGAAACAACAGTAATAGTATACGATTAACCTTGTAACCGCCTAAGGTAAGCCCTAATTTTAACAGTGGAGGACATCACTGACTTATAATATTTACAGTTTAATAAAAGATGGCAATGTACCTAACTTACATCTTGATGGTTTAATAATTTCATATTTTTCACACTCATTATCACTATGTTTCGCATCCTTATAATATCGACACTCTACCTCGTCACTGTTCTCTTTGTGATTTTTTAGCAATGAAGTAGAACTAATTGGTTCTAATTGATTAGGGCCTTTATTTGTGTTATCTGAACACTTACTAACTTTCTGTTTATTTGCTTTGTTCTTATATTTGTTTTCTATTTTTAAACATTTTGGTTTGTTCACATAATTTGGATTTACATGCCTATTCAAACATTTGTCACCCTTTTCACAATATCCTTTTATAAAATCTGCACAAACTTTGGTTTTCTCATTTAATTTTACATGTAGATATGGGCATCCTTCTTTTGTACACATCCCCTGTAAATAAAAGTAACAAGTGGGCATCTTTTTCAATGTTAATTCATGAGAAAGAAGGCACTCCTGATCATGACATATTCCTTTTAAGAATTTTCGGCATATGGACACATGTTTCTTATCATGCATATATTCGCAGTTTCCGAGTTCCATTCTCAAGCATTTTCCATATTTTTTAAATAAGGGGCAAGGAATGTTGTTTTTCTTTAATTTTCCTTTAATATTTTTTAATTTTGCTTGACTGTTTAATTTAATCATATTTTTTAGATCTCTGTGTGCTTTGTTCATTTTTGTACTTCTTAAATTCAAATCGGATTTACATAATTCGATATTTTGTTTCACAAGTTTAAATCGACTGTTTAATTTAGTTTGCAAGTTAATCATGTTGTCGTATTTTTTATTAACTTGCTTGGTCGTATTTAATATGCTCGCATATGGTAATTTCACATGAGCAGTATTATTTCTTTCCAAGGAATTTGTAGTGTTTCTGACATTTAGGCGAATTGACTTATATTTACTTATTTTCACTTTTGTCTTAGTTTCATCTAATTTCTGAATGCCTTGTAGTTTACTAACCTGTCTCACTAAGCAGTATCGAGATTTAATCATTGTAGGTTGCAAAATTGAATTGTGTTTATTATCAAATGATGAATTATCAACAGCTTGCTTTTGCAATTTAATATTTTTATCGTAATTCAATTTATTAAGAATTAGTTTACTTTTCGACTCCAAATCAGTTGTTTGATTTGTTTTAATAAAATTTGGATTAATATAAATTCGCATATTACTTTGCCAATTCTTTCCAGTACCATATTGGGAAAATTTTGGATTGATGTGCATAATATTATTTGTTGGTAATGTTTCATTTCTAGTTTTTATATTTCTGTTAAAATTCGGATTTATAAACACTTTCATAACACTGCTTTTCTCCATATTTTCATGATTATATGCAGCCATATTAAATCAAAGAATATTGAAAATATTTGTTTCCAATTTTACAGTTCACTTTACTTATACATATAGGTCCAAGATTTTTATGCAGTAAAATATTATTTAATTTGTCTAAAATATTTGTGAGTTTAGTTTTCTTATTTCCGTTTATCCATAATATGCTCATGTGAAATGAAGGATTCTGAAATGAAAAAAAGTAATAATATTATAAATGTCATCATACAATTGTCATGAAATTTGATATACACAGTATATGGAATGTAGGATATTAGTTACTTTTTATGCATATCAATCAACATATCCCAGTCATGCAGACAAAGTCGTGGGTAATAAATAGTTGATAATTCAGAATTAAGTAATGGATACAGTTTACAAGTGCTTTATATTATAGATGCAAACTATTGAACTGATTTAATAAGATATTAAAATATTTATAAACAGTAAAATACAATTGTCGGTACTAGATGGCACTGTAGATGATTATGTAGATAATTATAATTGTTACATCTGAACCTTAAAGTCATGGATTTAAGCTTATAATTTGGCCATTGTACACATGTACTATTCCATTATGTGAAGGTTTAATATACCATCTAGAAATTAACCTCAACCGATTTTTATGATTGACATCACTCTCTTAACAATTTAAATGTAAAATAAAAATAATGAACTCCAATTAAATATTTAACAACAATGCTGTATGGTTATAGTATGAATTCTACCACTGATAGTATTAATAATAAAATTATGGTGAAGATTTGTAATGAGGCGGACAATTTGATTCAACATACATACCTCATAGAATGTTGGCAATTTATATTCTTTTAATATATTATCAATTTTATCTGTAATATTCAACAAATATTTATTACTGGAGTGATCAACTTCTAATGCAATAAATGTCCTGGTATTTTCTTCATTGCAGTAAATTTTAACAGTGTCAAAAAGCAATTTAAAGCTGTAAAAAAAAAGGAAAAAATGTTAAGCAGATTATCTATTTAAATAAACTATCTTCTTAATATCTCAGAGATCAATTATTAATCTAAACCATAGTTCTACAATTTAATCAATAGTAAGAAAATATTTTATTGAGATTTATTTTGATCATACCTCCCTCCAAATCAGTTTTGAGCTTATATTATGTACACAATTGTCCTACTTTTCTGTCTTTTCAATGTTTATATTGTTGACAATTTTTAAATAAAAAAATAGACAAAGCCATTGTAGAGTGTAAAACAAACTTTCTCTGATTATTGTTTTTATAATTTAAGCCAGAGAAACATTCATTTTCATGATAAGTATAGCTCAACACTGGCCAAATTGGCACTTAGTATTCTTTTCCTGTTGGAAGTCATTATATTCACTAATAAATCACTAAATTGATACACAAAGATTAAAATTTCAGATCTCTGTGAATGCACTTTTTGCATTATCAGAAATATTGAAAATTGCTTAATTGTTATTGACAATTACCAAATAATTACAATATAAGTATGAACCCTTTTAATGGATACCACCTATATACCTATTATAGAATAGATTAAGCAGTTGTATAGTATAAAGCATCAAGCATACCTAACAATATAAGAATATACATAACACTTGTGACAAAAGCTCTTCAAATGGAAATATTGGCTATAACACATGTCTAATGATTTACATAATACATACCTTCCAGTATTAGATAGTATTGTCTGTAAAGAACTAGTGAATGATGTAATCAAATGATATTGAAGTACAATAGTTTTTGATAAACTTATATGAAAATCATCACACTTAAAACATGGTTCATCTATATCAGACAGCTGTGTTTGTAATTTGTTTATCAAATTTAAGAAATTCTCCTCACCTGTATCTGAAATTAATATCATTAATATATTTTTTTTGCAATATGAAAGTAAAAAAAAAAACATGTTCTCTAAACAATATTTTATTTGTTTAATACTTTATTGTACACACTAATTTATGCATAAAAATATGGCAGAAGTAATCAAATGTATAAAGGCATGGTTAACTCTAAAAGAGTTCTCTTCCAGTAAACCCAAAGTGGAAAAGAACATCTATGTCTGCAAGCAGAGCAGTGTACAATAAAGTGACTTTCAAACAAAAGAATTAGATAAACTTAAGTTTATACATATTTAATTACATCATATTTAATCACATATATACACACATACATACAAACACATAGAAGATACTCTTTAAGCACTTTTAAAAATATTTAGTGATTGACTCTCATGAATGGACGTGCACACATGTATGAAAACCAAAGAATCCATGTATATAGCATATAGCCGAGTGAAAAGAGATTTGGAGGATAAGAAACTTTGTTGAATAGTAGGAAACACCATGGAGATTTAGAAAATCTAATCATTCATGAAAATAGGATGGAGAAGGGTTATATAGAATGGAATATAAAAATTATATTATATAAAAATCTCCACACCTAATTGATAGCCATTTTAATTTTATTCTATAGATGGAGACATGGTCGTATTTATATAGACCATAAATAAGGAGTATGCACAAATATGCAATCTCTCTAATTTGTTCAAAAGCTTTTAAGTTGCAATTTACTATTTAAAGCTAACATTCATAATAGGTAAACATAAAAATAGAAGACATACACTGAATATAAACAAAACTAGCCCAATTCCCCCTCACATGAGGGAAAGAACGAATTCGTCCCGAGTGTAATTCACAGTTATCAACATATTTCTCAGTAGAAAAAACTGGTATAGCACTTAAATCTGGTAAACGTAATCTGTAAAAAAAAAACCATATTGTTTTTTCTATACAAGGTCAGTTGTGTACCCTCAGATTATGCTGTATAATCTAAAGGTATACCATTTATCGCCAATCGACACAAAATATTACTTTTTATATTTTGGTGGTTTTGTATCACAATCACTTTCTTCGGAATTTGATTCGTATTCACAAAGAGAAGATAAAGCAGACATTTATAAGAAAAAGTTAATAAAAACAAAATTCAATTCGGATCGCAATAAATAAAACAATTTATTTTAATATATTATGTCACAGATTAAAGAACACAGATTAGAGTGTGTTTATAGAAGCGTACCCGACTTTACTAATTCGACTACTAATTATTCGACTGAGGAAATCACTCGAAATTATTCAAATAATTTTTAAATAATTTCGGTATCATTGACACGATTGATGCAGACTAGAATGGGGATTTCGTAGGTAGTAGATACAGGGTAAGAACTTTGTTGTAATTAGTTACTAATTAATAAAATCAATTGAATACACAAAAGTTAGTATATTACTAATTTAGTTTAAAATTAATAATTACTAATTCATCGAATAACATTATCATTCGGATTTGCGCATTAGTAATTTAAAGCTATGAACAATATAGTGTAAAGTTACATTACATTAAGGATAACAGTCCATGTAGTGTCGCCAGACAAATGTACTATGTACTAGACTTCACCAAAAATTGAACCACAAATACTCTAAAGTCGCCCAAACTTTTTATTGCAATATAGCTTTAAATCGCCTAAAGACTTTCCACCTCACCTCGACCTTCTCGTAAAGTGCCTGTAAATAAAATCAATCAAGTATGAGTTAAACTTACTCGCTGAGATTCGTATATAAGTTATTTTGTCTCACTACCTTACTGTATTTCTTATATGAAATATGCACTTGATAGATATTATTATTGCTATTGTAAAATCATAAAAATCTTAAAAAACAATTTCAGTTATATGATTCAGTTTTTTTTAGAACCATATAGTATAAAAAAATAATTTTGGCAATTTTTATGTAGCTTTAATAGAATTTTAGTAGAAGGTCATGCTTACCCTAAAATTGTTTAGTACTTACCCCAGGATGTGAGCGAAGGTTCGTAAAGACATGTCTAAGAATACATATACGCCTTTTAAGGGACTAAGCCGAAGTGTGAGCAATGCATATATCTGCGATCCAGTGGTATGATCCACGTCGCCGTCCATCTCTTTGTCACAGTGCTGTATTTCAGCAACTGCTAGTGATATCCAATAAAAATTTTAAATAGTTCCAGATAGTATATTGGTCGACAGTCGACCTTGCAGTGGAATATCACATAAAAGGGTTTTATTTGCTACTACCATAACAGACTGTTATAGTTCTGTTTCAAAATGATATAAAGGAACCCTTATATTGCATGTAAATTTATCCGTCTGTTATAACGCTTTATATTAGTAACTTATAATTTAATTTATATAATAATAATTATTATATATAATTATTAGACTTAGGTCCAACCTCAAAAGGTGTACTCAAAATTTCAAAATAATTCAACTGGGGTTTTACATGAAATTACTTCATTTGTACATTTTAAAATTGACATTTATTTTAGTATCATATAGTTTTTAACTTTTGACCTAGTTTTGCCGTCCAGTCTTTAATGTTCAAAAAAGTATGGCTCTAAAAAAGAAATTACGAATTATAATATCAATAAAAATAACTGTTAGGTGTTTATTTTATATAAGAAAAAAACAAGTGATTTTTTTTTTTATTACTTCATAAATCAATACAATTCAAATTGTTTTGCTTTTTGCGGAATACATTCTTAAATTGTTTACAGGTAAGTTATTGGGCGAAGAGAAGGGGGTAGGGGTATATTTGAGTGATTTTAAGTTATATTACAATGGAAAAAATTTAGTCGACTTTGTTAAGAACCTCTTTGGTTCAATGGCAGGCGATATGCATTCTAGCAGCGCTTGTCAATGTAAAATAAAGAAAAATAATATTTGAATAAATATGACAGATTACCCTTTTGTCTTATATACTATGAACATTGACTAAACTTTCTAACTGACTAATATTAACTAGTGTAGGTAACCAAAATCCTAGTCCTGGTTTTCCTTAACACTGATCCTGATCCCGGCGTTGCTTAATACTGGTGAGTGCTACTACCAATTTCCTATATTAGGTTATGGGCTAATACCAAACTTCAAAATGGATGTGTCGAAATTTCAAATTAATAAACTAGAAGGTGAAAATTGGATACATTGGAAGTATCGCATGTCAGCACTATTAAGGGGAATAGACGGTTTAACGGATGTAATAAATGGATCAATTAAAAAACCGGAAATGCCAGATAGTAGTGCTGGGGATTCAGCAGCTATGGCTAAGTATGAAGAGGACTTACGAAGCTACACTAAGTTGGATAGTATAGCTGTACTTGTAATTACAAATAATATTTCTGATAATATCCTGGATAAAATTCTAAGGTTAACGACCGCAAAGGAAATATGGGATGAATTGCATCGCCTATACGAAGGTGTATGTGAGGACCGCCTGTATGATTTGTGTTTAGAATTTTTCAGATATAAGAAAAATCCTGCTGATGACATAGCTTCACACATCTCGAAGTTGAAAAATCTGTGGTATAAGCTCAAGCAAGAATTAATGAAAGAAGAGGAAGGTAAGGATTTACCTGAAGTTCTATTAATTTGTAAAATCTTGGATACTTTACCTGAAACATATTTTTCATTCAAGTCAAGTTGGCTGTTAATGTCTAAAAAGGATAGGAATATAGAGAATATCACAAGTCAGCTGTGTGCGCATGAAAAGGCACTCGGTAACAATGTAGACGGTGAATCTAGTTGTGAGGCCTTTGCTGTCAAAGGAGTCAAGAAGAAACCTAGTAAGTGTGAAGACAAAGGTAGTAATAACAAGGACAGTAGCAAAAAGTTTAAACGCTTTGGTTGCAAAGAGGTTGGTCACCTTAAGAAAGACTGTCCTAAGAAAGTAGTTTCTCGAAAAGATTGCAGTAGTAAGGGAATTAACATGATGTTACTGACTGTGAATTCGGCTGAAAGTAGTATTGTAGATCGTGACCATTGGAATGTGGATAATGGGGCTAGGAATCATGTTACAATGCGGAATGATATCTTTCAAGATTTCGAATACTTCAGTGAAGGTCATACTGTAACTACGGCAGACAAAAATGTGATCAAGGCAGTAGGCAAAGGATCAGTTTGTATTGAGGCCGATGTTAATGGACATACTGTGAGATCGACTTTGAGAGATGTTTGGTATGTTCCTCAGATAAGTAGAAATCTGTTTTCTGTATTATCGACGCAAGATAGGAATCCAGGTAGCGTGTTTGAATCACGGGTCACTACTTGTACTATGAAAATAGGAGGAATGATTACTGTGACAGGAAATAGGGAGAGGTATGGAGGATTATATAAGCTGAATTGTAGAGTCGTACGCCTATTAATATGTCAGTAAATTTGGTACAGAAAGTTGATATATTGCAACTTTATCACGAACGTTTTGGTCATCAAAATAAAAGACATATAAGAAGTCTGATAGATAGAGAGTTGGGAATAAAAACAAAAGATAGTGAAGAATTATGCGAAGGTTGTATCTTTGGAAAATCTCACAGACAAAAGTTTGGTGTACGAGATAAAGCTACGAAACCTGGAGAACGCATACATTCGGATGTTTGTGGGCCCTTTCCATCTAGTTATTCCAAATTACGATATTTTGTACTTTTCAAAGACGAATATACACGTCATCGTTTTGTGTATTTTCTTCGGAATAAGTCGGAAGTACACGAGAAATTGAAACAGTTTCTAGTTGAAGCTAAAGTAGCTGGTCATGTTGTTAAGGAACTATTGAGTGACAATGGTGGTGAATTCGACAATGCACAAGTACGGAAAATATTGGTGGGAAATGGAATAAAGCAAAGACTGACGATGCCGTATACACCGGAACAAAACGGAAATAGTGAAAGAGATAACAGAACGATCGTGGAATGTGCTAGAGCTATGATGCATGCACATGAAAGGTTACCTGAAACTTTGTGGGCTGAATTGGTGAATACTGCTGTATATATTTTGAACAGGACAGGGCCAACGTCAGTGGAACACAAGTCACCCTCAGAACTTTGGACTGGTATAAAGCCAAGGATTAAACACATGAGGATTATTGGGTCATCATGTTATGCTCACGTGCCTAAACAGACTCGGAAAAAATTACATAAGAAAGCTATGAAATGTATTCTAATAGGGTATGATAATGATGATGGATATCGTCTCTGGAATGGTTCTACTGGTTTAGTAAGGTCAAGAGATGTGACATTTGATGATATGTCTCTGCTTAGAGGTGAATCACTGAAGGTGTCTGAACCCATGCAAGCAGAATTTCCTAGCAATGTAATTGAGTTGCAACCTTTGGCATTACAAAAGATAACTCAACAGAGGAATGATGAAAAATTGCCTCATGTAGAATCTTCTGATGCTCAGAATATTGTAATTGATAATGATGAAGTTGAAGGTCTTGTAAACAATGATGAGTTTATTGATAGAGAAGACACTTCTGTTATTAATGAAGATATATTTGATGATGCAAGAAGTAATACGCTAGAACAAACTATTGAATGTGGGGGAGTATTAGAAGGAAATGACGAAGCCGAGCTTCACGAAACTATGGATGAACATGAGATTATAGAGGAAAGTAGTCGTATTCTTAGAGATAGGTCATCGCTTCGTCTACCACAGAAATTCAATGATTTTGTTCTATATAATATAAATGGAGAGAGCACTGGTAATCAACTGGAACCTAATAGCTACAAGGAAGCTGTGAGAAGTGCTGAAAGTAAACTTTGGAGAAAGGCAATGGATAAGGAAATTAATTCTCTGAAGGAAAATAAAACTTGGGTGTTGGTAGATCTCCCGAAAGGTCGGAAAGTAATACCCTGCAAGTGGTTTTTCAAGGTCAAATTAAATGCTGACGGGAATGTCGACAAATACAAGGCTAGGCTTGTTATTAAGGGATATAGTCAGAAGAAAGGCGTGGACTATTATCAAACATTCAGTCCTGTAGCAAGAATGGCGACCATTAGAAGTGTATTAGCTGTTGCCGCTAGTGAACAGATGCATATGGCGCAATTTGATGTATCCACTGCATTTCTGTATGGCGATCTTGATGAAGAAATCTACATGCGACAGCCGGAAGGTTATGAAGATAACTCTGGTAAAGTTTGTTTACTGAAGAAAAGTCTTTATGGTTTGAAGCAGGCACCTCGGTGCTGGAACAAGCGTATATTAGATTTTTTCAAGGAAATCGGTTTGAAAGTATCTGATGCTGATCCATGCCTTTTCACAAGAAAGGAGTCTAGCGAGAAGCTCATTGTGGCTCTTTATGTGGATGATGGTTTGGTAGCTGCGTCTAATCAGAAACTGATCGAAAATTTCCTAAAAGATTTAATGGGAAAATTTAAAATCACAACGAAGACTGTATCCTACTTTCTCGGTATAGAGATAATAACCAGAGAAGACGGCATAAAAATTCATCAGAAGTGTTATGTGAACAAAGTTCTTCGACGGTTTGGGATGGACAGCTGCAGACCGGTGCATACACCAATTGTTAGAGACATGTCTCAAAACCGGGATAAGGTCGACATGAGTAATATGTTGTTGAATTATAGACATATTGTTGGAGCCTTAGCATATCTCATGGTTGGAACAAGACCTGACATTGCATTTGCTGTTAGTGTCGTCTCAAGAAATTTGGAAAATCCAACTGAAGACGATTGTGTAAAGCTGAAACGGATTCTGCGTTATTTACAACATACGCAAGATATGGGTATTTTGTATCAAAAGGACTATAAAAAGGGCATCATAGAGTGTTATAGTGATGCTGACCATGGAGGAGACGTTGGTACTGGAAGGTCAACTTCTGGAGTACTGTGCATGTTTGCTGTTGGTGCTGTATCTTGGATGAGTCAAAGACAAGCAAGTGTTGCAATTTCAACCACTGAAGCAGAAATAGTTGCAGCCAGTGAAGCAGCTCGAGAATGCATTTGGCTAACTAGGATACTAAGCGAACTTACTGAAATACAGTATCCTCCTGTATTACAAGTGGACAATGAAGCCGCGGTGAGACTAGCGGAAAATCCTGAGTTTCACAAGAGAACAAAACATATTCTCATCAGGCACTTCTTTGTTCGAGAACTTGTGACAAAAGGTGATCTCATGGTTCAGAAAATTAGCAGTGAGTGGCAGCTTGCGGATATTTTTACCAAAGCTTTACCAAAGCCAAGGTTAGAGAAGATTAGTAAGCTGCTAGGATTACACATCGAGAGAAGATGTTAAGAACCTCCTTGGTTCAATGGCAGGCGATATGCATTCTAGCAGCGCTTGTCAATGTAAAATAAAGAAAAATAATATTTGAATAAATATGACAGATTACCCTTTTGTCTTATATACTATGAACATTGACTAAACTTTCTAACTGACTAATATTAACTAGTGTAGGTAACCAAAATCCTAGTCCTGGTTTTCCTTAACACTGATCCTGATCCCGGCGTTGCTTAATACTGGTGAGTGCTACTACCAATTTCCTATATTAGACTTGAGGTTAATTAGGATAAATACAAATTAACTAAATTTGGTTTAGCTAATTTCGATTTATTTTATGTGGCAACACTGATAAGTTGTTAAATTGCTCATTTATTTTAACCTTTTGTTTATTTTTCTTGTTACATGTATATAATTTTATTTAAAAAGTACTTACCTAATTAATGCTACAGTTTATTATTAAAAAATATGGAAGACACTTCAATTGCTTACAGTGACGATAGTGTACATTGTTATTTTTACTCTTCGTTATCAAAAGTGGACGCATCCTATTGGGAAAGATTATGCGAGAACATTAACAAAACAATTGTAATTTTGTCAGAGGATCATATATGGCATAGAGATGAATTTAGAGTGCACATCCCATTACATGATAATAGCCATGGAGGTAAGTAGTTAAATATTAACAAAAATACTTTAATCATCATATGTGATACGTAATAATTAACTTAAAAGTTTTAATTGTGATCTACCAGGGGAGGAAAGGGATTGTTAGTAATGCGAATCAATCCCATTGCTGTTATGTTGTGCATATACCCTGTTAAGTCAATCTCCATGTGGTTCCCCCTGGAAACCATCGCTCTGGATTCCAGATATATTTATTTATATAAACTAGCAACCACTGCCAACAAACTAAAAAGCTTTCAGAGGCTAGCTTGTTCTTCAGTCAGCGGCTGCATGAAAGCCACTCCTACAACAGCCATAGAGGTGGCTTTCAATATGACACCCTTAGATTTACACAGCAGGATGTGGTGATCAAAGCAATCTATGCATCTTTTATCAAATTTATCATGGGGAGTACTCAGAGAAATTATTCGGATTGATACTGGCTGCTGATTTTCACCACCGTATAAACCGCCATAAACTAAAGTTTCATCCTGACCATCTGAATGAGTGGCAGTCTTCCACTGTGCATTTTTCAAGGCACTTCCATGCACAACCATGCTTTGGAATCAATTTCCAGCAGCAATATTTCTGAACCGATACGAAAAGAACCTTTAAGAAAAGAGCATATTCCTTTTTAAAAGGCCGGCAGCACACCTGCAATTCCTCTGGTATTGTGAGTGATTATGGGCAGCGGTAGTAACTTACCATCAGGTGAGCCGCATGCTCGTTTGCCCCCTGCGTTGTAAAAAAAAAACAATCTTAAAACAAAATATGAAACTGTGGCCCCTCAATGTTTAAAAATCCTCGGAACGGTGAGGTCGCTCTGTGAGGCCTGTGAAGATCCCAGGAAGCTTTTGTGCTTCTGGGCAGAACTGGGCTAGCTGTACTAACCACGACTTATACGCACAATGGTCCAAATGAAAGGCTAAGCGTGAAAAAGAGTCCAATTTACATTACTTTCTAGATGTACTTATCACTATGGGCTAGCTGATCTGCCTTTTCATTCTTACCTATAATATCTCGCTGTTACCCCGTCAGCATATATCATTAGCGCAGGCAACTTATTATTACATTATCATCCATTAAAAAAAATGTGACCTTCCCAAACTTTCTTTTTGATATTTTTGTTAATTATGAATGTGTTTTAGGTATTCCTTTCCATCTTGAAAGTTCAACTTGCTTCGGAGACAATATTGAAGATGAGTGGTTTATAGTTTATATTGTGTTGGAAATAACAAAACAGTTTAAAGATTTGATTGTTCAAATTAAGGATAATGATGGTGAATTTTTGCTCATAGAAGCTGCAGACCATTTACAATCTTGGGCAAATCCCAATACTACGGAAAATAGGGTAGGTATTTTTTAAGGTTTCCTACAAAATGTTACCTATTTCTTATCCATTTATTTGTATGTTATTTTATATCAATTTTAATATCTTTAAAAGCCTTTTAAATCCTATCTTCAAGGCCAATGTGGGGTAATCTGTCAGTGGGGTAACTTTATTTATGATAATTCAGTTAATAAAACACTACTGTAAATTTCTTCAAACTTAATGTCACAAATGGTGCAATGCACTGTTTGAAAGAAATAAATGGATGTGTCAGTCTTTTCAGTAGAACTTAATGAAAATGTAACAAAGTTTCGATGAGATTATTACAGAAGCATTCTCTAAATTAAATTAGAAATAAATTAAAATATTCCATTAATTAATATTTTTTTAGTTGTACCACTATAGCACATCAGTAGAGTGTGTTATGATGAGACTAATGTTTGTTTGATTGCATTTTTTTAAGTTTTATTAAAAACTTTATATTTTATATTATATATATATATATATATATATATATATATATATATATATATATATATATATATATATATATATATATATATATATATATATATTTAATTTTATTTTGTTCAAGGTTTATATTTACAGAAGTCAAATCCACTTGATACCTGATACAATAATAGACTTGTCTACTAAGGTAAATGTATCAGATGCAATAAAAATCATCACTAATGAGACTGAACAAACTAGAGTTTCTTCTGAAATACATCAATCAATTTTAAATCGTATTAGCGAGTATCCTCAAAAAATTAAAGAAAATCTACATAGAACAGTGGTAACTTTGCCTCTTGATATTGCTGCTCTGTTAATTTTAAAACCCTCTCTCATATCAGCAATTGTTAATGCATATTGCTCACATGATATGATTGATGTACAAGTATGTAAAAATATACAATTTGATAATTGTGTAACTACAGAGATAACTTTTACAAAATGTTTATATGCAATGTTAATACATTCTAAATTGATAAACATAACAAAATGTATAAAAATAATTAATAATGATAAAAGGTCTTTAATAGGATTGAAATTAGCATGTGGATATGAAATACTTACAAGAAATGTTTCAAATGATATTTTTTCCTCAAAAGGTTATTTGAATTTTTTAAATAATTTAAAGAGAAATGGCTATTTTAAAAATAATATAGAAGGATCAAAAATGTATACAGATTTATTAGACAAGGCTAAAAATTATTATAAATGCATGGAATGTCCAATAAATACATATTTGTCGAGCCAAATATTACAGATAATGTCTACTACAAATTTTTTAAAAATAAAAGAAACGTTAAAACAATTTAATAAAGAAGATTATACTGAAGACAATGAAGATTGGTTAAATATTAATCCAGAACAACTTAATGATCTGTTAAATTCACGTTATGGTAAACAAACTAAATTGAACAGTGGTGATATGATTTCATCTCAGACAATAACAACTAAATTAAAAGACTTTCTTAAACAGACATCAGATTTTGAAGGAGTCGAGCCTACCATAGACATAGATGAGAACAAACAAGTAATTGATTTTGATCCAGATGATTTTGTTAACTCTATAGAAAAAATGTTAAATATTATTTCTAGAGATAAAGATAACAGTGACGAAAATACTGACTTTAGTGATGATTCTGATGAAAGTCTACCAAATGAACTAGTAGAAAAAAAGAAAGATCTCAAAATGGAGAGAAATAATATAGAAGAGAGAGAAGCAGACAATACTTTTATTAATATCATAAAAAGTATGAAAGAAGAAGAGGGTTCATCTGGACCTTCTAGTAATTTATTAAGAACAGTGGGTATACATAAAATGGATTTATTAGATTCAGATGATGATTTAAATTAAAAGGTACGAGTATTTATGCAAGTAATATTGGAAATAAATATGTATTTGCAAAAACATAAATGCTGTTTTATTATAATTCAAATTGTTAAGGTTATTAAAACAGCTCACTTATTTGAAAGGATTCCATGTTTTGTATGTTTTATATCATTAATTCTTTGTAATTATATACCTACTTACTGTATAAAATATGAAACAGAAAAACGCTTATAGGGCATATATGTATATATATTTATTCAGAAAGTATTGTATGGAACTAGATTAATGACCAAACAAAAAACTAATTGAGAGCTATACGGAACAGAAATTTGATGTTAAAATTACATAATTCATATTGTTTAAAAATGTTAAAATATCGTTACTTTGGATTTTTATTGTAGTAATTATGACAAATAAAACGTTAAGCTCCATTTACTGGACCAATTTCGGTATAAACAAAAACTCGAAATTGTTTCCGCAAATTCGAAATTGTATTTCATGTTAGATTCCCTGGTTTTAAACAAGCGAAATCTTTAAAGAATAATATGAATCAAATTTGTAATAGAAAGTCTATTAAAATAATTATGATGCTCCATAAAACAGTAACTTCACGAAATAGTCAAAATAACTAAGTTAAAAGATAGGTTTAGAGAAATTTACCTGAAAGTACTTTACTGTACAAAATTCGTTGATTGGGTAACTTTGCTCCATCCATATTTCTGTCTTAACAAGTTGTTTGTACGCTGGTGCTATTGGTTTACGCTGGCGAGGCACCAGTGGAAATGATAGATAAGAATGAAGCAGGTTAGTTGGCGCATCCTGATGGTTTCTACGTGGAGGTCGACCTATAAAAGTATATTGCTAGTAATGGGCCTGTCAGATCAAATTACTGACGAACTCATTTCAATCATCATCACACATCTGTATTTAAAAATTGTGAAAAGTACTCGTTCGCCCGATCCTATTGCTCATGGTCTTTAATAAATAGGTACGTAGGTAAAGTATACCTATTCACATTATCGTAATGGTCCAGCTCCGCTCCAATAATGATCAATCTTCAAGAATTTTTTTGTGTAATATTGAACCTGCTAGTAAGATTGATAAATGCTCATTCTTTTATTCAGATCTGACTGAACCGAGATGAATGCATTGTATAATGTTTTACACATTACACAACAATAATAATTATATATTACGTAATGATTATTTCATTATAATACTAGCTGACTCGGCAAACGTTGTTTTACCATATACATTATTTTTAGAAATATACATGAAAATTTATCCTACTACAATTATTATATTGGATTGCCATCTTGCACCATATAAAAATCGCGATTAAAAAACAGGAGTTGATCGTAAAACGGTGAAAATTTGAGGTTGTATGTATTTTTCAATGTTAAATCATAATAAAATAAAAATAGAAAAATTTGTCTAAAAGTAAAAAAAATTTTTTTGGGGTCAGTCACCCTTATCATTGAGGGGTATGAAAAATAGATGTTGGCCGATTCTCAGACCTACCCAATATGCACACAAAATTTCATAAAAATCGGTAAAGCCGTTTCGGAAAAGTTTGGTAACAAACACCGTGACACGAAGAATTTTATATATTTTTTTTTATACCACAGGTGGCAAACAGTCATACGGCCCACCTGATGGTAAGTGATTACCGTAGCCTATGAACACCTGCAATACCAGAGGTATTATGCGTGCGTTGCCAACCTTGAAGAAACCTCTTTATATATAAGATTACAATATATATTTATTACAAGTTCAAAATTAGTAGGTACGTAAGTATGTTTAGATACCGTAAAATTTGGATGTATTTACCTACCTTTTGGTAGAGCACCAGTGAGTGATGATAGATGAGGATGCAGCAGGTTAGTTAGCCATTGTGACAAATTCAATAAGAATTATTCAAAATAGTTTCCAGGGGGAACCACGTGGAGGTCGACCTTATTTTTATGAATAAGGTCGTGCGAGTTTACTGAAGGGAGACTGTACAAAAATATTCTGTTGTGTACTTCTGTCCCATTCGTGTTTCTACAAGAAGTTGTGTGTACATAACTGTTTCTGTTTAAAGGGTGGGATACGGAAGTGAAAATACAGGTTACAGAGGCAAAAAACCTCTGTTCTCAGGAATGACAATACATCAGGGGGAGGGATTGTTAATAATGCGGACTACTAGTCCTATTGCTAGCAATATACTTTGTCAAGTCGACTTCCACGTGGCCCCCCTGGAAACCATCGTGTTGAATTCCAGGTGTATTCATGACGATGGGCTAATTATGCTGCCTGGGGGGAAAGACATTGTTAGTAATGGAGACTAAGAATCCCATTGCAAGTAATATACTCAATCAGGTCGACCTCCACGCGGTTACCCTTGGAAAATATTATGGTTAATTCCTGATGGATTCATCATGATTGGCTAACTGGTCTGTTTTCATTCTCATCGATGACCCTTCACTGGTGCCCCGCCAGCGTATCTCGCTAGCGCAGGCGGGGTTACCATTCCATTTTCACACATAAAAAAAAAAACTGCTGCCTTTTCATTCTCATCTATCATCTCTCACTGGTGCCACGCCAGCGTATCATCCATTAAATAAAAATGCCAGTCTGGGTCCGCTCTCGTTTTGGTCTCGGTGTTTATCTTCTCTAATTCAGTTTAGTGAAATGCACAGAGGCAAGTATTTAAAATAAGGAAAAATTTTGTTTTTTTTTCTGTAGAAGAATTCTATTATAATAGAAATAAAAAAAAAAAGTTACTAACTTCACCTAAAGATTAGGAAAAAAAAGAAAATGTAGGATGTAATGAAAAAATACTAAATTTTGTTCAATTACAACTCATATTAAAATAACTGTATTCATAAAAAAAAAAACTTATTACTGTAACTATTTATTATATTTTTTTATGAAACTACATGTAATAGGGACTATAAATAACTCATAAAATTTTAATATTAGCTTTATGCTCAGACTTTCATCTGCTTTGATGCTCCAAACAAGTATTTTACACTCACGGGATATTATTCTGCTCTATACCTATTTATTAGGCAAACATAAAAAATTACTGTATCTGCTCTACAAAGACGTAACTTTGGATATAGATTTTTTACAAATACTGCAACATTCTTTTTAAATCCCTCATCAAAATTAGCATTTACTATAGTAGTAATGCTGTGACAGTGCTACAAAACATTAATATAACAATATTCTCAACAGATAACAACCTTCCGAGCCCTGAAGTAGATTAAAAAAAAAATTACGATTTAAAACTGCTCATAAACAGTCTGTTTGAATAAAGATAATTTGAATTTGAAATCAGTGATGGCTATAAAAACATATTTGGATATTTGGTGGTGATATTCGACTATTTTGCAAAATATATAATTTGGTTATAAAATAAGACAGCATGGAATCAGAGAATATTATATTTTCAAAATAACTTAAGAATTATTATTTAAACCACTTTGGAACTTTACTGTGTTTTGATGTTGATGGCTGATCTCTTAATGACTTCAAAGAGCTATCTGAGGAATCTTCCAATTTTCTTCTGCATGGAGCTCTGTAAATGTTTTTTTTTAAATTAGTGCATTTTTTTATTAAAATCAAATGTATTTTATAATATAATATTTATTCATAATAATTAAAACCTATAAACCTATTTCCATTTTATTCCGTATGTTCCCAACATAGAATGGGCCACCCCTCCCTTTCCCGTGTGTCGTAAGAGGCGACTTAATGGTCGAAGGATGGGAAGCAGCGTCGCTCTTAAAATGTTACCAAAACTTAACTGCGGTTCCCAACTAGCCTGCTAAATTTGGCAACTAGTGGCGATATTCTCTGTCAAGTAGACGGTTCCTTCTGAACTAATTACATATTTAAAATTAAGTACAACATGTATGTATATACATACCTATATTTAGACGCCAAAATGCCGGCTGCATCACTTGTAGTCTTTTTTAAATATACTTCTGCTTTAAGATATGGTTCTCCATTATTGTCATCCGACCACTTAAAATGCATATGAACACAGGGCACAAATTTTGCATTAAATAAGGTTGTTGTCGGATCTAAAACTTCCTTTAGAGGAGTCGTAACTGAAAAGAATTGGAATTGTAATCTATATATAATATAAATCGTCAACGAAAAACTTATTATTATTTACAAAATACTTACAAATATGAAATGGTTTGTCAGGAGTTTGTAGATAAGTTTTAACGAAATTTATTACATCTTCTATTGTATCGTTTGGTGAAAAAATACCTTGAAGTATCATACGATCTGGAAACTGCACTCTCACCACTGCATTTTTATACATAAGTAGTTTTTGTTGTGATGTCTGAATCAGAAAAAAAAATACATTTTAAGTATATATTTCGAAGTATACTGCGATTTGTGCATTAACATTTGTTATCTATGTTATCTGATACCATAATAAAAAATATTAATAACCGAAATCGCTGAAAATTTTGATTCCTTAATTTTTTCCACTAGTGTATTAAAACTTAATAATGGTTGATAATAAAATAAAACCTGTTTAATATTTTCTTCTCGTTTGTTAGCAGTAATCAGTGGTGTATTTTCTAATTCCAAGCGATGTTGTTGTAAATCATGGTAAAGTTTACGAACTTCTTCAATTGTTAAGTCGTAAAAATCATTGGGTAGGTCTTCTAGTTCATCTTCGGTGTCATCAGGTTGCATGAATGCTATAGCCTTCTGTGTTCCTATCTAAAATTATTTATGAATTAATGACTCACATTATATTTTAAAGTAATCAGCGAGAGATTTATTCAAACTTGGTACATATACTCTTAATGAGGTGCTTAACAAGTAACTACCTGGACGAGTAAACCAACCCCCACCAACCCCTCCATTCCGCGAACTTTTTGACCTCCCCTCGTAACATCTGCATGTATTGTATAAGCATGTTTTACAAACAAATAATCTTGAATCTTGCAAAAAAGGCAAAAAACTGAATACTAAACAACGATTGTGTTAAAATTTCTTAAAAACTTAATGTATAATAAACTTATAAACAGATACATATAATAATGTGTATTTACGATAGACTCTTATTTATAAAAATGTCTAAAAAAATCTGTTTTAGCTTTGAGATATTTTGTGCTTTTCTTTTATGATATTTTCTTAATTTGAAAGAAAGTGATAAAACATTACTACAACACTAATTAAAACAGGTTTGTAAAAAGTTTTATGAATAAGAAGATTAATCATGAAATCAAGAGTAAGGTAAACAACTAAAATAAATACAAGCTAGTATTAAAATGAACATAAAAAATGGCAAGCGTAGTAGATATACATATTCTATTAAAAAAATTTCTACAGTGAGTATCTACATTCAAATCGTTATGCGATAAGAAAGCTATAAGGTCAACTGTTTCGAACACTCGAGTTTTGGTTCGCTACTGAAGACGTTTCCTTACAAACACAAACAGAGCACGATGTCTATATATGATCACAAACATTGAAGTAAAAAGTTGAAGGATCGTGTTATGTTAACGCAGACAATCTATACACGATTACATGGCCTGTTTGCTTCACAAACAATAGGTACGTAGGCTATGACAGCTGATAAAAAATCCAATTTAAATTAAGTTCATTAGCAACAATATGACTCAATTCCACTAATTTTTAAAGCAACCCCTATAATTTAATGTTTTTTGACGGAATATAATAATACTTGAATAAATAAAATGTAATTAAAATCGAAAGAAACTAATGTATCCAAATGCCGTGAAGTTATTTTCATAAGGATTTATAATTTTGAAATTATGGAACAAAAGTAGATTCAAATAAGATTTCACAGAGCAAATTAATACTGATTCCCTAAACCACTTACATGTGTCTACAACAGGTGCTGCCCATATTAGGTAACTATATTAACTTCAATATTTAATGGCAACTTACAAATGTGACTTCTTCTTCAATTTTTAAACATCTCTCTAAATTCTCTTGAGTAATTAATGATGTATTGGATGTTCCAGTAATATTTTCATCATTGTTTTTATGATCAATATCCATTTTAGTTTCTTCAATTGCAGGTTTCGTGTTAATTGATTCTTCATATTGCACTTCTTCAGTACTTTTCTCTTTTTCTAGTACAGCTTCCTTTTTAACAATCTTAATGTGTTCAATTGGATCAAATTTTGTATAATCTACATTTTTTCGGATATCAGAAGGTCCAGGCTCTGATGAGTCATCATTAAACTGATGTAAGTTTGTTGTACGCGCTTCTATATTCTGTTCTTTAATATCAGGTTTTTCGGATAGTGGTCTTCTATAAACGGCAGACACATTTGCTTGCCTACAAAACACAAAAATAGTTATTATTGTTATAAAAAAAAAAAAATTGTCTTACAATCCCTTAGCTAAATATTTAATAACTTTTACTTAATTGCTTTTTATATTACAGCAAAGACCCCAGATAAATGGGAAAAGATAAGGCGATTATGATGATGATTTAACTACTTTTGCAATACTCAGATATCAAATTTCTTTGTTTGATAAAACATATTCTGATTTTTATTGAAGACTATTAATATTAAGCCTTCAATAAAATTCAGAGTTACCTAGGTCCCTAATGGTAAATACATATAAAAACATACGTATGATATTTTTAAAAGAACATATAATAACCCTTGAACATAGGGTGGCCGTATGTATCATGAATGTATCATGGCACGTCGAGGCACCCATGGGGATTTACAAACGTATATATAGGTAGTTGTGTTAAACGCGTCAGAAGAGGAAATACGAACGAATGTGTAATTAATCATAACCATTAGTGACAAAAATATAGTTTCACAATATTATTCCTAAATTGTATAACATATTCGCAAACTTGTTTTTGATATTCTTACTAGTTTATTAAATTGATATAATCTACCTACAACGAATTAGGAATAATTCCCTTGAACGCTATAAGCATCGCTCTGACGTTCTATTTTATCGTTCTTTTTACGACCATACATATCAGCGTCATGTAAAATCAGCAATAAATCCATGAACATGTCTAAAATTACAAAACTAATGACCAACCGTTGCATCTATATGTCAATCAACGTTATAAGTGCAAAAATTGAAAACATCGCTAAATTTTAAAATTGCGTGAATAGGTATGCAATAAGTTGGACATACAAATTTGTGTTTATCTACTTTTGGTGGCGACTGTACTTGAATATGTGCCATGAATAAACTCTTAAAAAATATTACACATTTGAAAGCCCATGAATTTACTTTTTATTTGCTCAAGTTTATTTGAGGATGGGCACTGATGTACGTGATTCAAATTATGTGGATATAAAATATTATTTATTTATTATAGTCTATATTATATTAATTGATACGTCAAGACGGCGAATTCCGTTCTAAAGTCATGTAATCATTTGGACATGTTAAAAGTATTGGATTACTATGATATTATTTACAATATCCTTACTTGAATACTCAAAGCTTACTCGTATGTATAGTACCTACAAACCAACTTTAACAAGTATATTCAAATAAATATCAAATAACCAAAAATAAATTTATTTACCTGCCTTCTTCAGATTTGTTTAGCAGTCTTAAAACGGCTCGACCACTTATTAATCCAAGTTGTCTTAATGTTTTATTCCTGAGAGCTGTCTCTCCCACCACTTCTTGGCGCATATATAAAATTGTTGGATGGGGTAATGAGCTATATTCAGATGGTGCAAGCGATGTCACTAAATCATACAGGGATGTATTAGGTGGAAAATCTGCTGTTCTCCTTTCACCTAAAAGTAGTAAATTAATTAATGACATATTATTATTCTAATTGATTACAATTAGATATTAACAAATAAGTGCCACACATTGCCTGGTCCTCAAGCTAAGAAATTCTGAATTATGTGAAACCAGGCAAAAATCATTTGGTGCATACATCACAGCATCCAGACTCAAGCCAATTTAGAAAAGTTTGTTTCCTAAAGTAGTTCGACTAGGAATCGAACCCTGGACCTTGTTTACGCAAAGCAATAATACATCTTAATTCAAAGTAATATTATAAAGAAAGATTACATGCTTTTTTGGTTTGTAATACATACACTTAAAAACCAACTTAAACAATTTTAAAAATAGAAAGATCAAAATAAAAAAAAAAAACTTTCGAGGTGCTGGGGAAATTTTCTTCCAATAGCTTATTTATTCATTATAATTGAGAAGAATGTTGATAAGATCTTGTATTATTATATAGAAAACAAATATATTATCATTAACTGTATCATTTTAAAATTTTGACTATTTTATGCTCTTTTTTCACCTAATTAACCTTACCTTCTCCTTAAGAACAGATAAGATTTAGTGTCATTTTAAAAGTCAGTAATGTAAAGGAGTAATTACCTTCTTCCAACAATAAACCAACTGTAACATTTGACTCTAATCTTCTCCTTTCTGTTTCAACCATTTCCAAAGTAGCCTTATTGGGTAAATTGGAAAATCTTATAGTAGTTGTCAAATCAAGGATATGATTATGATGTTTTAAATCATAATCTGTTGGTTGAAAGCCTTGCTTCATACATGCATCTTCTAAAACCTTAAAATAGTCAAACATATATAAAGAATGGAAACAGTAGGCAATCTCACTTTGTTATTCCTAAACTATATAAAACACTAAACTTTTATTTGCAACTTTATTCATATGACCGGGATATGTTGATTGACCAAGATAAATAGCAGCCTATGTCCTTCTCTATCTCAGACATTATGTATTATATGTTATGATGATTGTTTGTGTTATTGAGGTGTCAAGAAATAACAAACAAACTTACCTTGAAATTTATAATAACAGTAATGACTGAAAAAAATTATATTGGTATCATCTTAAATCAGTTACTTGGAATATATGTTGACATCGAATGTTGGCATAAGCAATGGATTAAGGGGAAATGGAGTGCTCCTCTAGCTCCCCCACAAAAGGAAAGCAAAGAAAAGATCTCTGATATTTTTTTTTTAATACAACTTAGAATAGCATAACAGAGTATACTATTTCGCCCATGATACCCCCCCATGTGTGCCATTCCTGAGGACTCAGGTATTATTCCTCTGTACCCTGTAAATTCACGCCATATCCCACCCTTCAAACCTAAACACAACTATGCAAACACAACTGCTTCACGGTAGAAACATGAAAGGGACAGAGGTACCCAAGCAATCAACTTTTGTACAAAGTCTCCCTCTGTCCTTGTCCTACAAGAGAATATATGACTTGATAATTTACAAACCTTTTGAAAATGTAAAAACATTTTTAAATTTAGAGAGAATGGAAGATTAGAAGAGGTAGAATACTTCACTTATATAGGGTTCACTTATGTAATTTTAATATTGACCTTTCGAATTAAGTGATATTCATAATACTCAGGCTGTAGGATGAGATTGTCAAGGTTTTCATTAGACTATAGTATAGGTTTTTTTGAGTTGATAATGCACATGTGCCAGGTATATATAATGTTGAAGGTATCCATAGGCTACATTGATTGTTCACCATCCTACAGGATGCAAGCTTATTTGACATTTTTATGATATAAAAAAAATCAACTTCACCTTTTTTGTGCATGTTGATTTCTAAAAAAAGGAAGTACTTACATAGAGGAAAAATTGTTATAAAAAGTCAAACTTACTTGCAAAATTATAGTGTCAGGTGTGCAGTGAACTATTTGTCTTCTACCATTTGGGGTAAGAACTATTATATCTTTTGCCATAATTGAATAACAAGATTACAGATTTTCTTATATACAGTTTACCTTAAATAAAATTTTATTTGAACAATAGACCTTAAAGGCTCAAGTACAAAATTTAAGAGAAATGGATATGTCTATAGGTTTTATGTTGGTGGTTTTTTCTTTAATGGGTAATAATGAAATGGCAACCCCACTCTTGCTATCAGTATATGCTGGCAGGGCACCAGAGAGGGATGATAGGTGACAATGAAAGCAGGTCCGTAAGCCCATCATGACAAATTCCATCAGACTAAAAGTCATTGGAATAATTATGATAGTTTACAGGAGAAACCGCATGGATGTCGACCTGATAGGGTGTATTGTCAGTAATAGGGAAATTAGACCCCATTACTAACAATCCCTTTCCCCCTTTAAAGGTGTTTTTTTTTTATGGATGATAATGGAATGGTTAACCCACCTGCGCTATTAGTATACACTAGCGGGGCACCAGTGACAGATGATTGGTGAGGATGGAAAGGCAGGTCAGTTAGCTCATTGTGACGAATTCAATGATAAATTAGTTACGATGGTTTCCAGGGGGAACCGCGTGGAGGTCGACCTGATAAGGTATATTGATAGCGATGGGGACTAACCTCCCCACTACTAACAATCCCTTCCCCCCATTAAAGGGTAGTTATGGAATGGTAACCCCATCTGCTCTATCAGTATATGTTAGCAGGACACTTGTGAAGGATGAAATGATGAGGTTGAAGGCAGGTCAGTTGGCCCATCATGGCAAATTCACTAAAAATTAACCTGAGTGGTTTCCTGTGAAAACACAACACAATTGGCTGTAGTAGGGTACTAGTAGACTGTGTATATGTCATGTAGACTAACTAACTTCATCCTAACCTATCATGCATCGTTGCTGTCTCACCAGCAATTATCTATAGTGAATTTTCTATTCCATTTTCATCACAAAAAAATTATATGTCAGGTCGACCTTCTCCAGAGTTTCTATTTTCTTTGGAAACTATAGTAGTCATTTCCCGGTGAATTCGTTAAGATGAGCCAACTAACTTTAATACATCCTCACTTATTAACACTCCACTTATGCCCCGCCAGCGTATACTACCGACAAAATAGGTTATTATTCCATTCCACTTTTATTCTAATAAAAAAAATACATGGAGTTGATATTGCTACAAACTGAAAAAATTTTAGGTGCAGCAACCGCCCCTAGGGGTAACTACTAACTTAATATAATTCGTTTTCACCTTTAAAACTGGGTATATTTTAGAAAAAACTAAACATCTACAATAAATTAAAATAAAGCATAAATAAAAATGTCATTTTTAATTTTTGACAATCACGACTCAGATTATAAAAACAATGATCACTAAACCACAGAGTAGCGGTCCGCGAGTTTACTAATTCGACAACTAATAATGACATTAGTACAAAAAAAAAATTAGTAATCAGTAGTTTTTACTAAAATGGTATAGTATATACTAGTAGTAGTAATGGATACAGACTGTGCATTCAACAGTCTGTAGTAAACAGATTTAGATAAAGGACTTTGTTGTAAGCAGTAAAATCATTCAAATACGGAAATTAGTATATTACTAATTTAGTATCCGAATTCTTGAATTAATAAATGCTAATTATTAGAATAACAAAGTCATACGAATTCGCGCATCGCTACCTCATTGCACCACTTTGCCTATAAACTAAAATATTAATCATATAATAATACATTGTATATAAATTTTTCAGTGACAATTAGTGACTTACTATATAATTAACGTTTTAATTTATTTGCGAGCACTTTTTATTTGAGAAGTTGGCAAATTTCGTCGAAATAAAGTTGATTGTTTTTAAAAAATATAACAAATTAATGAATCACCACTGACATAATACTTCATTATTATGTCTGTGCTTTTAGACATAGTCTCTTTAATCTGTGGTAAAAGTACTAGTGTTGTATGTTCTCTTCGTGTTTTTTACTCTGTACACTCATTTAATGTTTACCTATTAACTGTCATATCTTTAGATGACAGCTTTGGTACTAAAAAAAAAAAATAGTCTTCAATTCTCATTGTAATCTTTTTATTATTTATAAACTGTTTTTATATTACATTGTTATACAATAATTTATTTACTCAATGTTTGTTTTAAATTAAGACTATCAATTAACAATATTTTTTTTATAAACTAGTATTCAAATAGACATTCGTAAAGAATGATGGCATCTAAAAATGTTTATGTGGAGGAAATAATATAATTTATTTACTTGTACAGTCAATATATTTAATTAAACATGGATAAACTTACTGTAATATCCGGAACACTTTTCATGGCAGCTGATGTCTTTGCTATAGTTAGCCTTGCTATGCCTGATTGGATTATTACGGATGTAGGAGGTAAAACTTTTGATAATACTTATATATAGTTGCAGGCATATTATTTTCTGTTTTTTTCCAATTTGTAATAAGTTGTAAATAATGAAGTTAATTGTTAATAATGTCTTAAACTAGTATCTTTTAAGCTTAGCCATAATCTTAAAATTTTTATATGTATTAAGAATTATAAACAAATTTGGCTTGTCATACTGAAGTGTGTCAATGTTGCAATTATTTGTCAATTTTCAAAAACAACAATTTTAATATTTTAACAAATTTTAAAACTTAGGTATTGTGTACTTAAACCAGATTGTGAATGAAAAAAAAAAAACAATTTCAATGTTACTTAAAAAGTTCTTTGCTAATGAACTTAAACCTAAATCATGCAATAATATTGTTAGCAAGCTGTTTATTTTTATTTAAAAAAATAAATAAATAAGCTCGAATCTGATTTGGTCGGAGTATTAACAGAATTAGTTCTGATTTGTTTGAAGTCAAATTAGTTTTAAATGAATATAGTTATTTAGAATTGTGTTATACCTGGATATAATATAAAAAGAATCACAAAATTGCACATTATTCATATAATTGGTCTGGTATATATTTCTTTAAATGCTATATATTATAGAACGAACAGAAATATTTTGTATACAAATGAGTACAAAATGATATCTAATTTAATCTAAATAAAGTTCATAATGTCCAGAAATTGAAATAAAAAACATAACAAATATGTAAATTTTTGCAATTAAAATTCCATATAAGTTCACATCTGTCATGTGCATACATTTCCAAAACACACACACCACACTAGTGTAATTTTTTTTCTTGTCTTGTTTTTGTGACTGCATTACCAGTCTGTTAGTATGTAGTATATTATTCTATGGTGTGAATGACACTAATGACTGAAACCATTAATTTTTTATCATATTATACATATTTTTATTTATTATAGTTCTACTTTTATAGGAGATACACGCCTCGGATTGATGTGGTCATGTATAACATTGTACAATAGACCTCAAGTTTGTTTCACACCAGATCTACAGCCTGAGTGGCTACTAGCACTAATCTGTATCTTCATTGGATGTATATGTATTACTACAACTGTGATACTCTTAGCATCCAGTCACTTTGATAGAAATGTGATCCCATATGCTCGTTGGGTTGGATTTGCAGCAAGTAAGATATATTTTTAAATAAAGTTAATAAATAACAAGTTAGTAAATAAGTAATCATTGAATTAGTAAATAACCTATATATGAAAATATCAGCACTAGAAAATTCTAGAAACTCCTTAATGCACTGCTAATCTTTACTAACATCTTACATTTTCTAATAATACTTAGAATAGCAATTAAAATAACCTACCTGATGCAGAGAGGGATATATTACCTACCTATAAACATTAAAAACACCATGGACATTACAGAATAATGATGGTGGTTATATTGCTTTGTGTAAATGAGGTCCCGAGTTTGATTCTATTATAGTCAATTTAGAAAATGAACTGGGTCATGCCCTACATGCTTACAGAGTATGCTAGCTTGAAGCCATTGACATATTCGACTATTTTATAAGCCTGGCCCTTTAAAGTAAATTTATATGTATGTAGGTTAGTCCCCATTGCTATCAATATACCTTATCAGGTCGACCTCCATGCGGTTCTTCCTGGAAACCATCTTGACTAATTTATAATTAAATCACGATAGGCTAACTGACCTACCTTTTTATCTTCACCAGTCATCCCTCACTGGTGCCCCGCCAGTATATACCGATAACGCAGACGGGGTTACCATACCAATATCACCCATTAAAAAAAATCTCGCTATGTAGTTCTTCCACTACAAAAAGTTGTGAGATGATTTCTCATGTAAAACCACGAAGTCAATTATTTTAGTTAGTGTATATGGAAGCACCTATTTAATAACTTTGTTTTAAATTGTTGTCTAATCAATTACTTATCAACGTTTATAGTGGCTGTATCAATATTACACATCTTTAGTTTATTTTTATGTTATTTATGCAACTTAGAATGGCAAACAAGCTGACGGCCCATTTGATGGAAAGTGGTACCCACGCCTATAGATATGAGCAGTACCATGGACATAACAGTATATTATTTCGTTCATGGTACCTCCCATGCGTTGCCATTCCTGAGGACTCAGGTGTTATTCCTCTGTAGCCTGTAAATTCACAGCCATATCTTACCCTTCAAACTGAAACAGCCATGCAAACAACTGCTTCACGGTAGAAACACGAATGGGACATAGGTGCTTAAGCAAACGACTTTTGTACAAAATCTCTGTCTACTTCTATGGCCCTTGCCAATTGCCAAGTCGTAATTACAACTTAGCAATTGGTAAGGGCCTTGACTTGGCAATTTTATTATTATGGTGCCATGCAATTGCATAAATTACGAGTATATAATTGAAATAAATTTATTTGCGTTTAATTAATTGTAATAGAATACGCAAATCGACTATTTTGTTACTTATACTGTGCACTTAAAAATATTTATAAGTAGAATATGTCGTGTAATAGCCAAGTTATTATAATTATTTTTTAATGGGTAATAATGGAATGGTACCCCGCCTACTCGTGCTATCGGTATACACCGGCGGGGCACCAGTGAAGGATGATAGGTAAGGATGAACCAGGTCAGTTAGCCCATCGTGACGAATTCAACAAGAATTGTTTACGATGGTTTCCAGGGGGAACCTCGTGGAGGTCGACCTAATAGGGCATTCTGATAGCAATGGGGCTGTCAAACTCCATTGCTAACAATCTCATTCCCCCCAGTCATTATAATTATTATAGTAATGAAAATGTCGAATATCGATATGGTCTTCCAAGATACCAACTAAAATAACTGACATGAATTTACATAAGATCTCACAATTTTCGTATGGAAGAACAGCCTTGCGAATCTTGGCACTTTTTACATTTTTTGATGGGTTCCAAATTTTCATAAAGCTATCTCAATCGTGTTTTTTTTTTGTTTTAGTGGTGGTTTTTTGTTTGGCTGCTGTAATATTTCCAATGGGCTTCCATGTAGATGAAATCGGAGGTCAACCATACCAACTCCCAAACAGCCATCAAGTTGGAATCTCGTATATATTATTTGTGCTCTCATTATGGATTACAGTTATTTCTGAATTATTTGCTGGAAAAGTTTGTCTGCCTCATTTCTAGTATTTAATTTAGTGGTAAGAGTAATATAAACTGATATTTTGTCATCGATTAAAAGAATTATTCCCTATTATTGAATTTTATTATTGTGTTTAAATAATGTATGAAATACCTACTATTTGCAATGTATCTATTATGTGTCCCGCCTCGAATTTGCACTTTTTTTTTTATAAAAAACAACCTATGTTAATTTCTGTCTATAGGTGAAACAATTTTTAATGTGTTAATTATGTTTAGGGATCTGTACCAAAAGTTACCAAGGAAGCCATTGGTGCGATGTTATCCGTCTGTCACAGCGCTATATCTCAGCAGTTACAAATGCTATCGATTTGAAATAGTTTTGCATATTGCTGGCCCACACATATTGCAATGGATATAATTAAAAAAAAAAAAAAAAAACCTTTTTTGATAGGGGGCCCAAAGAGGTATTTAAAATTTCAAAATTGACCTACTAGTCCACTAGTACATTTCAAACTGTTTTTTTATTTATTTTTATAGTGTTGTGTTACTTATGATCAAAAATGTTTTTGTAATAATTTCAACAAAATTTGGTTACCTTTTTCATTAAGTTCTAATAAAACAGAGTATAATTATTTTTTCATTATTTAAATTTTCCATATAGACAGTTAACAGGACGTAATATTACGTACTAACATATTGATAGTACCTAGGTAAGTCCACGATGTTAAATGGTGGTTAAATATAATTGAGCGAATCAGATATTGATGGTGTCTGCCGGTTGGTACCGTCAGAGTAGCCGTATGGAAGGGTAGAAAATAGGAAAAAAAATCGAACTTGTCTGATATTCAAAGGGGATGTTAAGTGAATCCAAAAGAAATATCCATTCAAAAGACTGACGATTTGAACGTAATGCAAACTCGTAACCACTTCTTGAAAATACAAAAATAATCGTTCATTTGAGATACAAGAATGTGTCAGATTAATGTAATGTGAGTTCATTACGTGCTGTAAAGTGTGTAATTTAATACTTTGGTGATTTGAGTTTGAAATAAGGGGGTGGGAGGATCACAAATTTACATATAGATTAGCAAAGTAAAATAGGGAAATAATAACTATATGTTATTATATTTCCTTTATATTACATTGCCAATCTGTATATTTTATAATCTAAATACATTCGGAAGTCATCAATGTCGTCATATACTATGATTGCATAATCTGTTTCGCCAAAAACGGGTAAATTTTTTCATGAATAGGGTTACCATAATGCACATTATTACTTTAAAAAATAAAAACGATAAAAATTTTTTGTATGAAAATTTTTAGTAATGCTTATATTTATTACTTTGATTTATATTTTAGTCTATACTTAAAATATGTTTTCGTTTTTAAATCGCTAACAATGTTAATGAAATCTTGAGCTCCTATTCTAGATTATTTGCTTTACGTTAATAATACGACTGTTGAAATTTAAGAAGTTATTATATTTTTAAACTAGCTTATATTCCGCGTGGTATTTATTAATTCCTGTTTAGTATACTTATATCGATGTATGTACTTACCTATTTATTGTTTGGGAATACTGAACTAAATAAATAACTTGTCGTTCTCACCTTGCCTTAGGTCAAAATGACCTTACTCAAGTAGGTTGTGTACTAAGCTGTATAAGTTACTATAGTTTTTTAACTATTCCACGGGAACTCTTTTATTTTCTGTGATTAAAAGTATATAAAATGTTGATCGGGGATGTAAAGTACCACCATGCAAAATTTCATTTAAATCAACAAAATGTTTGAAGAAATCTGGATGTGTTCTATTTCACTTTTAACATCCCCCTGACGGTTCGTTGGTTGATCGGTTTTTGCGTCTTTTATGTGCGTCTATGTACAGTAGTATGTTGTATATTCTTATAAATAAACTTCAGGATTATCTACGCAATTAGGACTCATTAAGATCACAATTCGTTTGCCAGCAAAGTCGACAACCACGCATATTTTTAATATCGAATTAACATTTGTTTTTGATGGGATATTACATGCATTGAAATATATACACTACGAATATACTACGGCTGAAATATAATGTAAAAATACTTGGAAATTCTAGATTTTAGTGGACGTTTACACATAGATTAGAATAATTATATATATATATATATATATATATATATATATATATATATATATATATATATATATATATTAATTTAATCTATCTAATATATATATATATATATATAGATTAGAATAATAAATATGCATATGATAATTATTGCCTTAAAAGATAAAAAGGTTTATTAAAATATCATTCGTACCGTATAGCATGGTTAGACATATAGAAAGAGCCTGTTTTCCACATCTTTTTCTATTCACTTCGCGAATTCTATTAAATCTTGTCTACGGTTTATCAGAAAATATAATACTCAATTCAAATTAAAAAATCTACCTGGATCTGGAAAAGTTTTAATTACTTGTAGTACTAAAAAGCACATTAACAATATCTGTTAAAAAGATATCTGTTAAATTAAAATTATTTAGTACGTAGCACGTTATATTCAGTCCTGTGATATTAAATTTGGTCAATATTTGACCTGCTGGTTTTTGACACTGATGCTCTATCTATATAACCAATGTTATACTTCTACTACTACGAAAAGCTTTAACGTTTTATTTTTCGATTATTTTTGTAGCTATATTTATTAATCAGTCAGAATAAATTTCATATTCATGCACACTAATAGTCAAGGAAGTCTCGAGGAACGGTGGGAACGAAGAACGAGCTAGTAAATAAGATTTATCATTACATCAGCCGTTAATTGTCTACTAGTGAAAATAGGATTTCTCCATAAGAGGGCTTTTGTCAGTAGTTGCCACCTTTGGCAAGCATGTTGGCAACCGAAATTAGGCTTTAGTGATGTTTTAAGAAAAACGTTGCTGCCATTCTTCGACCATTTAATTCCCTTAGTCACCTCTTACGACACCCACGAGAAAGGGGTGGCCTGTTCCATACCGAGATCACACGGCGGAAAATAAAATAAGTTATGCAAAAAACAAATAATGATTTATTAACACTAAATGTGACAATTTGCATGCGCATGTATTATTTATAATAAAATTAAATAAAATTTAAAATTAAAAAATTTACAATACATATTTACAAAAAAAACAAAAAATTGAGGACGAAAGACAACACTTTTAAAATCTTTAACATGTACAAGTCTTCTCGAGTCTTTTTAACAGCACTGCATTTTTTTTAGTTTGTATTCAGACACAAAAATCTCCCGTACTGTGTAGCACTTGTTTCTTCAGACGTAGTAGTAGTTAGTTCATTCTTGGCGAAGACTGCATTCATTCTTCTGCTGTGTAACTTAATGTGTGGTGTGTTAGTTGTTTGCCGCCTCATCCTAGTTAAGCTGATCAAAATAAGGTGAGAATAACATGAGGCAGAGTCGCGACATGTTCAAGCGCCGCGCTCTGCGATTGCGTGACTGCTTACATCACCACGCAACAACACGCTACTATTACAGGACGGCTATCTAACAGAAAATGTTATATACTTGCTACAGCTGGGAGACTGGCCTTGCAATCAATTTGATTCTGATCACAGCCAGTATATGATAGAGGGAACTGATTTAAGAACTCAAATGCCTTAGAACTCGACTCAAATGCCAGCTCCCGAACGATGAAGTCCACGGGAACTGTCTGCCTGTAGCTGTACACATAAGAAAACATTAATACACAATACAACCAGCGACGCTGGTGTACCTGAAATACATATATACAAAGTAAATAATCATAATAATCCCATACAGGGTTGACGTCAGACAGGCGGCCGGTCGTAAAACTATAAACCGAATCATTTAGTAATATGGATAAAACCAGAATACGGCGACCCCAAATAATAATTGGGATAAGGGTAGGAAGATGATGATGAATGTAAATAATTGCACACGGCCCTACTGATTTTAAATTACCATCTGATATATGCAAATGATTTCGTTTTTAAAAATCGGCAACTAATAGCATTATACAATTCTTCATTTTCTGACTTTACTAAGGCTATTCGATGAGAATATTTGGTATAATTGAATAATTATAAACGTCATATTATCAACTTTACTGTACTGCTGGAGTACGTAGTGGTGGTAAAGTGAAGTAAATTTTAACAGGTTCCAGTACATTGTTAAGTTTTTAAAATGAAACTTACATAATAAATTGGAATGAAAATAGATATATTAAATTACTCTTAGGTTGTCTTGAAAAGATCGCTAGTAAAAATATATTTAAAACCTATCCAAATAAACTATATTTTAATTTCATATAGATTCTTATTTAATATTTAGTATGTTATTTTTATAGTTTATATTATTAAATAATTGCTACATAATTTGATAAAATTCTAATAATTCTTACTAATATAATAAAGGTGAAATTTTATTTGTTTGTTACCTTATAGCGCCTTAACAGCTTAACCAATTACTATGAAATTTGGTATACACGTACTATATGAGATAGAGAAAAATGTAGGCTACTTTTGATCTCAGTCAAGCGGATGAAGTTGCGAGTAAAAGCTAGTAATATAATAACATCGAAAGTTTGTAACAATGGACTAATGGATCTTTGTTTTTCTTTCACGTCAGAAGTGGTGAAAGGATTTGAATGAAATTTGGTTTAAGGGTAGTTTATATCCTCTTAACACAGAATACTTTATATAGTAATTCACGCGGGCAAAGCCGCAGGCTACAGCTAGTTATTAATATGGCAGCATTTTAAAATTACACAATGGTTATCATCTTACCTGAAATATTCATGTCTAAGGTTAATCATACCCCAGACATAAATATTTGTAAATTAAAATTAATAAAATTTTTGTGAATATAATAATAAGTTATAACACACAGGTTCATTCTTGAAATGGGTCTAGTAAAAACAACAGTGAGCCAACTCACACTCCTAATTTATCTATAGTAACACCCTTTACCCTTTCATATATCTTTTATACTTCAATTACTTATATAATTCGACTTATGTATATTAACAGGTTACCGATTTTTGGGACAATTCATAACAGAGACAAAAATATATTTTTACTTCTCTCATATATTCATACATTTAAGATCTCTTCAACTACATCTCATCTGAGATTCGATGAAATAAAAATTTCATCCGAACATTTGATTTGAATATTATCTTGCTATAAAGAGTCTGTAAGAGATTGCCCTAGCGATAAGACCGCCTTTTGTACCTTTATGTGTATATTTCAATCTGTATTTATGTTACTGTATTTCACTTGAATTATTCACTTGCCATTGTATATTTTTATTTACGGTGCAATAAAGAGTTAAATAAATAAATAAATAATCTTATAAAACTAAATTAACGTATTGTAAATTTTGACAAAGAAAATAATATTAACATAAAAGATATATTGGCGAATTGAAAATCTCCTTTTTTTGAAATCGAATTGTCACGATTTTTTATTGTCACTAAAATGGTAACATCCGTCCAACAACGCTAACGCCTCCAACTACACTATTGTATATTAGCTATATCCCGCGGCTTTGCCTGTGGTCGTATTGTGATGTTGAATACTCTATACCCTTCTCAAGAAATAAGCTAAATGTAAAAAGAATAAAATTATAGTGTTTTATTTTAGCTAGCTACGAAACTATAAACATACAGACGGGCGGACCTACCTACCTACTGAATATTCCTAACATTTGTTCATATCATGTATAAATTGTCATCAGATTGTATGTGACGATGTCACTTCTACTAGTAGAAGAGAGACAAACACTGTGCAGTCCCTAAATAATGTTTGTCTCTTTTCACTTTTTCGATATGGATATTGTTTTCGACTAACTTAATGGTGTCGAGTTCAGTTTACAGAGGTTGTAAAATGTAATAAGTATTACCTATTACATATTACTATCATTACTTAAATTTAATTGTGTCGTTAAATTGTTAGATTGTGTGCGTCGTCGTCACTTCTATTGATAGGAGCATCGCCCTACAGTACGTACGTATATCCCAGGTCGTCATGGATTTTCAATATTTATATATGACAAAGTAATTTATTAAATGATTGAGGGGAAGTGGGGTACATTTTATTGGCATTAGTGCACTCCAAAGTATATGAATGTCAGTTCTACTCAGATTATTTATTCTTATGACGTAACTTAAGAAGATACAATAGATTTAATCAAATATTTGGTTGTGAGTAGTACGAGTAGTGTGTGATGTGATTAGTACATTGACGTTGCCTCCGAAAATGTCACTCAATACAGTATCAATATTAATTATATAAGTCTTTTACAGCAAAAACTGCCTAAATAGTAGATATTATTTGTATGGTAACATGGCAGATAGTCCTTTTTATACTAATTGGTCATACTCCTGCCTACAAATACGGGGATAACTATTATAGGATTCTGTAATGTAATGGCGTTCCCCTTACAGCCTGCTTGTCATTTCATTTCCCGCTTAAATGTCTTGGGGATGCAAGAAGGAAAACACATGGTTAGGACGAGGCTTCTTAATCTTCTAGTACATGCTCTTAGCACGCTTGTAACATGCATGGATTGTGTTAGACCCCAGTATATGTTGTTGTGTGAATTCAATACTAGATCTAGCTAAAAGGTGTCTAATTTCGTAATATTATATATAAAAGTTATAACTGCCAGAAAAGGCTGAAGATTACTAATTATAAATATGTATAAAAATCTGATTCTGTATAATCGAACAGCTAGTTAGTAATAAAATTAATAAGAGAAAAAAGACATACGACTTTATGATGTACTTGAGATAGAGCTTCCTTTCTCTCTCCACAAACCAGTCCATGAGATAGCCGGCCATTAGTGGAGCTGTTTTATAAAGTAAGAAAAATTTGTGCAAGTTTCCTGTTGCCCAAGCACATCTTGTTTGAAGTGCATGTTTAATACATTCATTTTCTCTGTCTTCCTTTGAAAGAAACTGAAATATGGTTGTTAGATCTGAAAAATAATATTTAATTAAAGAAGGTTATATATTAAATTAATTTAACCCTATATTCATATGTAGAGCAGCACCTGATCTACCATAAGAGTATAAATATTAAAGTTGTTAGCTTGGGTACCTCTGTCCCAATAGTGTTCCTGTCAAGAAGCAGTTGTGTTTGCATGACTGTGTTTCAGTTTGAAGAGTCCCACCCTTCAAAATACTTACTTCTCAGGAAAGGGTATCACGGGCGACACAGTATACTATACAGTATGATGTTTACCACTTTCCATTAAGTAGGCTGTTTGTTGTTTGCCATTCTAAGATGCATAAACTAAAAATTTTGCATCCTAATAAGTATATCATAGGTTAAAAATCCACTAACCTAATGTATTTTTAGTGAATATGTAATATAAAATTCTATATGCAGTGAACTCTGCAGTATTTGTTCTACTTTCTGGCAATTCTCCATAAAGCATTTTAAGTTGGGTTTGACACTGATTAAATTCTTCATGATCCCCTTTTTCTAATGCTATTCGTGCATGAGTTTCATAGACTTCTACTGTAAAATTGTCTCTTATACCTTGAACCTAAAAAATAAAAATAAATTACGTAACATCGAAAGCATTACGTACATAATCAGACATTAAAAAATTACGATAACAATAGAACGCGTTTAACCTAAGCTTGGAATATTTCACATCTCACAAGTGAAATATCACATTCTACGCCAAATAAAATGTTATTCCAGATATGTTGGTTCACAGTGTGATACAAATCACACTAAATGAAATGATAGATAGTCACTGCATTTGTATTTATTTGTAAGTCATGGACTATACTTGGTTAGTAGTAGTAGTAGTAGAAGAAGATAAATCCTATCAAACAGCCATCTGGGTGTACAGAGTGAGCCAACAAATAGACTTTATCACCCTGCATTGAATGTGTATTTATAATAACTCTTATCAAAAATCTTAATTCATATTTCACTTTAAATAGCATATAGATAGTAGCAATGTGACATTAAATCATTGCATACGAAAATCACTTATTTTGATTTGTCACTAGGGATATTACTGTTAATAACTAATTTTTTACTATATGATAATAATAAATTAAATGTAGCAACAATTTAAAAAAATAATCTTAAATCTAAAAAACAAATTTTACATTAATTTATACTCATTTTGTGAAATTTGCCATTAAACGTGCTGAAATATTGTTACAAATGATTACAAATTAAAATTTGTTGAATAATAATTCAGTTATTATTATTTTAATAATTGAAATAATAGATTTACTCAATTATTTGAAGTATGATTTTAATTTTAATAATATTTCTATTATTTTCTTTTATTTAATTTTATTAAATGGAGACACTGAGGGAGATTATTTCTTTTATATATATCAATGATCGAAACTATATGAATACAATTATGGACACAAGAAAACTTACTGTTAAATCTTGTCTAATTGATTTTAACTGATCACATGCATATCTGTAATCTTGTTTATCTATCCACCTTTCTTTGACATTTTTTAATGAACTTTTAAGTACAGACACAGGTCGAACTTCACAAGCTTCTGGTGCTTTGGTGAGTCTTAAAAATGATTTTTCTATGTCTAAACAAGTGCCCACTATATGCACATTGTTCAATTCATATTCTCCTTCCGTATCATGAATAATTGGTTTCTTGACACTTGGCTCAGGTCTCCTACAACTCTCCCTGCCTGCTTGAATAGAACTTGCTATGGTGGGTATGTGACTTGAATTTCCAAATCTTTCTGCCCTCTTTTGAAGTTTTTCAGCATTTCCTTGCAAATCATCCACAATAAATTGATTGTATGTGGGCTTCTTTTTAGCATTTTTGTTATACTTTTCTTGTTTCTTGATGTCAAGTGACAGGCGATCTTTAACTTTTTGTCGGGTTTTACTTTTGATGGTTTTCTTATCATCAACCTCATCACTGGAAACGGAAGATGCACTGCAAGTCATAACAGTTCAAAATTATTTATATTATAGTCTGTAAATAATTTATAGGTTGGTAACTCCAATCAATTATTTGTCATGTATTTCCATTTTTTTTTTAATAATAAATGAAGTAAATAAACAAAAGATATTTGTATTAATTGATTTTGTTATTGTATTTTTAAATTACTAAATAAAAACATGTTAAAATTAATTACTTAAATTTTATATTATTCTTTTTATCAAAAATGAGTTTAAATAAGCAAAGAGATCTAAATATAGGACATGAATATTGTTAAGTGTTTTGCTTAGGGACCAGAAGTTTGCAGTTTCTCTGTTACATGAAAGGCATGGAGCTATTTAATTTACAGCTCAATATCCATACGCATTGGGTACACAATTGTAATGACTACAAAATGTTGATTAATAGGATTTATTATATCATGAAGTTTAAATAAAAGCTACTAAAATTGAAAAATAAATATTATTATTATATGAGCCTTTAACTATCCATTGTTGAACATAAGCCTCCTTCTTGGGGGATTTTGCCAGTAGTTGCCATGCTTGACAGGCAAATTATCAACCACAGTCAGGGCTTAAGAGATACATATTTTAAGAGGATCACTGCTGCTCATCCCTTGCAATAATCACTAAATAGTATAAAACAAAGACGCTTCCCGTTTGTCTGTCCCTATGTATGCTTAGATCTTTAAAACTACGTAACAGATTTTAGATCAGTTTTTTTAATAGAAAGAGTGATTCAAGAGAAAGGTTTATATGTGTTATACATGCATAATATAGTTATGATAAATTTAAAAAATATATATGCGAAATTATATTCTGTAGTATATTTAATATCAGCATTGCACCCGCGCGAAGCTGGGGCAGGTCACTAGTAAATAATAAATATTATACCTAAGGTAAATTTCTAATTTACAGGAAATGACAAGTAAGTGTTTTTAAAATTCACCTTTTGAAGGAAAACAATAAGAGAGGGTACTTTTGTTATGGAGTGGAGGAGATGGTACCAGGCAAAATCATATACTGTAGGGTTGAATTACTCTAAAAATACAGGAACCAAAACCAAGTGTAATAAAATGCTCTTAGAAGAAAAAAGAAAAGGGTTGAAATTGAGATTTCTCTGCTAGCCTAAATTTCTTTCTAGGTCGCTGCAGCTACTTACTACAAAACACAAAGGATGTTTCTTAAATTTTAAATAGATTTTTTTATGAATTTTTAACAAATAATTAGCATAAGAGATACTTCTATTTTTTTTTACAACCTATTTAAACACTCATATAAATGGTTTTTGGGATTAGGTTGTTAATTAACATGTTCTAAAATACTTTTAAAATTCATTTAAAAATAGAATCTATAGTAAGATTTAAAATTTATAAGTATGTAGTATGTGATTCTGGTGTAACAGAAATGACAAGTATTTTGGAAAAATTGTGGAGCTTCTTAAGACAATTTCTATGGATAACAGCTAACATATGTATGCAAACAAGTACCTAGGTCAGTTTGATCCTAAATAAACATCAAGTGCCACATGTTAATAGCTATCTATATGTATATATTTAGACATATATGAAAATATTATCAACAAAGTAGTACTGTTAACACCATCCAAATTGAACATGCTAGTTTATTTAGTTGGTAATTGCTCATAGAACCATGTAAATTAACTTTGTCTCTCATACATAAGAACAATAGGTGATCATTGCAGACTGTAAATAATTTTGTTAGTAAAGATACTTACCTTAATCTCTTTCTTGGAGGACTCCTAGACTTGCTTCTTGAATGTTGTCTCCTTCTTCTTTGAGGAGAACCTTTATGAACATTAATTCCTCGGGGAGATAAACTATTTTTAGATTTTGATGGTTCTATTTCAGACTTTTGATATAAAGACAATGTACCCCGAACAGGTTTAACAGATAACGTATTACGTTCACTATGAACACTTGGTATGGGTTCTTCATCCCAATTTCTGGTCCATATTTCATCTTTATTTGCAGCTGCTGTTATACGTCCCTTTAAGCATATATCAATTTGATCACGATCAATAGTTGTTTTACATTTTTCATAACATCTTTTAATGTATCTCTCAAGACTTTCTGGCCATGTTCCAGCTGATGACTGACATATTGGAGAAGATTTTAAAATGTTAGAAGACTCAATATTATAGGGTTCATTAAATTGATTGTCTTTAACATTATCACCTTGGATCGATTCTTCTTGTGGCTCAGGTATGTCCTCAGTTGCCAGTGGTGGAGGTAGAGGTACATCAAGGGGTGGTGGTGGGGGTTTAGGGATGTCAGGGGGTGGACATGGAGGTAAAGGTGGAGGATGGTCTGGCAGTGGAGGCAATGTATTTAGAGAAGTGTTCAAATCATCATCAAATATTTTGTTACCTTTTTTACGCTTCTTTTTTGCACAGCCTGGATTCCCCAAAAGGGGATTTTCATTTTGAGGAATTGGGGCAGACTTTCTATTCCCATTCAAATTGAATCTAATAGGAGATTGGTTAAAAAAGGGTCGACTAGTATCAAGTGGTGACATACCGAGCAATGGGGCTGTGGGAGGTGGCTTTGAAAATGGAGAATGGCCAAATTCATTTTTGTGGTCTTTATTATGTTGAAATTGATGAGAATTATTGAGGTATCCTCCATTATTGCCCATTTGATTAAAATATTGGTTGTAGTATGGCGGGTACATACCAGAGTGATACCCATTATACTGATAAATACCATACATCCATGGATTATGGTTGGGTGGCATACCATTCATAGTTTGCAAAGGAGGTTCCTTTGAACTGTTGTCAGCCATTATTGCATAAATACTCAAAATACTTTAATAAGTACCTTACATATAACGCAATAAATAGAAAGTACCAGGGGTACCTCTTAATTTACAATGACTTCAACAAAATGGCGTCACTGATACGATGGAACAAGTTGCCTATATTCTCCTTTCTGTTACACTTTAAACCACCAAATAAATTTAATACCCTAATTTAATGTAAGATAACACAAAGTTCTATAATATTGTAACCTTTGTTTTTATGTACTGACACTAAGGTAGAAAGAAAATAATATGTGTATTTAATTCCTACACGAGAGAAAACTACAAAAGGGCCTTGAAACTGCCATATGCATTCAAATGACAGTTCACAGGACTGTAGTATTAGATATAGTCTCTTTAATCTGTGGACTGTAGTGACTCAGTCTACATTTTTATAAAAAATTTGTATGTATTTTTTTTGTTCATTTACATTACTAGATTATTTTCGACACAGTTTATGTAGAAAGTATGCAAGCAGGTTGTTTCTGAATTTGGTAGGGTTATACGGCCATATAACATTTTCTACACACTAGTTTACTACGAATTGAGAAAAATAACACTAATGGTGTATCTTTTATCCTCTTTTTACTAATTATATTTGCATAAGAAGAAAGGAGGCGACCATTTGATTTTCAATTTTTTTTTTTTATCATTCCTTCTATGTAATTCCTTGTTCTTAGGCTTTAGGCATAGTCTACGGATTCCATTTGCATACATAGGCTGTCTAATCTGTAAAGTCAATTAATTGTCAGATGAGAGAATGTTTGTGTTTTTAAAATTGTTATTCGCCTCTTAGATTTGTCTATCTATCTTTCTAATTCTTTATCATCTGTTTTTTTTTGTAATTTTGGTCATTACTTTTTTATAATTATTATTTTTAAGAGTTCTCCATTCTATTATTATATAAAAGTTTATAATTGATATTTCCAGAAGAAAAGATAGCCAAATAATAGGTATATCATTTTGTTAAGTTCCGGTTTATTTTACAAAGGTTTTCATAAAATAATTTTGAAAATGTTCTCTGCAGTTCATATTTTTAGAATGTGAAACGTATGGTTAACACGCACGAAAAGTTCGAATGTATTTCTTTAACAAATATAACAACATGATGTGTTCACAGAAAATATTTTGATATTTGTATAACACAATGGATCTATTAAAAGCTCCATCGGTCCAATCACTACTTGATTCTGACTTGGAATCTGTTGAAAGTCTACAATATTTGGATATTGAAGAGGTATTTTTTTTTATTTATTTTTTGTTAGTTTAAATGACTAAATATTGAGTTTGTCTCATTTAGTATCTAATATATTATCAAATATGTGAGATCATAATTATTCGATTTCTGAATTTTTAACACAAAAAAAAGCTACGACTACAGCCTCTCCATAGTTTGTTGAATGGCTTGGAGATTTTAATGTGGCTAGCAGTATAGTATATGTATAGTTTGGTTCTATAGGTCTTTGCCACCGGTTACCTGTCTCTGAAGTTGCTATGAAGCCAAATTTGTTTTGAAATAAATTAGGTATTTGCAAAATTATTTACAGAAAGCATTATTTTCAATTACAGTTAGATGAAATAGAATATGCTTTACCAGCCAGTGAAGCACCAACTCTGGCAGAAATTTTATCAACAGATGAGGAGGAGAAACAAAGTGATCCAGTTAAACAGGCTCAGGAACCCTTAACTTGTTCTGTTTTACAATTGGACTTTTTGCAAGCAGTTTCACAGCAGTTGGTACAAGCACAAGTATGTATATGCTCTATATGGTGTGCCTGTTCAATGTGCCTATTTGCTAACTATTGTTGCTCGAACCATTTCACTTAAATTATAAAATTCCATAAATGTTCTTGTTATTATTTATTTATTGCAATCATGGGTTACAATAATCTTACAATGTCCACTATCTTACTTGATATATTGTCAAATGTAGCAATATTACACATCTTTATTTAGTTATTTATATATTTCGATATATATTATTAATAGCAAGATTAATATTCTCTCACTCCTGTACATAACTTGATGACCAATGACATATATAAAGGCATATTTATAATAGTGAATAAAAAATATTTGTAATAAGTTTTTTAACAAAATTTTGTATAGGCTAAATGAATTAATGACATCTTGATATCAATTTCACAGTAACCAATATTTATTTAATTTATTCTTTATTGAATACATCACAAAAAAAAAGTAAAGTAAATGCTATATACCATTTTGTCCCAGTCAATCTTTGAAAAATAAGAAATGTAATTATGGAGTTAAAAATATTCAATATTTTTAACTCCATAATGATGTATCTATATTGACTTAAATGTTGTATGATATAAGAAGCTGTGGTTGAGATCTTAAAAAAATGTCATTATTGTTATTAATGGTTGTAATTCAGCACATCGACCCTAAATGTTGTAAAATGTAGCTACTAAAAGTTAAATATCCTAAAATGAGCTATGAATTAGATATTGTGTTTACTGTTGTCTTTATAAGTACAGGTAAAGTACAGTATAAAATTTGAAATAATTATATTGTAAGTAGATTGACAATGACCACTTAGTAGTATTCTACTACATTGATGTTGAAAGAAAACTTCTTAGGCTTGTATAGGCAGAGTGCTCATTACTTCGTTTTAGCTGTCAGCCACCCTCAGTTTCTAATTTGCCGCTCTGGGCAACTGCCCAGCTGGCCTCTTTCCCCAATTTTGACACCAGATAAGGTACATTATCAATGAATATTATAAATCAATCTAATAAGAACAGAAAAACAATTTTGTAACTCTTTTATCAATGCTTTTTATTGGTTAATAAATGAAAATTTTGTTTTATTAATTACTTGTAATAATGATATTTTTTACAATGATAATCTAGAAATTTTATCTATTTTCTTATATTTATTTTTATTGTCACTCATTGACCTATGGTTATGTTGACGTTTATGGGTAAGGATTACCATTTTTCACGAGTTGGGCTATTGGCTTGTCATTCTGTTTTGCATAAAACAAGATTCACATCTCTATATAAACATTACATTTGTCCCGATAGTTAAAAATAGGTAGCTATCATAGGAATATGCAATACTTTCTTTACTGACTATTTTGAAATAAATATGTTTTAATATTTAAACTGATTTTGAAAAGCTGTTCTAATAAAGTAACTTTATATAAATTGTGTTACATTTCATGTATTGCTGAAATAGAATGCCTTAAAAATCAATATCTCCTTTTATAGGTAACTAGCTCTACATTCAATGAATATTGTGTTGTCTTTTCAAGCACCTTTAGTGGTTACTGGAGCTAATATAAAAATAATGTTAACAGTGAAAAAATGGAGCCTGCTATTAATGTCTTTAAAGTCTATCTACTTAGTTGAATTTTTCTTTATATTTAATAAAATACTCATAGTATACTATATGTAACAAATATTTATTATAATCACTTCGTTTGATTTTTTCTCTCTTATTGTCAATATATTTAGACTTGTATATTTCTATAGTTATTTACAATATTTTGAGACCTTTATCATATAATTTCATAGTTTTATTTATGAAAATATATATAAATTTGAATAAAACTTAAATTATTTTTCATAAATTGTAAAAAAAAAAAAAAAATTCTTACAATTTATGAAAAATAATTCAAATGGGAACATATTTGAAGATCATACATATAGCATAGCATTATTATTTCTGTATAATCATCATCATTATTGGTATATAGTTACCATTATATTGATATGTATTAACTAATTTATAATGTTAACTGTAATTAATTTGTAATGTTATTTTAATTTTATAATTCAAATGTTATTATTATTGTTATTATTTATTTTTTAATTTCAAAATTATAATGTAAATATTGACTTGCCATTGTGTGACGAAAACTGTTACATTAGTTAATAAAGAAATATGAATATGAATAATAATTAAAGTAAATAGTAACACTGTTGTGCCACAGCTTCAAATCCCGTTTTTGCCACTCATGAATCGAAAAAGATATTTTATTTACTTCAGGAGCGGTCATCAGCTGGAGCTGTAACAACTTTGAGTGTGGGAAAAGATGGAAAATTAACAGTAGGAACAGCTCATGGTCATCTTATATCATTTTATGAACAAACTCTACGTTGGGTTTGTGATGCAAACGCAGATCGTGGCGCTGTATCATGTTTGTCTTATAATACTGACAGTACCCGTTTACTCGCTGGTTATGCTCGAGGACTTATATGTCAGTATGAAAGTGTAAAAGGAATACTTCTCAGAAAACTTACATTAGGTGGTGAAATTTGGGGTATCTTACGAGTGACTTGGGCTGGAACATCAGGTCTTGCACTTGATACTGGAGGATCGGTTTGGTTGATGAAATTTTCGAGACCTCTAGGAGTACGTTCCGCTCGTACGTCGTGTCTATTTTCGGGTGCTAGAGGAGAAGTCGTAGCAATGACTGCACGAGACGCCCGTATCTTGGCACTAGCGACATTGTCCCGTGTCATCATTGTCGCTGGCGGTCGTGCAGCTGGAATACGTCTTGGTGGACCACCTGACACTCTTCCCGTTTTAGAGTGGAGTGAAACCGATGACAGAATATTGGTATGTGCTCGCGCGACTACATTACAGTGGTTATCTGTGGCTGTGACTGGAGCCTCCATTATTCTACGTCTTGTGCAACGCGTTCACTTGAAAACGACGCCTTTGTGGCTTGGTTGGTTAGGCGGAAGTTTAGCAATATTCGATTCCGACGAAAATCTCCGTTTGTGGGGAGATGATTATGAAAGAGCCTTGGATCTATCTCAAATTGAGCCTGTATACGCGTCAGCTTTTTTTAAGGTGGGTACATTACATAAGATAGAATATGCTTTAATCAAATGTCGCCTTAAGGGAGACTTCTGGTCTAGAAGCCTATATTTTAGGCATTTTTTGAGGTGGAATAAAAAAGAAACAACAAATAATTTTAGAACTTATCTTTTTACAAGGCTTTTATTAACATTTGAGGAATACAACAAAATACTTCATAAAAAAATTTTAAAATTGCAGAGTGGTAAAGTAGGGCCATAAAAAAAGGCGCTGCCTGCTCGATATGATTGTGATTGTTGTACTTGCCTGAAATAATTTTTTTTTTAAAATTCTTGATTAGTAAATACATGTTTATGGTCCGTAGCAAGAAAAAAAAAAATAACAAAATGGCGATGATTTAAAAAAAAAGATTTCATTGCCCCCTTATTGTTCTTTTCGAATTTTTTAAAAGCGTTTCGATTGTTTTTTCTTAAATCCCTGTTAGAGTAATAGAGGGATATATAAAAACAAGCAGCCCTCTACAATATTATACTGTCTTCTCACTCTTCTCGTACAACTAAACTTTTTTCTATACCGTTCGCAAACAATAATGTGTCATATAATAATCCATTTGTACAGAATGTGCAAATTGTACAATGACATTGATTGTAAATCGAATATTGACATATTCTATTAAAAATTTTCATCGTATCGAAGCACTTTACATATATTGATAACCTAATAGTTTATAAGCATAGTTTGGTAGTTTGTTTTTGATTCTTATTTTGTAGTAGCGGCCCGTCCCGACTTCGCACGGGTGGACATTTTTACATTTTAAAAAGTGGCCATTAAGGCTGCACACGCGACGGAAGCTTAAAAATGAAGTAACTTCTCCCGTTTTCCCAACATTTCCCTTCACTGCTCTGCTCCTATTGATCGTAACGTGATGAAAAGTATACTATAACCTGTCCAGGAGTATGAAGAATAATTGTACCAAGTTTCGTTAAAATCCGTCGAGTAGTTTTTGTTTCTATGACGAACATACAGACAGACAAAAATTTTACTGATTGCATTTTTGGCATCAGTATCGATCAATAATCACCCCCTGATTGTTATTTTGGAAATATATTTCATGTATAGAATTGACCTCTCTACAGATTTATTATAAATATAGATAGAAGATATAGTTTTTATCATCCATTTTTTTTTTGTATTAAAAATCAACCTATTCTGTTTCATCTCTGTGAATGTTGAGTGCAACTATAATTGGATTGCAAACTTATAATGCTATTGTTGTATTCTATTATTAAAAGTTTTGTTTGTAATCTGTTGTTGTACCACAAAAAAATAAATAAATAAATAAACATATAAACCTTCCTTTTAATCACTCTATCTATTAAAAAAAACCCGCTTCAAAAACGTTGCGTAGTTTTAAAGATTTAAGCATAAGGGCGTACAGACAGCGACAGCGACTTTGTTTTATTCTATGTAGTGATATCTCCACCAAACAAATAAATCGGTAGTATCGGCGAGTAGTAATCGAGATAACGGGTCGAGTCCATTGAAAAAAGTAATTTCGAGAAAAACACGTTTAAGGTTTGAGACCGAGTCTGGCAGCGTAACTCGGGTAATAATACTTAATACTTACATTTATTTAATCAGTGATTCCGGCTCAATACATTGGGCCTTCTTCAAGTTCAAAATTCACATTTTGTAATGTTCTCGTAACGAAGTTTTCAATTCTAACTTTAGAAGCTGCAGAAGCTCGTAGTTTAGAGCGGTCAATTTTAGTTGATACGTCACAAAATTGGTTGCGAATTTTGAAAAATTCTTTTAAACACATAATTTTAAAGGTTTAAATATCTACCTTTCGAAATAAAGAAAAAAACATTTTTTTTAATTTTGAGACCAGAAGACCCCCTTAATAACTGATACCTACGTATAGTATGACCAGTATTAGTTAATCATCATTATTATCATATAAGCCGTTAACTCTTCACTGCAGAACATAAGCCTTTTCCAGGATTTTACCAGTAGTTGCCACGTTTGGCATTAGTTAATAAATTTACTTAAATCAGGCATTGTAAAATATTAGCTAACCGGGAAAGTATTGCTCTATCTATTTATCTAACTTAAAGATAACGAAACACCAACCAAATCCTTTTATTTCATGGATCCCTATATCAAAAGATTACAAAGACATTATAATTTAAATAAGAATAAGAGCTTTTTTTTAGAAATATTTTAAAAGTGAAACACTTTATTTTTTCTTCATTTCGAGGAACTCTGGTGACTTTTCTACGGAGTACATAGGTCCTGCGGAACCCATTTTAGAAATGGCTCTCCTGCAGCATAAACATAATATAACACGTACTGACAGATTGTTAATGCAATCACAAAAACGGGACAAGTGCGTGAATTATAAATGTGTGCAAGTGTCAGTTTTGAATTTATAAGGAGTGGGAATTGCGAAAATAGCTAAAGTTTACGTATTTGTTATAATTTTTATTTCAATTTGTGGACGTTCAGAACTTTACTTGGACTAAATTAAACATTTCTTTTTATCAATTCTTGTACAAAATATTTGTCATTTTCATTTTTAAAATATTTGTCATCGTTTGCATTTAAAAATGATTAATGTTAAAAGCGTAATTAGGTAATTAATAATTTGCTTGCTTTGTGATTCTTAATTTTTTTTTTTTAATTTTAATTTAATTTTGCTCTTAAGTTTTATTTTCTCTTTATTGTAATAAATTATGTATGTATTTGATTTATATTTACTAATGAAAAGAGAATATAGTGTAGAAAATAAATTTTTTGACATTGTTAATAATTTGCACGCCGACATAAAGGCAGAATGTATATTTAAAATATAAACCTTTCTTTCAAAAAAACTAATGTTACATTCTAGGTAATTAATAAATTCATTTCATTTTCAAATTCTTCTGAATACTATTTCAAACGTAGAACTTATTTTGTTCATATTCAAATCAAATCAGCCGCCAAATCAGCCTAGAGTTTATATTGTGTAGATAAATGTTGTCTATCTAGCTCTAACATATATATTTTTCATTATCAGTATTACTTTATAATCTAAGATCTACAGAGTCCATGTTTTTGTTAGGATAAAAAATATCCTATTTCTCAAGTTGGAGCACATACATGTGTATTGAACATTTACAAAAAAAAAAAAATAATTAAATACGGTTTAGCGATTTTGGAGTTTACCGTAAACGACACGGGATTTTTATATATTAAGTATATTAAAATATATTGTTAAACTGTAAATTGAAATCGTACATTGTCTATCTAATGAATATATTTTATATTTAATATAAAAAAAAAATATCTACCTATTCCGTGCTTTAAATTTTATTATAGAGTTTATACAGTATTGGTATAGTTTGCAGAAATTAGAATAAAATCTATGTTCCGGGTTCGATTCCCGGTTGAACCAATTTAGGTAAAGAACTTTTCTGAATTGTCTCGGGTCTGGGTGTGGCCCTCAGATGTTCGTTGCCTAGTTCCTCATAATGTGTTATGAGGTATTATGGAGTATCCTAGCTTGAGGGCCAGGCGGTTGGTGTGATTGTGGATAAATTCGTAATTATATTATTTTGCAGGGACTTTGGACGGATGGTCGAGTGTCACGCGCGATGTGTACAGCTGGCGTGAGTGCTCTGGGCGGCGCATGCGTTTTGGAGGGCGCTTTATCTCTCCTCGGGCGCAAAGGAATAGTGCGAGTACGTCCCAGGGACGTATTAACTAGAGCACAAGCATTACTTTCATCTGGACATTATTTGCAAGCATTGCGAGTACTTTGTTCCACTGAGGGGCATGCAGCGAAGGAGCTTGCAATTCAGTTTATACAAAATATATCTGAAAGACCACATGTACTGAGTAATAAAATTATTGCAGACCAAACAATTAAATTATGTCTAAAGTTTGGTTTAAGGTACGTTATTACTTGTTATCTACATGTATCTACACAACATTCTTATCCGTATAAATAACGATCTCTTTTTCTTTACTAAATTTTATACAATGTTACATGCAATCTATAATGTAATTTTATCTTAAACTAATTTTTTGGCCGCTACTTCATACGCGGGATTTTCAGAAGTACTAAAATCAATAAAGTAGATTTAGCGTATCGAGATAAAACATACACCAGTTTTTACCCGACTTCATTAAGTTTGACCTTCAATGACATAACGGTGAAATCGCATTTAATTTGGTGAAGTAGTTTTTGCGTGATGCTGCAACAAACAGACAAAATTTCTACAAAATATTGTTTTGGTTTCTCTTGCTCCTACTAAAACATATTTTTTTAATGCCTTCTATGTCTATACATCGTCCAGTAATTTTATTTTATTAGATACCAACAACGGATCGTTACGCCCCATCCGTTTACTCAGAGTGATTGTTCGGCTTTTTATAAATTATTTTAAGGATCTATGGAAGTCTCTGTGTATATTTTTTTTAATGAGTGAGAATAGTAACCTCGCCTGCGCTGTCGGTATACGCTAGCGAGGTACCAGTGAGGGATGATAGGTAAGAATGAAAAGGCAGGTCAGTTAGCCTATCGTGACGAATTCCATTAGAATTAACCACGATGGTTTATTAGATCGATACACAATGGGTCAGTTAGACCCATTTGACAGTTAGACCCCATTACTAAGAATCCCTTTTCCTCCAGTCTCGGTGTATTAGATCGATACACATGTGACAGGTTTTTTTTTTTATATTTTAGTGACGAATTATGGAATAAGCTTTGGGAGCAATGTTCTAGTGAAAACACATTTGTGGAAGCTTTAGGTGATGCAGCCGTTCGCGGTGATTTGACCGTGGCTCCACCATCCCCCGATTCCACGCAGGTAATATGCGTACAAATTCTTTTTCAAAGTAACACTCATTCAGAAATACATTACAAAAACAAAATAACAATTATTATTATTGTTATTCTTTGTAATGTGACAAATACCTAATGCGCATGTTATTCTACGGGACTCATCTCTTCATGAAATTTAATATCAACATATAATGTTAGCAATAATGAAAATACCTCTTAAATTTTAAACAAATTTATATTTTTGGTTTTATTAATTTTGACTGAACATCTCCGTGGCTAAATGGTGGGTATGTTGTTTTATTTTGAATGATTCTATATCCAACCTTAATATTACTTATTTATATGCAACTTCATTTTAAAATAAAATCTTGTTTCAAATTTATTTTCTGAAGTTAATATTTCTCTAAAAATTCTAAATCTTAGGTACATACGTGTATTTATTTAGTGGCAGCTATTTGACTTTTATTTTTAATTTGTAAATTTCTTAGGTATTTATTTCACATAATTTATTTTACTATATCGACTCGATGCAAATTTGCCTAAATGTTTATGTTAAATGTTTCAGTGTAATTGAATAACATACATTCCAACAACTTTGCAAACATTGAACTTTTTAGTAGAATTAATTATATTTACATAACAAGATGATATATTTTTTTATGTTATATTCAAAGACCAATTTGTTCAAATAATTACAGGCTTTAATCGAGTTATTAGCAGAATTTGAGCCAGGCCTAGTAGAAAGAGTCGTTGCATCTCTGCCGCTTACTTCTATAGATCCACACCGTGCAAGCGTATTTACAAGAAAAAAGGGACTGTGGCGTGGTGTGGGTGCAATTGCAGCTGCTCTAGGTAATATAACATTAGACACTTACTTTATTTATTTAAATACATAATAATATTTTAATTAACATATTTTTTATCCCGTTCATGTTTCTGTCGTGAAGTAATTGTGTTTGCATGGCTGTGTTTCGAATTAAAGTACAGTCTACAGAAGCGTAATACCTTAGTCTTCAGGAATGACAACGAATAAAGGGTGTCATGGACAACACAATGCACTCTGTTATGTTCACGGTGCTATTCATATCTATAGGATAGGATAGGTGGGCTGTAAGCTTGTTCGCCATTATAAGTTGCATAAAAAAAGAAATAAATGTTTTGTTATTACTTTTATGCTAAACAATTAATTAAAAAAAAAAATTGTAACTTTGTAGAGGTTTTAACATCTTTGAATAAGATTATAAAATATGACACATAATTATTATACAATTACACAAATGTATAAGAATAAGTTGGCTGTGTGGTTCCGGCATAGAAAAAGCCACTTCCTTCCTTTCCCGTCGGTGTCGTAAGAGCCAACTAAGAGAGGGCAAGGAATGGGCAGCAGTGAGCTCTTAAAACATCTCTAAAGCCTATCTGCGGTTATCATTTCGTCTGCCAAGCGTGGCGAAACCTCCCAAGTGGGAGGTTTATGTTCAGCGTGAACAATTAAAGTCTGATATGATGATAATAAGTCTTCAGTCAGTTTTACTACTACTTCACTAAATCCATTTTGTCAATATTGAGGTAAGTCGATGTTTTAGTAAGACTGCGTAATATATGTGGAAAGGATAGGTGGCAGCGGCGGCGCGATGCGCGAGTTGGTGAAGTTCGTGGAGGCGTCATGTCCGGCGGCGGTCGGAGGCGGTGCGTGTCGCTGCGCGGGCGCGGCGCTGGTGGTGGCGGCGGCGGACGCGCTGGCGGGCCGCGGCGCCGGCGGCCGCGCGCTGCCCGCGCATGCGCAGCCTTCCGCCCGCCGCGATGCGCTGCACGCGCTGCTTGCTGACGAGGTGACTTCAGCTGCGCGTCATATCCCAGTTCTCACCTCAGGAACGGCAACGCACGAGGCGTACCATGGGTCTAATAGTGTATTCTGCAATATCCATGGCGCTATTCCTGTCTGTAGAAGATGGCTACCACTTACGGTTATGAGTAATGACTCATTGAGGAGTAGCACTCTACTCAGTGCCCTACTTTAAAGGTCCGATGCCCTACTATAAAATGAAAGGTCCCAAGAATTTTAGACAATTTCGCTTTTTCGAAGTCACTTAATTATAGCTTCTACCCTACCAAAAAGTTCTTTTACCCTATCTTAAATACGGGTCTAGAGCTACGGTCCTGTGTTAATCTTACAGAAGGTCAATTAAATGTACTTCGCGACTTCAAAATATTTGTATACGGTTTAATCTTCGCAAATATGACCACATCGCTAATTTCCGCAATCAATTCAAGTGGCTTCTAATTCGTCTTTGGAGGAACTGACATACCCTATTTCTCCTTTACACTATTCTTTTTCATCCTTCAACTCCCTATTACCTCAAAATGTGCATTGAGTTGCATGTCATACATTATGCAGCGCGAGATCTCCCTTCGTTTAGTAACTCCTATTCATTCTTCTAAATTCTATTTCTATTTGTTCTCTACTACTTGTGATTTACTACGTGTGATTTACCTTGATTTATAATTTATATCCATGTCTATGTAATTTAGTCTTATTTTTATATAAATGATATTTAGAATAATATTTATTTTATTACATTACTTTTTTGTATTTATTGTGTCCGACTTGCGCCATCTACCTTTCTCTCTGTATTTATTTATATGTCAGGTTGTTTGTAAGAGATTGCTTTTAGCGATAAGGCCGCCTTTTGTATAAATACAGTAGTTTATTATTATTACAACTTAATGTCGTAGCATAGTGAGTGTTATGTATAGTAATCTAGCATTTTCTTTTTAAGTAGAAATCATTCCAAACGATACTTTCTCACAATTGAATGTTTGTGACGTTACGCGCACTGTGCTACAACGTAATGAAAGTACACCAATGGTACTTTTTGTATAACCCTTTCAGACCCAAGATTTTTTTCTTCCAGATTAAATATATTTTCGTGTTTTGGAGCCAAGCCATCTTGCCGGCACGCACGAGACTAATGCACCACCTAATCGCTAAAATGATTTCTTTTTGGCTGGTTTAGAACCTCACTATCATGTTATTTCAGCTTCGTGCGTAAAAATGAATTGCGCGCGGTTTTAGAATTTTTTAAAGTTACAACTCACGCCCGTATCGTTCAGGTCTGAAAGGGATATGTAAGTAAGTCATGAAATAACGTGTCGTTGTGTGTGGCCCGTCAGAGTGGCGGCGGCGGCGATGAGGAGGCGCCGCTGCGTGCGCTGGTGCGGCACGACGCGGCGGCGGCGGCGCGGCTGCTGGAGCACAGCGCGCGCGAGCCTCCCTTCGCGGGCCCGCTCGCCAAGCAGAACAGGCTGCGGGTCGCGCGCGCGCTGCTCTCCTACACGCGCGACCTACACCACACGGTACGCGTCACGCGCATCCAGCATTACCTACTAGCAGGCACAGCAAAAGTTGCTCTGCCTCCTACTGCACCCATTTTTTTTTTATAATAGATCTATCCTATCTCTCGAGCTGTAGCAAACCATACACATTTACAAAATCTCATTAAAATCGATTAAGCCGATTGGCAGATTAACGTGAAACGAGAACAGGTGTGTGATACAGGTTTTTTTTTTTATATCAGGAATAAGCTAACTTAGCAAACTTGTCTTCTATCGGGTCTATATTTCTTTATGAAGATAAAATATATTCTATCTCTCAAGTTTATACTACACTTTTTCGGGAATTAAGGATAGCGAACATTGTGATACAGGATTTATGTATAAGATACGAGATGTCTATATACATGCACAAAAGGAATAAGGATAGGAAATACCTATAATACATGCACAATGGGAATAAGGATATAAAATTTATATATTAGGACTGCGCCCACCCTGGATTCGCATGAGTGCAAATTCAATATACAAAGCTTCCATAAGAATACCGAAATATCAGTGAAACTCATGAAAATCTGTTGCATCGTTTAGAATTTAGTAGAGAAAGACTCTGATAGCAACTTTGTTTTATACTATTTAATGATATGTAATAATAATCGCCATGTGGTCCCGTTATAGAATGAAACACGCCTTCATCTACAGGAAAGCCTATGGGTGCCAACTAAGGGACAACTAAGGGAATTTAATAGTTGAGGGATGGGCAACAGCGTCCCTAAAGCCTAACTGCGGTTGCCAAACCGCCAGTCAAGCATGGCGACCACGGGCAAAATCCCCCAAGGGGGAGGTCTATGTTCAAAAGTTGACAGTTAACAGGCTGATATAATGATGATAAATATGTAATAATAAAGATATAAAATATATAAAACATTATTTTTATTGTTTATTATATTTTTATTTTTTGGCAGTGTTGAATGTGTTACTAAAAATTTTCAAATGGACATAATAAGCCAAGTGATATAAAAACCTAATTCTAAAAGTCTAGACAAGACTTCAATTTTATGTAAGTAAATGCGAATTTTGTGATATATATAAATAATTTCAATTCCAGAATACGGAAGCGTGTACGGAAATATTAGAGTTTATTACGAATCAGCTCAGTGCGGGTGCGCTGCCTCCTGACCAAGAAGTCATAAAAGGTGCACAAGAATTGGCGACCGTGTGTAGCGGAGAACGCGGGGACCGAGCTTGGCTGGCACTGATGCTGCGTACGAGGACGCAGCGGGAACAATTGGCCGCGCTGCGAGACTTGGCGCTCAACCGGCCACGTGTACTGTGGCGACTCGACACGCTGCTCGAGCGACACGACGACGCCCTGCGGGATTTCTTCACGATAGAATCTCCGACTACGCGAGATATCGACGAATTCTTTGAATATTTAAGGAGTCAAATCGAAGTGAATGGAAAAGAAAATTGGTTTCAGTCATATCCATCGGAGGAGCGTTGCAATTTACTACGTTCCCTAGTGCAACTGCGCCCGCGGGCCGCCGCCGCTCTAGTTAACGATGAAGTTTTCGAAACCGTTGCCGCCGTAATATCTACCACAAGAGACGAACGAACTGTTGAGTTTGGCGAGAGCCTTCTAGAAGCGGGCTTTCTTCGAGGAGACGCCGCTGCCGCTCATCTGCGAAATCTATGCACTCTAAAACGGAAGAGTGTGAAAGCGTTTCTCCTAAAAAATCCAGGTATCGTCCGGCCGGAGGACGCTCTTGCGATCATCGAGGAGATGAAAGTGGAGGATGCCAAGCCAGTCTGCCTCGAGGCTACCGGCGATCCAGAGGGCGCTTTAGATGCGATACTGAACATGATAAAATCCGACCAAAGCGAGGAGGTGACTGCGCGGCTGATAATGGAGGCGGGGGAGCTGTGCACGCGGGCGTCGCGGGGTGCGCCGGCCGAGGTGGCCGCCGCGCTGTGGGCGCGTGTGCTACACAACGCAGGCGGTGCGCCGCCGGCCGCGCTGCTGCTGGAGGCGGCGGCCTGGGTGCCCGCCGAGGCAGTGTTCAGCGGCGCATGGCAGTCGGCATGGAGCGCGCTGCTGGTAGTGCGCACGGCGGCGGCCGGTCGGCGCGGCTGGGCTGCGGCGGCACGCGTAACGGGACGGGAGGCTCACGAAGCTCTGGCGCGCGCGCTGGCGGCGGCGCGACGCGGTCTGTCAGTGCGCGGTCGCTGCTGTCGCTGCGGCGCGCGCCTGGACGCGCAGCCGCCCGTTCGCACGGCACACTGTTCGCGCGCCGCCCACGCCGCCTGCGGCCTCGACTCCAGCTGCGACTTCTGCGGCGAACGTCTGCCCGGGGAGGTGCTCGCTCTGCCTGCGCGCTCTAATCGCCGACGGTCTTTGCCGCCTCAGGAACACGATCTGAATCTGGTGGCACCTCCGCGTCCTGATCTCGAAGGAATCGTTTAAATCCTTATGTCGTGTAGTCTGTGATGGATTACGTTTTCGAGAACAGTGGGTAAACTAACTAGTCCTCATGTTTTGGGCCGATATTTTTATTTTCAATCTAAAACGGTCATATTAAGATTTATCAGAAAATTATTTATAAAGCTTCACCCGTCTCTAAAACAGTTTACATTGTAGTGTATATCATAATATTACACATGTATGTATATAATAAATTTTTATTTCAATGATTTCATTAAAATTGCAAAGCAAATTCATGTGGTCTGCGAACTAATACTGATCTATTAATATAACCAAAATTTAAGAATTGCTATTGCTACCGTAATAATGTGACTGACTTCTTTGGTATAATTAAGGAGAGAGGAGGCGGGTTGACTGCGGCTTTGTGCCCACTCCAGGAGCAAAGCTTTGCAAACTTGTATGAGAGTATGGATGTTGATGTGAGGTGCGTGTTGATGGTATGGCTGCGTTTAAGCCGCGTTGTGATGATGTTGAACAAGCGGTGAAAATAAGTAGTCCAAGTAGCTAGTACAGTGGTTTAATGCGCAGGTTGTAACACACAATACAATCAACAACACAATAAAAAGAAGTGAAAGAAGGATGATATAGTGAAAAGAGAAGATGAAAAGTTAATAAGCGCGATGTTAATTTTATAAGGCGGTGAGAGATCGAGCTACATAAGTTAAAGATAAGGGACTACTCACACTTATTCAGCTTTTGTCCATAGAAAACAACGATTATGCATGGTGACGTGTACGCATCCATTCAGCTTTTCGCGTTTATTCTGCTTTCGCTGCAACTCAGTATAAAATGAGCAAAAATGTGTATTTATCATGCGAATGATATAGAGAGCGTTCAGCGCTATTCCGCCGCATTCACCGTCGAACGCGGCGAAACATCTCTTTACAGGAACGTTTCGCGACTCCTTGTCGATAAGTTGCGACCTGTATTGTTTCTGTATTGATTTGATTTATTATTGCGTAATCATTATTGTACACAAGGATTAAAGAGTGCAGACATATTTCATAGTAATTATAATTATTTTATTTTTACGAAATGCAGCATATTCAACGCCGTACACAGTAGACAAGCGTTTCAGCGGAGATAACACGCTATGACGACTTTTTTCATTCTTACGACGCTGTACGCGACTGATAGAAGCAGAGCTGTATAAGTTTGACCAAAATCGTTCAGCGAAATGCGAATGGAGCTGAATAAGTGTGAGTAGTCCCTAAGACTGTAGAATTTCGATTGTCGCGATGTGAGGGGGGAAGCGTTCACACAGTTGTCCCGTCATGGCGGCTAAGAATCGGTTTTATGCAGAGCTCCAATGCACAACGTGCGGTGCCGTCCGATCCGACATTTTTGTCGGGTGCAGAATTAATATATAAAGTAAAATATTTATGTAGATAATTTTAATATGTATTATATACACTGGACAACAAATAAACCGGACCACCCGCTACTTTTGAACTCTAATCCGAATTTATAACTGTCAAAGTCATACCTATACAAAGTGCGTTTCATGACGATCAAAACGACAAAAATTTAACCTAAAGTACCGTCATCTTACATTGCAATCAAGCAACAAACACAATGCTTACGATGTGCTATTTTGGCGAAAATTCGAGTTCAGCGTTCTTTCTTCTACAGTGAGGGTAGTCCGATATTTCTTATCATTTCTTTAAATGTTTTCCATCATTCGCATAGACACGTGTATTTTTGTAACTTTTTTGAGTTAATAATGGATACAACTCCTCAGGAAGCCGCTCAAGCTGTAGCATTAGTTCAAGCAGATCACGGACAACGTGAGGTCGCTCGAAGACTGGATTAGTAGATCTTCAGTGCAACGAGTTTACAGACGATACTTAGAGATTGGAGCATTCGAACGCCGTCCAAGTTTTTTTTTTATACAACTTTGAATGGCAAACAAGCTGACGGCCCACCTGATGGAAAGTGGTAACTGTTGCCTATAGACATGAGCAGTATAGGTACGGGCAGACCTAGGGCTACATCAGCAGCAAATGATCGTTACATCCAACTTACTGTTCTGCAAAATCGTCGACTCAACGCAGTTCAAGTCCAACAAAGTCTGCGTGATGAACGTCAAGTGATCATAAGTTCAGATACTGTAGAAGGAGACTTGCTGAACAGGACCTGACTCCAAAAAAAGCGGCAACAGGCCCAGCATTAACGGTAGCCCACCGTCGAGCACGACTTGAATTTGCTCAAGAGTATAGAGATCAGACGTTGGAGCAGTGGAGTAAAGTTCTCTTTACTGATGAGACAAGGGTGAGTCTACGTGGAAGTGATCGACGTTGGAAAGTAACGCCCTGAAGTGTAAGTGATCGCCCTGGTGAACGTTATTCTCAGTGTTGTATCGAAGAAACTGTTTCTTATGGAGGAGGATCTGTAATGGTGTGGGGCGGTATCTCATTAACTGCACATACAGCTTTAGTTTTCATTGAACCGACGGGCCGTATACGTGGATTGACTTCTCATCGCTATATTTCTGAAATCCTAGCAGATCATGTGGTACCTTACGCAGGATATACAGTGGATGCATGATAATGCACGGGCTCATGTTGTTGTGACCCAATATCTACGCGACGTTGGCATCCGTACGATGGACTGGTCAGCTCGAAGCCCGGACTTGAATCTTATAGAACACTTATGGGATGAGCTGAAACGTCGGATTCGAGCTCGGGTACCTGCTCCAACAAGGCTTCCAGAGCTGTGAATCGCAATTGAAGAGGAGTGGAATGAAATTCCCCAAGATATCATCGTCAGGCTCGTGAGATCTATGAATATGATGATGCTATCAGTTATCAGAGCAAGAGGAAGGAACACTGAATACTAATCATAAACTTTTTTTTAAATTTTTTTCTTTGTTTCCGGCTTTAATTTGTTTTTTACTTGGTGATAAACGATTTGCGCGACTGGAAACGACTCATCTTTGTAAAATTCTTAATAAACACTTGATTGATAAATCATAATGTGTTTCCATTAATTATAATCGTCATGAAACGCACTTTCTATAGGTATGACTTTGACAGTTGTTTTATACTTTTTGAGAAAATCGGACGAGAGTTCAGAAGTAGCGGGTGGCCCGGTTTATTTGCTGTCCAGTGTAGTTGTAATTTTAAATAAATTTAGTAATAATATAATTGGTTCTCAAAAAGTTTCGGGGGAAGACGGAATTATAGTAGCTTCTGAGCGGGTGAATACTTGCTGTTTTTTAACGGCTATTTAATTTGGTCATCTTTAATGGTGTTACGCCCGAGGCGTGGAGCAGAATGCAGCAAAGGGGACAATAATAATTTCGCCCTGTATAGAACAGATTTTATTTATATCATGATCTAACTACTGTTTTTGCCTATCCTTATGGGAGACAAGCGTGACAGATGTATATGTATTATCTAACTGTTTGCTAGCTACTTCGTCCGCGAGGATTTCAGAAGTAATGAAAATCACTTTTAGATAGCATATGAAGATTAGATACATCGCCAGTTTTTTAAATTACACTTTCAGGAATTCAACTGTGATTAACTTTTTGCGTGATGCCGGCATAAAAATACAGACAATATTACTAAAAACTATTGTTTTGTTTCTATGGTACTTATAAAGATTCCTCATATATCATCGGTATCTTTTAAATATTCCCATGTACAAATATCGTATCGTTACAATTTTATTATAATAGATAATGAACAATGTATATAAAGATTTCAAAATTAGTTATTTCGGATTTACAATTAGCAAAAATATGTACAGAAATACTATTAATAAAATTTTATTATATGTAAACACATACATTACTGATGCATTAAAAAAAAATACATCCCATCTTGATATTGCACTTACAGAACTTTTTTTAAAAAAAATATCTCGGATAGAATGTATTAGTAGCGATTATGAAACTGAAATGTCGACTAAAAAAACACCATAATTGCTTAATAATTCTTCAGTATACATTACAGCAGGTAAGCAATATAATAAAAATAGACCAAAGTTGAGACAAAATCTTTTATAGTACATTGCGGTTTTTTTTATAATTTAAGCTGTTAAAGTTGGGTAACAACCATTCTTAGTTACGTGCTATAATTTATAAAATAATAGAGTTTAAAATATATGTAATAAAAATATGTAACAATCAAAATATAATTTGACAAGTATAGGTACATATAAGTAGAATTGGTCTGAATTTAAATAGAAAAATAAATAGAAAATTACTTTGAATACACTTTGAGTCACTCATTGCTGATAGAATAATGGGGTTTAAAATAGATTTACTAAATAATCTTTATTGTCTTTTTATAAAATTTGGTCATTTAAAGACTGCACAATAATATGTAAATAAATACAATCTTCCGTGTGGTGAGTAAGAACATGTAACCACTCCTTTTCATTCATGTAATATTCAGAGAAAGTATATTTATACTATTCAGAGAAAGTATATTTATACTAATGTAAGAGAAAAATAACTGTAAACCACCGGCCGGTGTATGTGTGTCTCTGGCAGGAGAATCATACCCAGTAGTGGACTGTTATGTAATATAAAATTAATGCAAAAATCCTTTTAATTCAGTTGTTTGTTTATTTTATACATTGTTACATTGATAAAGATATCAAAATTAATTGTTCACACTTTGTGTCAAGTATAGAAAAACCATTACAGACGATGGAACTTACTGAGAATAGATAAACCGTGTGCGTTGTATTATACTTTCGCTCTTTTTTTCATTTAAACTGAGCTTCATAAAAAAGGTCTAATATCTGCAGAAGTTTGTGGAGGATCTAAGGCAATAAACTGTTTCATAAAAATAGTAGTAGATTTATAATAGCCTTAGTCAATAGCATAATCATTGGTATACACCCTATTGACACTGATATTCATTACCAATACTTGAAACTAACACAAGAGTTTAAGAAAGCTGGTGTAACAACCAATTTACAATAAACTATTACGATTAAGAAAGGAACACTGAGGAAACTAGCTGAATAATTAAAAGAGTTAGATACATAACCTGGAACTTATTATCCGGGAAAAAGCGTGTTCCTTAGCGGGAGCCACAAAAAAAAACTATTATAATTTTAATATAATCCTAATTGTCCCTTATATTTAGACTGTTTTCGAAACAGAACACTGAGAATTTGGACAATATCTCATCGTGCGAGAATTCGAAATCTACTATAGGTGCTCATACAAGTCAGTGCCCATTATACAGATAATCACTGCATGACGTTCACCGAGGACAAAAAAAATCATGCAAGCCAAGTCGCTTTATTTGGTAAATTTTGTCATAATTATATTAAAATTTATCATAATGATAACCCCTTTCGATTGCTTAAAAATTATCAGTTCAAAATCAGTCTAACATACATTTAGAAAAAAAAAGCAAGTACTATAAATAGTACAACTAAAGTTGAGAACTTTTTTTAAATACTTAAATATTTTCCTTACGTGCCAGTACATGAGTTTTATTTTGATCTGTATTTTACCTGTATCGTCCATAATTTTAATGTATTTTCGTTCGGCAAATATACGATCCAGTGACGGTTTTGTAGGCATACTGGGCATTGATTGTATTATTGTATATTATGTACTTATAATAATAAAACTATTTAGACACAGACATTTAATTCCTTACGTTACTACAGGGTAAAATCGAAATTGTTAGCGATACTTAATAATTTATCCATTATATAGAATATATTAGGGCCGAAATATTGTTATTAAAAAATTCAAAACAAAAAAATTTTAGACTTATTAATGTATTTGTAAATAATGATAAAAAAACATTTGTGGTTTTCGACTTGTTTCTTTAGTGAAAATTTTCAATTTTACGGGTAAAATCGAATAGGTGCTCTTTAAAGGGTGCTAACGATTTCGATTTAACCTAATAAAATAAGACAATATAAAACTCAAACACAGCGAAATAAATTCTCGGATAATACCTTATAGTTAGTGACAATTAACTAACATCATAATTCACAATCATGAATTTTTGGTAAATTTAAACCTAAAGAAAGTCTGTTTATTAAACAAATTTAAGATATCCATTATTCAGCATTGTCATAACGAACTCTGAAAAAAATAATAAAAAGAAAAGTATAAATCATGTGTAAGTAAAGTTAAACAGTATTTGATGACCAAAAAACAAGACAGCAACTCAAAGCTCTTAGTTTCATTGATCATCTTACCGTTGACGTTGACCGCGACGTTTGCTGAGCCTGCGCCCTGATGAAGGGTCTTGCAATGTGAAACGATTTGTACTTTCGGGAGCCACTCGTAAGTTACGAACATCACTAGCACGTGCAACACCAACCTGAATGATAATGTGATGTTAGAACTACAGTATTCGAAATAATACTAGGGTTTTATCAGAAGGAAATTTAGTAAAAAATAATTTGTTAAGAAAGTTGTTTGTAATCCTATGGGTATCTATCGCATAGGTAAAAAAACCTAATTAATGTCATTCGTTTTTTTAAGGTGAACAACTTGGTTTTGAAAAGATATAAAGGAGTAAAATTATAAGAGATGACACCTTAGTCTTCAGGAATAGCAAACTATGAAATATGGGAATCATTTAATTTTGTGAAGATTATTATTATAAGCAGTCACAGTCCCTGACAATATTCACGAAATTGAACCCAATTGCGAAATTGAATGGCTTTTACCCAGAGGTGTTGTTAGTACCAACTTGGCCAGCCCCTCTTTTTGTATATATTTGTATTTTTTTCTCTTTGTATATGTATATATATGTTTTAGACACTTCTCTATACATCTGAATATATAGTATATGTGACATATGTGATGTTGTTCCTCAGTTACAATCTTACAGTCTAAATCTTATATATAAAATTCTCATGTCACGGTGTTTGTTACCAAACTCCTCCGAAACGGCTTTACCGATTTTCATGAAATTTTGTGTGCATATTCGGTAGGTCTGAGAATCGGTCAATATCTATTTTTGGTACCCCTAAAGAATAAGGGTGACCCACCCCTAAATATTTTTTTTATATTTTTATTTTATTGTGATTTAGCATTGAAAAATATATACAAATTCAAATTTTCACGCTTTTACGGTCAACCCCTGTTTTTTAATTGCGATTTTTATATGCCGCAATAGGGTTGAAAGATGGCAATCGAATATAATAATTGTAATATGAGAAAATTTCATATATAGTTCTCGAAATAATGTATAGGGTAAAAAAAGTTTGCAGAGTCAGCTAGTTTAATTATATAAATTTTTTTTAACTGAATGACATTTGTACATAGAAGATATTTAAAAGAACATTGATGTAAGGGGTTTTAATAACAAAACAATAATTTATAAAATTACATCTATGTTCTGACATTACGCAAAAACTACTGCACCAAATTGAATGCGGTTTTAATAATTAATATAAATAAATATATTAAAAAGAATAAATTATTTTGAACTCTTTCTAATTAGAAAGAGTCCAAAATAATTTTTATATTATGATGACCTCAGATAAAATAATATAAATACATACCTTATCCATAAACTTTTTAATTAATTCAGGACAATTCAAATTGCTTTCGGGTTCCCATGAGTCAAATTTTGTAGACCACCCTTTCCAATGAATTAGGAATTCTCGTTTGCCATTCTTTTTATGATGCACTTCCAAAATTCGGTCAACCTGTAAAATAATTACTTCTAAGATGAGCACTTCTTCAAATTACAACAGGTGAAATAGTCTATAAATTGTCATCCATCTCTTACCTCATATTCAGCATTTTCATCTGCATTTTCACTGTCCCACTCATTCCTTGGTCTCTTTGCAGCCACTTTGGTTTCTTTCTTCCCTTTTCTCTTAACACTCTTCTTAGGGGATTTGCTTTCTTTAGTTTTTGAATTCTCTTTCTACAATAAAATAATACAGTTAAATTTATTGCTTAAATTAATACCACATTAATATTTTTATAAAGTATTAATGTGGTATGATGAAAGAAATGAAGTGAGGTCAGTTGACCCATTGCAGCAAATTCACTAGGAATTAACAACAATAATTTCCAGGGGGATATAGTGTGGAGCTTGAAATGACAGGAAATATTGATATGATTTGTTGGCATTAATGCATGATGCACTGAACTATTGTCTTCTTTTCATTTAAGAGTTTCTTCTTATTGATGCAACTAATTCATGCATCTTCTTTCAGCCAGTTCTATCCCAGGCCATATTCTTGACCTCCCTATATGACATGACACCTAGTGTTTCTTTTATCTGTCCCACATAATGTAGTAGTACATTAATTAAATCTAATTTTTAAATAATCATAAGTAGTCATTTTTTACCTCATCATGATATTTATTAATAAGATCTGGGCAAGATAGGGTATTCTCAGGTTCCCAAGTATCACTGTCTGCAGAATATCCTTTCCAACGTATCAAGTAATGCAACTTTCCTTTGATTTTTTTTGAATCTATGACTTTCTCCACCTGCAATTGATGTTATATTGAGTAATTACATTTGCCATGTGGTCCCAACATAGAATGGATCACCTTTCCTTTCCCATGGGTGTCATAAGATGTGACTAAGGGAACTTAATGGAAGAGAGATGGGCAGCAGTATCCCTCTTAAAACATCCCTTATAGTCTAACTGTGCCAAGTATGGCAACTACTGGCAAAACTCCCATTATGGGGAGCCTTATGTTCAACAGTGGGCTTAATGGCTCATATAAAAAATAACATTCAAATTTTTGAAGAATATTAATAGTTTAATAAAAATTGTGCATGAATTGAAAAATTATACAGTGGATTGAAAAATCATTTCATGTATGAAATAGGGTATAATAGTACATTTTCCTCTTTTATTTCTGTTTATTAGCCATCATTTCCATATTTTCTCAACTATCTACAAATATTCTTTATTCTTTATTGTACACAAAAGGAAGGAAGGAATTACATTCACACACACAACAATGCAGCTTAGTTATACTTTTTTTATGAAATGCTGTGTAAAAACCAATTCCTTTCTGCCATATGATGGGCAGGCATCATGCAAGTAATCGTTGTGGAAGCTAGTGCCTGGCCATAATTACTCAGTTTCTCTAGATTATTAAATATACTCAAGTATTAGTAGGCAAACAAGTCTATGTGAATTTTTAGGAGTTGGGTAAACATCTTAGAAATAATTTTAGTTTTTTTTTTCATTTTTAATAATTAGATAGTATTAAATAATGAAGGAATGATCAACCTCAATAGATGATGACATCAATGACAACTAGTAAAATACCAGAGTCGATACTCGGTAAAGACGATTGTAGTGAATTTACGAGTCTGACTTTGATGGGAATCACTTTTTTAATACAAACGATAAACATCTAATGCATACATACAGCACAGCATTATTTTAGCCGGTACTTAATGTATTATAAAGAAAATATACAAACCTCATACTCCTCGGTGTGTGCATCATCATTTTTGTCTTGTTTTTCAGATTTCTTCTTCTTAGATTTTCCTTTAAGCGATTTCTTTTTCGGTGTGTAGTCGGAACGGTCGTCACTATTTTCTTCAACACTTTCGTTGGTTTCTGTTTCCATCTCCTTCTCCTTTGATATATTTGGCGTATCTGTGTCTACATTTTCCTCATTAACCACTGATCCATTGGTAGATGATATCACATCGTCGTCTGTGCGACTTTTGGAAATTTTTCGCATGATGTAGAAAAACAAGTTAAAATATGTATGCGTCAACAAACAAATCTCTTAAAATAAAAGGAGGGAATATATTTGCGGTTTAGACGCTCGTTTACTTTTTTTTTTTTTGTTAACAGGGTTGCCAACTCTGTATTAGATTTTCTCAATGATTTTGGAATATAATACAAAGAATGATTGATTGAATGAATAAAATCACATATACCTACTTGGAAGGCAACAGGCCTAGGTATGAGTCTCAGAGCGAGCCCTGGATATAGAACCTTTTTTCCCGTCCACCCTCCTCCCATAACTGCTAGTATATGAAAAGGTATAAAAATAAATAAAGACTTAACGGCCTCTTCCCTGGTCTTCTTAATGTGTCATGGGTGACAATGGAACGGCAATCCCACCAGTATAAACTGGCGGGGCATCAACGAGGGATGGTAAGTATGGATGAAAGCAGACCAGTTAGCCAACCGTAACGAATTCAAGAATTAACCTTTAAGAAATCAAAGGGAACAGGAAATGTAATAGATTTAAGATAGAATATTAGTACGTATATTTGTAGTGAAAGTAATATTTATTTCGACAGAACATTAACAAAACAAGTTGCTAGGTAACGCACAGATAAAGAAGAGCACTATCATTGTTAGATAAAGATCTCTTCTTAACATCCGGTCTCCTCTTTTAATCCTACTTGTTTGCAAAGTTGCATCAATCTTGGCTTAAAGAGAGGCTTCGTTAAGAAGTCAGCTAGTAGATTCTCTTTATCAGTTTTGAAGACTTCAAGACATCCTGAAATGACGCACTCTCGAATGAAAAAGTGTCTAAGGCGAATATGCTTTGTTCTCTGGTGACACTCAAAGGGTGGGTCGTGAGCCAGTCTTATAGCTGATTCATTGTCTAAATAAAGCTTCATAGTGACATCTCCCATTATCATGAATTGTAGAATCCTTTTTAGCCATATAAGTTCTCTAGTAGTTTCACTGGCTGCTACAATCTCAGCTTCAGTGGATGATATTGCGACTGAAGACTGTCTCTTGCTTTGCCATGCAATAGCACCATTAGAATACAAGCAAATCATTCCAGATGTCGATCGTCCAGTTACAGTATCTCCACCATGATCCGCGTCACTGTAACTCAGTATACACGTTGACTTTACAGAGGATTGATAAGTGATACCGTAATCTGTGGTACCTTTGATATAGCGTAAAACTCGCTTCACTTTTGTTATATCTTCTGATGAAGGATTGTCAAGATTTCGAGAGACAACGCTAAGTGCATATGCTATATCCGGGCGCGTTCCTATCGCTAGATAAGAAAGTGCTCCAACCGCTTGTCGATATGGGAATGTGATAGATTCCTTTTCTTTCTCAATTGGTATATTAGAATCTTTCACAATGGGTGTTACAGCTGCTTTACAGTTTTGCATTCCAAATCTTTCAAGCAATCGTTTTGAATATCCCTGTTGATGGATTTTTATTGATCCATCAACGTGTCTCTCTATTTCTATTCCTAAGAAATAACTGCCGGATTTGGTAGTAATCTTAAACTGCTGTCGCATCTCATTTAAAAAGTTTTCAGTCTCTTTCGGATTACTAGATGCAATCAATCCGTCATCAACATATATATATAAGCTTTCTATCCTTCTTATCTTTATTTCTTATAAAAAGGCATGGATCGCTAGAGTTTTGCTCAAATCCAATTTTCAAAATGTACTCTGTAATACAATGGTTCCAGCATCTCGGTGCTTGCTTTAAACCGTATAGAGACTTTTTGAGTTTACATACTTTCCCTGAATTGTCGTTGTATCCTTCAGGAGGTTTCATATAAATTTCTTCGTTTAGACTTCCATAAAGGAATGCAGTGGTGACGTCAAATTGGGATAAGGTTAAATTCTCTTGTGCAGCAATACTAAGAACAGCTCTTATAGTACTTGTCTTTGCTACAGGGCTGAATGTTTCATAATAATCAAGTCCCTTTTTCTGCGAGTATCCTTTTATTACTAATCGAGCCTTATATTTCTCAATAGTGCCATCAGGATTAGTTTTGATTTTATAAATCCATTTGCAAGGAATCGCTTTCCTACCCTTGGGCAAATCTACCATTTCCCAGGTTTGATTTTCTTGAAGGGAATTAATTTCAGTATCCATAGCAGCACGCCACATGTCAGATTCAGTACTTATCATAGCTTGTTTAAACGTAGTTGGTTCTAACAGAGATTCTTCAGTCAAGTTAACATTACAGATATTACATATAAAATCACCGTAACGATTTGGAGGTCTGAGACTTGCTCTATTTCTAAGCGTCATACTGCCTTCATTCTCTACTTCACTTGCAGAAAGCGGTGCAGTGTTAGCCGCTGCCTCATCTACGTCTTGACTGTCTGAGTCCACTGACTGTTCAGATCCATTATGCTGTCCTAACAATATTGGTACAGTACTGTCAATTATATTATCGTTATTATCATTAACAATATCAGGCTCTGTTATCTCGTTATTATCATCATTATTTCTTATGGAAGGTTCTCTAAGAGTCCTGTTTTTTTCACATTCCACGTCAATATTTGGAAAGTTAAATTGAAAATTTGACTGTTGCTCATCAGTTCTATATTTACGTTGCTCAGACTCTTGTATATTTTCTAGTTCGCTCTTTAAATCTGCCATACTTTTTATAGGTGATACTAAGGGAGTTTCATTAAAAGTTACGTCTCTCGATCTTACTATGACTTGCTGTATATTATCCCATATACGATAGCCTTCATCGGAGTCGTAGCCAATTAAAATTCCCTTCTGAGCCTTTTTATCTAACTTATGCCTTCTTTGTTTCGGAATATGTGGGTAACAAATAGTTCCAATTACTCTTAAGTGAGTGATCCTTGGCTTTACGCCGTACCATGATTCATGCGGTGATTTACCATCATGTCCAGGTCCAGTTCTGTTTAAGATATATACCGCTGTTTGAATCAATTCAGCCCATAAGCCCGCAGGAATTGTTTCGTGAGCATGCATTAAGGTTCTTGTCATTTCTACCACAGTTCTATTTTCCCTCTCAGTTGGATTTTGTTGTGGCGTATATGGCATTGTTAACCGTTGTTTAATGCCTTCCTTTTTTAAAATTGCGCTGACGTTATCGTTGTTGAATTCTCCTCCATTGTCACTTAAAAGTTCTCTTATTACATGACCAGCTGCTTTTACTTCAGCTATCAGAAGGGGAAGTTTTAGGTATACTTCAGACTTTTGGTGTAATAGATATACCCAACGATAATTTGTATGGACATCTTTGAATAGCACGAAGTAACGATGTTTAGAAATCGAATACGGGAAAGGTCCACAAATATCCGTACAGATTAGTTCACCTGGTTTTGATGGCTTCTCTCTAATACCAAACTTTTGTCTATGTGATTTGCCATAAATGCACCCTTCACATAGCTCTTTAGTTGCTTCTGTTTTAATGTGAAATTCCTTTTCCAATAATTTCTTTACATGTAACTTATTCTGATGACCAAATCTTTCATGATATAGTTGTAGTAAACTAGAGGTGGATAGCTGATTTACATCTACAGTTGGTTTCAAGCACCTCATTTTTAAACGGTAAAGACCGCCTTGCACATCTCGAGTGCCAATCAGTTTCTTTGCACCATTTATCTTCATAACGCATTCGAACGGAGTTGACTCGAAGATGCTATCTTTTACGATATCATGAGTGGCTAGGACAGAATAAAGATTTTTACTTATAGCAGGTACATACCATACATCCTTTAAAAGAATTTGTTCAAGTCGTCCCTCTACCTCAGCTTCTGCACGGATTGTACCAATCCCTATAGCTTGGATACTCTGCCCGTTAGCGCCGGTAACTGTGTGCGAACTTTTAAAATAAATGAAGTCCTGAAAAAGATCTCCTCTGTTGGTTACATGACTGGTTGCCCCATTGTCAACGTACCAATCTGTAGAATTTTTGACATCATTCCTAAAGTCCTCTTCAATAGTAAGGACCGTCAAGTTCATATTCACAGCAGTCGACTTCTTAGGTGGTCTGCCATCTGAGATCCATTTCTTACATTTCCTTACAAAATGTCCTGTCTCTCCGCAATAGTTACATTTATGAAAATTATTTTTCTTCTTCTTGTCCTTTTTCTTCTTGTCTTCTGCTTTTGTATATAATGCTTCAGAAGTGCTTAGTGTCTCTTTTTCTACTTTGTTAATTATGACTTTTTCGTGGGCACATAACTGAACGGTTAGGTTGTTAACAGTGCGATCGGTCTTTGACATCAAGAGCCAGCTTGACTTAAAACCAAAATATTCGGAAGGGAGAGTATGTAGAATTTGATATATCAATAAAATTTCCGGCAAATCACCAGTTGTATTCAATGCCGAATTTAATTCATACCATATTCCCTTTAGCGATGAAATATGAGTGGCCATGTCATGACTTGGTTCTTTCTGATATCCGAAAAAATTTTGACATAATTCGTACGATCTGTCTATTATACATCCTCCATAAAGTCTTTGTAATTCATCCCACATGTCCTTAGAATTATCAAAGCGCATTAATTTCTGTAATGTGTCATCTGACATATTTGTCGTAAGCAGGACTACTATAGTACTGTCTATTCTATTGTACTCTTCTAAATCTTTCGTATACATTGCCTTTTCTTCTGGTGTGGCCATACCTTGCAATACTGGCTTCGGTCTCTTACCTTCCAATATATCTAATGCCCCCGGCACGCCTTTTAACACCATCAGAAACTTAAACTTCCATGTTTTAAAGTTTTTAGAGTTTATGTTCCCAATTTGAACCTTCGACGCTTCTACAATTGACTTATCCATATCTTGATAATGGGTACGTTTTCAATTGATTCTAGCTTCTATGATACTCATACGCTCTGCTACCACTTTAAGAAATTAAAGGGAACAGGAAATGTAATAGATTTAAGATAGAATATTAGTACGTATATTTGTAGTGAAAGTAATATTTATTTCGACAGAACATTAACAAAACAAGTTGCTAGGTAACGCACAGATAAAGAAGAGCACTATCATTGTTAGATAAAGATCTCTTCTTAACATTAACTACAATAGTTTCCAGGGGGAACCGCGTGGAGGCCGACCTGTTAGGATATAGTTGGGGACTATAATAGAGAGAGTGGTGGAAAAGGTAATGGCAGGTAGGGGTAAGGGTATGTAGAAGAGAAAGAAAGTGGGATGAAGAAAGCGTGACTTGTAAAGGAATATCGCCCTTCATCAGCGCCCAGTAAATTCCTGGCAGTGGGGTGGTCGTCCGGAGAACGAATACAGCAAGGTTTTTTAAATGGAGGTGCAGACCGTTATCTGCACGGGCAAACATTTTGCTCGCAGTGCCTCAAACAAATTCCTCTGCCGATGGGACCTCGAGATCGCGAGCGATAACTTCGTACGACGAAGTACGACCCTTCACCTTTGTACGGTACACGACGTACCGTACAAAGGTGAAGGGTGAAATTCTGTTGGGCCTACATCTGACGCCTCAACGTCGCAGAGCATAGTGTGCAACATGTAGGGGCAGCGTTATATATGGGGATCTTTGTCCGTAGTAAAAGCGCGAGGTAAGCTCGAAATGAGGATCGGCTAGAGAACAATGCGTCGTTCATGTTTGCGAGACGGCTCGCAAGACTTGAAGTGTCATCCTCAATGACCGGTCGTTTGTAATTAGGACGAGCATGACATCCTTATTAAAAGTCAGTGTAAAGGGATAACTTTTATGACCGGGATGTCATTGGTGTAAAGCGTTTATACGCTTTACACCAATGATATCCCGGTCATGCCGGTCCCGGCACCACTAAGATGCAACTACCTTAGGGAACCCCAGTGGTCACTGGGTCAGTTTCGGAGTTTTTGTCCTCGATTAAGACATAGACGTAGAAGCTACGGCCCCTCAGGTAGGACCTCACCAGACGCATGTAGGCGGGCGGCGTGCTGGTGTTCTCGAGCAACTTAAAGACCAAGCTGTCATGCTAAACCCGATTGAAGATTTTTTCGATTTCCGCCACCGACCACCTTTCGAGACGTAGCCGTTAAGTATAACCATATACTCGACGGCTAGGACAGACAATTTATAATTTTTTTTTACAACACAGTGGTCAAACTAGCATGCGGCTCACCTGATGATAAGTGACTACCGCCGCTCATGGTCACCCACAACACTAACGGCATTGCAGGTGTGTTGCCGGCCTTTATAATTAAAAGAAAAACAGCACCCCTGCAGCTTCGTTTACAAGCAGGAACAGGCTAAGATGCTACAAAGATGCAAACGCCTAAACCTCATGTGGCAACTGGCGACAGGAACGCCAAAACCACATGTGGTAGCTTTTCCGACACCAAGAGGATCCCGAAGGCAAGGAATCCCCGATTCAAACCTACACACGGCAGAGGCGCTAAACCTCCTAATCACAACTCAAAAGGATGACTTCTTTCTACTGAGAATGCATCACGGCTAAGATTATTCAGTTCAACCTCTATCATATTAAAGCGACATTTGCAATGTGAATTTCATTTTCGTAGTAAATGGGATCTACTCGCGGATTCTGCGTACAGGTCCCGGCTGGGCCGCAATGTTTATAGCTTGTTGCATAGAGACTAATAGGTCCTCAGCAGGTTGCTTGACGTTAGACGAGGTTGATACTGTCATCATGTGCGTGTTTCTCCCAGTCGATTCGGCGACACGGCGGCTGCAGCGTCAGGTGCGTCAAGGTCTTCGGGATTACCATGCACACGGGCACGATCGAAACGGATGTCCTCGAGATGGACTTCCTGCGTCAGTTGACTGTCTAGACCCCTGTACAGTGCGAAGTGTACGATATCGGGTGCATGTGACATTTGGGATAGTGAATTGAAACCTCTGATGCGTGAAAGGTGATATCCATTCTCTCAGCTATCCTTAATAGCGATCTTCAATTGTGCGAGTTTGTGTTGGAATAACATGTCGTGTGCTTGCAGTTCCAGTCTCCTGTCTCTCTTTTTTTTATGAATGATAATGGAATGGTAACCCCGTGTGCACTATCGGTATTTGCTGGTGATAGAAGGTGAGGGTGAAAGTAGGTCAGTTAACCCATCGTGGTGAATTCCAAAGGAATTAATCATGATGGTTTCCAGGGGGAACCGCGTGGAGGTCGACCTGGTAAGGTATATACCTTATATACAAGCAATATTGCTAGTAATGGGATCTTCATTACTAACAATTCCTTTCCCCCCAGCGATGGTGGGCAGTGGCGAGTCGAAGATGGTACTGACATCGGCCGCTGCAATCCTGCTACTCGGTGAGTTGTATACTGCAAACACATGGATGGGGCTTCTCTCAATGCATAGCTCAACTCCGAGTGCGTACATGGTGGTGAGTTGCACCCGGAGGAGCGGTTGATGCACTTTTTTTTTACTAGGATAGCTAACCCGCGATATGCTCTCTGGCCATCCGTGGCCTCGTACTCGTCCTAGCGGTAGACATGGTATACGGGGATGTGGAATGTGTCGGAAGCCCCCAGTAGTGTCTCCGTTAACAATATGTTAGATTCTCCATCACGATCGCTGGCCTCTTACACTTCTATTTTCCGTTTTTATTTTTATTTTATTATTTTCTACATATTATTTTGTATTTAATATTTACCTTCTGTATATATAATATATGTGAATAGACAAAGTTGTTATACTTATTTCCTCCGAACAACTACAGTGTACTACCCTTAGTTCCATAATTGACTTAATAGCTTCGCCATTAATGCGGTTCGCTTCACCCTCTTTCTTCTCTTCTGAGGCGATTGCTGGTTGCGCTCATTATAATGAATAACGAATATTATATTATAATGAATTTATCATTAAATCTATTAATCGAATATATTGATGAATCGATTGTATCGAATAACTGATATAAATATATCTTAACATAAGGGTAATACGATTTAGCAAATACAACATTCAATTGCATTTTATAATATATTTATAATGATCAGAATTCGCAGGTGTAGTAGTGCCTAATCTATGGAATTAAGTGGTGATTCGCATTTATACGTTAATACAGTTTTTTATAAATTATTCATGTTAAAAAGTGCACTTGAAATTTTACAATATGGATAGACATAGTTTAAACATAATTAACATTGTACATCAATAAAGTAACTGACGAATGATTTTAGCAATTAGTAAAAGTAGTATAGTGAATATATAGAATTATTAGTCAAATGACTTTGTTTACATTCGATTAAATTGCTTAGTCGAAGACTCGAAGTGGTATTATTAAATTTCCTACTCTGTGTTGTGGTCAGTTGTAGTATTAAATACATTTTAGTCTCGAGAGTAAAATAAATGTTACACAATAAGAGAAAATGACAAGCAGAGCCAGTTTTAAAAATTCTCGAATGAATTTTAAAGTTCAAAATGAATATTCTGAAAGTAAAGGTAGTAAACCAATAAGGGAAGCGTCGTCAATTTTAGAAGTGTTGGTGTTAATGATTGTGCACATTTGTAAGAAATTACTTTTCTTCGATACTAATTTAAAAATAGCTCTCTATTTAGGAGCTCTCTTTTTGTTATCTCTTATAGCCGATGTTCTTACTTTTCCGAAGACGTATTTTTCAAGAAGTGACAACATTTTCAATCAATATTTCGTGAAAATCGGATGGTTTTGGACATTATTTTTAACAGTACCTTATGTTTTACTGACGTCTTACACCACATGTTGTGGTAAGAGAAGACTTATAATCACTGCTCACATGACGAGACTGTTTATTGCAACCTGCTTTTGGTACACATGGACGACACTTTTTAATGTCATTGAAACAACATATGGACGTTGTAATACAAGACAGTATACTGACAAGATTTCTTGTTTAAAAAATGGAAATTTTTGGAATGGATTTGATATTTCAGGGCACTGTTTTATTCTAATATATTCTAGTCTAGTTATGATAGAAGAAGCTAGAGCAATAAATGGTTGGGAAAGAATAAAAGATTACATTAGAGATGAAAAATACTACCGTAGTGTTGATGACAAATCAGTTAGCACAAACCCTTTGAAAAACATAGATGCTAATGAGTTAGACACGTTGAAAGTATCTTATGAAAACTTCACACCATATGTGAGAGGATTTCTTATTGGTATTGCACTTCTTCAATTATTATGGGATGTTATGTTAGTCTCAACAATACTGTACTATCATATTATGGTGGAGAAATTTATAAGTGGCATCATAGCAATCCTTACTTGGTTTATTACATATAGAGTTTGGTATACTATACCAAATCTTTTGCCAAATTTACCAGGTGAGGGTGTATTTAAATATAACAAAGAAAAGAATAATTCAGTACCACCTTCATATAGGAAACGCATGAGTTCATCAAATGGTAAACATTTTATGGGCATGCCTTTAACTAAAGGTCAAGAAGCAGATGCACCAAATGAAGAGCTAAGATAACAGGTCATCTCAGCACATATATTTTCATGTGACCTTTGTTGACATGAAATGTTAATATTACTGTTATGTTATGGTTTGTTTTTATTTATTTTTTTTTAGAAATTCTGCCATCAATAACTACATATTGTTATTGAATAAAGGTATAGAGACTTTAAATAAAAAGGGTGATGGATTTTTGTAGTAAGGCTTAGTCCTAATAAATGTACTGTGTACAGTTAAGGTGGTTGGGTACTAAATAAAATCAAACAAGAAATACTAGATGATGCTTGAATTCAAACTTGTAATTATTGTTGATTGTTTTGTAATTAAAGATAATTTGAAGTTTTTATTATTAAGTATGAATATGAAATGTCAGGTAATTTCCAATTTTTCCTTAATGAATTATAATCTACATAATCACAATGTTTCTTGCTAATATGCATTTGTTTTTTATAAATTATTACTATTTGTTTCTTGCTAATATGCATTTTTTTTTATAAATTATTACGATTCTAGCGCCATCTAGTATTTTGTGTTCAGTTTTGTTCAGTGATCAACCATAATAGTGATATAAAATCAGTTGTTAATTAAAAACAACATCGAAGTAAAATAAATTAGGTAATTATGATCAAGGTGTGAAAATTTGTTTTAACGACAAAGAAAAGCTAGATTAATACCTATGTAGTTATTGTATCAGAAAAATATTTATACTTACCAATGGTAAATTTGTTTTTTTTATAATTTATTACAAAATTCAGAAACCTGTGATTGCATGATGTATCTGATATAATCCTTGTTACATTTGTTTTTTCTAGACAGTATATAAAATAGCATAGAACAAATTATAATAATTCAAAAGTACTTGTCATATGCAGAAATATAGAAATAAAACACACACACACAAAGTTGTTAATTTCATTGAAGTAGCAAGTGCTACATAGCTAAGCCATCAAAAAGTTAAATAATTCTTAGTAATTTCTACTTGGATCATATAAAATTGCAAGTTCCTCTGTGATGTCAAATATAATAAATTTTGTCATGTTTACTTTTAAATTCATATTTATTATGCACTCATAACCACTGTTACCACCACCTAACATCGGTTTTTGTCTCTTACCAAACTGTTGAGCGTTAGTAACTCTGTAATCATAGTTAAAATGTGCATCAGCAATCTCCTCACCCCACAAAGGCGGGAAGACCATTACTAACAATATATACCCTGTTAACAGTAACCAAGGAGTAAGTCCTAAATTGGATGGCTCTTTGAATTAAACTGGATATGAGAAAGATAGATTAGAATTAGTGATACATTGTGTGGGGAAGGGTCAACTTTATTTTTTAATAAGTTTTATTTTATTGTATTTAAGTTTTATTTTATAAGTCCTGCATTACGAAGCGCTCCCCCTTTCACCACAAGAAAAACGTTTGAGCCATTTGGCTAACACAAATAGGGTGTTTTAAATACCTGTCTAGCATATTCACGATCTTTCTCTAGCTGAGTATTAACTATTACTAAAGTTAAAAGTTGGCCTAGGCGGGCTATAGGTACTTCAGTTAACGTGAGTGGAATAAAATTTATGACAGTTTGGTGATATTGGTGCCACTGCTAAATAATGCATAAAAAATTATCGTACCTATTTAGAAAAATATTTTTAACAAAATAAAAAACTCGAAAAACAAAATCTTTTAATATGACTCATATTTATTAAAAAAAAAGTTACTTTTTGTACGACCCAAATTGTGGAATAAGTAGTAAATTGTAGATTTTTATATTTTATTATAGGAAAAAAATATATTATATATCATCGTTTCTCAACCCAGGGGTGGCAATATTTTCTATATAAATACTGTACCTATTTAATACTTTTAATCTTTTTATTGAAATATTTTTAAATCTGTCAGAAAATTTCTTATTCTGAGCACAAGAACAAAATAAAGTAGGTAGGTATTTAAGGTAACAGATAAATGTAAATACACAAGTAAATTTTTTTTTTATTGTAATAGCCGATTTTTATACTTAAAACTTCAATAATAAAAATGTTAGGTCAGAGGACTCACGATGGTAATATTTAGCTACATAATTTATTAAAGAGATATTTAGTGGATACTACTACCCGCAAACCAAAAGGTTGAGAAACATGAATAAAGCAATGAAATTACTGATTTCTTCATGTTGTTCAAACATTTAGGGCTCAAAATTGCTTGTTTTGCATTTATATAAGTAAACAATAGTTTGTTTTTCTCTAATGTTAAAGATTTTATATAAAATATTTAATCGGCTTTTTGTTAAATAAAAAATCATATGATTTTAGTTATATAGATAATAAGCAACATAGTGATATTACGCATATCTATATCATTTACGAATATAGTTCCTGGCTCTTCTAAAATTTAAATTTGAGACACTAGAACCCTTTAATATTTATTACAATTATTAAATAACGTTTTATGAAGTGGATCTGATGTAAAGTTCATATAGTTGAAATACTCCATATATATATAACCATAATGTAGTTGGCGTGTTATTTGATAAGGAGTTACATGAATGAAATAATTGCACTACTTAATTTATCATCAAATGTTTGTATTTCATTGTTTTAAAATATATATTTCTATGGAATGATAGTATTTTACTTTGTACCTATCAAATGAATATCAGTAATAGTCCGTCAACTTCATTCGATGGGCTATTGTGAAGTGACAGATATATGAGGGGATTTTTTTGAGTCAGTTAATACAGGACGTTTAACATTTTGAGCTTTTTTAAAACTTTACAATTAAAAAAAAAATTATCAATTACTGGTCAACAAATCTTCAAGGAAAGGGATGCAAATTACTTTGATATTATCTTGTACGAAGTGCGCAGTTTCCTTCCCACGCTTCGCAGATCATACTTAGTCTGCTGTTGTGAAGTGCCGCGTACAAAGTTAACAGGCTATAAAAACAAAACATTCACGTAAGTGAAACATTAAGTATAATGTAACTTAAATTTTGGGCATCTTTTACATGAACCTACCGAAATGCAAATAAGTATCTAGATAATAAGTAAAATAGTTAAAATGAATCTTACAACAGCTTATTTAAGGTTTATTAGCTGTATTCTTAAGCTTCACTTACGTGAATCGTTATAAGTATTATGAGTTAGAACCTATCCGTTTACCAAATTTCGTCCAAATCCGTTCAGTAATTTATCTATGAATAATAAACATCCATCCATTCATACATCCTCACAAACTTCTCGATTTATAGTAGTAGGATGTTGTTCCACCACAAAAATCTCCCATTTCTGCCTCTTTGTACAATATTATTGTAATTTTATCCTGCGTGACCGTATTGAGAGACTTCATAATTTCGGCTTATCCAGTTGATAAAATAAATAAATAAGAAAATTATTATAACAATACACAATTAAAAGGCTATCAAAAAATTACCAAAAAAAGAGTACTTAAGTATAATCAAGAATGTCGTTGATCAGCTAGTCAGTTTCTATTGGCGAAGTTAGGAAAAAAAAAATTCGTAATTAACAGATTTTTCAAATAATTACCTTATGTTGATTTTTTTTTTAATTTTTCAAATAATTACCCTATTTTAGATTTTTTTTATTTTTTCATATCTATGTCTTTATTGTCCATTTTAATTGTCATTAAAAAGATTTAGGATACGATTACTTTATATCCCCAACTTCAACCGCAGAAACAAAGGAACGAACAAACAAATAATCAAATTTATTTTCATATTTATAATAATAGTAAGAACTGTAGGTTTTGGTTTTCCGAGATTATACTTATCTGATTGAGGGATGGAGCGGCAGTTTGTTAGTAACAATTAATCTTATCAGGTCGAAGACTTCCACGTGGTTTCTCCTCGAAACTATAGCGGCCAATTCCTGGTGAATTCGTCACGATGTCTTAAACTGACTCGAAGGCCTTCCGTAAAATGTTTTACGAAATTTCGGGGCCAAACGAAGGACAAATTTGATGTTAAAATTACATAATACATATCGTTTAAACCTATTAAAAATATTGTTTCTTTGGGCTTTTGTGGTAGGATTTATGATAAACAAAATGTTAAGCTCCGTTTACAGGGTTAATTTTGATATAAACGAAATTTCGAAATTTCATTTCATGGTAGACTGCCTGATTCCATCCTCACCGGGTTTCTTTTTTAAAGCATAACGGTAGGGTAACTCCGCTTGCGCTATCGGTATACACCGGCGGGGCTCCAGTGAGGGATGATAAGTGAAAATGAAAGAGCTAACTGACCTGCCTTTCGTGATAAATACACTTGGAATTCAGCACGATGGTTTTCAGGGGGATCCACGTGGAGGTCGACCTGACGGGGTATATTACTAGCAATGGGGCTGGTAGTCCGCATTACTAACAATCTCCTCTCATTCTCACCGGGTAGCCCGCTAGCGCAAAATAATAGTGCAGGCGGGATTGGAATTTATGCAAAAGGTTTTCTTGTCTTTGTTTGAGGTTTCGGGATTAGTTTATCAACTCTGAATCGATTTTAACAATTCGTCTAGAAATCGATATGATACTTTTGAACCATATTTCGTAATGATTGAAGCAGCTGCTTTTTTATCATTTCGGGGCAAAATGTAATTCCTATCTTTGTACTAGCTTTACTGTGTTGTGCTGTACCTACTCAGTACTGCAGTATTGAAAGTAGTTTGTATCTTTGTACATGTACAACTGTTGTGAGTTATTAATATGGTCATTGTCTTCAACCCCCGTGGATATAATCAGAAAAAGGATTCGGTCGAGTTCCAATCGTTTGTTTTGGGTATTTAGGTACCTAAATATGGGGTTTTTAAGTTTATAGATAAATATAAAAATAAAAAAAGATTTTTAATGCAATGAAATTTTTAATGTGCTTCACTAACTCTGTATTTAAAAATCATTACTTTCAGGAATAGGAAATCATTACTTACTAGGTAAAGCAACTATCTACTTTTTAAAATATTATGATAGGTATTGTAAATTATTTTACGAAATTAGCTACTTGCACTTTCCGAAAAAGTATTTTAAATTTGTAAATGTTTATTTTATATCTCCCACAATTATCTTTTTTATTTAAAAAGCGTTATATAATTAAGTAAAAACTTTCTTCTTCATTGATTGAAATGTCGCCCGAAAACTATTTGAGTTGCGACATCCATCGATAAATAAATATCGACTTTAATTACTTACAAAATATTTGAAAGGAGTGTTTACAAATATTTATACAACTTCTTGAATTGTAAAAATTACAAGGCACAAGACGTGTGCCGTGCTAAAACTTTTTTTTATGCAACTTAGAATGGCAAACAAGCTGACGGCCCCTCTGATGGAAAGTAGTAACACTCGCCTATAGATATGAGCAGTACCATGGACATAACAGAGTATATTGTTTCGCTTATGATACCCCCTATGCGTTGCCACTCCTGAGGACTCATGTGTTATTTTTCTGTACTCTGTAAATTCACTGCTATATTCCACCTTTCAAACCGAAACACAGCCATGCAAGCACAACTAGAAATAATAATGAGTAGAAGTACGACAATTCTATATCCTGACAAATTATTTATCTCCGTTCCTAAACGTTCAAAACAGCGACGGCAGTCATTATTGTTAGCACATTAAAACTCAAATTTTACACTGGATAAATTTGTGATTTTCTTTTGTCAACGCCATCGAATGTAAATACTTATATAGAAATTAACTTTTCCAAAATTAATTGAACTTATTCTTAACATTTTGTGTAGGTAGCTATGTAAATGATTGATAAATTAATAAGTATTTAATGAATACATAACCGTGTTACTTTACAGTTACCTATTGCGATGAAATAGTACATTACTGCAGCGGCCAGCAACTGAGGCATTGATGGACGAAGGTGCAAAGTACATGAGTCCATTAATGCCTAGTTGTAGTCAAGGCTTGTATAGTACTTTTCTCAAACAATGCGCGGAAATCAAAAACACAATTTTACTTTGTCAGGTGGCCGGTCGTAAAACTAAAAAAACATATCTTTTTGTAATATGGATAAAATCATATTACGCCGACCCCAAATGTTTGGGATAAGGGTAGGAAGATGATGATATATATCTATTTGTCAAATTGGTTACTTAAAAGCTGCGACATTCAAAATAATTTTATTTTATTGTTACAATTGTTAAATACCCAATTATGTGTATTATGTCTTTGTCCCTTGTTTGAGAATTATAAATACCAGTCTCTTAAAAAAGGTGCATATGTTGTCTCACAAATATCTTTAACTATAGTTGAAAGCTCCGCTTTTTATTCCCCCGCTTGGAATGGGCGCCAGACAATTCTAGGATGGGCACGGAACTTAATTCGATATATTGTAATTTATTATTGTATCATAATCGATTTTTTATTTCCAAAATACCACAAATGTGAAAATATCTAGAGCTGTTTATAATATGTGTATAGGGACATTGAACAAGAGCAATATTTAATATTAGTTAGGTACTAAAAGTTTGCATCTACACAGATCATTACAAAATAATAATTTCAATACTTAAGCACAATTAAAAGTTATGCACAGTATTTTACTTCATATATATATACACATTGAATACCTAAATATATTATTTACATTGTTAACTAATTATTTATAAATATTTCATATCTAATCAATATTAATACTGTTCGTTTTTATGCTTTAATAAATCCTATAAGATCACTTAAAATGGGTACCTAAATCTAATAGGTATATAAATTTGCATCATTTTGCATCTAAATATGTATACCTAAAACTACTGCATTTACCGAAAAATATTTCAACATATAGTAAGAGAAAACGATGTATGTGCCTCGGCTAAGAGGCAATTTTTTTAATAATATAAACAAATGAAGCAACTACTGCAACGGATACAGCACCAGCAGCTCCTAAATATGCAGGTGGCTGTGATGAAATTATCATTTTTATGTGGAATAGCAAGCTTGGAATAGTTCGCTTAAATGATTCTCTTTGCTTAACACGATTAAAGTAATTTTCTATAAGAGGTCGTTTCCCACCAGTCCAAAATCGGCCTTCAAGCCCAAGCTCCCAAAGTCTTTGCAATAAAATAGCCAAGTTAACATCTGCTATGCTGAATTTTTCGCAACATAACCAATTACCTGAAATTGAAATGTTATTATGAACAAAATTCAACGAACCATTAATTAAAAAATCTTCAGGTTAATTAAATCAAATGGCTAATTGACAGTTTTTAGAAAACTAATTCGAAATTTGCAAATGTTTATTCTATACATCTTACAATTATAGTTTTCTTTGAAAAGTATTATATAAAACATATTTTTCTTTATTAATTTGTAATATCGCGCGAATAAACGGTTGCCCACGTGATATTTGTGACATCATAATCATTATCATAAATTATCAAAATTAACTACGATGTTCGTAGGTACAATTCTTAATTTATGACGACACTTTAAGCATTTTTAACAGGAAAGTTTGGAAATATGGCGTCACCAGGTCTGCTACATGGAACATCTTTGTTTTGTAGTTGTTCGGAGTGAATAAGTAGAACAACTAGCTTTATTTGTTTACATATATTTAATACTACAGAAGGTATTTACAAAGAAAATATACAGAAAATAATATAAAAAAAAATGCGTGAGGCGAGCGATCGAGATAGGTAGAATAACAACCAGTCTTTCGTAAAATCCATACTATGTTTTAATGTATGGATTTGGTCAGAAACTATCACGTCATCGTTTAGTTAAATGATTAAATCACGATAGTACCAACTTAACTAACAAAAATACAGTCAAATGTGATGCAAAACGGATGCCATCTAAAATATATATGGAATAGTTTTAGTTTTGTATTTCATATTTCTTTTTATTTTGACGTGACAATTACGACTATATATAACTAATATTGACTCTATAACGAGGTCGGCTCTAGAAATTGACCAAATATTATAAAAAGCGTTGAAAACTTGTGTTACTATCAATAATATTAAAAAATTGATATACCTAAGTAATACTGTATCAAACAATAAATATTTTTAAGAATGTTATCTTTTGATTTATTTTTGCTAAAAAAATGTTCATCGGAACATTCAATTTGACATAAAATTTATACATTGCTTTTATGAGTCACGTTTCTACTATTAAACTATAGTATAATTATAACCCTATTCTTTTCCATTTTGAACATCAGGCTAGCCAACATAATGAGAAAAGGACGATTTTTTTGTGTATATTAGTAAGATATTTGGTCCTTTTTCAAGAAATTTCACTCTTTTCCCTTGGTTATATACTCTTTGATGACAATGAAAATGAATGTAAGAAGAAAACGTCGCTGTCATGTCTATGTGGCTAGTCCGAAAGAATGAGGTGGAAATATAGGTAGCGCGAGAGTAATGCGAGGTAGCGCATAAACAGGGTTGAATCCAATAAAATTAGATCTTATTCTTATATCACTCCAACAAAGATATTCCAGCTGTCGCAGACTTAATATTGAACATAAATACCTTCAGTTTGAGTTTTCAATTCATTTTCTATGAGGGAGAATACATCATCGACAATATTCAGTATTTTCAAATATTCTTCTTCATTTGCTAATATTTCATGTTTCTTGTCTTGGATCTCAGCTTTGTACAATAATATTCCTCTAGCCTTAGGATTTTCTTCAGCAAGTTTTCTAAGATTTTTTGAACTACTCAAGTCTCCAGCTAAAATAAAACATATAATAATATATTGTATGAAGTTTCTATATATAATATTATAAATTGATTTACATTATAAAAAACATACTTTTAAGAACTTCTCTTACAGGTAGAATAAATGGTAACTTAGGGCGTCCACACAAATGAGGATGGAAAAATGAGCCCACTGTAATAACTCCAACCGGCAATGCTTCTATAAGTTCTCGATATTTATTGATATTATTCAAAATCTTGGCGTCTGTCGATACATTTATCAAAGGCGGAAGTTCTGCGAAGTAAACATAGTCATAGACCATTATATAGAAGAATATACCTGTTTGACATTATGAAGACATAAAAAATCATAGCAAGTAGGTATACCTAAATACAAACCTGGATCTAAGTATACTTCCAAATAATCTAGAATCCTAGTGGAATCAGGTATAATTTCATCTTTCACTTTTAGAACGGGAATTTCCCCTCGGGGGTTTATTTCCAAGAACCATGATGAATATTGTTCTCCTTTTGTTATGTCTACCGTGAAAGGTTCAAAATCTACATTTTTTTCATAAAGTGCCAATAACACCTGAAATGTCAATTTAAATAAAATCATTTAATAAGATATAACTAGAAATTGCTAGCAATAGGTCAGTTAGACCCCATTATTAACAATTCCTTTCTCCTCCATTTAAAATGATTGTAACTGCTTCAAATTTTGAAAGGCAGGTAAAGTCGTCGACCGCTAATAACGAAGGCGGCCTAAAAAATTTTGATACCAGAGGACGCCAACTTTACTCAAGCAGCAGTAGTAATAGGACAAATAGAGAATGAAAAAATATATTTATTATAATAATGAACCTATGGACGTCCATCTGATAGACGCTTTAGACCCCTTAATATGGAGTGAATTTACTTGGTACAGAGGAATAACACCTGAGTCTTCAGGAATGGCAACACATGGGGGGTATCATGGGCGAAACAGTATACTCTGTTATGTCCATGGTACTGCTCATGTCTATAGGTGACGGTTACCACTTTCCATCAGGTTGGCCGTCAGCTTGTTTGCCATTCTAAGTTGTATAAAAAAATGTACCCATGGACATCCATCTGATAGATGCCTTAGACCCCATTAGGAACAATCTTTTCCCCTACTATATATATTATTCTTTGAATAGTATTATAATACAGAATGATATTAATTGTAGTAATAGTAAACAAATGAAGACAGTGAAAATCCTAATTAATGAAACAATTGTTGTTGTACTGGTTTACAAGCTGTCAAACAGTGTGTAGGTATTTACTGAAATTCACATAGACGATTATACAGGCAAATTAGTCATAAATATAACAAATTGGTATAGGGTTATTTTATCAGTACACAGGTTATCAGTTAAAAAATGACTGACCAGACTGATCATTGAAAAATGATGTAACACATTCTTGCAGAGATATCATAGTAGGTACTCTACCTACATAGGCCTAAAAATTGTTAATTTCAAGATAGTAGTTTACTAGTGGTAGCTAAACTGGTTCAGGCATGGTATTGAAGGTGTGGCCTTAAACTCTATATGCTATTAAATAGTCTTTTGACGGTGTGAATTTTATTTAATCATAATTATTATAGGATAGTTTTCCTATTTTAATATTTCTATTAAATTAGATAATTTATTGTCAGCTTTCTAGAAAAGAAAATGGTGATTTAGAATATATTAAATATATTTATATGTTATGAATATCAGTTACAGATAAGTTGTACTCTATTAAAAATGAGTTTAAAGTCACACATATTGATCTGTGTCCCTTATCATCATCATCCACATATTAGTTATTAGTTTGACATAGATCTCCCCCTAGTGGGGGATGCCCCTAATGGTGCCACAACAATAATTAAAAACTTTCAAATATAATAAACAAAAAGCTGGTTAGGGTTGTTATTCGACAACCCAATCATCAATCTATTGGTATTGTTATTCAAATGATTAAAAGGCTTTAAAATAGATTCCATATCATTGATAATAATCTAACTCATTTATAATATAAATAATATATGAAAAATTGCAGTGGAGCATAGAATAAAAATGAAATGGTGAAATTAAAAATGGCTTTCAAATAAATATTAATCATTCCCCACTTAAATTGACCTGAAACTAGTAGTCAATAAGGTGAACTAAACTAATTTTATTTTGCCATATGGCCTTAGCATAGAGCAGCCACCCCTTACTTTCACATTGGTAAGAAGCAACTAAGGGAACTTAATGGTTGAGGGAAGTGCAGCAGAGTCTTTCTTAAAACATCCCCAAAGCCTAAGTTCAGTTGCCAACTCACCTGCTAAGAGTGGCCACTACTACTGGTAAAACCACCCTTAGTTTATATTCAGTAGTGGTCAGTTAATGGCTGATATGATATATGATGAAACTGATTTTTAAAAGCTTAATGAACTCATTAAAATAGTCATTTTAAGTAGCACACAGAAATTGATAATTGATATTTAGAATTATTATTCATTCTATTGATAATATTCTTATGTAATATAATACTTTGAAAGTGAAATTTAGTAAATAAGAATAGAAGATTAGCACTTGGTTTTGTCTACTCTGCAATAGACTTAGTGTGAAGATAGCTAAAGTGAATAAGAAAAATATAGGGGAATAGAAGTCAATTCAATGTTATTAAATACTAAGTATTTAAGATACCATTCAGTACAATGGTCAGTGGATACCTTTAGGGTTTCAGCAAATATTTTTTTGTGCTACTCATTAGATAAAAATATCAAGAAACGAAATAAATTAGGCTATTCTATGCAAATAAACTTATTAGTTTGCTCACCTTCTGCGAATAGAAGCTATAATAATTACAATATAGTAACACATTTGTATTATTTTTCGAAGATGTTTGACCGTTTCTTTTATATATTGATAATTTTTCCAGATACTTTTGAGCAAAATGCATATTAGTTAATTTTGTAGACTTATAGTAAATTGATAAATTATTTAAAATAAATAAATCCCCATTAATTTCGATTAAATTGTTGAAATAAAAACTTTACGATCTGTAGCGGCGGTTTAGATCAAATTATTCTTTCTACCAACTTTAAGGAACAAAAATCAGCTGACATCCGCAAGCACATAGTTTTTTGTTTCTCTTCTTTTTTTTTTAATTTATGTATGACCATGGATACCTTTAGTCGCAAACATAAATAATATTTACAATTCGGTTTTTGTTATTAGCTATTTTCAAGTTTTAGAAGGTAAAAAAATATCGTAAAATGTTTCATTTTAAAATAGTAACAACAAAATGTGTTTTTACCATTTGAAAGTACCATCCTTGGCTAATTTTCAATTTCTTGTCCAGGGTGAATAGAAACAACAATATATAACAATAAAATTTTCATATTTTTCTTTCAAATAAAGAAATAATATTAAAAAGGTAAAAGAAAATAATAAAAGTAATTTTTCTTCTTATTACACGGATGAACGTAACCTCAAAAATAATATAGTTTTAAATTGCAGTAAAACTAGATATTTTCTTAAGAAAAAGGAATTACATAGAAGGAATGATAAAACAAAGCTGTAAATCATGTGGTTGCCTCTTTTTTTCTTATGCAAATACAATTAGTAAAAAAAGAATGAAAAATACACCATCAGTTGCTATTTTTGTAAATTCATAGTAGGCCTAAGAACAACAAACTAATTAGTAAAAAGAGGGCGAAAGATATACCATCAGTTATCATATTTCTTAATTCATAACAGGCTATTGTATAGAAAATGTTTGATATGTCAATTATTTGTCAATGACAAATTTTACATTACTAGATTATATATTGGACACAGTTTATGCAGAAAGAATGCAAGCAGGTTGTATCTGAAATTGTTATTTTGTATACACTAGTCTCTTCAAGAGGTGAGAGATTCGCTGAAAATCGTAGTGTGGCAAGAGCTACACCGACAAGAGCGCAGTTCTTATTTAGGATAGACAGATAGTCTGCTATGAATTGGAAATTTTATCACTCTATGTAATTCGTTGTTCTTAGGGACTAAGAACAAGAAATTACAGCAAAGTATGATAAAATAAAAACTGAACCTGAACTAAAGCCGGAGCAGTTGACGGTTAATGATAATTTCCATAACCTTCGAAAATAAGGAAGTGATAGCTATGTATATTTCTTGTTATCTGTAATCGGATCTTCCATAACAGCCATAATCAGATAATGTCTTGTGTGAAAATTAGCGTTTTGAGGAGTAGTCCACTGACAGCTCTCTCAGAATTTGTAAGCTCTTCAATTTCTAGTGTCAATCAATTGAATACAAGCTTTCGTCTCAGTCTTATAGATTGTTGTGCTGTGAGTAGTTCTCCAGTCAGGTAATTTGGAAATAACATAGTTATCTGAGTGGGCGGTTAGCAGAAGGTCCAGCAGTGAAGATGAATGCTCCAACACATCAGGTATTCACATAGGCAAGAAAACAAGCTGTGTCAGACCATAAGTCAAAGCAAAGTTATGAACAGATCTTCCCGCATAGTCGATTGTACGCGAACCAAGCTATTTGGCATGCTGGGCATTAAAATCGCCAAGAATCATGACTGCAGAGAAAGGAATCTGTTCGGACAGGGAATTTGTAGCCATTTGGACGTGCTCAATGAGTTGGTCGGTTTCAGTTTTACCGCTGTGGGACCTGTATAGGCATGCATAGATGCGGAGATGGTCATTGCAGTCTACGCGCAGCCATAGAATGGCCAGGTCCGTACCTTAAAAAGTCCCAAGGCGTCGACAGCAGATATATTAAACCAAACAAAAGTGTTCAAGTTTATAGCTCGGGTAGGTCAGGTATGACGTTTCGTTTGGAAAGGATATCTGTGTCTCCTTGAGAAAGAGCAATGCTGGCCGCGCCGTTTCTAGGCGGTGGTGGACAGCATTCAAGTTGGAGTGTATTCCCCTAATGTTACAGAAGCTCACATTGAGTGGAGGGAATGCCGCAGAAGTCTGTTTTCCCTTGCTTCCAAAGAGCGGAATTTTGCCCCTCACATAATATACAGGGCGGCCCGAGCGTGGATTCTCCAGTGCTCGAGGGAGGATTCTCCAGCAACATAGTTACTGGTACCTCCCTGGGATACGTTATTTTTTCTGAAATCCGCTGCCATGGTCGTATTAAAAGATAGGGGAGACAGGGTTAGGGGAACGATTATAGGATTAGGAAAAGGATGGGTATAAGATGGGCCTCCAGACTCCCTCACTCAACATACGGAATTTGGCCGCACTAAAAGTACGGCCATTTAGCGATGGTATTCTGTGAGGGTGTGGTATTTTTCCGGTCGAGCCGGCCCATTCATACTGCAATATATAGGATTACAGCGTGGCTCTACCACAATAAAGTTAGTAAGTTCTGTCCATAGGATCTGTATTTTAGGTTGTTAGCAAAAGCTTTACTTCCTATATGGCATTGAGGTCGATTTTGAGGTGCTATTTTTCTGGATCTATCACTGAAATTAAAATTTCAATTTAATGTCATAGCAAAGTCTTTATTCAAAGAACCAATATGAACAAATTTGCTAATGTATTATTTTATTTTAATTTATTTATTTTATTTATTTCTTATTGCATTCCATAATATAATTTGTAGATAACATTTTAATTATGGACCCTGTTGGGCACAGCAAGTAGGAGTATTAAAACCATAATTATTATAATTTTAATTTATGATGGTCTATGAAGGAATAATTTAGTAAAATTATCAAATTAAAATATTAGAGTCAGAGATAAATTTAGATAAATGACGCTTTAGAATCGACCCCATTGTTTGTCGAACAAAAGTGTATATTTTTAATGGATGATAATGGAATAGTAACCCAACTGCGTTTACGGTATACATTGGCCGAGCACCAGTGAGGGATGATAGGTAAGAATGGGTAAAAAGGTCAGTTAGCCCATAATGACAAATAAACCTAGATTTCAGCACGATGGTTTCCAGGGGATACCACGTGGAGGTCGACATGGTAGTGATTTATAATCTCTATTACAAACAATCGCTTCTCCCTACAAAAAATTAATTAACCTATCTATTAATTAGAAGGAACTCATGTTAAGTAAAAAGCCCGTTTTTTGACATCTGAAAATCATTTGCGGTTATTGCGTTTTCAGAATAGTAGTAACGTTAGTTTGTAAATCGTTCTAAAGTGGTAGCACCATCGTTTTATCATGGCCGTTGTTTATCATTTACATAGACTTTATAGACGTAGGTACCTATCTAGTTTATGCTTATTTTCTGTTTGTTCATTCAATTTCATTCATTCAATTTCAGTTTGTTGTATGTATTCAGCTTTTGTCAATTTTTCTTTCTCGTTGTCTTATATTAAATTCGGTATTTTCTAAATTTTTATAGAATGTCTCTTTATTTCATTGTACTTTGAGATCTATTTTATTGATAACTATTTTAACTATTTTACTGTTACCTCAGTAACAAAGAATAATACACCAAATGAACAGAATAACATACAACTGAAAATGGAGGTTTCTAACAACACCGACGCTGTCAACCTTGGCGTTGGTGAAGTGGAAGCAGAAATCGGTGAAGAATTGAAACAATTGGAAGAAGGAAAAGATTTTGACACACGAAGTGAAGTTTCCAGTTCGTCGTCTAGTGATTCTAGCACCCCTAGTATCAGTTCCGTCAGTACTAAATCTAAAGAGAGACGCATAAATCGTAAGCGCACCAAATCTAAAAGCCATTCCCCTGTACAAAATAAGAGAAGATGCGTCACGGGTACTAATAAGATAAAAACATATGATTATATGACCAAGTTGAATTACTTGTTTAGAGATACAAGATTTTTTCTGATAAAGTCAAATAATGCTGAAAACATCACATTGTCAAAGGCGAAAGGTGTGTGGTCGACTTTACCACAGAATGAAGCAAATTTGAACCAAGCTTACAGAGAGTCGAGAAATGTCTTATTAATATTCTCAGTTAAAGAGAGTGGCAAGTTTGCTGGTTTCGCTCGTTTAGGAAGTGAGTCACGTCGCGATGTTCCTCCAATATCTTGGGTGTTGCCTCCTGGTTTATCTGCTAAAGTACTGGATGGGGTGTTCAAGGTAGATTGGATTTGTCGTAAAGAGTTACCTTTTAGTAGTACACTCCACTTGTACAATCCATGGAATGAAGGTAAACCTGTAAAAATTGGAAGAGATGGACAAGAGATAGAGCCTAAAGTTGCAGAAGAATTATGTAGATTGTTTCCAGAAGATGATGGCATTGAAATGACACCTATATTACGGAAATCAAAGGAAGCCTCTAAGAAAGGTTATTTAAAAAGTGGAGGTAGCTACAGAACATATAGAGCTCCTTTATCTACTAGGGGTTCTAATTATAGAAGCCGTTTAAACTTATCTTCAAGAAGCAGACGAAAGGCTTTTATGTCACCAAGAAGTAGGTTGGGTGCAAATGCATATAAGAGAAGATCTCCATCTCCATATATGCGTGACCGTTTACCGACATGGTTTGGACGTAACCGTGATGGATACAATAGTAGTGGAGCTGCTGCAGCTGAGGCTTATGTTGCTGAGTATATGCGGTCTATGCATCATCAATTGCCTCCTCTGCCTTATGTTCCACCACCAGGCTTTAGTGGGGCATTGTCATCTTATGATAATCATCCTCCTCCCCTACCACCACCACCACCACGCTACTATGATATTACTGAGTATGCCCGTTCAGTGCTTGTTTATGATAAAAGATCTTATGAAAGATCTGTTGATGAGTTTTTGTGGCGCACTTCAGATCGTTCTCGGGGGCGCAGTCGTGATCGTGATACCCATAGGTCTTATCGTGACCGTCGATAAGATTGTGGTTGACCACCGATGTATTATTTCATAATTAATAATTATTAATAAAAAAATTGTGTTTGAACTTTGAACTTTATTGAATAAAGTCTTTTTAGTGTTGTGATGAACCTTTTGTATGAACGATATTTATACATATGTTTGAATACATGGACAATGCCATTTAGGTATTTTAGTGATGCTCTGATGAATATTATGATATTTCTTACTTTTTAGAATACTATGGATTTTTTAACATATTTCTAATACATAATTGTCATGGTGGCCTTATTTAACATCTGACATGACTAAGTGTAAATGAGTATAATTTGCATTGGCATAGTATCATATATTTACATCAAGCTATTAGTTTGTTATCATGTATACAGTGTGATCACAAGTGATGCTGAAGAGTGATAAATTGTTTAGATATGGCAAGTGCACAGAACACTTATTGGTTGTAATATCTGTGATATTTTTCCGTCTATTTTGTCTATAAAATTATATATATTTTAAAGTGTTAAAAATATAATGAGACCAAAGATAAGAAAAACGTATCCTGGATTTTTAAGGAAAAATTATCATTATTTTTTCAGTATTTCTTATTTCCTTCCATCTCTTTTGCATTAAATTATATATCTTTATTTAAAAAGATTTGTTTACAAGTTCTTTTCAGTCATTATGATATTACTATTGGGTTCTAAATGTTATCAGCTGAGAAGAACCTGCAAGAATTTTGGTAGTTACTGTTTTGAAATCAATTTAAGTACAAAATAATGTTTATATTTTTTGTGAAAAGTGACTATAAAATCGACATTATAATATTTATTTATATGTATTATTTAAAGAATTTTATAATCAGTCATAAGTAGTAAATTTGACTAGACTAATCACTATCAGTATCTGGCATTCCCGTTTATTAATATAACGGTTGAGCCAGTTGTTAAATTATGTTTTAAGTAGTTAAACGGCGCGGCAAACAATTCCGCTAAGCATGTTTTGCTTCTCCTGCCTTATGACATGACGGATGAACTGATGAAATTAATTCAGTGGACTGGTAATGAATTCTACGGGAATAATTATATAATATATTGTTTTTTTTTTAATGGGTGAAAATGGCATGGTTTACCCACCTGCGCTATCGGTATACACTGGCGGAGTACTAGTGAGAGATGATAGGTGGGGATGAAAAGGCAGTACAGTAGCCTATCATGACGAATTCAACGATAAATTAGTCACGATAGTATATAGGTAACCGCGTGGAGGTCGACCTGATAGGGTGCATTGATAGCAACGGGGACTAACCTCTCAATTACTAATAATCCCTTCCCCTCAGGGTATACTGTTTGTAACAGGGTCTTTAGACTACATTATTAACAATACATTGTCTTCCATATTATTTTTGCTGAGAGATACTTTAAATCTGTGGTCCGGTAATCTACATCAGAGGCTTAATAAATTAAACACGTGCAACTAAGGCGATCTAAAAACTCGTGACATGAAATGCTTCCAGCTGCACCACGACTGATTGTTAGTAAATGGGACTAGTAACTCTAATGCTAGCAACACCTTGTCAAGTTAACTATAATGCTATATTCATCACAGAATAACCACAATAGTTTCTATGGGATCACTCATAGAAACTGGTCATATATATATATATATATATATATATATATATATATATATATATATATATATATATATATATAATTAGTATTCGTAATAAATAAATATATATTTAATATTAATTGATATTCATCTACAGTCGGGGCTACCATTATATTACCATCTATAAACAATACCTAACTGGTGGCTTTTTTTTAGTAGGTGATAATGGAATAGTAACCCCACTCGCGCTTTCGGTATACACCGGCAGGGCACCAGTGAAGGATGATAGGTGAGGATGAAATAGGTCAGTTAGCCCAATATGACGAACCATCGTGAACAAGAATTGTTTTCACGATGGTTTCCAGGGGGAACCACATGGAGGTCGACCTAATAGGACATATTGCTCGCAATAGGGCTGTCAAATTCCATAACAATCTCCCTCCCCTAACTGGTGGCTTAGGTGCTCATAAATACCTAATGCGGTGCCTGGAGGCATTTTTTTTAGTGGGTGAAAATGAAACGGGGATCTCGCCTGCGCTCGATATATCACTTACGGTATATTATTGAGGCATGATAGGTGAGGATGAAAGCAGGTCAAGGAATTAACCATGGTTTCTATGGGGAACCGCGTGAAAGTCAACGTGATAAAGAATATTTTTTTTAATGGAAGAAAGTTGCGTGGTAACTACGCCTTTGCTATCGGTTTTTTGACGGATGATAATGGAATGGTAATCTCGCCTGTGCTAACAGCATACGCTGGCGGGGCACCAGAAGCGATGATAGGTGAGAATGGGAAGGCAGGTTAGTTAGCCCATCGTGATGAATACACTATGAATTCAGTACGAAGGTTTCCAGGGGGGATCACGTGGAGGTCGATCTGACAGGTTATATTGCTTGTAATGGGACTGGTAGTTCGCATTACTTACAATCCTTTTCCCCCTGAAAAGATAGGTCAGTTAGCCCATCGTGATGAATATATCTGAAAATTAGCACGATAGTTTCCAGGAAGATCACGCGGAGGTCGATCTGACAGGGAATGGGACTGATAGATTGCATTACTAACAACAATAAACCTTCCCTCCGGCGCTATTGGTAATGGCTGATCATATTAGAAGCTTACTATACAGGGAGCAAATCCACCACCATCATTCAGATTAATTTGTTTTTTTTCTTTCGTAATTGGAGAACTACTTAGTCTAAAACTTAAATTAACAGTTTTTGTGTCAGTCATATTCCATCTTCGCACTTTACTTACTTAGTACTTAAAAACAGTATAAGTAATAGTACTGAAGTAGTATAATGGCTTCGTTTTTAGATTATTTACTACCAGTAAATAATCTAAAAATAAAGCGAAATAATCTATGTAATTTTTTTTTATGGTCTATCCTCGCTTATAACGTTAGGTATACTTTTTAATGGTTAATAATGGAAAATAAATTCCGTCTGTGCTAACGGTATACGCTGGTGCCCCACCAGTGAGGGATGATAGGTGAGAATAAAAAGGCTGATCGGTTAGCTCATCGTGACGAATAAATCTGGAATTCAGCACGATGGTTTCCAAGAGGGACCACGTGGAGGTTGACCTGACAAAAAATATTGTTGGCAATGGGACTGGTAGTCCCCATTATTAACAATCCGTTACCTATTGTCAGGTGTAATCGTAGCCCATTCATGCCCAAACGAAACATATTTTTAAATAATTTTTCATCCTAAAGAGATAATAAAAATATATGTGCAATTAATTCTCCTTATAATACTTTAGAATCAGAATAATGGATTTGAAAGCACTACCGTTCTGGCCGGGCGAAGCTTACTTGGCCTGAAGCACTCCAGATAACAAAAGCAAAACCTTAAACTCGTATGTAGTTTTTAACTGGTGTTTTCTGGTTTCGATATGCCGATAATAGTTATATTATTTTGTTATATTCTTTTAGAAATTACTAGCTGACTCTGCAAACGTTGTACCCTTCAACCACTTACCGGGTCTATTGTTGTTTCCTTTCGGAATAAAACTGATTGTCTTTCAAAGTGAAGCAAACAATACATGTTTACAAAATACCATTAAAATCGGTTAACCGGTTGTTGAGATAGTTTAAAGGAAAATCATGCCATGGCATTCTTATATATAATAAGGTAAGAAAAATATATAAATTTAGTATGTTGTATTAATTGTTTGTTGCCTTTCTAGGCCAATATTCAGATCGTACTAATATTATCTATACAGAATAATTGGCCTGGTTATGCCCTTGTCAATTTTGTTGTAATGTTTTAGTCACGTACTAATTCTAAATTAATATATTATTAATATTGCATAAATTATAAAATCGAAGCAAGTTTATTACTGTTTCTCATATTCGACTTTTGATATTCTTTTTTAAATAAGTATGGGTTATTTTTTATATAAAACTAGCGGTCCATCCCGGCTTCGCACATTTTTACGACATTTTAAAAAGTGGTTATTGTGACATAACGATAATAGTTGGACATATGGTATCGCTAAATTTTTTGTAGTAATTGATATTTTATTCAATATTGTAGAACATACTTTCGTTCTATCACCAATAGTTTCTGCAGCGCACGCGACAAAATATATTTTTTTACATTTTTTTTATACCTTGAGTTAAATTACTAAAATTTTAGTAAGGATCCCTAATCTTTTTTAGTAATAAATATAGCCTATGTTACTCAGGGTGAATATAGCTTTCTAATGGTGCAAGAATTTTTGAAGTCGGCAAAGTAGTTTTTGAGTTTATTCATTACAAACATACACACAAAAATACAAATCTTTCCTCTTTATAATGTTAGTGTGTGGTCGCGCAAACATAGACGCGGGTAAAAAGTATTATTCTATGAACACTTCAAAGAAATTTAAACAAACCGTGACCTTTCCTGAATGGTCAAAATTTTTTATTCATTCATGCTCGAGTGCTATTATACGGGTAGACTCGATCACTGTATGGAAAAAAAAACCCTTAGTATGGGAATCCGTGGTTGTACCCGATAGTAGCTAATCTGTCGCCAACATTACTATATATATTTTTATGGGTGAAATGGAATGTTTTTTTTAATTGGTGAAGATAAAATGGAAACCCCATCTACGCTAACGGTATATCTTGTAACGTTGTATGTAACGGTATGTGGCGGGGCATCAGTGAGCGATGGTTTCCAGGGGGACCACGATAGGATGGACCACGGGGAGGTCGACCTGTTAGGATATTTTGTTAGCAATGGGAGTAGTAATCCGCATTACTAACAATCCCTCCCCCCATTCCGAAATGGAATAGTAGTCGCGCCTGCGCTAGCGGTAACGCTAACACCTGTCATCACTCACTGTTGCCCTACCAGAGAGTGATGATAGGTGAGGATAAAAGCAAGTCAGTCTATCGTAAGCAATTCAATCAGAGGGAGACTTTGTACAAAAGTTGTTTGCTAGGGTACCTCTTTCCCATTCATGTTTCAACCGTAAAGCAGTTGTTT